TTCTAAATATAATATACTTATAGATTATAAGGTTATAAAATTTAAAGTTAAAGCTTTTAAAGTTAAAGGATATCTTATTATAACTATCTTATTACTTACTTTCTTATTTATTAAAGGGAAGTAAGCGTTTTTTATAAGCTACTATATAAAAGAGAGCTAAGGTTAAGGTTATTAAGGTATCCCTTATTAATACCTATATTAGTATTATTAGTATATATATAAGTAAGAGGTCTTAGTAGGGTTCTAGAACGGTTTAGATTATACTATTATCGTTATTTATATCTTTTAAAGCATTATATAAGGATTATAGTTTCTTAACTAAGTCGCTAGTATTAAGGGTTATAAGGTTAATAATAAGAGCTTAGGGGTTTTTAGTATTAGCTTATTACTTTTCCTTTACTATTAGCGAAGGTATTATCTAATTATTTATTTCCTAGTAAGCCTATCGCCTTATTAGGTCCTTAACTCTAGCTATTAAAGTAGTTACTACTTTAATTATTAAATCCCTAGATTTTATTTTTTCTAAATAGTACCGTTATCCTCTAAGTATTCTTAGCTTTATAAAGCTACTCGTCGCCGTATAAATAAAACGGAATAACGAGTTTACGCCCTAGAGACTAGTTTTAATAGGGATAAGGGTATATACCTAAAGCACGCGTAGTATATAGCTAAGGATTAATAGAGCAATTAACTATATAATTATTTAATTATCGGTCCTATATATAGCTCTAAGGGTCTTAGGTTATTAATATAAGTCTTAGAGATTTCTTTACTCTATGCCTCTTTATCTTTACTAAAGTCGCGTAACTAACGACCTTTACTTTAAAAGGGAGAAATAAATATTTAAATTAACTATAATTAAAGAAGATATATAATTAGATAATTTAAGCTTTTATAAAGCCTTTAAGTATACTTAAGAGGGAAGTTAGATAGGGAGCGCTAAGGGTCTTATCCCTTTAATAGGCTAATATCTATAAGGGTACGATCTTACTTATTAAAGTAGCTTAAAAGTAAAGGGAGGAATAAATAATATAATAAAAAAGGATTATAGTAAAAGGGAAAAAGTTTTATTAATAGTTTATTTACTTATTTACTTACTTACTTACTTAAGAGAAGAGCCCTTACCTATTATTATCGCGCCCTTTCTATTAGTATCTTAGGTTAGAAAGCTATTAAAGAGGAGTTTAATAAGTAAGATTATACCCCTTATAAATATTAGCCTATTAAAGGGATAAGACCCCTAGCGCTTCCTATCTACCCCCCCCCCCCCTTAAGTATACTTAAAGGCTTTAGAAAAACCTAGATTATTTTATTAAGGTATCCTTTTTAATTATAATTAATTTAAACGTTTATTTTTCCCCCTTTAATAGTAAAGGCCGCTTATTATATAACTTTAGTAAAGATAAAAAGGTATAAAGTAAAAAAATCTCTAAGACTTATATTAATAACCTAAGATCCTTAGAGCTATATATAAGACCGATAATTAAATAATCGCGCGGTTAATTACTTTACTAACCCTTAGCTATATATTATATATACTTTAAGTATATACCCTTATCTTTATTAAACTAACTATTATATTAAATTATAATATCTCCTTATTATAGTAAAGTTAATAATTACTAAATCTTAATAATAAGAGTACTACTATATATACTAAGATTAAGGGATTTTAATAGTATAGTTAGATCTTAATTTAGTTAATAAACTATAAAGATCTAAGGGGTAAAAGTTAGCCCTATTTATTACTAAGAAGTAAAGCTATTACTAAACTACCCCTTAAATAGTATAATACTATAGCGCTTAAACTTATAATAATTATAATAGCTTTATTAAATTAAGACTTATTAATATAAAGAATATATTATTAAAAAGCTTACTTTTAGGATTATTATTATTAAGATTATACTAGTAGCCTATCTAAAGGTATCTAAAACTTTAGTATTAAATATAAGGGAAAAACTAAAGTACTTAAAGGAAAACTATCCCTTCTTTTATAGCTAGTCTACCCTTATACTAGGTCGCGGTTATAATATATAAGAATCTTACGCTAGCTATCTTAAGTATCGTTATAGTTAGTTAGAATTATATTAGCCCTACTATAAAGTAACCTTAGAAAGTAACTCCTTTATATATATAGGGTATATAGTATTAATTAGTAGTATAAGCGTTTTTAGTTAATAGTTAATTATATAATTATCCTTAACCTTATCTTATAATAATATCTTCCTAAGCTCTACCTTATTTTTCTATTATAAGGCTTAGCGGGCTATTTTTTATTAATACTAGCCTTTAGCTAGGCCGGTAGTCGGGTTATTATACTAGCTTCGCGCCGTACTTATCGAGTTACTAGTATCGGCCCTAGGTTTTTATTTTCCCGGTCGGGGGGCCTAGACCAGAGTTAAGGGGAGGTCCTAATAAATTTATAGCTAGGTCTAGGTAAGCGAGGTCTAGGCCGGCCTACTTATAGCGGGGCTAGACTGCTAGTATACTTATAGGCGCTTCTAGAAGCGCTAATTAGCTAATTAATAAGTAGGTTAGCGTAGTTTACTAGTCCGACTAAAAATTAATCGTGCCCTTAGCTAGATTTAAACCGACTCTAGTATTATAGCTAGTAGGCCTCCTAGGTATATAACTACTATACTACGAGGGTTTACTTTTAAGATTACTTTTATCTTAAAGGGTAATATTACTAGTAAAGGTATTATAGTACCTAGGCTACTTAAAGGGATGCCCTACTATACCCCTCCTTATAAGGAAAGTTATAAATATAACTTATAACTATTAGTTAAATAGTAAGAGTAGGTTATATAACCCTATTAATCGTAAGTTTAACTTACCTTAGGGTAAAAGAGTAGGTTATATAACTACGCCCTAGGGGGGGGCGGGCAATAAACTTAGGGACCTAAGGGGAGAGGAAATAAAGGGCTTCTCTTTATATCCTCTCCCTTAGGTCCTAGCTTTTATTTTTTCGCTAAATAAACTTTCTTTTTACTATATTTACCTTCCCTTTTTTATAGGATATAATTAGGAGCCTCCCTTATTTTTAGATAACCTCCTTAAATAGATAATAAAGTAGCCGAATTTAATATCGGAATAGCCTTATATTTATTAAACTAAACGCTCCTCTACCTATTGCCCTACTATCTAGAAGCTAGAGTAGTAAGGGGGTATATTAAGTAGAGTAGGTATAAGAGGCTATAGTTATACTTAATAGACCTAATAGTTATATATAAGGAAGCCTGCCTAACTAATATAACTCCCTTAGCCTAAGGATATTATATAGGCCTAACTTAGGTATAAGAATATATTAATGCCCTCTTTTAGCTAGCTATATATAGTTACTATACCTATATAAGCCCCTCCCTTATCCTAATATATAGACTAAGATATATATTACTAAATTTACCTTTCTATGCCTCTATTTCTTTTACTATGCTCTTAAGCCCCTACTTAAGACCTACCTTATATTCCTATTAGCTAAAGTTAAGGCTAATGCCTTAACCTATAATAAGGGTAAGTACCCTTATAGTATATAGACTTAAAAATAGAAAATAGTTTTATAGGATTTTAATAGCTAGTTTATATAGATTAATAAAGTTATTAAGATAAGGCAGCAGCTTAAGCGTATTCTTAAGCCGGCTACTATTACTATAGCTAATTAGGATATAGAATTTAAAGCTCTATATAGTAGCTAGTAGCTTAAAGAGCTAGAAAATACTATAATTAACTATCGTAACGTTAAATTACGGCTTTTATTACTGTTAGAAAGTGCCTGCCTTAGTGTTGTGGAGAGTGCTGGTGTTAAGGTGTGCCGGACTTTAGATAGGCTGACTTATAAGACCGTCTCCTTCTAGGCGCGCCGACGTCTCTTTATTGGGACAACATCCCGTTGGGCAAGAATATATCCCCGACTTCCATGTCTACATCGACGACGGCAGAGTCAGGCCAGGCGACGGGAAGGCGCAAAAACGCCGGCCCCCTAACGACCGCCTTTCACGCGCCCTCGCGATGCTACGACTTGACGCTAGACACAGGCGTCTTGAGCACGCTGGACCAGGGAGGATTCGAGTATGCCCAGGACCTAAGCATGTTTGTCACCGACTTTAGAAGGGCGCACTCCCTCTGCCCGTCGGCGCCCTTCATCCCGTGCTTGCCCCACTACAGCAAGATGCAAGGCCGGGACAATTTCTTCTCGCCGGGCCTGATGTGTCCAACGGGCTGGCAAACAGTCGCTGGGGCAATGAAATTAGGCATAACAGGCGAATACCTCTACGACTACGGCATCGATGTCTTGACGCTTCTGCCTGACGAGAGGGTCTATGTGTGCCGTCCCATGTAAGTTGCTTCGAGTTCCCAGCATTTAGCTGCCATCACCTGCCTTCTTTAGCAGCTCGCGTAGTAATTAACCAAGTGGCTCCGACTACATAGTTACCGTATCTCCGTCTCCGTCTCCTCTGTTCGGCTACTGCAGCTCAGTTATTAGCACATTTGGTGCTATGCGCAAGCAATGGACCTGCTCAGGCAACTCAACACTCGAGGAAATGCCCAATGCCATGATCTCTTCTACTCGGAATGAGCGCATGAAGCAAATGCCCTTCACCTTTAAGAACATAAGCCTACACGCATACGCGCCGACAATCCAGCTAAATTGCTGGCCTCAGGATAGCTTTGCTTCCCCAACGATATCGGCATTGGCTTCGACGACGGGAGGAACACAGAGTAAAGGCCCACACGGAAACAACGCGCAGGTACCAGTTCTTCAGGGAGGCGCGATTGCTGGCATTGCGGTTAGTCTCCTCGGGTTGAATTGTGTGCTAGGGGTAGCTGTTGCCCTTATCTGGAATAGGCGGAAGAAGCGCTACAAAGAGAAAAAAGCGGTTCCAGCTTAACACAAGCTTGGGTTTGATAGGCAGCAATACCACTTTCAAAATATTGTAAACGCTAGCTTTTACGGTATCGGCGCTGAGGATTGTCAACTGCTAGCATAATTCCTCTCTTTAATCTGGAGACCGACTAGAATTGGATCGCCGCTGTTCCACCTCCTCCGCCTGTCGGAGGATATCTTTCAGGAGCTCGGGGTCGTCTGAGTCCCATTGACGCTCACGTTCCTCGTCCTCTGGAGTTTGATAAACCGTACGTTCTGGACCAAATGAGACAGTTTGGCTCGGCTGAGGATCCGGGTCTGGCTTCCCCTTTCCTGGCTTCGTGCTGTCTGGGCTTGTTTCCGGCTCCGGGGGGCCAGGATAGCCGGGACCGCCGGGACCGTAATAGGCTTGAGAAGTACGGTAGTCCATGAATTGACGCATTATCGCCATTTGTCCCTTGGTGAAGTGGGTTCTGCAGTCACTATTTGCTTGACTTAGCACTTGGTCGGGGAAATAGAGGCAGGAAAGGACTTACTCGGATGTGTAGACCATGAAGTTGTGGACAGGGTCGAACCCGTCCTTGTCTGGGCAGGTGTCGAGATTATCGTTGCACTCTTGAGGCTTTTCCGAATCATAAGACATGGCAGGTGTGTCCGCAACCGAGTCGCCACCGGCTTCCTCTGCACAACCCCCTTGAAATGGATGCCGGAGGCCCATCCAATGTCCCACTTCGTGGGTTAGCGTCTTCCCTTTGTTATTGAATGTTTTGTCTTGACCGCCCAGCACGACCCTCGAATTGACTATACAGCCGTCGAGCACGATGGTGTCTGGGAGATTTGTATCATCTGGCACGGGACACCAGCCCCCGGTTTCTACGCCAGTTTCGTCTTTAGGTTGCGATAAGAAGTAAACGTTAAGGTCGTTGTAGGTGCCTTTGCGCAGCTGCCGCTTCATTGTCCGTTCCTCCTGGCTTCCGAGCCCGACCACCGACCAGGTGTCATTCACCGTCTGGTCAATGTCGACGAGGTTAAAACGCGTGTTGGACGGAGCAAAAGTCTCGTCTAGAACACGCATCTGCGCCCGGACAGTCTCGTTCTATAAACCAATTAGAAACTTTGGTCAAAATAAAGAGGCATTTTCACGCACGTTTAAAAACGCCGTCTCGGTTTTGTTGCCCACGACCACGTGCGCATAGACGTCGATGTTAACGGGGCTATTATCCGAGCCTGTAGGAACTTGGCCTTGGGAGAAGTTCTGCACCATGGCCAGGTATGCCTCACTAACATGCGATGTGCCACAGTCCCCAAAAGTCACGGGCGTGTTAGGATTAGGCTGAGCCGCGGCCATGGCGGCCAGGAAGCCGGCCAGCAGTGTATATCTTGAGCCATTGGAGCGAATGATTGGCAAGGGAGCGAGCGACTGGGCAACAGGATGCATTATAATAATGCGTCTTGGATTTACGCACCGGATTGTTCGAGGCAGAGGCATGATGGACATCTATAGGTTTTATAATTCGTTCGACTTACACTTGAGCACGGCTTCGCGGTCCCAACCTGGCTGCTGACATTCTCGTAATTCCATCCTCGGCTACTACCCTGACCCTGCAAGCACAGCCTGAGACGTTTCAGACACTTTATGCTTAATCTATAAATCATCAATCTCACTCCCTGACTCAATCCGTGATCTTTTTGTTCCACACATCAATCAGGGCATTAATCGGCCTAAAAAGGCATCACTCCCTGTTAATAATACACTACAAACTCCCCTACTCAATATCCTTTGTATATTGTTTGAAAATGACTCCGCATAGACAAGCGCATTAACGTCCTCCCCTGAGAGGAATATGCTCCGGACTTACAGTACTGTCTAAAAGATTCCAAAGCTATTAATTTATATGCCCGGGGTTTTGAATCGCGATTATACTGGGCTATGCTGACCAATGGGGCGTAATCGCGGAGAAACGCTGACTGACCTTGTCTTTTCCGGCATGGGAGAGGCTCGGTGGTTATAATGGTGTCTGACCTTGCTAGGCTAGTGACTGACTCTGCTTTTCTCACGTGTTGGAGCTCCGGTCTTGTCCTCAAGGTAAAACATCTACATCGGAAAGAGGCGACGGCAAAAATCCGGCTGGATCATGTGCCTCTTCCACGTGGTGATACCGTGCTCTGCCCACGCGTCTTTTATCCTTCCTCAACGCCACCGTCTCCAACTTAGCCTCCATCTAAGCTTCCCCGCATAAACCCCGCCGACCCCGCATCCTAGCCAACTTTGAGGCTTGAGGCCAAATGGCAGGCTTGGCAGAGGACTGGGTTCCCCGCCAACAGTCTGCCCGCTGAACATAAATGGAGCTGACTGATATAGATAATAAACTCGACAAGGATAAAGGCTACCTGGTGGACCCCAGTGATCCCCTCAACCATAATGTCCTACGGCGCCAGGCCAATATGATCGTCGATGTAAACTACGAGCGTAATAAACTCGTCCAGGCCTGCATCGAGGCAATCCTATTCTTGCTGCTTCACACCCTCTGCCACCACATAGGGAGCAATACTGCCGAGTTTCTCGCACGTTTCCATAAACTCACGCTCGGGATCAGACAAGGCCGTAATCCCAGCCCCAGCCTGCAGCCACCGACGATTTTGATCCTGAAATACGGTGCGGAGGACAAGTGTCGCTTCGAAAAACTCGGCGCCGTCCAGCATAAGCACAACCCCGCAATAGAGATCTCTAGGATACGGCTCAAATGATCGAATGGCATCCATGTTTGCCTGCGTCGGGAGACCCGGTACCGTGATGTTGGAACGGATAGAGTCCCAGCCGGTTTTGCAGAGTGATAGTTGCCCGGTGATGCGAGAGAATATATGATGCACGTTGCCGCGGGGTATAGTCGTCATAAAGTCCCTAACGGCGATGCTCTCTGGCAAACATAGACGTCGTAGCCTTCTGATTGATCCTTGCACCGCAATAGCATGTTCCATGACTTCCTTGGGGTCATTGAGCAGCTTTTTGCTGATGGTTGCAACGTCTGCTCCATCGGATAGCCAGGTGCCGGCCAGGGCATCTGTGTAGGCAGTCTGGTTGTCTATCGAAAGCACAATCTCGGGGCTGAAGCCCGTTGCTTGGACTCCCCGGTGGCTGAGTGTAAAGGCGCGCGCCGGGGTGTTTGCCCGGCGACCACGGAGGAGGGTAGCGAGCATGTCCACCCTGCTCGGGAGGCGTATTATGCGGGACGCTATGGCCTTTGTGTATTTGCCGTCTTGGATGTCGGCTATTGCCCTCGTCACCCGGGCCTTGTAGTCTTCCGAGTCGGCCTGGAGATTAATGGCCGGATACCACCAGGACGGGGCCGGGCTGGTGGCGACTTGGATCAGGTGGGCACCGATGAGATCAAATACCGCCCGAGCCTCGTCTTCTACATCACCTGTGACGGTGACTCTGCTGCGAGAAATGGCGGCGTGGATACAAGGTGTCATCAGACTCAGCATAGGCCACCGGCCGGGAATGTATGCCTGGCCAGAGATGTGAGCCGAGTAATTGAATCCGACCTGGCCAAACATCTTGCCGCGGGTTGAGTGTTCGGCGGCAAAGGCTCTCGCAATATCGCCCAGCGGTTCATTGGCTGGATAAGTCTGCTGCCCCCCGTGCTGGTCGAACCGAGTCACTGCCCTGCCGTCCGGGTCAACGACCAGGGAAGCATGACTCCGCAAGCCTATATACCAGGTATCGCCGTGCTCGTATGCGTAGTAGTCGTCGTCTCGGTAGCTGTTTAGCAACGCGACGGTGGCTTCTAATGGGTCTGCCGAGCCAGGAAGAGCTATCGACTTGTGAAATCGGACCATGGCGAGCTCTGGATACCGAAGAACACTGAGACAGACTGGATACCAAGTAGCCTACCGTGGTTGATATTTATGAGCGCAGCAACCAGCGTGGTCCACAATATCCTTTAGGCGCCTGCGTGCACCCCCATTGTCCGTACATGCAATGCTACGCACACGTCTGGTACTATTGAACCAGCCTCCGAAAGTGGAGGCACTTCGGCCGAGATAACTAGTGGACTTGGATGTGGCCGCTTCCTCTTCACGTGCTGCCGGTATCGGTGACTTTGAGTCGTATCAACAAAAGGCCAAAAGGGAGGAAAGGGGCCCCGGAGGCAGTATATAACCAAACTGCATTCCTCATCATCTCTCCGCACTAGTCTCTCCTCCACCTTGCTCAAGGCCTGGCTTTGCAGACACATCCGTTCTACGCCGCTTGAATCAGACACCGCCCCCCCGAGGGAACCAGCAGAACGTAAATCTTGGGCTTCATGTCGCTGTCTGACATGCCCTCAAGCGATGATACTCGTGCTTCTGGGAAGGCAAGGAAGAAGCGGGCCGTGGCCAGACGTAGCTCGATTTGCGCGAGATGCAGTCCGAGACAGACTAGAGCCGACATCAGCAAGGCTCGGCCCTAAACTTGAGAGATTCTTGCACAAGCCGAGTCTCACCCCGCGGTCCTCGACCAAATGGCATGTACGCGTTCCTCATGGCCTCGGTGGGCGATATCCAGCGCGAGGGTATAAACTCGTCGGGCTGCGGAAAGATGAGGGGATCCCGGTGCATGCTGAAAGCCTGAGCTGAGACAACTGTGCCCTCGTCGAACCAGTGGCCAGCAAGCCTCACGCCGCCGGGAGGCACAAGACGTGGCAGAGTAGACGGCGCCGCCGAGTATAGACGCATCGTCTCGTCGATGACATGGTTTAGGAAGGGCAGGTTACGCAGCTGAACCTCGGTGAAGTCCGGGGGGAGCGTCTGTAGCGCCGCGACCAACTGCGCTCTGATATCTGGATTACGGCAAACGGACCAGGTAAGATAGGTCAGGGAAACGGCCGTCGTGTCAGTGCCGGCGGTGATGTACGACTGGGCCTCATCTCGAACTTCGCAAAAGGCTATTTTATCCTCTCGTTCGGCTTTGAAGAGATTGGTAAAGAGCGTCTGCTGCACCTGGCCGGGATTGGCCTCGACGAGGCGTCGATAGCGCTGCAGTGAATCCACGGCATAGTGCCTCATGTTCAAGTCGTGCTTTAGCGCCTGCTTGAACATGGGCAACGGGATTAACCTGCTGACGTCCACCATGGACGGGAAGGTGGCACGGATGGCGCCGACGCGCGCGACCTGTTCTAGATCAAATGAGTAGTCGTTCTTCTATCGATTGCATCAGCGCATGTTGTCCGGGTTCGCGGTCAGCGGCACCAACATGGCCCAGCTCCAACATACGGAACGAGTCTCCAAATGTGAGTTGTCCGATGGCATCCGTCGTCATAAAGTGCCACCACTTGAAGACGTCTGCCGAGCCCCGAGACAGCATCTCCTGGGCCATGCGCTGGATGGCACGCTTTACGTGGGCGTCGATGGTGGGTATGGTGGATTTCAACGACGACTCCGACATGGGCCCGGCCAAGAGTCTGCGGTGCCGGCGATGAAAGTCGGCGTTGACGGTGGTGAAGAGCGATTCCTGGCCCGGGGTGGCCAGGCGCCGATAGAAGGGGGACTTGAGGAAGGGATTCTTGATGCCGTATATGACCTTGACGGCCTCGAGGTCCGTCACGTCGACCTCGTTGGGGCCAATGCGGACAAGCGGGCCTGCCAGCAAACCGTTAGTGTTTCCACCACAGGCCAGGGCGCCTAGCGACGGACCGTGTTGCGCATGGAGCGCATGCACGTAGTGGCTCTTGGTGCCGGCGAGGAAGTGGAAGTCGAGGACGACGCGCGTCCACCTGGAGTGCCACGGCCCCGGCAGTCGCCCAGTCGGCGCGCGAAGCACGCGGTGCGCAAGCTGCGACGACGGGTTACGAAACGCGGCAGTGCGTGCGCATGGGGGGACATGGGCTCACCCGGGCGAAGACGAGCGCGAGCCCCACGGCGACGGCGACGGCGACGACGCGGACGGCCATTGCGGCGGGGAAGTGGCCCGTCCTGGAAGAGGGTTGCGGTGCAGCAGGACGGTGGGCGACGGAGGTACGGTTTATATCGATTCTTGGCCGTGACGGACTTACATACGTACAGTCGGTTGACAAAGGTTCCGGCCGACCCCGCCCGCAGAGGAAGTCGCCGCCCTAGGGCACCCTTTTTAACAGCGCATTATATAGCTAAATAAAGGTTAATTATAAATCTAAAAAATGCATATTATCTAGTATTAAGAGGATATTCTTCGCATTATAGCTAATACTTAGTATACCCGTCGCGGGCGGCTATAACGGCCTAAAGGCACTAAGATATTAATTCTATTAGATAATTAAGGGTATTATCTTTAAGCTCTTCCTACGCCCTAACCGCTATATAATAAAGCTTTTACTTAGAGGTATAGTTCTTTAAAAGGTTTAAGAGCTTAGGGTAACTCTCTATAATACTCTCTTTAAGTAGCTTCTATATATTTTATAAGGTTAAGGTTAAGTAAATATAGTTCTCGCGAAGAGAGATGCGAGAAGTGCATGTAAAATGCACGAAGGTGAAAGTGGAATAAAGGGGTCGGATAGGCAGGGCAGAGATGTTTGAATCTTGCGGGGGCAGCAATTGCGGCAGGGGAATATTATTGTATTGCCTTAATTGTCCTTCTTTCCTCTATCCAACGCCCCTCTTTATACCCGTCTAGCATCTCAATTGACAAATAAGATCCTGCTTAAAGAAGCCACTAATGTCCTCTCGACTACCGAGCTTTTTGCCGGTTTTTCCCCTCCTTTCTAGCCGTTGCCGGCACATCCGTCTTATCTTTCGCCACCTCTATAGGAAGCCATCGCCACTTCTACTTCCCCTCTTGCCCCTACCCTTCTCTCTGCACCTCCTTTCAGCTCCTTCCTTAAAACCTGTTTTTCAGCTTCCTAGGTTCCTCGTGCTAAGGGATATCTCCGCGAACTGCGAAATCAGGCCACGCTTCGCGATAATAGTAGCTAGTTAATTAATTTTACCTTATTTTCTTTAACTTAAAAGCTAAGCTATACTAATATAATACTTACTATATAGGTTAAGGTATTATCTTAAGTAAATATATAACTAGGCTCTATAATTATAAGTAGGCTTTCTTATAGTATTTTAAGTATATAGTATATAGTAATACTACTATACTTTAAGTTAAGGTCTTTAAGTATTAGTATAAAAGAAGTCTATTAGTTAAAGGAAAAGCTACTTTAAAATATTTTATAGTAGTAAGTAAGCTTTAGTTTTACTTTTATATCTTTTAGCTTTAGTTTATCTTATTAAATATAATTAAAATAAGTATTACTATTTACCTAAAACTAAATCTTTATTTAGCTAATACTAATAAAAGTAGGGTACCTTAATATCTTATACTAATATCTTATAAGTACTATCTTTTTACTATTCCTTTAGCGAAAAATCCCTAAAAACCTCTAGATAGCTCTAACTATAAAATAGCGTACTCGAGCGCCCGAGCTAGTAAGGGAGGGGTCCCCCTTTAGGAGGGGCCCTACTATATAGGTTTACCCCCGCGCGAGGTAAGCGCGACGTATAAGACGAGTACTTAAAGATACTTAAGATTTTTCTTTAATAACTAAGACGTAATATAGCTAATTAAAAGAGGGGATTTTAAGAGACTCTTAGCTAAATAGAGATTTAGTCTTAGGTAAATAGTAATACTTATTAAAATTAATAGTTAAAGTTAAAGTATCTTAATTTATAAGCTTATAAAAAGCCTATTTCTATTTCTTACTATCTTTATTTATAATAAAAGTTTTCTATAAGAAATCTACTTATATTAAAAGAACGCTAGCTTTTAATAATACTATAATATAAATTTTAACTTTTTTATAATCTATTCTTTAGTTAACTTTAAGTATTAAAGAATATATATATATTAAGTATTATAGTATTAAAGGTATTATACTAAGATATATATAAATTAACTAAGAGAAGTCTAGTAATAAAGCTTAGTATTTAAGATAAAAGGTCTTTTATAATATATTAAAAGATATATCCTTTTATTAGGCTTTAGTAACCTACTAGATCGCGGTTAAGATTTAGTATTTAACTATATCTAGTAGTACTATATAACTCCCTAAATTACTTAGGGAGAAATATCCTCTTTAATACTAATAAGGGCCGCTAAGAACCCGCAATTAAAGAGGGTAATAATCTTTATTCTCTTATAAGGGCTTTAGTGTTTTTATAGTATAATTAAGCTTATTTTAAAGGCATAATAGTTGTTTAAAGAGGGAGGGTTAGAATGTGGAAGACGCGAGAACGCGCCGCGTAGGTGGGTCCGGCCGGAACTTTTGTCCTCCCACTGTAGTACAATACCACCCCCCACAATACAGGGCTGGCGCGGGGTCGACAGCGGAAGCGGGCCGCAGACAGCCACCATAAAACCTGGCTGCCACTTCTCCCCCCCCTCCCCCCTCTCCATCCATCCATCCATCACTCCGACGAATTCTTGAGCCAACCAGGATGGACGGGCCAGGCGACTGGCGCGCCATCTGGGCCAGGCACAGCCCCGAGTTCGTGTGGGTGTGCCACATGCCGTACAACGGCGCCTGCTGGACGCGCATGTTCCCCGCAGACGAGCTCGCCGCCATGTCGGAGCGAGGCGAACGAGCAAGCATCCCGAGCGCAGCCATCTTCGCCACACGGCAGTTCCGCCTGGCCAGCGGCGGAAGCCCGAGCGGCGCGCTCTACCTGCAGCCCGACTGGTCCTCGGCCTACGCCCACCCGAGCGGCGGCGCGCGCCGGGTCGAGGTCATGGCATCGTGGGTCGACGAGCAGGGCGAAGCAGCCGCCGAGTGCGCGCGCAGCACGCTGGGCCGGCTGGCTCGCAGCGTCGGCCTGGAGCACGGGCTGGCGCTGCTGCTGGGCTTCGAGGTCGAGCTGGTCTTTCGGCCCTGCGCCGGGCACGTCGCCTCGGACGAACAGACGCTCTGCATGGTCGAGGCGGCAGTCCGTGCCCTGCGCGAGGCGGGCGTGCCCGTGAGGCAGTTTCACGCCGAGGCCGCGCCCCGTCAGTGGGAGTTTGTGCTGGGCGCCGTGCCGCCTCTCGAGGCCGTCGATGGCCTCGTCCGCGCCCGCCGAGTCCTTGCCTTTATCGCCCGCGCCCATGGCGCTCAGGCAACCCTGCACCCGCGGCCCGTCGCCACCGAGTTCGGCACGGGCGCCCATGTCCACATCTCGGCCACGCCCCTGAGCCCGACGGCGACGTCGCCCGACAGCTTCTTCGCCGGCATCCTGCACCACCTCCGCGCCGTCGCTGCCTTCACCTTGCCGCTCGACGTCAGCTACCATCGGGTCCGGCCCGGCATCTGGAGCGGGGGCGAGTACGTCTGCTGGGGGTGGCAGAACCGAGAAGCGCCCCTGCGCCGCATCTCGGCCACTCGCTTTGAGGTCAGGACGCTGTGCGGGACCGCCAACCCCTATCTGGCTCTGGCAGCCCTCCTGGCCGCGGGCTTGGACGGCCTGCGCGGCCGCATGGCATTCACCACGGCCGACTGCCAGCAGGATCCCGCCAAGCTCTCGGATGCCCAGCGCCAGGCCCTGGGCATCCGCCACCGCCTCCCGACCAGCGTAGACGAGAGCCTCGAGGCCCTCGAACAGGATGCGCCGCTGCGTGAAATCATGGGCACGCGTCTGGCTGCTGGATACTCTGCCGTCACCCGCGAGTGGAACGACGACTTGCGTGCCATGGACGAGCACGACCGGCACGAGTTTCTACTGGCCAACTACTGATTGCTCACATGCACCAAGTGTCACACGCAGTCGGTACCCAAAAAGGCAGTTGGACGAGGCTCGGTTGTTTGCCCGCTGCAGGCCTCGCTGCCCGCGTCAATAGTCTGCCGGCTGCATTGGCCTCGGGAGGGGGCAGCCCCGAAGGCGAGAATAATCATGAATTTTACTCTGCGGATAGATGACTGCTTGGTCATGGTCAAGGCACCTTGGGGTTAATTACCAGGACACCTTCAAGGTAGGCCCGAGAGCCAGATGGACTGGCAAAAGAACCCCCTTTCTCGGATGCATCTTGGAAAGCAGATCACAACTATATTCTTGTTGCTCATCATCAGCCATAGCAGCCCGCCTCGGCCAACACTCCAAGGCCAGGGCATGATACAACTTGGCTGGGGGGGCTGCGGCATTTCACTCTCAAGGCCCAAGCCCGAAAGACACAATCATGTCTTCAGTGGCCGCTCTACACGTGACGCATCCTTACGACGCAGCCAGCCTGTCGCTCACAGACCGATTCATCGATGAGCCACGGCGTCTACGCCTTGCCGTCATTGGCGGTGGAGTTGCCGGCATTCTAGCTGGCATCTTGCTGCCGGCCAAGGTTCCTGGTTTGATGCTGACCATTTATGACAAGAATGAGGATTTTGTAAGTTCCGTCACCATGGGTCCAACCAAAACGCGCTGACGCTTCATGGCCAGGGAGGAACGTGGCTAGAAAATGTGTATCCGGGCGTGCGCTGCGATACGCCTGCTCATGTCTACCAAGCCACATTCGCTCCCAAGACGGATTGGTCCGAACCGTTTCCGCCGGGAATCGAGATTCGGAATTACTGGCAATCCGTCGCGCGCAAACACGACGTGTACCGATATGCCAAGTTCAAGCACAGAGTCGAGGCTGCTTCGTGGAACGCCCATCAAGGGAGGTGGCTCCTGAAAATACTCAACACCGACACGAATGGTGCCGCCTGCGAAAAGTTTGACCTTGTTCTCACATGCATTGGGCGGTTCAACGCTTGGAGGCTTCCGGATATTCCGGGCATTGCCGCCTATCGAGGCGTACTGCGCCATACTTCAAACTGGGACCCATCCTTCGATCCAAGAGGGAAAAGGGTCGCCGTCATAGGCAACGGGGCCAGTGGTGTCCAGATTGTTCCCAGTCTGCAGAAAGTCGTGAGTCGTCTAGACCATTACGTCCGAAGCAAAACCTGGGTAGGTTCGCACGACGACAAAACTCGCCAAGCTCGGCAGCTATGGCAAAAACACAAAGAGTCGCTTGATGATCCGGAGAGCTATGTAGCATTCAGGAAGAGCGTCGAGGACAAGTCCTGGCGCGGGTTCCGGTCTATCCTCCGCGGATCCGAGGAAAATGCGAGCCTCAGAGAGAGCTTCATGGGCATTATGAGGGAGCGCCTGGCGAAGAGGCCAGAATTGCGCGACGGCTTTGCCCCGGACTTCTCGCCAAACTGTCGCCGGCTGACACCGGGCCCTGGCTATCTCGAAGCCATCGTGGCGGATAACGTGACTTACACCCAGACACCCATCAGGCGATTTACTGCCACTGGCATCGAGACGCGCGATGGGATCCACCGAGAGGTTGATGCCGTCTTTTGTGCCACGGGCGCTGATACGGCCGTGGCACCCCAGTTCTGCATCTCGGCCAACGGGCAGAATCTGCGTGACCTGTGGAAACCAGGCGGCGAGCCCGGATTCCCATATACCTATCTTGGATTGGCCACTCCCGGCTTTCCCAATCTGCTCTTTGTCCACGGGCCGAACGGAATCAGTGCTTCGGGCACTGTTCCGCATGCTTTCGAAACCCAGCTGACATACGTTGCAAAGCTGTTGCGAAAGGTCTCGAGGGAAGGCATCAAGTCCATCGACGCCTCTTGCGGGGCGGCTGACGACTTCGTTGCGTATTCAGACGCCTTCTTCAAAGAGACGGTGCTTACCGATGGATGCAACTCGTCGTACAATGGCGGTCGCCCAGGCACAAGGATCCATGGTTTCTGGCCCGGCAGCGCGGCGCATCTGGCCATGGTGCGAAGAGAGCCGCGGTGGGAGGATTGGAACTATCGCTATCTATCCGACTCGGGAAACAGGTTCTTGTGGTACTTGGGCAATGGCTTGACCAAGAAAGAGGGCGATCCAGACGCGGACATGACGTCGTATCTGCAAACCCCGGAACGGACAGACCTAAGAGACATTCATGAGAGTTGGTGGCGGATACCGTAGCGTCTGTGAAGAGAGCCATCCTCTACGGGACCTTAGCCATGCAGGTATCCTTGCATTATCTTCAACTAGGCTTGCTTAACGTAGTCCAAGACGCTTGGATAATCCTTGTACGACCAAATACGTGCCGTCCCGTCGCTAGAGCCACTGGCAAAGCAGCCGCCGCGCGGGCTCGCCGCGACGGAAAGAACCAAGCCCGTGTGGGCTTGCAGCGACATCTGCTGGCGTTGGGTGTTGGTGTCCCAGAAATGAATGTCGCGATCCTGCGATCCGCATATGACCCAGCTCGCGTCTTGAATCACATCCACGCTGAGCACGAGGTCCTACAGGAAAAAGAGTGAGCGGCCATGCCGAGCATCGTCAGCAGCAAGACACGGTTCACGCACCTCGCAGCCTTGGAAAGTCCTGACACATCGACTTTCCAAATCAAGGACGTTGCGCGAGCAATTGAGCTCCCACATCTTGACCGTCATGTCCCAGCTGCCACTTACCAGGCGGTGGCCATCCGGCGAAAAGGCCACGCCGTACACGCTGTTCTCGTGGCCGCCGCCAAGGGCCGCCTCGTTGAAGTGCTCCACGATGGCGCCCTGTTGCATGTCCCAGACAGATATGCTGCTGCCAAAGGTGGCGACGGCGACGAATTTCGAATCGGGAGAAATGGCAACGGCAGTAACGCAGCCGCCGATGCTGAGGGTTCCAACGTGGACGCCTGCCTCGGGATCCCACAGCCGCACCGTGCCATCGCCGCCGCCGGAAGCAATAATGCGGCCATTGCGGGCAAATGCCAGTGCGTATATTTCCGCCTCGTGGCCGTATAATGTCCAGTGGGCTGCGGCCTGTTGAATGTCCCAGACCTGTAACCAAGCCTCGGTGAAAACATGCACCCGCAACGGGCTGATATGCCACTTACTCGAAGAACCTTGTCATCACCAGCAGTGGCGATATAGTGTTCATCAGGACTGAAGCAGAGGCTGCTAATATGCACATAGAAATGCGTCTCATGTAGCAGATAGCGATATACTTCTCCAGTCTGAACGTCGTAAATCTGGACCGAATGGTTGCTGCTGGTCGCGACGTATTTGCCGTCGGGGCTGAAGCAGACAGACAAGACCTCGTCATTGTGGTGAAACGTGTGCATCAAGTCAATGTCAAGCAGGCGGTGAGCGGCCGCGTCTAGCGTTACAGTCCATCCGTGGTCCTTTGCTGTGGTGCTCTGTGATGATTCGCTGCTCGGTTGCGCGGGCTTTCTTCCACTCACAAGTTTCTGTTCCGATGAGAGATCCCCGATGGCCTTGGCAACTTCGACATTGCCAGCTTTCTCTTCACGCCTTCTGCATTCCGCCAGGTCTAACTCGCTGAACCTCAGCTTCGAGCCAGACAGTATCGCCCTTGCTACCGAAGGCTGCCAAGCCACCATGGTCGTCATGACGAAGGAGGCCGATTTGATCTCGGTATTGCCCGTTGATAGGAGTAATTCAATAACCTTGGACCTGCTTTCACCTGTATGACGGAGGGCCGCGAAAACACACGACTGGTCAGCCAATCCATTGAAGCCATTTTGTAAAAGATATTCCACCAAAGCCACATGTCCGGAGGCGCAGGCTTTGCACAATGCGTTGGCATTTTTTGGGTAAATGTCGACCTTTCCAGAGTTAAGCATCGATCTGACTACATCGAGATGGCCGTGCTGGGATGCGAGGGTAAATGGCGTTTGGTTGTTTATGTTCGTCAAGTTTGGCGAGATTTCATCCTGCGTGAGAAGCAAGTTGACCGCATCCAGCTGCCCGGCACCAGCTGCAGCATGGAGTGCTGTCGGTGCCGGCCATCGCCGGTGACCAGTTTCGTTAATATTTGCGCCTCTCGAAATCAAGAGTCTGCAAACACCAACATGACCTTCCCCGGCCGCAAGATTTAACGGGGCCTTGGATTTTGTGCTTGGTTTGGTGATATCATACCCCGAGTCTAGAATGTCCCTAACGGCTTCCACGTCTCCTTTCAGGGAGGCCGAATAAATACTCGTACTCTTTGCTGCACCCATCCTTGGAAACCGAATACCATCGTCTTGCTCGTCGTGGTAGTTCTTTTTGTGCCGATTTAGGTTCGCAGGCGAGCTAAAACCTAGCTGCGACGCAAAGCAGCCGTCGGAAGTGCAATAGAATGGAAGATCATGGCGGCTGACGTGGTTTTTCCGTTCCTCAGCAGTTGCAATGCCTCCCATGAAGAATTTGCACCAGGGTTTGAAGCACTTGTAGTTTGATCCGACTCCATGGAGGTTCTCAAAGACATCATCCACAGCCGAAGTGGGAGGCCCGTCCTGGATCTTCTCGATTTCTCGACGGATCAAAGTTGTTCGGAATTCGATGCTGAGATGGCTATTTCGCTCCCGATCATCCTCCGAGAGACGTTTAATGGCTTCAGCTGCGCCGCCATGGTTCCCCGTTTCGTCGTTGCTGTTCATCATGTACGACTTGAGGAAGGTCTGTGCTGAATCAAGAGAGGTTTGCAACCAAACTGGATCCAGCATCTCAGAAGACTGCACACATCCGTGAAGATGGTGGAACCAATATTGAACCGTATAGTCTTGAAGGGCGTAGCAGCCCCGGGTTGCATGCAGCTTAATTTCATCCTGTTCGATCCCATTTTTGAATGGCTCCGAGGTAAGATACCGGGAGCAGAAGATTGAGAGCTTGGCGTTCTCAAGTCTTGTGTCAATCACGTTTCTCGAGATGAGATAGCTAGAGCAGGAGATTGATTAGTCTTCGATCTTCTAGGCAACCGGAAATATGTACCATGACTTACTGCCGAGCTGTCTCGTGCACAATGTGAATGACGGCCTCGGGCCCCGTAGGAGTGCCGCCGACATGATGCGCGTCGACAAGAGAGCCGCAAAGTTCCTTGAAGCCGACCTGTAGGCGCTCGTCATAATTGACCTCTCCCTTCACCGGATCGATGCAGAAGAACGCCTGGATCTCCCTCCACAAAAGCGCTCTCTTGGTACAAGTGACCAAGGCCAAGATCCTTTTCGAATCCTCACGCTCTGCCTCGGATGACTGCTCGAGGACGCGGGAAACGACTCTCTCGAAACTGCCGTATGCCGATAGCATGAGTATCAGCGCCCATAGCAGCTGCTGAAAGTCAAACATGGGTTCGTCAACGTACGCCTTTTCAAGTCCCTGTGGAAATGTGCCGGGTTCGAGCTCCTGTTTCAAACGAGAGAGCCTGGTTTGGTGTAAAAGATTGTCTAGCACCACCCGAACATACAAAAACATGCCTAGAACTACTTAGCGCTGCCAGAACTGGGGGGAGACTGAGTGCTTACCTTTTGCTTCGTTGATGACGAGAGAGAGGATCTCCTGCCTCATCGACGAGGTCATCTTGAACTTGTCTTGAATCTGATTGCACATCTGCTGGCAGTACTCTTGGATGTCTTCCTCATGAGCGGATGTCTCCAAGGAGATGGAGGCTTGAGACGAGAGCAACGCGTCCAGCACACCGTCCCGTTGACCAGAAAATATGATTCGCAGCTTTGCGTATTCCTCACTGAGACCCGAGTTGGTCATGGAAAGCAGCCACTCAACTGATCTCTGCGCCTCTCCCTTTGCACACTCATCCAGGCCGTCTATAATCAAGTACGTGGCGCGGTAGCCTCCCAGCGTTGTCTTTACCAGCGTCTCAAGTGTTTTCGTAGATCGGAGGTTGACTTCGGCAGAAGACGAAATGCTGTCGAAAAAATGGTTCGAAATGGCCGAGTCCTGGTTGATAAATTGTTCCAAAAGAGCACGCAGGAGACTGTTGAAGTCAGTGTTGCTAATAATATAAACAATACGTATATTGGCAATATGGACCCCTCGCAATATTATTGTACTGTCAAGAGGTGCGTATTGTATTGCGCAATATGGCATTGGTCCATATTGTATTGTATTGCCAGTGACCCAATATATTGCCAGTAAAACAATATATCCCGTATATCCCACGTGACCCTCATTATTCAACCGTCGTTGCTGAAATATCGTCACCCTGAAAATCCTGTATCCCAAACCATGACTTCAAGCACTCCAATGCCTGAATTACATCACTCCCAAGTCGATTTCGACGGTCTGTGATGGTTATTTTTGCCCCAGAGAAGAGTCTTTCGGGCTCAGCAGACATTGCGGAATTGACAGTATATCCACCGCCATTTTGCTCAGGTATGGGTAGTTCTTTTGCTGTGTTTCCTCCAGCCACCATGCGAGGGCGCTTGTGAACCCATAAACCCGTTCAGACTTACAATATCGCTCGTACTCGTCTGTGATAAGTGCTGGTTGTAGGTGCTTGTTTCTCCAATTCAAGAACTCGTTCGTGGTCGTCAACGGAACCTCAGATAGAAGGCGGCTCCACAGGTTTATAATCATCCCACAGTGTCTCCATCAGCTTCTTTGACGAGTCAGCCCACTCCTTCTTCCAGTTTTCGTGTATGTAGTGCCATTTATGCGAAGGGTGAAGCACAATCGCAGCGACGTAGGCAGGCGATTCGTCAGTAAGACAATAGTACTTATCCATCTTCGCCCAGCCCGAGTTATACATTGGTGCCATAATCGGATCGTCGATATGTGCCTCTTTTCCTGCTTCAAATTGCGCCAATACGAAGTCCATAGCCAAGAGAACATTGTCAAGAGTTGCAAACGATGACTCAAGGGCCTTTGTCGTCATTTTAAGCTTCTCCAAGAAAGACTTGATCTTCTCGAGGATGACCCACTCCTCGGGAGAGAGCTCGTCTCCGGCACAATCTCCTTCCACCCATTTGTTGAATATCCTCGACTGCGCCTCTAAGATGCAAGGCCGCTCGTAGCATGGTGTACCACGAACTCCACCTCGTGTCATTATCTCGCGCAAGCTTGCGATTATGGCTGATGGCCAGAAACTTTTGGCGACGCTGAACACTACTTTGGACGAAAACCACGAAGTTGTGGAGCTTGCCAAGGGACCCTTTTCCGCCACGCCTCGATCTCTTTTAGTGTCACATTATGCCCATCACGTTCGTCGTCTTTGAGCTTCTCATTATCGGTAACGAAGAGGAAAGCTTTGGCGGCAAGGTTGATAATGTGACCTTGGCAGCGGAGTCGGTGAGATTTGGGATCGTATCGAATGTCATATCGACGTAGAAGGCCTGTAGATGTTAGGGCCAGTCAGAAAAAACAGTGCGCCGTACTTACCAAGGAAAGAGATCTCATCATTGTATCGTTATTGCCTGCATTGTCCATCACAAAATATCCAAGGTTGGAAGCAAACCCCAGTCATCAACCACTTCCAAAATTGCCCTTGCCAGGTGATATCCGTCGTGCTCACTGTCGATGTCTTTCAAAGCCAAGACATGGTGTTCCAACTGACTGTCTTCTGCAACGTAATGAGCAACTACGCCTAAGATGGCCAAAGAGTTGGGGGAAGTCCATAGGTCGCAGCTGATATGAATTTTTGACTTTGCTGACTGGATGCGCTGCTTGACCTTCTCCTTCTGACCTTCGTACTGCCGCATAATCCATTTCTTGATGGTCTCGTGTGTATCTGGAAGCCAAGTATCGATATCGGCGTTGAGGTAGGCTAAGAATGCTCGGAATTCTGGGCATTCCACAAGCCTAAATGGGAGAGAACAGGACGTAATAAACCTTACGTATAAAGCTTCGAGCTGGTCTGGGTCGATCGAGTCTCCGGATTGATCGTTGAGCCGACGGCGTTTTCGGGGATGTTCTTTGGCCATAACACGAGCTATCTCGAGAATAGTTCGTATATTCGTGACTTTGGCTGTTCGTGGCGCGCCTTTTGGGAGGCCGTGACCGTCAGGAGGAGGATCCGTAAGGTGCTTGGCTGGGGCCGCAGTTCCACCGGAACAGCAATACGTTTTGTCACAGTGTTTGCAGCGCCATTCTTCTTTTCCGGTCCGCTGATTGTAGTATTTCGTCTCTATGTCCTCGTCTGGCATATGAGAAAAGACCCATGATGTTCTTGGCTTGGCCGAAGGGTTTATGGAGGCCGTGCGAGGTTGCGACGATTGGCATTCAGTGGTTTGGGTCTCATCTGGATCATGCAACCGTGGGCTGGAAATCTCCGAGTATTCGTCTGATATTGACGAATCCCGTCGCGGCGATGTTTGAACAAAAGGCAGGCGTTGTTGAGGCATCGAGATTGCTTGTAAGTCCTGGGGTGGGAAAGCGGGGTTGAGGAGGAAAACAGTGTTTGGACGGCGAGCCGCTACCCTGTAGGTCTGGATTTATACATACATTTACGCGTTTCCGTGCGCCAATAGGAAGATTTTACGTCCTGGAGGTCCGCCAGACGAAAAACAATACATAGAACATGCTTATATTTACGCGTGTATTTTGACGCGTCATCATATTGGCGCGAATTGGGAACGGAAAGGCGAATGACCACCAACCAATACAAACAATACAAGCCATATATTGCCAGTATGGAAGGCGCCATATTGTATCGTCACAATATGACGGCGAGCATATTGTATTGGTACAATATGAGAAATCGCGTATTGTATTGTATATACTGCAGTATACTACTTTATTGTCATATTATTAGCAACACTGGTTGAAGTTGTCCTTGTCCGGCTGCCCCTGCTTGAAATAAAAGTAAGCAAATGATTTCTGAGCGTCGTCGGGATGAATCTCATCCAGGAGCCTCTCAATGACGCTTGACATCAATGTCGTTTTACCTATCTTTCCATGAGCATTGTCAGGCTCTGATGAGCGTAGCCGGCATCTCACCTGCACCTGGTATCCCATTGACGTATAAAACCTTGTGGCCAGGAGAGCTGATGTCGAGCCAAGACCGGAACTCAGGCTCCCTGAAGATCCACTGGCCCGACTTACCACCGTATCTATCTTCTGTGGAAATCTCTTGATCGAGGTGATAGTTTGGTGCTTGCAGCTTTTCCTTGATCCGGGATACTCGGGCATGGTGCCTTTCAAGGTTTTCGATTGTTGCCCGCTGTTCATGTTCCTTGTATAGGGACCGGATCTCGTCTCGCAACATCTGAATTCCGTCTAGAGAGGCCGAAGCCTTCTCGCTTTCCAGCAAGTCTCTACGTCTGATGAGGCTCTGCAGAATGGGATTGAATCGGGTGCCAAACGTTTTCCACGTTGCATCGAAGACAGTTTTCCATCCTGCGAATCTTAGCATGCTACTAGAGGGGAAACTGGAGAGACATGCGCACTTGGTCGGTTGAAGACGGACAGCGCCTCATGGTGAAGTCTCAATATGTCTGAATAGTAGTCCTCGAGCACGGCTGCCAAGGTCGAATGGCGCTCAAAGGTGGCTTTGTAACGCACAAGGCCAGGAATGGCGTCTCCAACCTGGGAATAGATACCAAGCAGCTTGTCGAACGAGTCGAGATGCGAATTTGTAGTCTAGGCCAAGATTAGCCCTGGTCAGACAACACATTCGAGTGGCCCGGCGTATTTTCAACATGCAGGGCCACTGACGACGAGAAAGAACTTTATTGGGCCCTATAAGCGATTAGCAATCGATGGCAAGTAAAATAGGATGCGAATATATACCCAGATGAAGCACACAAACACATTCGCGTTCAGAAATACTTCCATCACTTGACCAAGCTGCTCCATGGCCTCAACAAAGGCCTCGAGCCGCCGCATGTAGCGCAGCTTGCCTTCTCTGCCCTGTTTCAGCTGTATATCCCGGACGACCTGGCGGACATCTTGCAAGGTGCAGACCGAGAATTGCTGCGCCAGCGATGGTGAGAGAGATGCCTTGAATTTCACGAGCGCGCGCTCAAAGCTGTCTGGGTTCGGGGCAGGCATTGTCCACAGAGACAGGTGCGACTGGAGCACAATCACCTTGCTCGGATAGTCTGCAAAAGGAAATGAAGTCGGGTATGAAGTCAGTCACGGCTGTGGTTGAATGTGATGGCGTCGGACGCCAAGCAAGGCAGAATCTGTGCTTCGAGATACTGTCATGATTATGTCAACCTCACTACGAAGTACGAATACACCCTCCTCACACAAGCTCTTAGCTAGCCCTAGCTTTCCTTGGTGCCCAATGCACCCTGTGCCGTGCCTACAACAGATACCATGTGTTAAGTCACCCGTGGCTGTTGGCCAACTGATGAACCCCTAGCAAAGGTACGGATACATGTACTCGCTAATGCCTCTTCAGCATCATCACCATCGACATATTGTGGCTGCGGCTGAGCTTCGGGGCGCAGTGAGCAACCATGACAGTGCTCCGCCACCAGGTGAGCCGCACATATAGTGATGGGTATCCTCTGCCGCCGAGCCTGCCGACTTCTCGACAACGAGAATAAGAGGAATCCATCCCAGCAATGCTGCCGCCAAGTGTCAAGCGACCGCATGCCGAGCTCGCAGAGGCTCCTCTGGAGAGCACAGCTCTGCTACGTGGCGGCTCACTCGAACTCGAGTCAAGCTCCCTCACAGAACTGCCGTCTCTATTTGTCTCGCATGCCGCGAATCATCGTGTTTGCTACGGCTCGGTAAGTTGGCGCCGCCAGGGTCAACCGCCCAACCTCTCATTCTGCATGTAGTTGTACGAGGTGGCTGCTGCGTATTTGGCCGGTGCCAGGATCCCAGACGACACGTCTAGAAACACACGCGCCGACCCATTCATGACTTGCTCGGTCCTGCCCAAAGACAAGCACCATGTCCTCCGGCTCGGCAATGGTCCCGATTTTGCGGTTCTGGACACGCGCACCTCCGCCAAGTTGAATTCTTTGAACGGCATGTCTTGTCTTCGTTTCGAGGCTATAATCGACTCTAGCACTGTTTCAAAGCGGCACAAAGGCGCAAAGCGGAGAGTCACGTCGTTTAATCTGTCCATCAACATCTCTGGTCCCAAGTCGGCTGCCGACGAGGTTGCTACTCGGCTTGCAAAGGCCTCAGCGTACCTCCAGCACCCGCACACCCTGGATGCAGAGAGCGAGTACTACAATCCACAGCTGCTCAGCTTTTCCGATGATGCTACAACCATGAGAGACTTGATAGGTATTGGCAATGACCTCTCCTGGGCAACTAAGCGCAGAATTTCCGACGAAATCGGAATCATACTAGACTCCCTGACAGATGTGGCCACCGAGTGCGACCTACAGCCGCCTGAAGGACTGCTTTCGAGTTTGACAAAGTTAGGATGCTCATTATAGAGACTGTCTGTGGAGAATACGGCTGCTCACACCAAATAGGCATCAAGAAGACGGTGTGCGTTTCATCCTACAGCGCGAGACTGAAGCGTTCAGCCAACAGTTGACAGACAAGATGTGCCCTGGGACCTCGACAAGGTACGTTGTTATCTTTTTCCTCCCGGGAGGCTGTCATCTACCAACACTTCGCAATAGCGAGGGGCCTCAGGACAAATGCTACGGCGGCTTGATTGCGGATGTTATGGGGCTTGGTAAAACTCTCACCATGCTCGCAGCGATTCTGCAATCCCTACCGTCAGCAGACTTGTATGGGAGCTTTTACGATGGTTCCGCTGCCGGAGACGGCTGCAAAGTCCGCACCAAGTCGACCTTGGTGGTTGTATCATCTGCTCGTGAGTCCGAAAGCTAGACATCAAGCCCCGGGAACCAAAATAACGTCGCTACGGCAGAGCTCCTTGAAAGTTGGCTGTTAGAGATGCAAACGTTCGTGACCCAACTCCACTCCATGTTCAGGAATTGACTCTAGATAGCCACTTGGTCCCAGGGGCCTTGGACGTGGTCACCTTTCACGGACAGCACCGACCCCAAGATGCAAGCGCTCTCGTCTCAGCCCACCTGATCTTAACCACTTATGCAACGCTTGCAGCGGAGCACAACGGGCTTGATGTTCTCCATAAAATGGACTGGTTTCGTATAGTACTGGACGAAGGTACGCCGGCCATCTATCTCGTTCACTCGGTACGACCAGTTCTTTGCGTAGCTGGAGTCAAGCTCGGACAAAAGGTAGCTAACCAGGGAAAGCCCATTGGATTCGAAGCTCGAGCACCAAGCAGTTCCGTGCCGTCTCGAGTCTAACTACAAGTAGGCGATGGTGCTTGACGGGAACTCCCATCCAAAACAAGCTAGACGATCTCACGTCCCTGGCTGAGTTTCTCCGACTACGTCCTTTTCCGACCAGGGCCGCGTTCCAGAAACACATCCTGGGCCCGCTTTCTCAGGGCGGGCCGGATTTTGCGAATCCCCTTCGAACTTACTTGCAGGCATTTTGTCTAAGAAGGACCGAGAAGCTTCTCGATGTCCCAAAACCGTCCCAGGATATCGTATTCCTCGAGTTTTTGCCCGAAGAGAAGAACCTTTACGATCGAATGCTTGATCAAACCAGGCGTGAAATCGATGACGTGGTCAGCAAGAGCGATTCCATCAAAAAGCATAATAAGCTTTTCACGGCCAATCTGAGAATGCGCATGCTCTGCAATCTCGGGACTCTATCGCCTGCCAAGCCAAGGGCAAGTCGTCTCGGGCAGCGAGAAGACACGGGATGCGAACGTTGCTCAGCAACCGACGACGACATTTCAATGCTGCTGAGCTCATTCTTGTTTTGTCCAGACTGCGGCCAGCCACTCCATGTGTCGAGCCCCACGCCCGATTTTTCCTCTACGAGACGTAGCAGTATTGACACGGCTCTCGAAGACACATTTGCATGCCAGGCGTCGACTCCTGCATGGAACGAAGACTCCCCCCCGCAGAACCTCTTCTCAACAAAGCTATCGGCCGTGATGCAGAACGTGGCAAAATGTGGACCAGATGTCAAGCAGTGAGCAGCATGATTGGCCATTTAGCAGTGATATACCCCGACTAACTGTGTGAGCAGCATTGTGTTCTCGTATTGGACATCTACGCTGGACCCTCTGGCTCAGCTCCTAGACGAGGGAGGGGTCGCCTACGTTCAGATTGACGGCCGAACGAGTTATTACGCGAGGTCGAACCACCTCAAGGCGTTTCGAGAAGAGCCTCGGTTGACTGTTCTCCTCATGTCCATCGAGACTGGCGCCCTAGGGTAGGCGGACTACAGTCGAACAGTTGGCAAAACGACATATTCTCACAAGCAAACAGTCTAAACTTGACAGTCGCCAATCAGGTTCACATCGTTGAGCCGCAATGGAATCCGTCGGTAGAAGAACAGGCTGTTGCTCGAGCCTTGCGCATGGGCCAGACCAAGGAGGTTACCATCCTGCGGTACATAATGAGGAACACGATTGAGGAGGTAAATGCAGCAGCAGTCTACTTTGGGCAGCGACAGGACAGGGCTGACGCACGGCAGAACATTGTCCAGCTGCAAAAGAAGAAGAGAACACTCGCTAGATTCGCCTTCGATTCAGGAACCGAGGACGCTTGGGGCAAGAAAATCGAGGTGAGGGACGAATACGTGTAACCTGCCGACATGGCGTGAGCTGACACTTGGCAGGAGCTGAAGTTTGTCCTGGGCGTGGAGTCGGTCTAAAACGGCACGGTAAAAAGCTGGTAGGAGAAGGCGACCGGCTGATGTTTGCAAAATAGTCGTGATGTTGGACAATATATAAGTCGGGGACGCAACACGCCCTACCGACCTGGCCTGCACTAGACCCCACGACAGATCCATCTCGTTGTCGGCATCTCTGCAGCGAAGAAATGAGGAAATTGATGTGGATAGTCTTTCATCGAGCCTGCCTAAGGAGTAACGACATCGCCCACATCTATCTATCCGTGCCACGCCCCATTTTTTTGGAAACTATTAGAACTCGCAAGCTCCTACCTAAATTTAAGGCGGCGAGCCTTCTACGCCTTGGCTTATTGGAGTATTATCGCCGGCAGCTTAACTCTATAGCCGTCTCGGTTATCAGCACGTATTCCCCGACGAGCTTAAGGGCCTTACGCCGGTAGAGGAGAAGCTAATCGCGTTAAACTCGTCTTATAGGTTCGTTATAAGATATAACGTCTTAGGCGGGCAGAAGTAGACGTTAGGATACCCTAAGCACGTTAAAGGTTATATCACGGTGTTCCCGAACAACGTGCAAGAACTGGTGACGAACGTGCTGCCATACCCTCTCTTGCAGGTAATGGACGAGATCCATATCTCGTGGCAGGGGGCGGCAAGGCCGACACCGAGCGACTTGTCAAGTCTCCTGTCGGTGAGGTGGCGAGATCTAACAAGTAGTACTCAATAGCCCCCCTGGCCTGTGGCACCCGCTTGATGTCGCGTCAAAACGCAAAACGCGTGTATAGTCAACATAACGAGTCGAGTTTCCATAATTCTTTAATTTTTCAGTTGCCTAAACGATATCGGATATCGTCGACTGGCGTATCGCGTATCACGTACCGTATGTCGCCAAGTTATCGGATAACTCATGGGCAAGACATGCAGGTAGATGGGCAGGCATGTCTGGCATTCTGCTATGCTACCAGAGTAACTTAAGTAGGCATTACACATCGTCGATATGTCATTCAACATTAAGAGCCCAAAGCCAATCCACCCAGGCACCGACTCGACCTAGCCCCGGAGAAGAGCCATCAATGCCGCTGCTGCAAGCGAATGTCCATTTGCCTAAAAGACTCTGTGGGGTTGGCGACGCTGCAATATTCCTTGCCAAAGTCAACGAAATATCTGTCCCAGCCCTGATTGTTGACGTTCTGGGCCAGCGCGACGGCGCTAGCGATTCCAAAGAAGTCGAGGCCCTTGCCGTCTTTGCTCAAGTCGGCACACAAGCAGGTCTGCTCCTTCTTCAGATTTGCGGGCTCCCGTTCATGTTCTGGCGGAACGTGGCAAAGACCGTGGATGTGATCCTTGACCCTCTCCAACAGGGCCTGTCTACTGTCCACTAGTTGAGCGGATGTGCCATGCAGGCAGACGGCAAGGGCGCTGATGATGACGGAGGACTTCATGGCTGCGATGGATGTGGTTTTACCGCCTCAAGAGTTGGATATGTGTGGTCGGATGGCTTTCAGTGCGGATGAGCAAAGGTATAGAGAAACTGGTTCACGAGGAGGATAGATGCAAGCTAGACGAGGCCCAGGGAGGATATATATATTTGGTGGCCATGAGGTCGACTTGAAAAACACCACCGCCATTGACGGCTCGGTCATTTGCCGGAATCCGGTCACAGTCGAGCGTCTAAAAGAGTTCATTTATCACGACACGGAGCCGTAATGCCAAGACGGCATTTATGCGTGGAGAGGATAAGCCGGGGGAGCTCAAGCGAGGGCTCAACGGCTTGTTTTTTTATACGTAACGTATATGCTCGAAGCATGAAGTCATCGTGGCCCACTGCATGACGTGGAACATTCATGGCAAGGCGTGTATCGCACCCCGTGATTCTGGGGCCACTTATGGGCTGAGAGCATGGCCTCGAAGTCGGGAATCCGTGGAGGATTGGGCGGGGGGGTGTGCATTCGAAAACCCCACATGATTCCATCCAGCTGAGGGTCTACTGGATTTATACGGCAACTCTCCCCTGTAAAAATTCTTCTCTTCTGCGGGCTGTTAGCAGCCTGTTAGTGGATAATTATTTTCAGGTCACCCGACCATGCTTCTGCCTCTCTAGCCCTAACGGGGCTCTAGCAAGCACCAAAAGGCAGACTTTGGAGAGTTCGTCTCCTCTTGGGAAGCTGGTCTCGAATAACGGCATGCCTCGCGCTGCCTCGCCTTCTGCCGCCTCGCGGCATCGCCTTCTTCTGCCGCCTTTACTGGCTGGCCTCGACTTCTGCCGCCTCGCGGCCCCGACCTCTTCTGCCGCCTCGCGGCCCGACTTCTTCTCGCCCTTCCTGGCACGCCTCGCGCTGCCTCGCCTTCTGCCGCCTTTACTGGCTGGCCTCGCCTTCTGCCGCCTTGCGGCTCTGCCTCCTTCTGCCGTCTCGCGGCTCCGAACTTTGCCGCCTTGCGGCCCTTTCTGCCGCCCAGCGGCCACGACTTCCTCTGGACTGGTGGGCCGCGGGGCCCTGAGGAGCTACAAGAGCCTAGAGCTCAAGGCCTCACCAGGTGTCCCCGGAGCTGCACACCAATCGACAACACCTCCACCACCTGCTTGCTACGAGGAGCAGGCACGGGGACTTCGCCGACTGTCATAACCACGAAGTGGCCCCGGATCGAACGCTCCTGCGGGAGAAGACAATCGCCATCGGGGCGAATCCCCGACTAACATTGCTACACTCTCTGCTTCCTTTTTCTTTTCTTTTTCTTTCTGCCCCGTAGGCCCTCCTCGAGGGGGCTTGCGGCCGGCCCATGACTTCGTGGGCTTTCTCAGTCACCCGGCCTCGGCCAAAGACTGACTACTATTACGGCTTCACTGCCGTGCCTGGAACCCGCTGACGGGGGAAGGGCCCCGAATTTCCGACCGGCCTCAGAGCCTCAGAATTGCTAGATGGAGTGGTTAGGTGCTACACACGGTCCTTAGTCCAGGTACTCGGGATATTCTATGTATCTAGTCTTCTCTAGCCTAGCACGTCTTTTGCCCTTATAGGGATGTCCCAGACGGTAATCAATACTACTACTACTACTACTACTACTACTGGATTTATACGGTAAACTATAATAGACCGGGGTGGTGCCATCGCCTAGGACTTGGCACTTGGCACCTGAGCCTGGTCACTATTAGTCTTTAGGATGCGAATACTCTATACACATGCATCCGCGGAGTTACTGTACATACTGTATGTAAGATCTTTGCAAGGACCACTCAACTCCCTGGGTAGAGGGGACTGGAAATCGGTTCCTGCCTGGACCTAGTTATTAGCAACATTCTCGATAAGCCAATTGCGTGTAAATGACCAGATGGATACTTTTACGTAAAAATGGTGAATAGGCCTTTAAAACATGGTAATTGCTTGTTAATTCCGTTCATGCTGTTGCAAGGATATCCTGCGAAATCTTTACCATACATGTCCAGATGCGAGAGGATACTTATCTACCAGAAAGTATGATAAGGGGGGCAGAGCGGAAGCTACCGCGAGCTGACTCCGGCTCCGGTGGTGGCTGACTTGAGGATCTTGCAGATTCTGTTCCGGTCGTGCGGTGCCCACGCGCAGTCGACACGCCAGGAAGCCGGTAATACTACCAGGATAGCGCCGAGAACAGCCAGCCTGCAAGGCGGGAGACTCGCATTCACCGCTCAGCCCATCGTCTCCACCGCCTCCTCCTTAGAAGTATGTAGATACTCGAGGATTCGGATATGGCATGATTTAGAGCAGATGCATCTGCGGCTACTGGAGCTAAACGAGGTGGTGCTGACAGGAAACTACGAGACGTGAGTCAATACTGGACAGCATCACACCGCCATCCATGTGTAGGCTAGCAACGCTCCCGCTATCAGCTCCTGTCCGCGATTCTAGAGTCCTGGATATTCTCCTCCTTATACCCGCCCAGGCACCTCAGCAGCGGCGTTATCGAATCGCACTCGGTACTCCTCTTCATCACCAGCGGCCTCCCATCCTTATCCAGCCGCGGATAGAAATGGCACCGGCCGGGGCCCTTCCAGTTGGCGCCGTGGCAGAGCGTCTCCTCGCCGCGGAGCCTGGCACACTCGGCCAAGCTCTTTTCCTGGGGAAAACTCTTGATGGTGTCGTGCGAGCTGTGCTAGCAGTGCCTGCAGCGCAAGCACGACTGGTCGCCGCCCGCGACAACCAGGTTACCGTCGTCCTACCGGCAGCGCATCCTCGTTGACCGTGTCGCAGCCCTTATTGCACAAGGACCAGGCCCCCGCGCAACCGAGCGAGTGCTCGCTGAGAAAGGCCCCGGCACGAATGGCCGGGTGGTTGGCGCTGGTGCTGAGAGACAGCGCTTGGTGCGCGGCTCGTAGTCGACGCTGCGGCACTCGGGCATGACGGCGCAGGCAGTTATGCATGTCTCGTAGGATTCGCGGCGGTCGTCTCTGAGGTATTTTGAGCCGTGGCGGTGGTTGCAAGAGATTAGGAAGTTTTGCATGCAGGCCGACGTTGGTCAGTTAGCCGTGTAAGTGGCCGCAACTTCGCCCCTGACTGACCTCTCCCGTCACCCCTACGAAGAGCCGGCCATGGGCATACGGGCACTCGGTCGAGCACATTTTAGAAGTCGCAACGGCGTCTTCTTGGCGGGGGAAGCGTGACAAAGACATAGTGCACCCGGTCAGCTTTTGTGGTGGAAAAGCCGCCGTTAACGTACATGCTGCAGTTATCCTTAGGCGTCGTGCTATCGTACGAGACACTATATTCACTATAAGCGACCGAATCGTATATTTAGGGGATAAGGATAACCGATCTTCTGCACTTCTTATTTGCATCGCATATCTCGACGCAGTTCTTATAGCTCAAGGCAGTCCCCTGCTCGACAATAGTAGCCGCGCCGGTATTAGGGCGGCATAGCGGATAGCACCAGGTGTCGTTAGAGCCCTCCCAGGTCTTGCCGTTGTCTGATAAGCCAATGTCAGCGCGTTTCTGCGGTTATTAAGCATACCCTGCCGCGGGACCTACTGGATGGGCAAGCCAGGTCAGAAGCAATCTCCGGGTCCTTCTTGGCCTAGGTCTCGCGCACATCGGGGCACAGGGCCGGATACCAGGCATCTCCCTTAGTCCAGGCCATGTTCTCGGACGGGGCCTTTTTAAAGAAGCACGTTTTATCCTAACGCTTCCAGTCGCAGCTATAGCACTCTAGGTCCTTAGCACAGCGGTCTGCACACTCCTTTAACGATAGGCAGGGCTCGCTCTTCTAATGGCCCCTCCTGTGTCCCGTGTCACACCGCAGCTCGTAGGTAATGTCGTTGCTAGACTGAATGTCAGTGATTCGGTCCCATCACCTAACCAGCAACCGGGCCATACGTTGTGTATTTCTTATTCCGGTCGGCCGGACACGTATACGGCGTCTAGTCGCCGTTGCCGCCAGTGATGGGCTTCTGGGTGTTTCCGCCCGGGATTTTGCTAATTGGGGGGGCTGCTGGTCCTGGACGTTTTCCACAAACAGCGGGGTTAAGGGATCGGGAAGGTCAAAGACATCACCAGTCTTCTTCAAGGCGCACTTCTTGCTCTTTCCTACAAAGATGCTATGCGGACATTGCGCGCTCTGCGCATACCTCTCGGCGCACTGGGCAAGACTGTCGCACGGCTTCTCGTCCTCTATGGGCATGCCTCGACTGCCTTTGCCGCATCCAACTTGAACTTTCTGCCGCCTCTAGTAATCATCGGACATGTCAGCCAGGCCTCTGATTCAGCAATTCTCACTGACATACGTAACAAAAGTCTGTCCCTTGTCTCCAGGGCAGGGATATTTCGCTTGGGCGGCAACAAGGACGGTCCATTCGGCCGTAAATAGCACGGTCAAGACCGAGAGAACTACGACCTTCGTGTTGGCTCTTGCAAAGGGCAAAGACTTAAGAGGAAGATATGTTGCGCGATGACCAGGAAGATTGTTGGAGTCGGAGGCGAAGAGTACGACTTCAAAGCAAAGGCGTGGTCATATCACGGACTCTCTCGGTTAAGAGAACTTCAGACAGGAACAACCAGTCGTCGCCTGTGTTTACTTTTGCCTATATAATATAGCAGTTTCCTTATATAATAATACTTCCTATTGGCAAAGGCGCCAGGGATTTATTAGTCCAATTGGCTCTTTTGGCCATTTCTCGCTGAACTGAACCCGTGACCTGCAGTAATTACCACACAGGTATTGCAGAGTATCTCGGAAGAAGCTCTGCACAGAACCTGCGGCCACGACACAATGACAATCGAAGCTATCTAAAAGCTGGGGAAAGAAAGGGAAAATGGAACCGGACTTGGCCAGGCTTGGGCCCAGTCGGAAATTCTATCGCGACCCTGGTCCTGTAGGTCCGAACGTCCTCCCGAGTGCGTCTTCACGGGCATAGTCCGTGGAGCTCTATCGGCGCAGCCCGTTATATTTTCAATGGGAGCACGAAAGTTTGTATACCATCCGATATGGAGCCTCTGGAGGCAAGCGCCTATGGCAGTGTCCTATATTTTAACGGCCTTCCAACGATGCTGAGTCGTGAAATCCGAAGACAAACCGACTGCTAAGATTTGCTCGACCCAGACTGGATTTCAAGCCGGTGCTGTTCAAGGATCCTGTCCATTAACGTCAGGTCGCTAGTTTTTGCCAATCCCACATTATCGCTCAACCATAGCTCTTGGCTTTCCCAGAGTGGTACCCTGTGCCACTGTCTCCGTGATATATGTTCCCGCATAATGCTGTCAAACCGTTCAGGGTGGCTCTTTAACCACAATCTCTCTTCACGTGAGATATTCTTCCTGTATTTGATCTTCTGGAAGACCATGTATCTCATGTGCTCGTTCCATTCCATTTCATCCATCTCATCGCGGAGCTCTGATGTCGTTTTGCCAGGTGTCGTTGGGGTTATCCTTTTCTGCTTGAACGGAAGGGTTCTGATGTAGTTTTTGAGATGCGTCCCCACATCCCGTTTCCTCCTATTCGGTGTTAGTTAATGGCCTTATGTTATCCGCGGATTCCTATGACGTACATGGTCTCCCCGCTCCAACGGTATGCGAGAATAGGAATATCCTCTTGTTTTGTGCAAGGCTGGACCGTCCCAGTATCTAGTAGGAAATCTACTTTTTCGCCATCCAGATGAGGAAATCCAGTAGTTCTTATGAAATCCATCCCTTCATCCATATTGCGCCCCCATTGATGCTGGCAGATGAGATTCCCAATTGTTGTCACTCGCTGGCCTGGTTCTCCAGGGATCTTATTGGAGATGCACCTCACAGCAATCCGAATTGGACTCGCCGGGGCTGGACTGGCAATCGGATTTGCAACATAGTCTGGATTGTTGGAAAGCGCTTGTGGTTCAGATTCGTTATCTTTGTAGCGAAATCCAGCCTTCATAGTCATCTTTGGTTAAAGGGCCGTGAACTTTGTGAGGATTAGAAGGAACTGTCCGGGGGGCTCCTGCACAATATTCTTTATTCTTCACTGGAGTCACCGGATGAAGAATCATTTGAAGTTGGCGGTGTGAGATATTCACACTCTTGACACTTTCTGGGCTCCTCCCGAGTTTCGTGGGCCGCGTCCTGATCGAAATTAGGACAGTCCGTCTCGTTCTCCCCCTCAGTCCAGTTGTCGCAATGGTTCCAGCCCGCTTGGTCGTCCCGAGCTGGTATAATATGTCCGCAGGTATATCGATACCAAATCTCTCGGCACATTATTTGCATGTGGTCTCGAGGCTTGTGGTTATGTAGTTAGATGGAAGATGGGCAAAGCGGGGCAGTAATTTGGATCACGGGCGGGTACGTCCGGCGGCTGATGCGGATGCGGATTTTATTCCCCCCGGAGGGAAGCCTAATTGAGTCCATCCTCGTCCACCTCAACCTCTCCCGTCGCCTCACCCCGGCGACTCAGCGTTGCAGCTCACGACATCTCACCATGGCTGGTTCCGGTGTGCGCCAGTGTCTTCGCAACGTCACCGTCTACCTGTTGCTGCTTGTCACCATCTCCACGCTCGGCCCGCTGCAGTTTGGCCTCCACCTCGTGAGTCCCTGTCAACGCCCACCATTGTCTTCCATCGAGGCATCACCAACTGATTGTCGCCTCTAGGCCGAGCTCAACGCCCCGCAAGATGTCATCACCTGCCGCAAAAAGTCCGTCTCGATCGCTGCCCGCCTCTCGACATGGGTCACTTCGTCCCGCCCCGGCAAGAACAAGAACCCGTCCCCCGGCCTCCTCCCCGACTGCATCCCCATGAACGAGGCCGCCTTTGCCACCATCTCGTCTCTCTTCACCCTTGGCGCCCTCGCCGGTGCGCTCGCTGCTGGGCCCCTGTCCTCCAAGCGCGGCCGTCTTCCCGCCATGCGCGCCACGGCTATCCTCTACGCCGTCGGCTCCCTGATTGAGGCGGTCGCAGCCAGTGTCTGGGTCATGTCCCTGGGTCGTCTCATCTCGGGCCTCGGCGCCGGCGCTTCCACCGTCATCGTCCCCCTCTACATCAGCGAAGTCTCTCCTCCCACCGAGAGGGGTCTTTTCGGGGCCATGACCCAGGTCTCCATCAACGTCGGCATTCTCTTCACGCAGATTCTCGGATACTTCCTGAGCTACGGACACGAATGGCGCTGGATCCTCGGCGCTGGGTTGTGCATCGCCGCCATCCAGGCTACTGGCTTGCTTTGTGTGCCCGAGAGCCCGGTATGGCTGGCCACTCACGGAGACGTGGCCGGAGGGAAGAGGACGATGCAGCGGATCCGGGGCAAGAGATCCGATATCCAGGGCGAGGTGGAGACGTGGGGTTCCGAGGGAAGCTCTCCGGCCCACGCGGAGCATGAGGGTCTGCTGGCCGAGGCGGATGCAACGGAGCCGCCTTCTCACTCGTTGACTGCATCAAGGACGCCGGCCCACCTCGGCTTCGCGCAGGTGGCCAAGGACCCTCGCTATCGGCCAGCAATCGTTGCTGTTGTCGGCGTCATGTTTGCGCAGCAGATTTGCGGCATAAACTCGGTCATTATGTACTCCGTCTCTCTCTTCTCCAACATGTTTCCGACCTCCTCGACCCTCCTGACTATTGCCATTTCGGCCGTCAACCTCATCATGACGGCTTCCTGCGCGCCGCTGCCGGACCGTCTCGGCCGCAAGGCCTGTCTACTTCTCTCCATTCTGGGACAGGGCACCAGCGCTCTCGCCCTCGCCTTTTCCGTCGTATTTGGGGTCAGGATTCTCTCCGTCATCGCGGTGCTGTGCTTTGTCGGCTTCTTTGCCGTTGGGCTCGGTCCGGTACCATTCGTCCTGGCCTCCGAGCTTGTGGGCCAAGAGGCCGTGGGTGCGACGCAGAGCTGGGCCCTGGCGGCAAACTTCACGGCCACCTTTCTCGTCGCGCAGTTTTTCCCCATCATCAACACGGCGCTGAATAATGCGCTCGGCGGCCACGGCTGGGCTTTTTTTCTCTTTGCTGCACTGGCCGCCGGGTCGGCCTTGTTTGTGCTGCTCAAAGTGCCCGAGACTCGCGGCAAGAAGGACATGGATGAAGTTTGGGGCCGAAGTCGACGCGTGGATTAGCAAGCAGATTGAGACTCTTCTCGCCAGCTGCACCACTTCTGTTGATTGCAAGCACCTGGCTCAACGGAATGTGTATCTGCTGTTGATGGTCTGATGCAACTGTAGAATGCCGGCTTTGACGCCGTCAACAACGTAAAGCTTGTCCGCTCGCTCGTGGCCGTAGACGTCTCGCGCGGCAGAGCGGATAATGTCCTCCAGGCCAGCCATGCCGCCGCAGCCCATGACGACGCACGCCACGTTGCCTGCGCGGACCAGCTGCGTCGTGGCCGCTCTGAGCTTAGCTCGAATTTCGTCTGGTGAAACGGTGTGAAAGTCGCCGGCGGTGAGGCCGGTGGAGTAGACGCCGCAGAACTTGCGATCTTGTGCGTTGCCGTCGCGGCCGAGAAACTCACTAACACCGTCTGCGAGGTGCTTCTCCCAGAAGTCGCCCGTCGTGAGGATGCCCCACTGCTCTCCGGTGGAGTCGCTCGAAACAAGGGACAGGGCAGATAGGATGCTCGCCTCGAATATGCCCGTGACGGCCAGGCGAGGGTGGCGGACCGACAATTGGGCCACTAGGCTGTGGACACTGAAGCACGCGACAAGCACGGCGTCATACTTGTCGAGGTTGAGTCCGCCCATGCCGTCCAGGATGATGGTGGTACTGGCCTTGATGTCTACATCGTCATTGATGCTGGCGGGTGCCTGGGCTGGGGCCGTGTAAGTGTCGATTTTGATGGTCTGGGTCCAGTATTAGGTATGGGGGGCCTTTAGAGGGTAGTTTGTTGCCGGCGTACCTGCGAAACGGGAGTTTCTTGAGCTGCGAGGGCCATGGACTGGGTCATGGTGATGGATGAGTTGGGGTTGAGCAGCAAGATTCTCATGTTGCCGCCGCCCGTGGATGTTGCTGCCGCCATGGTGGTGATGATGGGATGAGGTCCCTTTTGTGTACTCGAGGCGTGACTCCAAGGAGCAAGGTACCACGCATTGTTGAGCGCGGTTCCTCGAGGTCGACGTTCCGAGCCCTGGATTGCTCTCGCGGTCGAAGAAGCTGCGGGGTATCACGTGACGGGCCGCGGCATGACACTTGAGGCTCTAACAGCAACCAACCCCACATCAACCACCGTCCATCTCCATCCACCCATCCATCCACCTCTTGCTGAAGCCGACGGACGCCATCTCGCATCGGAGCTGTTCGACGCCGACCAAACCACCGGCCTGGGCTCCGCCGGCGCTGTTCCATCCGCAGCTATTTGTTGCTTTTTGCTGCAGTCATGGGTAATCCACCGCCCATTGGTATGTTGCTTCTCTCCACGACCCCGCCTTCGTCGGCCACCGTCTCGTACACGTAAGCTCCGAGTCGCTGACAGCCTCTTCCTACACGCAGTTCTTGACGGCGGCACCGGCTTCCTCAAGGTCGGCTACGCGGCGCAAAACTTTCCCGAGCACCAGTACCCGTCCATCGTCGGCAGGCCCATCCTACGATCCGAGGAGAAGACGGATAGCGATGTCGTCATCAAGGACATCATGTGCGGCGACGAGGCCGCAGCCGCCCGCACCATGCTCCAGATCAGCTACCCCATGGAGAACGGCATCGTCAAGAAGTGGGACGACATGCAGCATCTCTGGGACTACACCTTCCACGAGAAGCTCAAGGTCGACACAAACGGCCAAAAGATTTTGCTGACGGAGCCGCCCATGAACCCGCTCAGGAACAGGGAGCAGATGTGCGAGGTCATGTTTGATCGCTACGGCTTCGGCGGTGTCTACGTCGCCATCCAGGCTGTCCTGGCTCTGTACGCGCAGGGTAAGTCCGCGTGGCCAACATTGCGACATGCAATCGTGCAAGGGGCCCGCCCAGCCGGCATATGTGTTTGACATTCAGACACTGACGTGTGGTCAGGCTTGAGTTCGGGAGTCGTCGTCGACTCTGGCGATGGCGTCACGCACATTGTCCCCGTCTACGAGTCCGTCGTCCTCAACCACCTCACCAAGAGGCTCGACGTCGCCGGCCGCGACGTCACGCGCAACCTGATAAAGCTGCTCCTGCGCCGCGGCTACGCTCTGAACCGTACAGCCGACTTCGAAACGGTCCGCCAGATCAAGGAGAAGCTGTGCTACGTGTCGTACGATCTCGAACTAGACAAGCGGTTGAGCGAGGACACGACGGTTCTGGTGGAAAACTACACGCTGCCAGATGGGCGAGTTATTCGCGTGGGAAGCGAGCGCTTCGAGGCACCCGAGTGCCTGTTCCAGCCCCATCTCGTCGACAGCGAATCGCCGGGGCTAGGCGAGTTCTTGTTCAACACGATCCAATCCGCCGACGTGGATATCCGCTCGTCCCTTTTCAAGGCAATCGTGCTGTCTGGCGGCAGCAGCATGTATCCGGGCCTGCCATCGCGGCTGGAGAAGGAGCTCAAGCAGCTGTGGCTGACACGCGCATTGCAAGGCAACCCGGAGCGGCTGAGCAAGTTCAAGGTGCGGATAGAAGACCCGCCGCGGCGGAGACACATGGTCTTCCTCGGCGGCGCGGTGCTGGCCAACATCATGGCGGACAATGAGAGCATGTGGGTGACCAAGGCCGAGTGGGACGAGCAGGGACCGCGCGTGCTGGAGAAGCTGGGGCCGCGGTAGGCGCCAGACGAATGGTCATGTTGATGTTAACGAGACAAGTCGAGACGAGGGGATGGACGGTGCCTCACGGCCCACAGGTGCATTAACTAAGCGCCCAGGACACCAAGGGCGGTGCGTACTGCCATGCTGGGAGCTCCCTCACGGAACGCTAGAAGGATCATGGCTTAGTGACGAGTTTGTTGTCGCCGGCCTTGGGTGCTTGTTCCTCGATAGAAAGTCTTTGGTCTGTATTCGGTGTCAGTGGGCGGCAGGCATCGTGGATAGACTCTCAAGGATGACGCGCACCGTCGAGCTCGAAGTGTCTGTAACCAGCTGCACCTGGTGCTCCGCTCTACTGGCTGGGGCGAATCAACCCAAGCTCCAGCATAGTCCAATGGTGAATTGAGACAGTTCGAGGGACGTTTGACGTACGACTTTCCCGTGCATCGAGTTTTGAACCCTTGGGGCTTTTGGAGGTCCAGTTCTATTCCTTGGCTCTCAAACAATCGGCCCACTGCCGCAGCTCGTAACAGCAATCCCCCACAACTGCCGACAGAGGAAGATTCTCGTCACAGTTATCTCCAACCCCCGGCCAGGCAGACCTACTCTGCCTGAAGCCCAAGCTTTTGCAGGAGCACCAGGGCCTATAGCCGGTTCCGTTGATACCGGTGAGGGTATACGTCGATATGCAAGATGAAGGCGTTTGCGAAGTTGGACGGGGATCGCGTGCGGAGCATCCTGCCCAACTTGAGGGCTTGATTGACATGCTTCAAGGAAAGATTTGTGTTGGCTGATATACTCGTCGTCGCTTTTGCTTGCCCATCGCTCTCATGAATTCTCGTCGACCATGCCTTCGAGGGGAAAAGGCCAGCGGCCGATTGGGAGTTTAAGGCAAAACCGCTCAAATCGTGAGGTCCACTCCACTTAGATAGATCAATCCGTTTGAGTTGGCCATTTTGCTGAAAATGACTCACAAAGATACACTGTATAGTGACGAAAAACTACAGGGTGGGATTGCTCAGAAATTATTGCTCAAACCTCATCGGCTTGCAGTGAGCTACGAAACACTGGGCGAAAGCTTCGAGAGACCAGGAATGATTCTACAGGTTTTTTTTTTCATAATCGTCCGGCATCGTCGACGAGCCCAGCTTCTTTGACGAATAACCGTTACGGGAAATATCGCAGCAGACCGTATCTCCGAACCTCTCCCCAACCACACTGTTTGATTTGCGTTACTTCCGAGAAAACTCTCAATCCTCGGTCCTGCCTCTTAACATACGGGTAATTATCATTGCCTGTTGCTTGTTCATTGCTGCTTCAAGCATGGCAACGTCTACGATAAGGCAGAAGCCAGGGACTATCACAGTTGACGGCTTGAGGGTTCGCAAAAGCGATTCAGCTCCCACGACTCACGTTGATCACGTCGAGTTCCAGCTTACGCCGATCAACAGCAAGAAGCAGCTCGTCTGGTAGGCCAGAATCTAACTGTTCCAACGCCGGACGAAGTAGCCAGTTGCGGAGACTCCTATGGTTTCTCGCTACTTTCCGTCTCGCACACGATTTTGCGTTGGCAACCGAGCAAAACGCCCTTGTCGTTGGCAGCGTGAAAACGGCGAACTCGTTTGCATCGACAAATTATTCACTTCCCTGCTGTGCTCACCTTTATTCTTGGAGCCGTCTCTGCCTCGTCTTCTCCGATAAAGACGCCGAAGCCTCGACTGGATGTGACTTGAGAACGCGGCGCCAGAGCTTCTCCGGCCTGTGTGCCATTTTCTCCCCCGTCCCTTTCCTTTTCCCTACGCGGCTTTCTCGTTTTCCGAGGAGCCTGTTTTGGGCTCTCCTCCCCTCTCGCCAGCACCTCTCGACGAGGAGAAGGCGTGGCTCACACGAATAGATTGTCGTCAATGTCGGTAATGGCGGCCGTGATAACGCGCAGCCTCAGGGCCTCGGACACCGGGTCTGGCCGGAGCTCACTCTGAACGGCGCCCACAACAAGCGAGACCTAGCCAACCTGCGGCTCGTGAACCACCGGTTTTGCACCTTGGCCACCAATGTCCTCTTCTCGCACATCGGGGTGTCGTATGACGTGGATAAGTCGGACGAGGCCAACGCCGCGCGGCTCAGAAAGCTGCTTTCCCTCAGCGACGACATCTACCATAGCAGCAACCGCCGCGTTCGAGTCAACTTTAACGTGCCGGCCACCCCGCAGCAGCTCGACCAGATCAACAACTAGCTCGCGGACCTGACGGTGGTGCTGCCCGTCGATATGGCACGGTGCGTCATCTGGAGACGCTGGCGCTGCGCAACGTGGAGGGATACGCGCAGCTCGCCATTGACCAAGCCATGACCATGTAATTATGCATAGTAATTAGTGTGTTCATGTCTGGAGAGCCAGCAGTTCGCACCGTGTAGCATACGCCTGCAATATTGACTACAGCTCCAGGCTGCAACTCATCCTCTTCATCAACCCTCCTCACTCGTCCACGCTGAACTTCGAGCTGCCCATCAAAGAATAGCAGCCGCTTATGCCTGTCATGACGGGTGACGCCCAGGACAGCAGCTGCGGCGCACAATGGACTCTGGCCCAAAGACTGCGCTCCCGCAGATTCATCGGCCAAGATGCCGTTACCGCCATCCACGGACGAAAGCTGCCTCTCCACCCCGGGAGGCACCTGTTGCGATTCAGTATTGTCCGCGGCATACGGCATCACCTTGAGTTTGCCACGGGGGAGGCTGCTGTCTTGAAGGGACTTTTGCCCGCCTTTACCGCTGCCATCAACGCCAGACTCATCATGAGCAACCGGATCCCAGAGACGAAGGACTCGCGAGAAATGCCGTATTGCATTTGGCATCCCAACGTGCCCTCGGAGGAGACTTTGCGGCAGTTGGCTGTGCGGTATCCTGACATGCGCTACCATGTTGGCAGAAGTTGCGCCGTCGCGGGCTACACGGCGCTGCACAAATCTCTGGATATTCTGCCAGAGGTCGCCATCGCAGAGGAGGCACGCGAGAGCGGCAGCCTGGAGATATTCGAGCACATCATGAAGCAGCTGGTAAAGTGGAAAGTGTTTGACGACTACACCGGCACGCTCTCGGCACCAACGCCTTCTCCCCTGAATGGCGATACTGTGGTGCGCAGAGAACTCGACTACACGCAAGGCTTCCGGAAGCCATCTGGACGCATTCACAGCTAAGACGGCGATGCAGATCGAGACGACCCATCAGAGGACGACTTCTTTTCCATCATGTCGCTCTTTGGCGAAGCCTACGGTTACCATCCTCTTGCTCATAATGTCACGGGAGACCAGGGCCTAGACGCCCCTGATAGCTGCGCCGATATGACCGAGTTTCTTGCCAACAAGCCCGGGTCCGCTTTTCCAGTCTCCAAGACCGCGCTCGACCTCCTGAGCAACCCGCTGCCTGCAGATCTGCCAACTTGCGACAAAGACGTCTTGATCGTCATGGCGGCCTACCGTGGCGACCTGGATCGATATTGCCGTTGCATCTGGTCCACGGCGAGTTTGAAGCCATTGTACGCGGCGTCTGTGAGTCCACCTTGAGCCTCGTTACTCGGCTTCGCTGCTAAGACCCATCCCCAGACCACAACACTCAGTTTGCAAAATGGTGGTCAACCCAGCCGCCGCCGGAAAGGGGGCACGTCTCTCGCATAGCGACGGCCATCGTCGCCCGCTTCATTATGAATGATGACATCTCTTGGGCGTTAACGGTCGGCAAAGGCGGGTTTGGTCATTGGGAACCGGACTACCCGGGCCTGATTTTCTTCCCCGACATCGCCAACTCGGATTTATATGAGGCTCTGGCGCGGGCAGTCCCCGCCATGAGACCGGCCGTGGCGCGCGCGGCCATATATGCCAACTACAAAGCCCTCTTTGACTTGGTGGTGACGGGACACAACGACGACTTTGAAACAGTCACGCCGAATCCTGCGCTCTATGCCGAGGCGTTGCAAAGCCCAGTACCACACTACCGCAACATTCTAGAGCGCATCGCCCGGGAAAGGGGTGTATTGGACACCATCAAGGAACCCTCACGAGATGTTTTTTCGTGGGAGCAAGCGTCTTTGCGGAGATGGGACGTCCACGTCAAGCATAATGTTCTCTACGCGGAAGTTTACCGCTGGCGAGACATTGTGGTCGACTCCCAACCCTGCGACATGGCCATTTATGACGGCGTGCGTTGCAATGCCATGGGGCTTGAGCGATACCTCTCTCCCAGAGGAATGGCGACCTACGGTAAAGGACGTGGACGAAGATACGGGAGAAAGGGAGCTTGACTACAAGAGTTGACCGCCCGGCTTTCCAGAGCTGTTGAAGCGGGAAAGCAAGACTATCAAGGGCCAAATACAGTGACAACTGTCTAGGCCCTTCCAAGTCTGCCGGCGTTCCATGTCTTGGGTCTAGGACCAGGGCAATAATAGACAGGAACGAAATAGCAAACGTTGAGCAGCACTTCATAAATGGCGGCGGTAGGCATCTATCTTTGCGTGAGTACTTGCACATTTCCAGATAACCATCTAGACATGTGTGAGTTCGAACATTCCGAAACCCCGAGGAGCAGCTCGACGTGACGAGCCATCGATCAACAGGCATGGAAACCCTGCCACAACGGACATGCAAGAAATATTGGAGTTCAATTTCGGGTTTACGAACACGGCGTAGCAAGTAGCCGCATGCAGGCTGCGGTGATACAATCGAACCCCCTTGACGTTACATGGGAAGTGGCATGAAGTGGTAGTGGCCTGCATTGGGCTGTTCTCGGTCATTCGAATCCAAAAGAGGACGTTATTTCCGACAAGTTGATGTTGGGTAATGGACCGGAGGCTCTGTCGAACAATTGTTCCAGACTGTTGGTAAGCCAAATGCAGGTGGTGCAGCAGGACTATTGCTCATCGGGCTGATGCCAACGTTGGTATCAACAAGGTCACTTGAGTTTCCCAAAGGCAGCAGCCCGCGAGCCATGACTGCTCGGGCGGAACAAACGGCAACACTGTGTGCTTCGGAGCGAGAGGTTAGATGACAATTCACTCAAAGAAGCAGCTAGTATGTATGATGCACCGCAAAACTAACCTCGAGCAGGCCCGGGCTCCGGAGCGGGCCGTAACACCGGGAAGAGCATGAGTGATGACTGGAGGGCGGGAGAATGGAAGCTACTCGTTGCCCGCAGCCTGCTGGAATCGATACATAAGCAGTTGGCGTGCGTGTGGAAGCACCCAGTTCCGCAGAGCCATCCTCGTCACATCAACGGCAGTACTCGAATCGGGCAACAACGTGATGCGGTGCTTTGCCCAGCTGTCTCTCTTCTTTGCCCTCGCCGCCCCCGCGGTGGCTGTGGCAGAGCAGCATGAGGCCGTGAGCCGCCCGAGAGCACGCGGACTATCACCCGAGTTGCAACATGACCCTGCCACCACCAAGTAATGCTCCTTTTGGTACGACAACATCGATGGCAGCATCAAGTGTCAAGACGTGCCTGCTAGCTTTGGGATAAGCGAGGATAAGTGGAAACGCTGGGTGACTTCTGCCGACAGAAGATGGCGCTCATGCACATGATACTAACGGCCGCGATGCAGAACCCATCCATTGCCAAGTCTTGCGACAACTTTGCCATTGATAGGTCTTACTGTGTTGAAGCTGAGGCGGAGCCTGTAACCACGACGACCGCGTCCGCCACTTCAACCACAACCACCGATTCACCTTCTACCACAACGGCAGCGAAGCCTGACAAGTAAGCACGCCATTCACCTTTTACACGGTGAAAACTAGACGCTAAGCAAGCGGCATTAGTGGCATTTCCACCCCGACGCCTATCCAGCCAGGCATGGTTGACAACTGCAACAAATTCTACCTTGTCAAGAGTGGCAACACCTGCCAAAGCATTGCCCAGGGGAGTGGGATCACGCTCAAAGAGTTCATGGCCTGGAACCCAGATGTTGGAGCAACCTGCACCAGCCTGTGGCTTCACGCACACGTCTGCGTGTCCATCAGCGGCTACACGCCCAGCCCGACCAACCCAGGAAACGGCATCGAGACGCCGACTCCCATACAGCCCGGAATGGTTGGCAACTGCAACAAGTTTTACCTGGTCTCCCCAGGAGACAACTGTGATGGCATTTCTAGGAAGAGTGGCATCACGGCTGATGACTTTCTCAAATGGAACCCCGGCGTTGGCGGCAAGGCTTGTACCAGCCTCTGGTTGAATTCATACGTTTGCGTGTCAGTCGTTGGGTATAAGCCCACTCCGCCAACTCTGCCCACACAGCCCGGCATCGTCAAGCCATGCGACAGGCTTTACCAGGCCATCTCTGGCGATACTTGCCAGGGCATTGTGGACAAGCACAGGGGTTTAAGTCTCGGCGATTTGAACGTTCCCCGCGGCACCTCGGCATATGGAACACATCTCTGACCATAGACAACAGCTACAAGTGGAACCCTGCCGTTCATAGGGGTTGGTTTCCATCTCCTTTGCTGCACGGCATCTTATACCCCTCGAACTAACCTAAAAACTAGACTGCACTGGACTCTTGGCTGGCTACTACTACTGCGTCAGCGTCCCGAAAGCGTTCCAGCTCGAAACCCGGTACCATGCGGGTTGCACTGGCGACGTGCACAACAGGGTCACCGTTGAGAACGGCAGCGATGGCCTATGCATTGACACTCAATGTGCGGCTGCGTCTACGAATATGGCCGTGGCGGGCTCGTGCCCAGACGGACAGGTTCAGTTGAGTTACTGGGAGAAGCCGGGTTGCTCGGGTAAGTGGTTTGGCTACGGCTATACCAGTAGGGGTACGTGCCACAAGCTATGGACAGAGGGTTGGAAGTTTCAATCGCTGCATGTAAGGTGTGCCAGTCGGAGAAAGAATTGTGTCACTAAGGGGAAATGCACTTACGACCCAGAGCCAGCCAAGGGCGTGTGCCAGAGGTAGCAACCCTAACTGACAACTTGTCATCGACCCCCACAGGGCATCTGCAAGAATAGAGATTCGTCGTCCAGAGAGGGCCGAAGCGGAAGAAGATTCGAGTGGACGCCAGGCTGGCGTTTGAAAAGGCTGTCGAACTGGGCGGCTAGGCCCTAGATTATAACTGAAGGGGCACTATGCGGACTCTCCTCGGCAACCACGCCGATGCTATGGAGGACTTTGATAAGAGGCGGGGATATATGAGGGTGCCGTCGGGGTCATTCGGGGGCGAAAAGACCGACTGGACAGTCGCGGCCTTTTCGGGAGTCAGGCACTCGCCGGTCCGAGTCTCGCTGCAGGCGATCTACTTGGGGCAATGCTTGCAGAGATCAGGGTCCTCCGAGATGCCGTCCGTCACTCCATCCAGGGCACCCCATTGCCGCAATACTCCATTGCCAGTCGACGAGGCCATGTGCACCGAGCGGTACGCAGAGTCTTCAAGTATGCCATCTTTTGTTCGGAAACGCCTCGCCCTTGTCCCCAACGTCTCCGTTGCGTCGTTAACTGGTGTATAATAGGGCGATGGACGGATCTGCCAAGGCCACGGAGCAGGCTACGGAGCAACCAGGTCATCCAAGGCACTGCCATCGCGTATGAGCCTTAGAGCCGCCTCGAGGGCGCTACGCCCACGCCGTGTTTGTATCCAGACACCATTGGCCTGTCTTTCAAAGGATCCAAAGACTCCAGCTTACGGGGTAGCGGATGTGACTGCTGTCGCCGAATTCTCCTCCGACAGACTCCTGGTTGGACTTCCCTGTTGAAATACAGCTCAACACGTAACCGTGGCTTTGGGAATACACTCTGGCAAGAGTAGTCAGATGACTGAATCAGTCGTCAGATTCGGGCATTGCCATCCCCCGTCTTCCCTCCTCGCTCGCCCATGCTAGCCGCGCATCAACCCACCGTTCCACGTCCTCAGAGCCCCAAGCTTCCACCCCAAGCTCCAAATGGTCTGCCCACGCCCGGAATGGCTTTCCGCCTTGGTACGCTTTCCTCCACTCGGCGTCACATCGAGCCATGGTTGCATGGAACGCGCCCCAGAGCCGGCGCTGATCAGCAGGGCTGCCCCCATACCACGATGCCGTGTCGCCGTCTGGATCAGGGATCCACTGCGGTACCGTCGCCGCATACCAGAGTGGTGCAGTCGAGGTGCCCTCAAAATCGATATATCCATTCACCTTGCCAGTGTACTCGTCGATCTGCATGGATGTGAGCACGAGCGAGCGGGCAGTAGCGAAATACTTACGAGAATGTTGACGAGTCGAAAGTCGTCCAGTCTCAGTGTGAATGGCTGCTCTGGCGTCGAGGGGCCCCCGGGATACACGGACGCGTCGCCCGGATAGACGGCACAGAGTTGGATGCCTTTGCGGAGTGCCCGCTCTGCCCTTTGCAATGTTTCACGCTTCTGTTCATTATCCGGCTCTTCCTTTGGCTTGTCCTCGTCATCCAACAGCCTCATAGTCTCTTTGGGAAACTCGGTGCACTTGAATAGCAACGCCCGGAGATGGTGCGCAAGATAGTCTCCAGCGCCGGTGAAGGGACCACGTAGGGAATGGAGACGGGTAGATGACGAGGATGGTAGGGTGTGCAGGTCTGTGGTGGGATAATCGAGAATACCGTCCAAGGAGTGAAAGAAAGGGCCGGTGACGATGGGGCCAACCTCGTAGCCGTCACTGGCAGTCGACGAAACGGATGAAGACGAAGATTTCGATGCAGAGGGAACACAATATAGAGACCCAGCCTTGTCGAACCGGATCGAGAAGAGAGCAGCGAGGTGCTCTGCGACCTGGACCACGACGCTTTCCTTGATGTCCACTGGCAGCGTCTGCCAGTTATCAAATGCCGGGACACCGGGTATCTGTCCCATGTCGTCAGCCTCAGTGTTCCATTCACGGCGAGAAAAGGGTCAAAAGGCATACTTTCTGCATGATCATGTATTCAGCGCCAACCGGGTTCGAGGCATCGGCATTCCAGACTGACACCGACGGTACGGGGACTGACGTGTGCGAAGCGATATATCGCAGCGTCGCAACCTAGCCGGGTGTTGGCCAGTGCACGTTAATGTTGTTGTCATGGTTAAACACGGACCTCTGACTTTAACTTATCCCTCGGAAACGCAGGCGACGCGACTCGAGCGACAGCATTGAGACTCTTGCCCGGGTGCACACCGTCGCCTGCCTCGATGATGTCGTAAACCTGGAGCAATTGCCGTGTTAGCAGTGACGACACGAAACACGATCTGGCGTTGCCTTGAAACCAACCTTGTGATAGCCGCCCTCTGCCAACTTTACCAACTCGCACTTGACACCGAAGTGTGCGTCCACGACGTCGCAGAGGCGGGTGAGACTGAATTCCTCGGGCGCGCCATTCTCGTAGGTCCATACCGAGGTCGTCTTTGCGTGCATGATGAAGCCGTAGCTTCGAACTATGCGTGATGGATGTGTGTGGCGTGGTACATGGATCCAAAGAACTGGCCTGCCTTATCCTGCCTGTGGCTATATAGGCTGTAAGAATACCAAGCGGCAAAGTGGTGAGATAGAAGTGAAATGAGCTCGAGGAGTCACCGGATAGAAAAGAAACTTGTCAGTGTATTGTGACGATGAAGAGAAGAGGTCCGTTAAAGAGGGGCTAAGAAATGCTGGGCTTGTCATGTGACCAATGCTTACGCAGGGCCTATCAGGCTGCAACATCCAACGTTTATATCGGGGTAAGGTCTTTTTCAACGGCAGAACTCAGTGGCACGCGCGAAGATTATAACCCAACACTTGGCCATTGCAATTTGGATTTCAGCTTTCCGATCCATGCGAGCAAGTAAGTAGAGAGTAGAGACAGTTGTGTTTGAGTTTACAAAAGATACATGTCAGGACTCAGGAGACAGCGTCAGTCCTTCTCGATGGCCGACCTCACCGCATCACATTGGACACAACTCTCCGTCAGCATACGAACCCATTTCGAGTGCGTTATTGCCTGCACCTTGCCCGATTTGGTCTTCGCTGTGCCCGCGCCCGCACAGACTGCCTGGTGCTCGGTACAGTACCCTTTGGCGGCAATACGCTTCGTGGATTTTTTGCAGGTAGGGCAATGGTGTTTGCTAGGCCAAGGAGGCATCGTAGTGGGTGTGTTGACCGATGACGAGTTGCGCTTCCAGCACCTGGGGAGATTATAGAGAAGAGTAAGGTAAGGCACAGGCCCAAGGACTAGGTAGTATGAGTCTTGCTGCCCGCTTCAGGAACACAATAGTTGACAGTATTTACATTGGGCCTAATGCCCTTATGAATGTTGCCAAAAGAGGGGTCATCGTCAAAAGAGGGGTATGCCATCTGTTGGCTTGTTCCCGTCCAGTCGATTCAGGCAGTGTAACGGCTGGGGAGAGACGGCGGGATGATGAATGTGATGTGTACTATATGATGATGTCGAATAACCCCCGCCAAAGAGTCGCACGACCTTCTATCAACATACAATGTCGTGAAAAGGGAACCATTCACGTACTTGAAAGGTATCGACGCATCATCACCGGGGAGGAAACATCCAAGACTCCAGTATGCTCAAGCCGCCCCTGTCGCACGATTCATCAACCGACAACACACTACGGGGTCAATACCCATGCAGCACGCAGTGTCGCACTGCTAGAACTGGCTGTGCCCCCTGTACTGTACAGTGCTGCAGCTACGTTGAAGAGAGAAAGCAGGAAGTGCGTGGCACCGCTAATTATCCTTGGACCAACATGTGTCTAATGAGCTCGGAGATGGAGTTGTCAGTTGTATCGAAGTCCGCAACTGCCAAGCAATGCACTCCAAGAGGAACTGTAGACAGCCTACTTCGAAATAGAATCTCTGCTGACAGGTCGGTATGTAGAGCATGAGTGAGACTAGACTACGAGGCTATATACATACACACACCTCTGGAAAGATTCTATCCCACAGACGTAATGTTTTTTAAGGGTAAAGGACGGCCAACGACCTTCCAGAGGTTTGAAATGGCTTAGAGGCGGTGGTGCTGCGTCTAGTACGAGGAACATCTGTCCGTCTTACCGAATCGGTAATGTTTGTTATCCCTCCCAGCATGACGAGCGACCAACTGCTTCGTCCGGCTATGTACTTCTTGATCCATGGAGTCGTTGCGCGCTGGCACGATGACACTGCTCGGCTTGATGCACGGCAGGGACAGGTACTCCAAGGGGCCCAACGCCTAGCACCAGGCCATGGATGCAAAGGCCAGCCCTGAAAAGCCGTGGTAGTCAATGGAGCCCTCGTCCGCATGGACGTGCAGGTCGCGGTGCCAGGTGTCGTCTGTTTAGCTAAAACTGTGTCCGGGCCTGTTGTCAACTTGTCTCGACTCTCGACTCTCGAGATTTGGACGGACAAGAGATTGCGCTGGAAAGGGGGCTTGAGCTCAGCGAAGCCAGGGCGCCCTTCTCGGCATTGAGAGTCGGAGTAGCGGCCCTGCCAATAGTAGTCGGCTCTCTCCGTCATGGAGGTTGGACCTGTGCCATCTTGCCGAGTCAAGTCGGTCGGTTTAGACACCAAGATAGGAGGTAGGTAATTAGTCATCTGACAGCTCGGAGGCTAATTACTTGTCTGGCTGGGGTGAGTCAGCCTCAGCTCGCTTTAGGGAGCCAATAGAGGCGCGGACCCCCGCGCCTTTAAAGTCGGCGCGGACGTCCGCGCCTGTTATGTAAGCCCAGGCGGAAGATAGTCGGGCCGCCCCCTGACCTGTACTCTCCTTTTCTATTGCATGTGGCAAACTGTCGCACAGAGAGCCAGCCTCATATAGCATACCATCTGCGCTCAGAGTAGTTGTCCGCGGAAGCGATGCTATAATCCGCATATTAAGGTCGAGCGCCTGCATGCGTGGTGCTTGGACCCCATTGAGGCCAAAGCTCAAACGCAGGCTGCATTAAACCTCGCAGGCGGCCTCGGTTACAAGGGTTCTGCACCACGTCCACAAAGCAGGAGTTTCCTTTCCTTTGTGTATAAAGAGCTGCTCACTGTCGTGCACTACAGCTAGCTCTTCAAGATAATTCCAATATGGGGCTTACTGAATTCCCTGACGATTGCCTTCCTCCTGAGGGCCAGTTCGACTCGCGAGAGTCTCTTCTTGCCTCAATTAATGCGTGGGCGGCTCCAAGAGGCTATGCCTTCACCACAGGCAAGTCCACGAGAGACCCGAGATCGGAAGACGCACAGTCATATTTGCCTGCGATCGTGGAGGTAGACTTGGGGCTCATACAAGCAAGGACCAGAAGCCAGCTGATCGGCAACGGTCTACAAGCTCCCGTATCACTGGATGCCAGTTTTCCATCAATGCGAAAGAGAGCCTTGATAAGTCGTACTGGTATGTCAGGCATCGCCCAGGCGAGGAGAAGTCGGTCCACAACCATGAGCCCAGTCTGCATATTACAGCACATCCAGCTCATCGTGCCCTCTCCTCAACTGACCAGTCAGCTATTGGGAACCTCTCAAGCGCTGGCATAGCACCAAAGGATATCCGGACATATATGCGCCAGAGCTCTCAGACTGCCCAGGAGCGACACAGCAAGACATATATAACTGTATCGCACAGCGCAGACGAGAGCTCCTTGCTGGCCAGAGCACAATGCATGCCCTTGCCAATGAGCTTGACAACGAGGGGTTCCAGAGCCGCATACAGCTTGATCATGATGGCCGAGTCACAGCAGTCTTATTCGCACACCCAGCGTCTCTAGGATACCTCAACGCATACCCAGAATTACTACTGCTAGACTGCACATACAAGACGAACAAATATAAGATGCCACTGCTCGATATGATCGGCGTTGATGCCTGTCAGCGGTCATTCTGTATTGCCTTTGCCTTCCTCAGTGGTGAAGACGAAAATGACTATATCTGGGCACTGGACCAACTCCAATCGATATACGAGTTATATGACATTCGCCAGCCATCGGTTATCCTGACAGATCGCTGCCTCGCCTGCATAAACGCAATTTCCCGGTGCTTTCCTGCGTCCAAGTCTCTGCTTTGCATCTGGCATGCGAATAAGGCGGTGCTTAGCTATTGCAAACCAGCTTTCGACCGTGACGATGAGGACTCTAATAGTGATGAGAGGTGGGCTGAGTTCTTTGGGTATTGGCACTCAATCGTGGGCTCGAAAGATGAGAGACATTTGATCAACAAGTTGAAGAGCTCGAGAAGCGCTTTGTGCCACGATACGTCAAGGAGGTTAGCTACATACGGGAAACCTGGTTGGACCCGTATAAGGAAAAGCTCGTCAAGGCCTGGGTCGATCAATATGCTCACTTCGGCAATGTGGCTACTTCCGGGTGGAAGGCATCCACGCATTATTGAAGAGTCACCTTAAGAAGTCAACATTAGACCTCTTCGAGGCAACGAGGGCAATCAAGCAAGCTCTCCTCAACCAACTGGCCGAGCTACAAGCCAACCAAGCCAGGCAGCATATACGGATGCCAATTGAGCTCTCTGGAACCGTATATAGCACGGTACGTGGCTGGGTATCACACGAAGCCTTGCGACAGGTTGCAAAGCAACACAAGCGCCTCAACGAGAAAAACACCCCATCTTGCACAGGCAGCTTCACCAAGTCTCGCGGTCTCCCTTGTGCGCACGCATTACAGTCTCTCATAGTGGAAGATCTGCCCCTCCGGCTACAACATTTTCATACACATTGGCGCCTTCGACGGGATAACAAAGAGATTGGTCAGGTCCTCATAGAGCCTCGTCGGCGACTAGACCAACTTGTCGCCGCATCAAGGATATCACAGTCATCCACACAGCGCGAGCCAAGTGCATTTGAAGCCATAGAGTCAGATCTACGGCCAAAGGCGCCGCCTACATGCAGCAAATGCCACCAGCAAGGGCACATCATGACATCTCGCAATTGTCCTTTACGCTATAGCGACATACTGCAGCGGGCAGAGGCACGGGCGGCACAGACTGCAGAGACTGCAGCAATTGCAGGGACTGCACAGACTGCACAGACTGTACAGACGGTAGCAGTTCCAGAGACTGCGCAGACTGCAGCAGTCATGGAGAAAATGACAGTTGCAGTCACTACGGTCTCTACAGTCTCTACAGCAATTGCAGAGACTACAGAGACTACAGAGAATCTATTATATGATGACCCACGAGCCATCTATCAGAGGTATGTCAGGAAAGAGACTCTTGGTATAGAGCACAGCCTCGCGGCAGTCTCAAGACCAACCAGGCATACCGAAAGGCAATGGGCTTGCCATTGCGCTACAGCAAGACTGAATATGACTGGTGCCTCGACTGGAAGCAAATGTCAAGGAGCTGCGGCTCGAGGCAATGGACCAAGGTAGAGATGATGGCATACCTTGATTGGGATAAGGCAGAAGAAGAGCGATTAGATGCCCGGGTGGCCGAGGAAATTCAGGTGCAGCCTTTCTCACGAGAAAGAGGTACTGCAGGTATATGGGCTGACTGCGAGAGAGACTCAGAGGAACAGCAGGCATTTTATTCACATATATAAGTGGTGATGATGCCGGCGATGCGAAAATGTGAGGCAGATCGTGAGATCACCGACATGCACCGGCGTGTAGCACTGTAGCTGGCCAATTTTAAGGCGGTGAACTTCCCGCGCACCCTCCCTTGCCACGCAACAGCGGCGCCCTTTGCGTCACGTCAATCTACCAAATAGGGAAGGCTATGGGTTCGAACCTAAGGGATATCCTCCTTTGCAATTAATTGAAGCTATATGTATGCAGCAAGCATGCTGTATCGGTGAGGCCGACTGCGAGCGCAGTTGGCGGCGGCCCAAATGGCCTGCCAGGCTTACATAACAGGCGCGGACGTCCGCGCCGACTTTAAAGGCGCGGGGGTCCGCGCCTCTATTGGCTCCCCTCGCTTTAGCACGCATTTTCAAGGCAGACATGTGACTTGCTCGCTGTACCCCACAAAACAAGCCCAACCAGCCTCTAGGTAGTTACAGTGTGTACTTACAGTAGTAGGTATTAGCTAATTAACGGCCCATCAACCAAGGAAGAGGGACACAGAGAGAGACACAGAGAGAGACACAGAGAGACACACAGAGAGACACACAGAGAGAGACACAGAGAGAGGCGGCCGAGGGAGAGAGGGAGAGGGAGAGGGAGAGGGAGAAGGAGAGAGCCGATTTGAGTTTTCTGGCGCGCGCACTCGACAGCAGAGCCAGGAACTCTCTTCAGCTACTCTGCTGTCTCTTCATGACATATACATGCAAAGCGACTGCGTGTTTCATCCCGTCGCTGGCTCTCGGACGTCTGGTGGGAAAGGGGGGTGAATCTTCATCATCTCACCATCACTATCGGCCTCACCACCGCCTCTACATACATCTCCTCTGCTCTCTTCACCCCTGTCATCCCCCCGCACATCATGAGCCTGACGAATCCGCCGTCGGGGCCCGGTTCCGTGAGCGCTGGTGGAGCCAACAACAGCAGCAGCACCTCCAAGTCGCTCAAGCGGAGCGTGCAGGCGGCGTTTGCTGGTACGTTCCTTTTTTTTGGCCCGTTATCCAAAACGTCTCCTTTGTGCAGTACATAATCCCCAGCCTCGTGATCTATCTTGTCAATTTTTTCCCTTTCTCTTTCTTCCCTCCAGCACCCAAATGAGCGAGTGAGTGAGCGAGAGAGAGAGAGAGAGAGAGAGAGAGAGAGAGGAAGGAGGGGCGACAAACGGCCACTCGCTTCCTTCCTTGCTCCCCATCACTCTTCTTTCCCTCTCCTCTCTCCCCATCTCCTCTCTCCCCGTCTCCTCCTCCTTCCCCGTCTCCTCCTCCCTCACCGTCTCCTCCTCCAACCTCACTTCTGCATCGCTCCCCCATGGCACCGTCATCATTGCCGAGTCTCCCCCGACCACCATGCCGCTTCGCCTGCGCCAAGGCGGCCTCGCCCACCACAACAAGCCCTCGTCGTCGTCGGCTCACCGTCGCTCGCCCCCAGATCATCATGACCGCCCCCCCGGCTTCCAGCCCCGCGCCCGCGTCACCGACTGCTACCGCATCGTTGGCTTCATCAGCAGCGGCACCTACGGCCGCGTCTACAAGGCCGTCAGCCGCAGCCCCGCCTCGCGCAACCCCACGGCCGCCCCCTCCCCGTCCCCCGCCGGCGCAGAGGTGGCCATCAAGAAGTTCAAGCCCGACAAGGAGGGCGAGCAGGTCAGCTACACGGGCATCTCCCAGAGCGCCATTCGCGAAATGAGCCTCTGCAGCGAGCTGCGCCACGCAAACGTCATCCGCCTCGTCGAGATCCTGCTCGAGGACAAGTGCATTTTCATGGTCTTCGAGTACGCCGAGCACGATCTCCTGCAAATCATCCATCACCACACCCAGCAGCCGCGCCATCCCATCCCCCCCGCCACCGTCAAGAGCATCATGTTTCAGCTGCTCAACGGCTGCCAGTATCTCCACACAAACTGGGTCCTCCACCGCGACCTCAAGCCCGCAAACATCATGGTCACCTCGGCCGGCGAGGTCAAGATTGGCGACCTCGGCCTCGCCCGCCGCTTCGACAAGCCCCTGCACTCCCTCTTCAGCGGCGACAAGGTTGTCGTCACCATCTGGTACCGCGCCCCCGAGCTCATCCTCGGTTCCTACCACTACACGCCCGCCATCGACATGTGGGCCGTCGGCTGCATCTTTGCCGAGCTGCTCTCCCTCAGGCCAATCTTCAAGGGCGAGGAGGCCAAGATGGACAGCAAAAAGACAGTGCCCTTTCAGCGCAACCAGATGCAGAAGATTGTCGACATCATGGGCCTGCCCACCCACGACCGCTGGACCCTGCTGCCCACCATGCCCGAGTACGGCCAGCTCAGCACGCTCCAGGCCCCCGCCTCGCACCACCTCGGCCTGCACCCCCACCAGCAGCACCACGCCCACCATCACGCCCACCACCACCACCACTCGTCGTCGTCGGCACGCGCCGCCGCCGGCTCCAACCTCGAGCGCTGGTACTACAACACCATCTCAGGCGGCTCCTCGAGCGCCGCCTCGTCGTCGGTCCCGTCGCTGACGTCGCTCGGCGCCGAGGGCTACAAGCTGCTCGCCGGCCTGCTCGAGTACGACCCCGTCAAGCGCCTGACGGCCGCCCAAGCCTTGCAGGCCGTCTTCTTCAGCACGGGCGACCGCGTTAGCACAAATGCCTTTGAGGGCCTCAAGGTCGACTACCCGCACCGTCGCGTCAGCCAGGATGACAACGACATTCGCACCAGCAGCCTGCCCGGCACCAAGCGCAGTGGACTGCCCGACGACTCGCTGCTGCGGCCCTCGAAGAGGGTCAAGGAGTGATTGTTCCCGCCTCGTTTCTCATCACTATTTATTTCTGGGTCGCCATGTATATTGACTCTGGACATTGGCGCGGGTGCCTTGGTGTTTGACATTTACGGCATATACTGGGCGGGATCGGCGTTGGGAGTGCTTTGGTCTGGACAATAGTCTCGTGTTGGAGCGAAACAAGAGGGCTACTTTTCAGTGAGGCAAGCGAAGGGTTACCTTGGAGTGAGACAAAGAGAAGAGCTGCATTGGAGCAACAAGAACAGGCCCTCTTTGGCAAAAACAGGCGACGAACGCGCCGCGCCAGACGTTGGCCTAGTATTAGCATCTGAAGGTAAATAGAAAAAAAGTAGCTCCTCGCGCCTCTCCGTCAAAAACCGCTCTCTTCCGTCTACTTGCTCTCGCCTTCTCTTTATCTCCTCTTTATCTTTCCGCCTCTCTCTCGCTTGGTGCCTCGCCCTTTTTCGGAGACCACTACGCCTCCGGCACGCTGTCAAAATATCGTCCTCGCTTTCTTCCCCGCCGGGACGGGGGAGGGGGGCCTTTGAATGGCCTGCCTTGCCTGCTCTGCCTGACCTGACTCTCTGCGGGTATTTTCAGACCAAGGAAAAGGTTGGGGGGGGGGAGTGGGGGGGGGATTCAAACAAAAGGAAAAAGAAAGGGAAAACGGGGGAGGGTTGAAAAGGGGCGGCGGAATGGAGAAGGAGAGAGGAAAAGAGAAGACGAGGGGAGGGGGAACAGCGCTTGAGATGGCGGGATTTCCGTGCGAGACCGCGCCCACCCAACGGAGGCAGCCGCCGAGCATGCCTCTGAGCGGCGGAAGAAGCGCATGGTTGGTTTTTGTCCTTGGTCTCGATGCGGATGGGAGCAGCGGTGCCGTCGCAGGGTCGAGTATAGCGCCGAGGGGGGGCTGGAGAGGTGTGTCGCCAAGGAACCGCTTTGGGCCTGGACGGGCTGCGTCAGACGGGGCAACGTCTCGTCTGGTCCTTGATGCCTAACCGGCCGCGTCATTGGGAGAAGGGTCATCGCTTGGGTATCCCGTAACGGACTGGCGTTGCTCTCCCGGGATATATGGAGGGGAACGAGGGGGGGCAGGCTCGCAAGACGCTCCATGTCCCCTCGTGTCCCTTTTCCTTGCTTGTTTCGTCTATTTTTCAAATTCCCCTTATCTTTTCTCCTCCGTGCACGCCCGTGTCCCCCCGAACATCGCGGCGCTACTTCTTGACGGGCGTAGGCGGGGCCTTGACATTGTTGGACAGCCAGGCGAGGCCTTCGAGCAGGCCCTCGCCCGTGGTGGCGCAGCTGGGCACCACGTACCAGACCTTATCCTTGAGCTTGGATAGCTGCAGGGCCTCGGTCACCTCCTGGGGTTTCATGGCCTCCTTGAGGTCCTGCTTGTTGGCAAAGACGAGCAGTAGGCTGTCCTTCATCTCGCGGTCGTTGATGATGCGGTGCAGCTCCTGGCGGGCCTCGTCGATGCGGTTGCGGTCGGCCGAGTCGATGACGAAGATGAGGCCTTGGGTGCCTGGGGGTAGGAAACAGAGTTAGCCTCGCTTGTCACGCCAAACGGCACACGATTCTCGCACAAGGGGGGGAAGAGACGACGCACCGCTAAAATAATGCCTCCACAGAGGACGAATCTTGTCCTGGCCGCCGACATCCCAGACGTTGAATTTGACGTTCTTGTACGTGACCGTCTCGACGTTGAAGCCGACGGTGGGGATGGTGGTGACGTCCTGGCCGAGCTTGAGCTTGTAGAGGATGGTTGTCTTGCCGGCGGCGTCGAGCCCGAGCATGAGCAGGCGCATCTCCTTGGAGCCAAAGATTTTGCCCATGACCTTGGATAGCTGGCCACCCATGACTGCGGCTGAGGTCGTTGTCGACCCTTTTTCTCTCTGCGCGCGCGCGTGTGTGTGAGTATGCTTTGTATGTCTCTTTCCGCCTATCGACACGAAGCGACTGTGCGCGAGGGCGCGCTCGTCTGCGGACGGGGGGGAGGCGAGAGGAATCGCGCTCGCGGGTAATTCGTCACCCAAGATTGGTCGCTGTAGTTTTGGCAGCGCGGTGGCTGTACGGAACTCGATAGGGGGTCTCTCGAGGGATCAGACCAGGAGGAGTCACGGATTGGGGCGGGGACGAGGTAGATGGGAGGATAGAATGGCCGAGACGGCAAGCGGACGAGCAAAGTTGAGGGATCCTTCTTGTGAGGGAAAGGGGGTCGACGCGCGGCGAGTCGAGGCAGGCACGGACGGAACAGAGGTGCAAGCCAATGCGTGCGGGTGCGTGTGACGAGGAGGGATTTTCTCCGGTCGTGGTGGATGGTGGATGGTGATGGTATGGTGATGATGGCGGTGATGGTGGTGGTGGTGGTGGTGGTGGTGGTGGTTGATAGGAATTTCCAGGGGGGGCCAAGTGACCACGGGGTTCGGCCAGGGTACCTCGCCGAGTACAGCACCAAAATTCATGGATGGGCCCCGTGTGTTTCAGATGCGTCTGCGTTTGAGATGTCCTTCTTGCCTTGCGCAGCTTTTTTCTTCCTATCTTCGTCGTTTCCTGTCCTTTACATTTTGAGCTACCGAAACAAAAAGAACGAAAAAGCGCCCTTTCGAAATGGGCTGGTCTGGTCGTATGTAAGGTACGGGAAAAGGGAGGCATGCCAAGTGCCATGATCCCTACACAGGTACTCCGTACTGTACTTTGCGTACAGTACACTGGCGCTGTAGCAGCGGGAGCATGAGCCCTGTAGCGAATGGATGGGTACCTGCAGCCAGGGGCGCGTCTCCATTTCAGCCACTCGTGTCACACCCGAATCTAATCCCATCGCCATCAACGATACTCGGCACGGGCCAGACCAAGGCCCGTCATCAAGGGACGCTGTTCAGACTTGAAAGTGGAAATGCCAGTCAGTCAGTCTCGCAGCGTTCGACAGGGAGTCACGCCTCGTTCGACCCCTATCATATGCAACACGCGCGCCTCATCACGGTGCCTGGTCTGATGCAATGCCACCCGCTCATACATACAAGTACCGAGCACGCAGCTACTCAAGGCAATCAGGGTGCCTTTGCATATGCCCCTGTGCATCTGTAATTGGTTGCCGTCACCTCGCCGTCTCTATACTTGCACTGTACTCCCAACGCCCGCATGGCTTCTGCCGCCGACAACAGACCATCCCAATCCTGCAAGCAAGCCCCTTCATTTCAAGCAAAGGGGACGCTGAAAAGTAAAGAAAAAAGTAAGCAAAAAAAAGATCGACTTCACGCCCGGTATTCAATGACAAACCGCCGTTCCACCTGCTGCAGCGTCGTAGAGTCGTTTTCGCCCTCAAATTTGAGGTTGACGCGCCCGTCGCCGTCCATGCTGTGCACCTCGGCCTTGTAAAACGTCGTCGTGTTGGGGTACAGCGCAAGCACCACCTTGCCCGCCTCCCAGTCGCGCAGCGTCGCCGCCTGACTCTCGGCCGTAATCGCAATCATGTTGCTGGCGCTCGAGCGATACTCCTTTTGCTTGCTCTGGTCGTCAGGCTCAATGTCCAGCACCCGGTACCGCCGGCTCTTGCCCTCGCCTAGCACCTGCGCCACCTCACCCAAGATCCAGTCTGACGACGACTCGCCACTCGCCGCCTTAGGCTTGAACGCCACCGCGTCACCCTTGGAGAAGACCACCCGCGACCGGTTGTTGTTGTTGCCGCCGCTGCCCCCGGGCCCCTGCGGCTCCACGCTGTCTGCCTTGGGCGGCATGCTGTCGCGATCGCGGTTGCTCGACCGGTCGCCGTGCTTGCGCGTCGACGCCGACGAGCCGCCGCCACCCATGGGGCTCGGCACGGGCGAGTCGCCGCCGCCATCAAAGTCATAGAGCGATGCGGTCGCCGCCGTGGCCGCGGCGGCGCTGTCGCGGGCGGCGGCCCTCTTGCTGGGCCCCATCGACGTCGCGGCCGACGCCTCGGCCTGCTCCTTGGCCACGACGACGGCGCGCAGAATCTTCAGCTGCTCCGTGACGGCCTTGAGGCTGCTCATGTTGGCCTCGGAGAACTTGACGCCTTTGCGGCACAGCTGCTCCATCTGCTTGAGGGAGTCGGCGGGGACCTTGTCCGGGTCCGTGACGCCGACGCGCTTGTCGAGGTCGACGAGCTCGGCGAGGCTGTCGTTTTCGGCGTTGATGCCGGCGACAATCTCGGCCATCTGCAACTTGCAGGCGTCCCAGATCTGGGCCTCCTCGCCGTGCGAATTGTTGCCGTTGTTGCGGTTGGAGCCGCGGCCGCTGCGGTTGCGCTGAGACATGGCCTGGTCGTGGCGGGCGCTTGGCGTGGGGGGGTTGCTGCTGCCGCTACCGCTGTCAAGGCCTCCTCTGCGCGGCGGCGTCTGCTGAAAGTAGGGGCCCAGTTCCTCCTTGAGCTTGTCGAGCTCCCTGCGGAGCTGCTTGTGCCTGTCAGCCATGCCGCTTTGCCTGCCCCGCCTGCACGGTCCGGGTCTCGGAGGTGGTGGGAAAATCAAAACAGCGACAGAATTATGCGAGGCAATTCTCAAAGGATAAAAAAAAAAGAAAGGACGCACAAGCCGCAGAGGAGCCTCGGCCCTCAAGCCCGGGCGCCTGGCTCTTGCGATGGACGAGACATTTTCGGAAAGGGAATCACGGCCGAATACAATACGACTCTGGACAGGGGCAGCAAGTGCCAAGGCCATGGAGGGGAAGGAAGGAAGCAAGAGCAAGAGGATGGAGAAAAAGAAAGGAAGACGCAAGTCGAAGAGAAAAAGGAAATAATAAACAACTCACGTACTGATTGAGCCTGTAATGATGGTGAGGACGAGGGTGAGGGAGGAGGAAAGGGGGCGAGAGGGAGAGAAGCAGCGAGGGAGCGAGAGATGGTGCCCTCGAGCAGACGTCAACCCATTTTATATGTGAACCCACGACGCGAGGCTGCAGGTAAAAATGGCGGCGGCGGCGGCGGCGGCGGCAGCAGCTTTTCTGTTGGGGAGAGAAAATGTATAAAACCCTTTTGAAGCGCGCCGCCCCGGATTGTTGGCGGGACCAGATCAACAAGGAGGTTCTTGGTGGTTCATCCGAGACGAGCGCATCGACGCCCCGAGTGTCGGCAGAAAGACGTCGCGTGACCCGACTCGGCAGAATGCGGGCGGTGAGCCGGCGGCAGGTACATTTCACTGCCACAGGTACTTGATCGGAGCTATGAGAATGGTGGATGCGGCGGGTGCCCCAGTGTTGCATCATCTCGTCGTATGTACCTGAGGACCGTCGTCATGTGACTTGTAAGTCTGCCATCCATCCGACCTACTCTCGTCAGCCTCATTTTCCATCTGCCTCATCTCTTTGTATGGTTTCCACGGCCCGTCACACAATCCTACAGCCTCTGCCTGTCCGATGCGTCGTCCACCTCGCAAAATGCCTTGAAGGTCGTAAACTCGCCGTCGTCCCCCACCGCCCCGGCCTCGAGCACGCACTCGGCCGTCGACCCGACAAAAAACACGTGGCCCTCGCTCACGTCGAGCCTCGTCGTCCCCACCGCAATGGTGCCCTTTCCGCTCGTGCACATCACAATGCTCGGCCCGTCAATGGGCTCAAACGTTGCCTTGGCCCCCTCGCCCCGCAGCAGCGTCCGCACCACGGCGAACTCGTCAATTGGCGGGTCGTAGAGCACTACGGCCGACCCGGAGCTGTAGGCGATGCGGTTGAGCGTCGCGTAAGGATACGCCGTCGGGACCATCTTTTGCTCCTCAATCGGCGCGTAGTTGTACGTCAGCATGTCGACGAGCGTCGCCACGTCCTTGAACTTGGGCGTCAGCCCCGCCCGCACCACGTTGTCCGACGCAGCCATGCACTCCATGATGTCGCCCGACACGTAGGCATGGATGTCATCGGCCCCGAGGAAGAGCGCCTCGCCCGGCTGCAGCGTCACAAAGTTAAGCAAGAAGAGCACCGCTAGGCCAATGTCGTGCCCAAACTGCCCGTGCAGCCGCGTCACCAGCTCTGCCAGCGTCTCGCCCGCCGTTGACGCAACGCCGCCCCCCGCAAACTTGGCGCCCTCCGACTTGGCCAAGTCGACGAGCTGCGGCAGCTCGCGCTCGAGGCTCTCTGCCGACGACGACATGAGACCGCCAAACGCCGCCTTCAGCGCCGCCTTGCAGGCCTGCTTGTCCTCGCCGTTGTCCTTGGCGGCCGCCCGGGCGAGGCCGCTGGCCTTGTCCTCCCCTACCAGCCGTCTCAGGGGCGGCAGGGTGTCGAGGAAGTGGGCCACCTCTGCGAGAGGGCGAAAGCCGCACAAGCCCTCAAAGGGGGTGATGGCAATGGCCATTTCGGGCTTGTGGTTGTCGTCGGGGTAGTTTTGGGGGTCCCGGGCGTGCAACTGCTCGGCGAGCTTCTTGTTGGGGTGGGCCTGGATGGAGAGGGCCTTGTTGATGGAGAGGACCTTGAAGAGAAAGGGCAGCCTGTCGCCGTAGCGTGCCGAGACGGTGGTGGAGAGGAGGGCCTTGTTGCCTGTGAAGAGGTCGACGAGGGTGCGGCCGGTGGCGAGGTCCTTGGATGGGTTGGAGGGGTGTGTTCCCATCCACAGCTGCAGAAACGACGGTCAATCTTTCTCCCCGTCTCTGGAGGAAGCGCGCGTACCTCGGCGTAGGGCTTGCCCGGCTCTATCGACAGCGGCTCCGAGGGCGTGGCGGCGGCGAAGCGGGCGACGGCCGAGCCGGAGCCCTTTTTGCCCCATTCGTACGAGTTGACGCCGCACCCGAGGCGGAAGAGGGGGACCTGCATGGCGGGCGCTCGCTCTCTGGATGTTGATGGCTGCTCTATTCGGATATTTCGTTGGCGTCGAGGTTCTTCTCACCAGTTGATCAAGGACGAAGAGAGAGAGAATCGCCGTCTGTTGTTGATGGGAATTGGAGCTGTGCCGGCGGGAGAGGACGAGAGGTCTCGGGCAATGGAGGGTTGAGAATGGCCGTGGTTGTCCAGCTGGCTGAAGCTGGTGGTGACAGTTGAAGCTACTACCACCTACCCCGCTATGTGGAAATGACCCCGCCGCCACTGGCCGCTGCCGATTTCCCCACCGGCAGCGAGCTACCCTACACCCACGAGAGCTCCCACGAGAGCTCCCACGAGAGCTCCTCCAAAGCTTCATCTTGACCTTGACCAATCGCCCATTTTCGGCAGGACGACATCTACAGGACAGGCCCGGGAGACTGTGAATCGAATCTTGCAACAGAAGCCCTCAACTCAAGTGTCCAGATAAAAAGAGCTGCCCTCTTCCTCGGTGAAAACCAGTTTACCTCCTCTATCTCACCAGCCTCCTCACCTCCCCCCTCCCCTATCCCGTCCATCCACCCACCCCATCTCCCATCTCCCTCACTCATCATCGCCTCGCCCCGCCTCCCGCGTTGTTGGCACCCGCACCCGCCCTTGCAGACCGCCTTTCTCCCGCCTGAGCGTCACCGACGGGCACGTACATGACACCTCACGCCCCTTGCGGGTGGCTGCCGTGCCAGATCGGGACCGGAGCCTCGGCCTCGGCAAGACCCCCGTCCGTCCCGTCTGTCTGGGGTCCAACAGGAGGGGGCAGGTTTGCGTCCAACAGCCTTGAAGGCGGGCCGTCGAGGCTCCCGCCGACGTGCAGAGGACGATGGAAGAAGCATCAGACACGAAAAGAAGGAGATTGCAAATGCATGAAAAAAGGGAGAATAAACACACTCAAAAGACCTGGCGGTAGTCTCCGTAGAGGCCTGGACCGCAATAAAAAAGAAAAGGTCAAAAATAATGACATAAAAACCCCTTATCCCGTTGGCCCTCCCCCTTGTTGGCCCCGTCACCCTTGCCCTCCCGCCAACAACAGACTCAAGCCCGCATCTTGACCGACGACGGTGGCTGTCTGCCGTCCCCTGCAGCCCCTCCCTTGTCCGCGCCCGCATCTGCGGCAATGATGCACCCCTCGTGGGCGCTTCCGCTCTGCTGCTGCTGCTGCTGCTGCTGCCGGCGGTGGAAGATGTACGACGGTTGGCCGTTGTCGTGGGGGGGGGGCATTCTCGTCGAGCCGGAGTCGGCTGTCGAAGCGGACTGGTGAGGCTGGCGAGGACGTTGCGGGTGTTGGTTGTGATGGTGATGATGGTGTTGATGGTGTTGATGATGGTTGTTCTGGGGGAAAGCCGACTCCGAAAGCGCACTGTATCCCGTCTCAGGTCCCGACGACGCCCGCAGAGACCCCTCGGCGCCCGGCAACAGCCCTGACGACGCCGCCGTCACAAACACGTCGCCCGCCCGGCTCATCTGCCCGGCCATGCTCTGGCTTCCATACGGCAGCTGGGCGCTTTCGAAGCCGTGGTATCCGCCGCTCACCGCCGACGACGATGAAGACGACGAGTCCATCGCTGCTGCCGCCTGCTGCGGATTCCTCCTGTAGTCTGCCGATGCCGATGCCGCTGCCGCCGTGGCGCCGTCCGTCGAGTACGGCGAAGGCGGCGGCTGCGGACCGGGGCCGGGGCCGGGAACGGGCAGCCCTCGAGCTTCCCCGGGCATCCTATGCGTGCCGGTGCCGTTCAGCGAGCGAGACTGGCCCGGGCTGGCCAAGCTCTGAAACGCTAAACCCCCCGTATCCGCACCGGGCCGCTGCCGCATTCCCGCCACGGCGGCGGCGGCGGTCGACACGTTGCCGTACGCAAAGGGGCTCTCGGCATCCACGAACAGGAGCGGTCCGCCTGGCTGCTTCGCCGAAGGCGTGCCAGAGGCCAGGCGGTAAGGCGTCGCCAGGTAGGAAGTGTCGGCCACGGTCTGGAACGACGGCGGGCACATGGTGTAATCCACGCCTGGATCGTCGGCATACCCGCTGCCCCATCCCATGGTGGAAGCATGATAGTGCTTGCTGCCGCCGCCGCTGCTACTGTACGAGCTGGCCGCACAAGCGCCGCCTCCTCCACCAGCTCCACTGCCCGCTCCTCGGTAGCCAGACAAGGCCGTGTTCTCAGCAAGCCCCAAGCCGCCGTCCGTGTAGGCACTCAGGCTCAGAATCGGCACGGCCGAGGACCCGCGGGCCTGGACGAGGCGCGAGGCGTCGAGATTGTACGAAAAGTCTCCCTTGGCCGGAACTTCTTCAGATAAGACCTTAAAGGGGGGAGAGAGGTAAGCTTGTAATTCCTCACGGCGTCTTGTCCCGCCATAACGAGTGCAATGGAGATAAGGCAAGGAAAGGGTAAGCAAGGCATCGGACGCATACACGTAGGAACCGGCAAGACTCGGAGCCGGCATTTCTGCAGTTGACGCAGGGAATGCCGTTTCCTGCGTCTCCGCTGCATCGAATCTTTCTCTTGCGACAACGGCCACACTATCCTCGCCCACTTCCATTAGCTCCCGTCATCCATTTATCAGGGTTGGGCGTTCCAGAGGGGGAGGAAAGGGGGAGGGTCAAGCAACAGCGCAGCAAGACGACGCAAGCAAGACGGGATATCTTCTCACCGCAACAGAGATCCGCTTCCTCTGGGACGTCGTGTCATCCGCCCCGTCAGGCATCATGGCAGTGCAGTTCGGTTCGCGGTGCTCAATCGCCCTGCTGCGCTCCACGTACGACGGGAGATATGGTGTGCGCGGCTGGTATCGCCTGGCGGCCGCGCTCGTGGGGAAACAGGCCGTGGGGACCATGGTGGCGAAGTAAATGAAAAAAAGCTGTTGCCGGGTCGATAAATTTCGAGCCTTCGCCGCCCAAAGGCGTTTGCAGGGCGATGAGGCTGTGCGGGGGGTCAAGGGGACAGTGAAAGAGGACGAGGTAAAAAGGGGGGGCACGAGCTGAGGGCAAGCAGATCACCGATCAAAGCTCGATAAACAAAAGGCTCTTTCTCTCTCTCTCTTTTCTTATTTCCCCCCTCCCCTTTCCAAAGGCTCGTTCACTCCCGTCAACGGCGGGTTTTCCCTTTTCAAGCACGGGAAGGCGGACTTTAGTACTCGTTGTCTGCGTTTGCTTGCGAGCCCGCCAACTCTCTCTCCCGCCTTAATCGGTGAGGAGGGGGGTGGGGGGTGTTTATCAACTGACAGGTGTGTGTGGTGTCCATGTGTTGCCCTCACCAGAGACGAACCGTGTGTCCGCCGCAGGGCTGCTGCTGCTGACCAAACGACGAAAGGGGGGGGGGGGGTAGAAGTAGAAGAAGAAGAAGAAGAAGAAGAAGGTCCTCTGTTGCCTCGTCTGTGTGTGCCCCCACTCTCGCTGCTCTCTGCGCATACGAGTGGCGTGCCAGATTGGAAACGACAGGGGGAGGGGATCACCGCTGGGCTCCTCGCAGTCGATACTTGAGGAACCGGAGAGACGGGTGCTTGATAGACGTCAAAGGGGGGAAACGCAGAGAGAGGAGACGTACGGTCGGCTCAGGGCAGCATCTGGTAGCTCCGTCATGTCGTTGCACTTGCTCCCCCCCTCGTGTACGACTCTGGCCGCCCCCGACCTGAGCCTGTCCGTTGCAGTCAGTCCGATGCTCCGGCTCTGTTTGCATAGACATCTGCTTTCCCGCCACACCCCCCACCCCCCTGGCTCTGGCGCTTTGCCGGCGATTTGCAACGGTTCCCGTCTGTCGTCCGTCCTTCCTGTATCCCCCCCTCCCCAACTCTAGATTGGACAAAGAGACCGCCTGTAGATAAGCAAAAGTGACTGGGTGTCTGAGAAACGGTGCCAGCTCTCTGAACGTGCCTCCCGGTACACGGCATACGTCACTTGCCAGCTTCTTCTCCTTGCCCCGGGACCCCGACCCCCTTTGCTCACACCACGATTCACATCCGCCACCCTGCGATTGTAGCGGGGAGTTCACACATAGACACAGACACCCGTTGAGGGGGAGTAAGTATCCTCGTTGGTCCCCGAGGCCTTGTTGGAAGAGGAAAAGACGAAGAGGGGGGACGAACAGGCCATGGTCGTGTAACTGCAGGGAGACGAGGGTCCGGCGCATGGCATCCAGACATACAACGGACAGGGCAACTCGGCCGAGAAGATTGCTTGGACGTTGGATTCGGTTGACGCTTCATGCCGCCGGCCAATCTGATTAAAGTTCTCATCGTCTCAGACATTTTGAGACGGCGGCCCTGTCGAAACAACACACACGCGCACCCCTCCCCCCAGTCTCTCCCTCTCCCTCCCCCCACGACGATCTCTTCTCCTCTCTCGAGCGATTACCACAGCCGCAGTTCGCCGCGGCTGACTAGGAGCATATGCCCCCTCCCCCCCGGCTCCTCGCCTGAGCTGGTCGGCACTTCATTGGCCCTGACAATCATCACTCCACTCTCTGAAGCTCCGTGGCAATCATGGCTCCACCCTCCGAACCTCGGGCGGGTACACGCCTCATCCCGGCTGGGCACTTGTGGGAGACACCGCCTCGATCGTGTAGACTCGTCTGTTGTGCCTGGAGACGTCCTGCCTCCACTTCGGCCATGCCCTCCGACTCTCCTTCAGTCTCCTGCCTCGCCGCCGTCTGCTCGTTTCAGCATCACCACGAGTCCATAGAGTAAAGGCCAGTATCAAGATAAGCTCCAGCTTTCAGCACAGCTCGCCAACGGCCCATGTGAAGCCAGACGAGCAGGATGCAGCACACCACCCTCATCGTCATATGTATGACGGCCGGAGGATGCCCCTGTGGACTGCACGCCGTCGTACGAGATCGCGGCCCAAGCAACACACGCCACGCCCCCCTGCAAAGGTCCTGGCTGGACCTCCAAACGCACAAACGTCAACAGGTGTCATGCACCTCAGGGCTCGCTCGTCAGGGGAGGGGGGGTATGCAGCAGCAGATGCCTCCGCTACCTTTTGCCGTGTAACCGAGCCCAACAGTGTCGATTTCGTCAAGAAGAGGGGAGACGAGAAGACAAACCCCCGTGCGGATCTTCATGGGCTGCATCTATGGTGTGCGGCCAAACGCCCCGGCATGTCGGCGAGATAATAACCCCCCCAAGACGGGTATAAAAGGAAGAGGGTGGGTCATGTTGCTGAGTCGTTTACACGCTAAGTGGCGCATTCGTCGCCGAGCGGTCGGTGCGAGGTTGCAGATGGGACACGTGCTGCTCAGACAAACGGCGGAGGCTTTGCCCTCTCCTCCGTCAGGGCCAGCCTCCAAGCCCTGCCCCGGGAGGGACGTTGACAGCCGACTTGCACCGTGAGAGTCCTCTTTGTCGAGAGGATCAGCGGTGATGAGCCGCATGGGTAGAAACACGAGCGTCTTGCTCTCAGCGGCGACTCAGGTCTCTGCGAGTTGGTACCTAAGCCGGGTCTGAGATGCTTGGCTGCGCATCTTTCAGCCTCAAGTCCCTTCAGTGTTCTCTCGACGCTTAACTCCGACCAGCCCAGGGTCAAGACCCAGTAAGAAGAGGAAAAGGGCACACGGGGTTTGTCACCCCATGGCCTTGTTCGACGGCTAGCCCAAGCCCGACATCTCGCGGTCGTACAGGCGCAAAGGCGCCACCCAAGGTTGGCAGCTCGCTCACTCTGGCCCTGCCCTCGCGTGTAGCAAGGCGTGGTGCACTGATTTGACGCCACGAGTTACGCCAGGAGCAGCGAGTTGTTGCTGCGTCCGAATTCTGTCTCGACGCAATCTGGTGCGCAACACCAAAGGTGTTGTGCCCTCGCCGACGCGTGAAGGGCAAGCAGCCGCAAGGAACTACTGGCGCCATGTTGTAATTTTAGCATCGTCGTCGACCGATTACCGGTGGTGCTCCGTCAAACCGGACGCCAGACGCTTCTCGGCTCCAACACAGTGTCGTCACTGACGATACGGGCTGCAGGCCAAGCAGGCTAGCGAGCCCTGCTGCACGTTACTGAGTCCGCCACCTGAAGACGGAATTGGGCCCTGCAGCGATATCGCAGCCTTGGGTTGGAGGACCCCCATCCTTATCACTGGACAGCAAGGGGGGTGTGCTGTTGTTTATCCCTTGATGGTCGTTGGAACAGAGCGCTCGGTTGCCTATCCAGCGGCCCGTTGGTGCTTGGCTGTTGGCTCCGTCCGATGATGAGCATCAGCCACATAAGCTCAGACTCGTAGACGACCAGTGATCTCGTCAACGCGGCCCACAAGGCGCCTTACGCTAAGGATTGCCTGTTTGCCTGAGCACGTTCAACAAGACACCCGCCCCACGACGAGTCCTGTCGTGAGCGGCCTCACATCCTTGGGACGACTTGGACAACCGTCTCTTCAAGGCAGACAGACGGGTCTTGACATGGGAGGATGCTTGCCTGTAGGTGTCGAAAGCCCCGTCCGCCTTACAACTGTCTCACCTGCCGGTGAGAGCGACGCCATGCCCATCTTTTCAGCGACTCATCGGGTTGGGTCGCCCGGATCGACCAGTGGCAGCGTTGGGGTCTCTGCTCGCCTAGAGCACATAGTGGCTGGATATTGACCCTGCCCTGATCAATCACACCGCGCTTCTCGGAGCATCGGGAGGGACGCACTCGACATGACGCTTGCTGCGTAGTCGGGTAGCCAGCTAATGAATTTGCTTCTTGTTGGTGCCTCTGCCAACCCAGGCACGGCGTTTCGCCGCGTATGACCAGTGAGAAGTGTCGACGGCACTGTTCGTCTGCGGCGCAGTGTCGAAGCTCCGCCAGAAAGCGAGGACCAGGCCGCCCGAGGACTCAGGCGTCTGCCATGGCGTGACGATATACGTCGTGTCTAGCAGGCGGCCGGCGCAGAATGCCTCTCCCCCTCCCACTGTCCCTTCTCTCCCCCGTGGATTTACAGGCCGGCTACGAGGGACCCGAGCGTCCGACTGGCCCGCGTTTCGTACCACGCCGACTGCGCAGTCAGCCGAGGTGCAACGTCTGCGGTACTGGCGATTGGGCCGAGGATCGAGGCTGCCGGGGGGCACATCTGGCTCCCCCTGCGCTAAGGCAAGTCATGGCGGCATTACTGACCTGCGCACGGTTCGACGACGTGGTTTGGGTCGCTGTCTTTGTGGTGAGGCGAGGGCCTGACGCCGATGCAAAGGAGCACCGGCTCCGGCTGCAGCAAGGAGACACCGACGGCGCACAGAGTCCCGTTGCCTGGCCCGACGCCGAGGTCGGATGAGAGATGGTTGAGTTGCGGCACGTCAAGTTGGCCTCAGTCTGCCAGGGAAAGGCGGACGCCGCAGTTAGTGACACATGCAACGATTCGCAAGCGAGCACCGCCTGGAGCCTCTGAGGTGCGTTACTCGGCCCTGTGCAACGAGCGCAGCGGCTAGCCTTTGCCAGCATGCCTCTGCAGATGCCAAACTCATTGATACGTCGGGAAACGGTGACGGTTTCAGCAGCACGAGAAAAGTAGCATTAGTCTGTATCACCCGTTTCCCAACGGCTGGCGTCTTCCTGTTGAAGATGACCGCGGTGCTAGATGCGTTACCAACTCGGAAGAGGCACCGTTCATTACGCTTGGACTAATAGAAAAGATCCTCGAGCCCAAGACGATGAGAATCATGACCCGTTGCCGAAGTTCGTTGGTGGCGCCCACGGCGCAGCCCTTGGCTTCATGACCCTAGACGCACAAGAAATTTGCCTAGAGGGCAAAGCAGATTCATCGACGGCGCCGGGGGCGCGATGGTTTAGAAGCGAAGCATTCGACGCAGCAGCGGGATTGCAGCGAGATCCTGAACGAGAGGGTTGCAGTTACACATTGGCCCCCTTGCAGGCTGCAGAACATAGTGCTAGACAGCTGGCAACTTTCCTTTGGCACGAGAGCCGGAACCGTTTGAGCGCACGGCGTGAGGAATGAGACAGCTGTCGTCCGACGAGCTTCTGCAGTTCCTTGACCCGTGAGGGATTGGACGAGTGCAAGACGTGCCATACGAGTAATGTGCGACCATGTCACCAGCAGCAGACACAGCTTTGACTCCGTACCCTGGTGACGCCCGCCAGCCTTGCCAGATGCCTTGAGCAGTATATCATGAACAGCGGATGGTTTGTGCTCCACCTGCCTGTGATGTCAACAGAGGAAGGGAAGGGGGGCGAGACAATGGCTGTCGAGGCGCCGTCTCCTTTGGCCCTTGATCTCGTGGTCCAGCACTGAGTCGGCGAGCATCACCGTGTCGACCGATACGAATCATTGCGGCGGCGGTCGTAGTGCCGGTCCCTGTCTCTGCGATCCAGATCGGCCTTTTCGCCGTCTCTCCTTCTATCGTTGCTCCTGTCTCGCCTTGGCGGGCTCCGACTCCGACTTGGCCGACGTCTCGTGGTTCCAGAATCCCGTTCTCCGCCGCGTGGACGTTGGTCGTCCCCTTGTCGGTCACGGCCGCCACGCTCGTGCCGTCCCTTCATCTCCTCTTGGCCGTAGACCATACCATACTTGTTGTCCGTGGTCCTGTCTGCCTGAGCGCGGTACTGTCGTCGCTTCTCCAGTTCCTGCACGCCGCCCCAACCCCCACGTGAGGCATTCGTTTTGCGCTTGTTGTTGGTGTCCTTTCTCCACACATCGCTCAGTCTGCTGACGCTTTGCGAGAAGTCAACGTGTATCCTCCGGTCGTCAATGAGGACGCCCTGCATCTTGAAATAGGCCCCTTCACACGACGACTTGTCCTGGTACTCGATGAATGCATACTGCAGGCTGTCGCCCGTCTTTTGATCCCGGATGACTTCGCAGCTGAGAATCTTGCCGAAGCGTCCAAAGATGAGCTCCAGGTCCTCGTCCGTCGTGACGGGGTTCAACTTGCACACGAAGAGAACGTTTTCCGGCGGCTTGACCTCGGCAAAGGGCAGATCGCCCATCATCTCCAATGTCAGCGCCTGGGCCTTGGCTTCTCTGTCGCGGCGCCGGCGCTCAAGCTCCTCTTCGTCGAAGCCGTCATCTGCGTGCAGAGCTGCCTCGTCGGCGATTCGAATCGTCTTGGCCTGCTCTGCCGTCGGGGGCGGACTCGAGCTGGGCTCTCTCAAGCCCGGGGGGTCTGGATAAGGGTCGTCGAGCACGACGGTATGCTTGATGCGGATGTCGATGAGGGGGTAGCCCTTGTCGTCGACGATGGCCTCGTTGATCTTCTCCAAGGCATCGAAGCCCTCGACAACCTTGCCGAAGATGGCAGCCCTGCCGTCCAAGTAGTCCGTGTCCTCGCCGAGGGTGATGATGAACTGCGAGCCCGCGACACGCGTGTCCGGGTCTGCGGTGAGCGGGGCCGTGGCCATGCTGACGGTGCCTCGTTCGAGATGCTTGAGCTTGGGGTGGAAGAAGGCGGGAAAGGTGCGAAGGGATGGGTCCGTAGAGACGTGGCCCCAGATGGAAGAGCCGCCGTCTGATTGTTGGGACAGGGGGCCGAGAGGATCACCCGTCTGGAAGGAAAAGTTCTTTTGGACCGAGTGCACGGGGGAGAAGTTGTAGTATTTGGCCTTGCACAGCTTCAGGAAGCTGGGGCATGTGTTAGCCGGCGGAGTGGCGAGGGAAATTGAGGGGAGGCGTGTTTACTTTTCGCATAGCTTCGGCGCATGGTCGACGAGCAGGTCGATGACGATGTCGCCGACGCTGGTCTCGAGCAGGACTGACATGGCGGGCGTCGGCTGCGAGCAGTCGTTTCGAGGCGCGTTTTCAGGCAGTCGTTCGTGACAGTCGTTTGGGGCAGTCGTGTGCTAGCAGCCGGTGATGACGGGTATGCCGACGAAGAGGTCGTCGAGATGAGCAGAGAAGGACGACTGCCGACAACGTCTGCAAGTCGATCCCTACCAAGCTAGCTTTCCCACGTGCGCCGCAGGGTTTATGCGAGCGCGACGAGGAGACGACTTGCCGGCGCATAATAGATATTCCGACCCGAAGGGCTCTCCGTCTCCTATCGGCAGATGGAATGACGACATGTTTTAGCTTGCGGCCAAGTGCGGCAAGACACGGCATATGCAAGCCATTTCTCGCGCAGCCTCTTCACTGTCTTGATTGTCAATCCCGTCAGCCGCCATGTGGCCTTTGTTGAACCCGTACCTCACGACGTCGCGCCCGCTCCGGGGTACTTTGATGGTCGCGTGCCCTTGTGCCTGTGCCTGTGCCTGTGCCTGTGCCTTGCCGCTGTCGCATTTTCCGGGAGCAGATCAAAGATCAACGAGGAACCCTACAAATTAAGCAGAAATGCATCATGTGAAACCGCCCACGGCACATATACCTAGGTCGGCACACCCGCCCGGAATGCCCTTTGCCGGCAGAGTGCCTGCTGCAAGTATCGATTTCGCCACCCATTACAGGCAGCTGGCGAGGCACCGAGGGCATCCAGCGCGCCTCCCCACCAACAGAAAGTGGAGCGGCAAGGTCATTGTGCAAAAGAACCAGGATACCATTCCGAGGCACTCGCACCTCCTCCGCCTAGCCATATGTAGTCTGCCGAGCGTTCGTCCTGTCACGGCGGGAGTAGTAGTTTGTGCGGGGGAAGTGGCAGAGACCAATGGCCAAGGTCCGTGGGCAGTCAACGGCACACATCCCCGTCTCTTGGCAAAGGCTTGACGCCGGAGCCAAGGTTGACGCCGGAGCCAAGGCCAGGGTCCCGTCCGACCGACGAATGACAGGGAGACACGCCACACCGCAGTGCATCGGGCGTCTGGGTTCGCGAGTGTGTCTGTGTGTGCGCGTCTCGGGTCCTTTGTGAAGCCCTCTGTACATACGGATGCTGCATTGAGTGCAACGCTCTACAGACTACACCCAGGGCTTTCATGTTCTAGAGCCACAATCATGTCTGCGGACGTGCATGCGGGGCGACAGATAAGGGCTGCCTCGTGTGCCGACGCGTATGTGTGCTCGCATGCGTCTTCCATGCTCGCTGGCAGGCAACCCGTGCATGGAGATATTGGAGGGAACATTACAGAAACTTCGCAGCTGAATTGCGCTGGTATCGATAGATTTTGCTGCTCCACAAGCGTGAACAGCGTGCTGTATGATTCAGTACACCAAAAACCATGACGGACTCAACGCCTAGTCGCCTTTTCCCAGCCGCTTTCATGCTCGCTTTCTGCAGACAACCAGCCTCTCTCCAGGCTTTCCGTGCATGATATGCCCAGGATGTGCATACGGTGCCGACGAGTGACCGAGTGAGAACAAAAAAAGTACATGAAACATGCGCCGACTTTTGCTCATGCCAGTGGTGATTATGATGATTATGGGAAAGGGAATAAGATAGTAAAACGCTTTTTGGGCTTGCTCACGCCGCGCTCGTCGTCGACAGTTAACTGTCGTATCAAATCACCACTCAGCCCCGGGACAGCCCCGTCTCCGACGTCCGGACCGGAGTTCTTTTTCCGTTTCCATCAGGCGGGCCTGGGCCCACATGCGCATTGAGTTGTCGCCGCGGACCGTGTCGGTGTTGAGGAGCTCCGTCAGGGCGCGCTTGATGCTCTCGTTGAGGGCGAACAGGCGCTGCTCCTCGGCCGAGATCTCGTGCAGCGTCTCCTCGTCGATAATGGTATCGAGGGCGACGGGGCCGCATACAGGTTTCCGCCACCCGCTGCAGCGCGCCCTTGGCCTTGTGTGGTGCCGCCCGCTGGTGCGGGACGGCAGGTTGGGCGATGGTGGGCTGTAGGAAGACGAGGAGCTCGAGGAGCGGGTGGAGATGCTGCTGACCGAGGACTGGCGGGGACGTATTTGCTGGAGGTGGGTGGAGAGCTCCTCGTGTTGTTCCTGGAGAAGCATGTATTCTTCCAGGGCAAAGACGCATTCGGGCACCTGGTCCGGAGACAACATGTTGGCTAGATGTGATGAGGGGTGGAGAGTAGAAATGCCCAGTGTTTGGCGTCGAGATGGCGGCGGTAGGACACAGAGCATCTGTGGCGGGCAGTTGAGGCGCCGAAGCCAAGGCCAGTTCGAGCTGTGCAAGTTGTGAAAGGCTGAGAGAGACAAGTTGGAGTTGCTTAGCGATTGAGAGACGGCAGCGAATGTTATGGTCTTCTGTTGGTGTGGAAGCGGGACGGGATGCCGACGTCAACGGATCGATCAAGCAGGCAGATGGAATCGGCGCCGTGATGAGACGATAAATGTTTGTGAAGATTGCGGAGGAGAAAGGCGGAGCAAGAATGGCAGGACGATGCAACGGCAAGAGTCTGGAGGTGTGGAGAGGCGGGGAATAAAAGAGGAGGAGGAGGAGCAGGAGGAGCAGGAGCAGGAAGCTAGCGCAGAGGGTTAGTTGCAGGCGCGAGTCGGCGGCGACGGGAAACGAAGGCAAGTCAACCGGGGGTGGGTGATGCCGAAAATAGAAGAGGTCGAGGGGGAAGAGTGGATGGAGTTGAGCTGATAACGTGGAGGAGTGAAGAAAGGAGAAGGAAGATGATCCTTTAGATTGCCTTATTTCTTGCTGAATGAAGGACGGTGACGACACGGGCAAGGTGGTTGCGCAATCAAGGCCACGACAAAAGGGCAAGGACAGGGGGCCGAATTCGGACGATTGGGTGATTTCAGTTTGTTGGGCGCTTCGCCGAAGGAGAGGATTTGATTTTGGTCGTCCACAACGTGCACAACGTGGTGGAGAAGACGATGGATTTGGCCACGGAGCAGGAGGGTGGCATCGACTTGTTGAAGTAACTGCAGCAGAGCAAATAGCGCCCTCCCACGTCGTTTGTAGTGGATGGATGGCGCCGGCGGCACCGGTGGGTGGCGGAGAGACGGCCGACAATGGGTCCACCTCCAGGGCAGTCCGTGGGGGCTGTGCCGCTGTATCTGCTGTCGCCACCAGGGCTTGAAGCGAGATAAGGCAGAGGTACTCCGTACCGCGGAATGCTCTTGACGCCCTCTCGACGCCCTCTTGACGCCGCTGGAAGGCGAAAGCTGCGCCAGAGCCGATCAATTGGCGGTCGGGCACAAGTCGTGCAGCACAGCGGAGAAGCAATGGCTGTTTGCGGCGCTCGTCCCTATCGTCGTCGTAGCGTGGCAACGTGCAGGCGAGCAGGAAGAAAGTTTGACAGATGATATCGCCGACCATTCAGGAGTCTCGATGCAGCTGCGCCGAGTCGGGTGCGGCAGGCGGATGTGGCGCTGAATTGACTTGACTGACGGCCCGGTCTCTTTGCTTCGAGCAGCAGCAGGAACAAGATAAAGGTCGATTTCTCGAGAGACGCCGTAACGCAGCAGGCGGCTTATTAACAAGTCCCTTTTTTTTGTTTACCTCTTCCCACTCCTCTCCGACGAATGTGCTTCCAAAGGCGAGGTCCCCCTGGCCGCGAGAGCTTAATAAAATGGAGCCTTTTCGGACTGTTGCATGTAACTCGACTGCAAGGGGCGGTGGAGGCGATACCGTGGATGATGATATGAGCAGATTGCCAATTTCAATGGAGGGGCCTGATTTGTTTTGGGCAGAGTGGAAGGTATAAGTCGACGGTGACTGAGAGACCGGATTGCAAGTTGAGGCCATCTCAGTTCTACAGTAAAAGCCTTTTCCGGCGGACTTGGCACTGCTATTTGTATGGCTTTGCATCTGCTAGGCCTTGTGCAGCAGCCAAATGCGGGGGGGGGGGGTTCAGAGTCAAAATCGAGATGCAACCATCGGATTCCTTCCTTCCTTTACCCCAATGGAGTAACACTGCCTTTGCTGAAGCTTCAAACGCTCTCCTCCTCCAGCCGCCCTCAAAGCCATCGCCTCCTCCTCCTCTTCCAGGGGCACTCACCCTCTCCCGCGCGCTGACGTCGTGCCGTCTGCCAGCCCGCGCACGGAGCAGCATCCACCACCGTCCTGCTCGTTGCTTCATCCCTGACAGGGCCCTGACAGGGAGGAGGCACTTGACAAGATTGCTTGATCGTCCCCCGCACTGTCCGCCCCGTGGTGTGCGTGCTGTGTTGCGTCTTACCTGGTGATTCATCCGGAGTCGCGAGACAAAGTCTCGCCATGACGACAATGCCTTGCTGAGTAGCGAAGTCGACATGTACAGTATTTGCTCCTTGATGGTGCAGAGATGCGCATACCTATTGTGATAACTCACTTCGCACCAACAGCACCGGCAACCCAACCCAATCCGACGCAAATTCATGTGGCCTTCTGACGTTCGGCAGTCAATGTACAGTGCCTACAGTATCAACCAAGTCGTCATGTCCACGTTCCGGGCACAGAAAATGGCTACGGTAGGCCGCAACAAGCCTGTCTCGCATGCAAAGAATGCGCCATCTCAAGCTTCCGCAGCATCGGATAATATATTACAGAGTATTCATTTGTACAGTACAGCGGCCCAAACCATGGGTAAATGAAAAAGAATCGAGACCATTCTTTGCCTCCTCGACTTTTCCCCACCACCCCCCCCCTTCCTTCAACTCTCCCCGTGGCCACGCCTCCCTCCTTTCCTCGCGCAGAGGTCGGACCTCGAGCCCATGACTTCATCCGCTCAAGCTTCTGCTCCACCGCCGGGAGTCCGTGCCACCACGCTTTCCACCTCATGGCTCCCCCATCACGATTCCAGGGCGTCTTTAGGCTGAGTTCTACATGTGCTGGTGCTCGTACAGTATCGACATACGGTATAAAGACATTCTCTCTGTGCAAGGGAGGAAACATTGGCCTTAATGCTCTCCGTTGGCTTCATACTGTGATCTACTGCACATCTGTACGCAGAGTCCTGCGGCTTGCTTATTCTGCTACGTCTCGTGTCTCCGCCAAACGGGGCCCCGCCGAAAAAGCCCCAGGACAAGCCAGTTTGCTGGACCAGACCGCTTCGTACCGGATCTCGCATGCATTCATCGCCAGGGGGGGCCCTCACGGTGCTTACGCAAGCCCGTCGAGCGGCACTTTAGATGAAGTCCAGTCGTTTTGCTATGACGACACGCGTCCTAGCGGTATGACCTCACCCGGCCTCGCGTAAGATGCCCTCCTCGATCGATTCCCGTGCGCGCGCCCAGGCTCTTTTGCGGTGGCGAGGCTGCTCGTCGGCGAAATCATTGGCTCGCGCTACGCCGGCCCAAGCAGCTTCGCGGGAGTGTGATACGGGGCCAGGCACGTGCACGCATATGGATGCAAACAAGCCAATTTGAATCAAGCCCTGGATACCCTGCAGATTCGAATGGCAACCTGGTCGGCGTAGAACGGCCCGTCTTGCTGCTGTCTGGGCGGCACCGGGAACCGCAGATCTTCGACGTCGAGGCTGTTGCCGTGACAGGCACCCAGGAACACCGCAGAGGTGTGCTCGTTGCGTTGTGTCGCCGATATGTACGCCTCGACGCCGGGATACAGCCCCAGGAGATACATCAGGGTCTCGACCAGCGCTGGGATCATGCTCCGGTCGTAGGTAATGTCGGCGCCGAGTATGACATCTACAGGCGGCCCCCCGCTCACCTGCCCGTCCTCGTGGCCCCACTTGATGTTTTCGAGGCTAACGCGCGCCGTGTCTTGAACGTGGTTAAGGGCCATGTTGTCGGCAAGGTTGCTCATGACGTCGTCAGACCCATCCGAGGCGATGACGTGAGCAGACGACAGGTACTTGGCACACAGAATAGACAGATAGCCCGTGCCCGCGCCCAGTTCCAGGACGCGTTTGCCAGCGACAACGCCTGGATTCAGGCACAGATACTGGCCGAGGTGAAGCGCCGCCTCCCAGGTGCGGAGCCCCGTCGTCCCGGCCGCGGATATGAGCGCGCGCTTCTCCAGGAGGGTGATGCCGGGTGCGTTGCCGTCGCCACAACGGGATGCGCAAGCCAACAACGGAAGACGGTAGGTGACGTGGCACCTTTCCTGCACCGACGCCTCCTCGGGGGGCAGCGGGTTGGCGAGGAGCAGCGCGAGAGTGGACATGAGGTGGTCAGAGACAGCCTTACGAGCAAGTCAGAATCAGGGCATGTCATGAGGCCTACGGTGCGGACCGGGGCGCCAGACTACGAGACACTCACATGCTCGTCCCAGTCGTCTATGGCAGCCTCGATCCGGGTCACTAGGTCCTTGAGTGTCTTGGCCCGGTATCTCTCCGGCGGCCCGCACCGCACCGCACTGTCTGCAAAGAGGCTCGCGTAAATGGCATCTTGCACCTCGGCCAGCCGTAGAATCTGGTCCGGGGGGTATTCCAGCTCTGGTTCCAGTTGGAAATATTGGCGGCAAAAGCGATCCACGAGCTGCGCCCAAGAGGGGGTCATCCCGGGCAAGGCGGGTGAGATGGCATCGTGAGGCGGCTGTTTGGAGCGGGATCGAATGTTGGAGTTGAGTCTTCGGAGAGGTACCGGGAGACAAGTACCCTCGGAGAGCGCCCGAGGACGTCCCGGAGCCGTGCTCTAGTGCACGTGACTGGGGCCAGCCAGGAAGGGAGAAAATAATTGTGCGGCCCCACCTCGCACCGTGCACCCACACACGTGCACGCTTCTGGCCACAACCGCTTGTTAGGGTTGGACCCAGTTAAGCGACACGACGGGTCGGAATTTTCGCTCTCCTGGTCAGCAGCACTTCGCGGCAAAGCCCTCTGCTCCCATCCACGACTTCAGACAACTCCTCCTCGTCACCACCCCCGGACGCACCAGCGCAACACCGCAACCATGGCGGACAACGACAGCCCCGTTACCCTGCGAACCCGCAAGTTCATCCGGAACCCTCTGCTGGGCCGCAAGCAGATGGTCGTGTGAGTTGCAGCCCGTCCCTTGAAGCCCGCCCTTTGCTCCACGACGCCCGCCGCCTCGTCGACCGTCTGTCAGCCGCAAGCCCGTCTCGCTCCACGAATTCTACATTGGCTGGGGGAAATAGTCACAATTGGATGGCTCTCGTCGCTTCTCCCTCGCTTCTCCCTTGCTCGAAGACGAGAAGTTGATGACTTGGCCATCGGGCAGGCGGCCGGCAGACGGTCGCGGGCAAACTCAGCAGGCAACGAAGAGGTGGCCAATCGGCAAACCAGGGCAGACTGAGAGCGGACGAGTGCTGACCCGCCGTGATACAGCGACATCCTCCACCCCAGCCGGGCCAACATCTCCAAGGAGGAGCTCCGGGAGAAGCTGGGCGGCATGTACAAGGCCCAGAAGGGCCAGGTCCAGGTCTTTGGCCTGCGCACTCAGTTCGGCGGCGGCAAGACGACGGGCTTTGCCCTCGTCTACGACTCCCCCGAGGCCATGAAGAAGTTTGAGCCTGCATACCGCCTGGTCCGCGTCGGCATGGCCACCAAACGCGAGCGCGCCAGCAGACAGCAGCGTACGTCCACTACCCCGGCCCTCCCACAGCCCCCGTGGCGCATGTCGTCGGAGTCTCTGGGTCGTGTGCTGACGGAGGTGGCGAAACAGGCAAGCAGCGCAAGAACCGACAAAAGACGCTGCGCGGCACGGCAAAGGTCAAGGGCGCCAAGGCGAAGAAGGAGAAATAGACGGGGCAAGTCTGCTGCTGGTCGTTGTAGAATCCATGGGTTTGGGCATGGGGCTGTGGCATTGGGCATTCTACGGTCCTACGGGTGCCGGTATGCCGTCGGCGCACGCGGGCTGGCCGGCGAATCACCTCTGAAAACAACTTGGGGCAGGGAGGGCTCGGGTCCCACGGTGTTCCTCGAGTACGCTAGCATGAAATCAAGGTGTCTGTTTTTCCTCGGTTTCCAGAGCACGACAGGTCCAATAGTATCTTGCCAGGAGTGCCGTCGGCCGTGACACGCCCGGGATGGGAGGGGTGTGAGTCGAGGTGGACGTGAGGGCACTCTGGTGAGGCCGGACTCGCAACCGGAACGAGAGCTTGTGTAAGAAGATGCATGTTGGTATGTTGCGGCATGCACTGTCAAGCAAGAACATGGCGCAGTGCCGACCAGCAGCTGGGTATCAAACTATCAAAGACGAGGCGAGGGTTGCCCTCTCCCGCTACATGCGTCTTTCCCGTAAACCTTATTTCTCCCCAGCCCGTGCCCTTCTTTTTCTCTCTCACCCTCCGACTCTCCCGAGCCGGGCCTTGGGACATGTAGGTGTCGTTTACCATCTTTACGCCCACTCCCGTCTATAAAGACCATTGCATTTCATAAGACATGTCATCATCATCGTCGTCTTCGATCATCAAGCAGCAGCAGCAGCCGCCGGTTCTTCTTCTTCTTCTTCTTCTCCTTCCTTGACAAGCTCAGGTCATGCCGAGCGCAAACACAGCCGCCAGACACGCCACGCCCACGACAACAGCCGCGGTGCTCGCCGTCTGCGGCGGCGCGGCGCCCCCCGTGCGCACGAGGGGCACGTGCCAGCCGCAGTGCGCCGAGGCGCCGTCGCCGCCGACCGTGTTGCAGGCGTAGTACGTCTCCTGGCGGAGGCCCTGCCTGGCCAGCACGGCGTCCTGGTCGGGCGCGGGGGTGACGATGGGGACGTACGGCGGCGGCGGTGCCGAGTCGCGCGCGAGCATGTGGTGGCGCGCTGGGTCGTGGGCGGACCCGAGGGCTGCCGATGCGGATGCGGGTGCCGGGTCGGGGGCCGTGGTGCTGATAAGGGCGACGGGTCCGGAGCCGGGGACGAGCCGCGCCGCGCCGGCGCCGGCGGCTGCGCAGAGGAGGAGGAGAGGCGGGACGCGACGGCGACGCATCGTGGCTGCAGGCTTCGAATCAAACAAACAGGCCCCAGCCTTTCTTTCGAGTTGCAAATAGGCGAGTCTCGGTGGTGCGAGAGTCAGGGTCGGCCAAGGCGCCATTTAAAGGCTGCAAGCTCGTGGTCCAACTTGCGTCCCTTTCTCGCCCTTGTTTCGCGCGTCGCCGTGGATGGCTGGTATCCTGTACTAGATTAACCGCCTCGACTGCGGCAGGACTCGATGCCGGGGTGAGTCAAAAGAGAGGGCGATGTTGCTCCGGCAGTTGGACGAATATAGCCGGGCATCGCAGCATAAATACCGCTCGCACACTACAGTATATATATATTATGTGTGTGTGTGCGTGCGTGTGTGTGCCGTGAGCCAGTCATGTGGCCGTCAACTCTAAAAACAGGCCGGATGGGCGCACCAGACATGACGCAACCCTCTTTGTCGCCCTCTCTGCCCTTTTCCCTTTCTTTTCCGGACCCTTTCTTTATGCGTCTCCACACCCTCGCTCTCTGTCCAACGTCTAGACCAGAGGGCGCGCGCACTTGGCGGCCAACCACCATGCATGCATGCAGGGTCATTCCGACGCAGAACCATTGGGTCGGGAGGCATGGATGGGGTGAGGCGCAGAGAAGGAAGCGGGAGAAAAAGAAAAGAAGGGCGAAGAAAAATCCAGATTCTGGGGCGGATGCGTGTCAGTTTCAAAGAGCTCGAAGCACCCACTGTGCTACTATGCTACTATGCACTCCATCGATAGGTGGTTCCGGATGCCGTACGTCCCTGGGAAGCTACCTAAGCACCGTAGGTATAGTTACATGGGAAGCCGGCTGTCTGTAGCGCCTGGTGGCCAATCCTCGCCACGCCCCATACGAACCCATCCTCTCCCGCCCCTTGAGTCGTTTGAAACCGAACATCCGAAACGCCTTCTCTTGGGCCCGCCGTACATGGGACTCTGTATAGCGTGCATAAAGCCAGCAGCATCATCATCAGGCCACACAACTTACCACCCGTCAGAGCGAATCATCCAAGAACAAAGCAGGCAGATGTCTTTGCAGCACTGTACAGTATCAAGCTGTGCGGCTCGTTGCGTGACAACAGGCCTCTCCAACTGCTCCATATGCTGCCGCTCAAGCCAGCACAAGCAATCATGACGACTCGCACGATGATCATCTACCGCCAGTAATACACGGCCAAGTCGGCGACCATTCCCCTGCCCCGTCAGTCTCCCCTCTCCTCACCCTACTTCTCCTCCGGCATCCGCACAATCTTGGGCTCCGTCATCTCCGCCCACGAAACCATCCTCTCGCCATCGTCCTCACCCTCGTCGCCGCTGTCCGCGTCCGGCATCTCGAACTTGTCGTAGATTCGCTTCCCCGCCTCGTCGAACATCTTGCTCCTGTCTTCGCGGTCCCGCATCGCCAGCAGCACGTAAAGGTTCGTCTCGTCGCTGCCGCGCAGCACCGTGCCCGTCTGCTGAACTACCATCGGCTGCCACCTCGTCGCCTTGGACATGACAATTTGCTTCCACGTAATCACCATGCCGTCCTTAGCCCCGCCAGCCTCCAGGTCGGCGAGGCTGCCGACATCGGCCGGCAGCGAGGGGACATCATCTGCCTGGGCCGTGGTCCCTGCGGCGTTGCGGCCCTCCGTCTCCGAACTCGGCGTCTTCCCGGGCGCCTCGTCCTCGCCCACTGCGCCCAGCCCAAAGTGGTCGCTCATCAGGCTCTTGATCCTCTTCGTCTGGCCCACGTCCTCCTCCATGTAAAGCCCCGAGTCGTCGTCCCCGTACCAGTCTTCGACAAACTCTTGCGACGTGCGCTTCCGCTTCCGGCAGGCTCTGCCTCGTTGTTGCGGGTCCCAGCGCTGCTCAAACGGAAAGGGGGGCTCGCTCAGCACCATGCCTTGGTGGCTGCACTCGACGGCGCGATACGTCACCCTTTGCCGCCAGTCTTCAATGTCGCAACCTGATGCAACCGAGGCATCCTCACTGGCCTTCTGGCCCTCCGTGAGCCGCATGTTGTTCAGCGGCCGAACGTCCTTCATCAACCCCTGCTTGATTTTCTCCTCATCGGCCCGCGTCTTGGGTGCCTTGAGTCCGAGAGAACCAAAGAGCAGTCGCCGACCGGCGCCCAGATCGACACGCGACCGCCGTCGGTCAGGTGTCGTGCTGGGAGCGTCCCCATTCTTGGTCTCCTCTGCGCCGTCGTCGTCTTGGGTCGCCTGGACATGTTGGCTGTCTTTGGCCAGGTCCACCTCATCATCAATCCTGCGTAGGAGCTGCTGTTTGCGTACTTCAAACGCAAAGGCCTCGTCCCTCTGAACAGCCGATGCTTGCCGGCGCTTGTCAGCACTTATCCGGGCCATGCTCCTCCTTCTGCGAGCGTTCCGTTTCTGCGTCTTTGTGCGGCCAGATGGCGCACCAGGCGGCACGTCTGATGCTTCCTTGTGACCTTGCGCTCCCTCGCGGCACGTATTTTGTGTCGCTTGCCGGCTAACCGAAGCGCCAGTGCCGTCGTTGCTCAAGTCGAAATCGCTTTCGCTCCCGTCGCTGCTGCTAGAGTCACTGCTACTCTCGTCATCGTGGCTCGACTGCGTGCCGATCGGAGCGCCAAGGTTATCCTCACTGGAATCGGAATCGCTGTCGCTCTCGTCGCTGCTACTCTCGTCATCGTCACTCGAGCTGGATAAGTCGCTGGACGAGTCCGTGCCATCTGAGGATGTATCGTCCGAGGCACCAATGTCCGAGGCAGTATACTCCGTGTTTTCCGTGCCCCTATCTGCATCCTCACCAGTTGAGGAATCGCGTAGCCCCTGGTCTGTACCAGCGCCCAATGGCGGATGGGTATCTGGTGGTGCCATTGCGACGGCTGCATCTTCTGGCCCGTCGCTGCTCTCGACAACCTGAATCAAGGGTCGCGAGGTGATAGACATCTGGCGAGCGGATTGATGGTCGGGGCTTCCCGAGCTCGGCTGGTGTCCGGGAAAGAAGAGCCTGATGACGGCATTTGCCATCACGTCGTCGAAACCAAGAGCGGGCTCGTGAGAGCCACTCAGAGCGTCGTACGCCTTGCGGAGGTCTTTGTGTTGCCGGAGAAGCTCTGCCTCAATGGCAATAACGGGTGTCTGAGGAAAGGCTGCCCTTAGAGCCACGATTCCATCCAGTGCTCCGAGATCTAGGCCGTTCGCAGTTGGGGCTGGCGCCTCGATGACCTGACCGTCCGACGTGTTTCCCGGACCATTCGCAGGCATGACATGGCCGACAGCCATGTTGTCGTTTCTAAGGTGACCCAGTTCCTCGGCTACCTCGTCCTGGTCCTCGCCCGACGCATCATCGAATTCTTCGTCCACATCCTCGTCGCATTTTTTGTCCAGACCTTGTTCGAGCTCTTCGTCTAGATCCTCGTCGAATTCTTCATCCAGATATTCGTCCGAGTCATCTGAGCCCTCTGCAAGCATGTCGTCACTGCTCATGTCTTGCTGGGCACGCTCCAGAAGTAGCCGTGGCTGTGGAGTATCAGGTAGTTCGTCTTGGTCATCGAAGTCATAGTTGCCGCCGCAGTCGCGCGCGGTACGAGCTCGCTTGCGAGGAGGCAGGTCGAGGGCCGGGCGATCTCGCGGGGTCCTGAGCCAAGGCCTGCCAAACACGAGGCCGTCGACGAGGTGTCTGCCGTCGGCGGAAATTTGATGGCGGCCACTGAGGCGGCGTCGCTTGAGATCTTCGCCGTGAAGACAGCGAATTCTAGGACCAGCAGCTCAGTTTCAATGCTTTCTCATAGGGGGTTATGGAATCTGCGCACAAGATGTGGTCATCATTCTTCAGGATGTGCGGAACGGGTTGAAAATGAAGGCATTCGTAGCTTCCACCAGTGCCGTCGGCAAGCTCCACAACGTAATCTTCGAGGCCCCATTCGCCGCTCTCGAGCGGCATCACCTCGTTGATCTGGGAAAGAAACTTGGAAACGGTCAAGTCGTGGGAGCGGGCGCAAGGCCAGATGAGCTTGACCTCGGGCACGCCATGGCGCTGCACGGAGACGCGCAGGCGGATGAGGTCCTGCGACGACATGAGGGCGGCCCTAGGCGCGATGCATGACTCTGTTGTCGCTCGTGGAGAGAAGGAATCGAGAAAGGACGCAGAGATGTCGAGAGAGGGTGGGCGAGGCGAGCGGCAAAGACGGAGGCGAAGATGGGAGCGAAGGGGGAAGTAAACGAAGGGAGGAGAAAGGTCATGAAAAAAAAAGGCAGTTTGCTAGCGGGTGGTGACGCGATGCAGCTAGCAAGTGCGCCTGGCTCGGCAGGTGCAGGCACCAAGAAGCACACCATGTACCCGTGGCCCCGCCAACAGGTACCTCTAAGTAGCGCTCTTTTTTTGGGCCGCAAATTCAGGCCCTGTCTGGCCGGCCATGTGGCTGGTTGCGGCCTTGTAGAATTTGCATCAATGCTCCCTGTATCAACCCGGCGCCCAAATTGAAGCTATTCATACCGCGTTTTTTGCTATACGCCCTCTTTGCAATGGAGTCTCTTCTCTCATCGACCTTTTCATCCCTCCAGGCTGCACAAGCAGCTTGTGATGGGGTTGCAAAGGAACAAGGCTACGCCCTTGTTGTGCGTACGAAGAAGCCCAATGCAGCCGCCCCGGACTACGCCATTTTACGCTGCTCAAAGGGGCGTAAATACGTGAGCAGCCGCAAGGAAGATATCGCCAAGCGCCGCAAGACGCATACGCAGAGGACAAACTGCCTTTTCCGGCTGATTTTGCGGCTAGACCAAGGAACAGGCCTCTGGTCAGTCTCTTGCCCCCCTAACAGCCAGCACAACCACCCGGACGTTGCTGCAATGGCCCAAGCAAAATATTGGGATAAGGTGGAGGCAGCAGTCGAAGAGGAAGAACGGGCACAGCGGGAATTATATAGGGCGGGCCTCCTTTAGAGACACGGGCATCACAACGCCGTCGGGGCGCCTGATACATAATTTCCTTTATATCGCGATAGCTTCACTTTCTTCTGTGCATTTGGTGCAGGCGGCTCTTGCCTGGGTGCGCAGCGTAGGCGCCACACTGCCCCACCAGGCGAGGTGGCCGGTTAGTCTGAGAGGTGGCCGGCTAGACAGGACCCAAATTCACACCGTATATAAGTACCTAGGTACCTACATAGGTACTCCCAGATGAGCCTGAGGTAATTACTTTGCAATACATAAGCCCCCGATTTACCAACCTCACCGCGCTCACCGCGCTCACCGAACCGTTCATCATCAACCCTGTCGAGAGCAAATCATTCTTCAGGAGAGTGACCGCGAATGCTCGCGCATCCTTAGTCTGTACATGAAATCTGTCTCTCGTCGTCAACTGTCCTCACGAGCAGAATATCCAGTAGCCTCGCAGGCATTAGCCTCTTGCACACCTCGAAATCTACCGCCCAGTATCACCATCGCCAACCAAGCAGCCAAAGAAATGTCAAGCCCGCAGCGCTCCCAAGCAAGATGCAAACCCACAGACTCCACCCATGTGTTCCTCAATGTCGTCCATCTATAACTCTCGCCCCATGTCCAACATGTGGCCCATCTTTTCAATCTGCAGGTATTGCTCCAGTCAGCACGGTAACGGCAGAAACTCAAGTACAAGAGAGTGAGGGCTCTGACCTTGGTCTTCAAGTATCCTTCCACCTCCTGGCTTCGGAACCCCCCCTGGCCCTTCCACGACAGCGGCACCATGGCCACCCGCTCCTTGACGACAACCTCTCTGTTGGGGCCCTCGACGGCGCGGATCTTATCCGGGTTGTTGGTGAGGAGCCGCACGTCCGTTTGGCTCAGGTCGCGCAGCATCGCCGTGGCCAGCCCGTAGCTCCTCGCGTCGGCGGGATGCCGCAGCAGCAGATTCGCCTCGACCGTATCCGACCCCAGGTCCTGCAGGTTGTAGGCCTTGAGTTTCTCCCCGAGACCGATGCCCCGACCTTCTTGCCGCAGGTAGATGATGATGCCGCCGCTCGTGTTGCCCGGCAGCCCCATCAGCCGCGCCGCCTCGTCGAGCTGCTCGCCGCAGTCGCACCGTGCCGACCACGCCGTCTCCCCCGTATAGCACTCGGAATGGATCCGCACCAGCGGCGGATCTGCCGGACGGGACGCCTCCGCCTCGTCGCGTGACGCGTTGGCCGTCACCATGCCGCTCGTCGTCCGCCCGGGGTACAGCCTTCCGGTATATGCGCCTCTGACCATGCGATCCATCTCCGTCTCGCCCTCGCGAGGCGCATCGAGGCTGCTGCTCCGGATGTGATTCCCAAACACAATGGCGAGGTGCTCCTTGTTGTCGACGTCGTTGGTGTACAGGTGCAAGAACATTTCGGTCCCGGTCACAGTGGGGATCCGGGCGCGGACGATGCATTGTACCGTGGGCAGTGTCTGGAGCAGGCGCGGCTTGTTGGGCCCGCATCCGCCCGAGGGGATGGAGCTGTCGACGGGCACGCCTCGTGGACCGGCCGTCGTCGGCGTGCGGGTGCCCGGCGTCTGGGGAGGGGTGAAGGCCGGAGACAGGAGAGAGGGCGGCGGCGGGGGCTGCGCTGCGCTGGGGGCATCACGACGGCTGTGCGACGATAGTGATAGGTCGTCGTCGACGTGCTGGTGGCCTTCGACGGCCGATGTGCGAGGCGAGTAAAAGGACGGCAGCTGGCTCGGCTCGCCAGCGTCGGATGGAGACCCGGACGGCATTTCGGAATTCTCTTGTTTCACTCTTGTCCGGTCTTCTTTTTCCTGCACCGTCGGAGCCGAAGGGGGCAATTCAATGGATGTCGTCGGCGCCTCCGAAAAGGCAATGAAAGCGCCGCTGAACGCTCCGGCCAAAGACTGGTAGCGAATGGATGCCGTTGCGCGGGGGATTGTGAGCAGGTCGTCGGGAGGCCAGAGGCGGTTGGCTGGTCTGAGAGTACGGATAGGCGGACGTGTGTTTGTATGCATGCAAAGCGATCCATCGTCAACCGTCAACGAGGCCAAGTCATGATTAGTCACCCGTGGGATGATGCCGACTGCGCTGACCGGCCGGGCCGTGGTGGACACCTCGGTTCTCGGCTCGGGATGGCGTAATACTAAGTACATACGTACCGTCCCCGCCTAGCACTCAGTTGGCACCGGAATTTGTAACCATCCGAACATTGACGACGTCTCAACCTCTTTTCCACTGCCATCTACCGCCCCGCCTTGTTTCCTCCATCCTGGCCTCCATCATATGCCCGCCTTAACAGACTGACCAACGTGATCAGCTGTGTCCTTACCGTCGTCGTCGACGCCGGACTCGATGTGTCAGACGGATTATTCATCGTCGCGCGCGGCTGCGAGTCATGGCTGGTCAAAACACCAGACCATCGTCTTATGGCTTGCTTGGGCGACAGATGGGACACCTGTTTGTGCTTTCCTGATTGACGTCGTGGAAGCACCTCGCTTCTGAATCCGGGTTCCCTCGGACCGTCCGTGCCATGACGTCCGCGCCGGGCAACGGCGGGTGTCACTCTCGCTCGACGTCGTCTCCGGCCAGAAACATACAACAAGTCTGGTGACTCCCTCACACTCGCACGCAGGTCGACTTGTCTCAACTCTCCGGGTCAACTGGCTCTATTCAAGTAACACCCGATCACACAAATATCTACACGACAAAAAGACGGCTGGTCCAACTCGTCACCAAGGGCTCACAAGCTTCCCTTGAGGCTATTGTACGGAATGTCCTTGATTCCCGGCCCCTTGACCGGAGCGTCAGATGCTTCCTTGGGGCAATCCAACTGCTTTGTCTCGAAGTTATACGTGCACGGCTTGCCAGGGCCATTATCGCACCTGGCATCCTTATAGTTGAACAGCTCGTAGTTTTGGCTTATCCAGTTCGGGCTGTTGTCTTCCTTTTCCTTGGCGAGACACCGCTCTGGGTGATGGATGCCGGCATCGAAGATAAAGGGCATCTTTCCGTTGTGGAGTAAGTCACCACACGCCGTCATGTCGGCCCACTCCCAGGTCATGGGCTCTCCTCCTCCCGCGGCCTTGCCGGTGAGCTCGTTCCAGGCCTGGTATGAAATGTCACGGGCACCTCCGGACTTGTCTATCCTGAGAAGATGAAGGCTCTTGCCCGTCGTGCTGCTCGTGACCTTGATGCAGATGTCATTACACCCAGGAGTGAAGGGCCAGTAGGCGACGCGGTTGATGTTGATCATGCAGCCCAGGACGCCTTCTGACGACGAGTATTGCTCATGGGGGGTGACGCTGACCGATCCCGGCTTGTCGGGTACTTCGCTGCCCAAGGTCCCCTTTGTTCCGGCGGTCGGGTTGGAAGAAGCCGACGGGGCAGGGGCGCCAGGCTGACTGGGCGCAGCGTCGCCGCCCGTCTTCTTCGGGCTACTCGACGGTTCAGTGTCGTCACCGAGGCGATACTTAAGAGGGTCGGGCCCCGAGGCGGTGTCAACGTCATCTGCCTTCTTGGGAGGGTCATTCTTTTCGACAGGGCTGGTGGAAATGGGAGACCCCTGGTCACTGGCGGGCGAGGGGAGGCCGCCACCGACCGGCTTTGGCTGCTGCGGCTTGTCGGTGGAGCAGGGCTTCTTTTTGGGACCGCCCTGGCCGGGGCCGGCGCCCGGCTTCTGCACCGCCGGAGGCTCGGGGACAGGCTTGGGCGCCTCCGTTGCGCCGCTGCCAGTCTTCTTGGGGCAGGGTGGCTTGGAAGCAGGGGAGCCGCCCCGTACGGGCGGCTCAGGCCGGTCCGCACCAGCAGTCTTGTCGCACTTGGTGCACGGCTTAGCGACATCAGGCTGCCCAGCCTGCTTAGGACCAGGCTTGTCGCCGCCAGAGATAGGGGCTATGTCACCCTTAGATCCGGGTCCGGCACCAGCAGTCGTGGTGGCGCCTTTAGGGCAGGGCTTCTTGCTGGGAACGCCCTGGCCGGGGCCGGCTCCCGGCTTCTGCACCGCCGGAGGCTCGGGGACAGGCTTGGGCGCCTCCGTTGTGCCACTGGTAGTCTTCTTGGGGCAGGGTGGCTTGGAAGCAGGAGAGTCGCCCTGACTGAGAGGGGCCGGGCCCGTGGCGCCATCCTGTCCGGGTCCGGCACTACCAATCCTGGCGGCGCACTTGGGGCACGGCTTAGAGGCACCGGCCTCTCCGGCGCGGTCCGAAGCCAAGGCATTCTCGGGAGCGGGTCGGCCCCCGGCACCGCCAGACTTGTTGGCGCACTTGGTACACGGCAAAGCGCCGGCTTCGTTGCCGTCGACTCCCCCCTTGACCTCGGGTCGCCCGAGCTCCTTGGGGTTGTCCTGAGGTCCGGCGGCGGGTGACTTCTGGGTTGTTTCGACACCGGCGGGCTTCTTGGTGCACTTGGGGCGCTGGGACGGGACAGATTGCCCGTCAGCGCCGGCAGGTCGGACCAGGGTGCTGACGGCGGGCACGTTCTTGTTGGGGGCCGGCCCCTGAGGACGCTCGACTGCAACGGCCGAGGGCGGAGGCGGCGACTGACGCTGGGATTCGGATGCAACAGCCGAGGACGCGTGAGAGGGGGCGCCGGAGGATTTGCTGCACGGGACGGCTGCGACGGGGACGACGGCGGCCGAGGCGGCCAAGACCGTGCCGAGGACGGAAACGAGCATCATGCTGGGCCAGAACCGAAAGTTTACGTGAGGCGAGTGTCTGCTATTTTTTTATATCTGTGTTTCTTGAAAATATTGGTTTGAAAGTGTCGGGGGAAAGCATCCAGGAAGAATGGCTGGGAAGTGAAGGACACAAACAACGTATGTACTTGCGAATTGTACTGTTGATGGAAGGAGTGGATATGCTAACACCAGTAGCACTTGATGGGAGAAGGAGAGTGACGAAAGAGAACAAAGGAATGTGGGTGGACGTTACGGAGACGGCGAGCTCATCGTCGGGTGGCCAGGTCAACGAGAAGGCGCGGCGAGGGCGGAAGGCGGCTCACGGAGGTTACTTATATGCATACGACGCAGCCGTCAGGGCGGTACCGCGTCCATCCGCCCACTTCCAACCACCCTGGGCACCCGTGCGTCTGGTCAATGGGCGTGGAGCAGACGTAGCAAGGCAGTGGAAGAGCCAAGGAAGGGGACAAGGAAGTGGACAAGGTTATGGGCCGGGCACGATTGCCAGTTCTGGCTGGGCCATCGTGGGTCTGGAGAAAAGGCCGCAAGAAAACAAATCGTTTGGAGCTGCGCGTGTCAAGCAAACGCCTGTTGCCCAAGAGGGTAGAAATCGGGAGATGTTTTAGCACAGTGGGAGAATGGGGCCATCGCCTCCCAGGGAGAAGCCTACGGTATGGTAACGGAGGTTGTCGTTGGCGAGAAAACCCTGGCACAGAAAATTGAAGGGCCGTGACATAAAGGGGTCATTGGCAGGGCGGGACGTTGGGTCCAGGAACAAAGGTAGGTGCCGAGCGTCTCTCCACCTTGTGACTCGTGCTGGTGTAAGCGTTTGCGTTGGGGCCCGCCAACAATGGATGGGATGGATGGATACCGACATGGATGGATGGATACTGGATGGGTGGGTGGATGGATACCCAGATGAAACGGCTAGCAGGCCCCAAAGCCCGGACTTCCTGAAAGGAAGCGGCAGACGGTGAAAGGTTCGATTTTGAGCTGATGCTGTCTAGGTATTCGATGAGCCTGTATTTTGTATGTTACGAGATGCTTCGAAGAGAAGAGGCATGCGCGGCTGAGCATCGATCTACCTCACTCACTGCTCACTTGTTGCGGGACTGAACAGTGAGGGCTGGATCTGCGTGGAGACGGTGGATGGGCTTCAGGGTTCCGGGATCATCTGTGAGCCTCTTTATTTCCCTTCTCTCTCCTTTTTCTTCACCGTCTCCGTCGTGTGTTTGCAGCGTAGATTGGCGCCCGTTCATCGATCAAAGGCACCGATCTGTAGGTTACTTGCTCGGCAGAACAAGCTGGAATGCAGTTTGTCTCCTTTCCAAGCCATGGAGTGGCTGCCTCTCTGCTGACTCGGCATGCACATACCGAGGACGCGGCACGTCCCTTGCAGTGCTCGAGTGCCGGATATCTAGGGAGTGCTTATTAGTGTCACCTTGCGAGGAATCTCTGCCGAGTCACAATGCGTGAGCAACGTGTCCGAGACCCTCATGGCAGGAAATAAGCAGGCCTTGGAATAGGGAATGAGGTAATTCATGCAGCCGCAGATGCAGGAACGACGGAATCACACGTCTAATGAACCTCAGCATACTGTATAACCCCACGAAGATCCCCTTCGGTCCATCCCACGCACAAACTCCATCCATCCCATCTCCGACGAACCGCCACAACGGACGAACACGCAAGATGCTGCGAGTCGCGATCCCCACCTCCGAGCCTGGAGAGCGCTAGCATGCGGAAATGGCCATTGAATCATGGCCCTTTGCCTTTAGCTCTTGTCAATGCGCCAGTTCATATGTTGCCGCCAGCCGGAGAGATGCTGCTCCGCGGCCGGCGTCGACGCCTCCCTTTTATAAGGAGAGGAGATGGGGGAGGGGGACAGATCTATACCCCGAGGACGGTCGGGCCGGCATTCAATCTGCACCCAGGGGCTGTTGCCATGCTCTACTGTTTCGAAGCTGCCCCGCTGCCTCGTCAGTCTCCATATATATTCGTGTGTAGCCCTGCTTGGCAGCTTGGCACACACTTCTCCCCCTTTGTTAAATGGCACGAGGCTCTCCCACCCAACCAGCCATTTGCCAAAGCATGTTTCGTTCGGGATGGCGCCCATGCGGCGTCGTCTGACACGTTGCAGCCCTTGACGCAGCTTGAGCTTGGCGACCGTACCGGTGGTTTCCCATCAGCCGGGGCCGGGGCCTCGCCGCCCGGCGACACGAGCGTATGCCGAGGGCTGCGAGTCTCCGGGCCGTATGTTTGTATGTGCATGGCCCGGGTGCCGGACGAAAATATTCCATGGCCAACTCTACAGCCCCAATATCGCGAACTCTAACCCCAAAACTAACACTTTAAACCTCTACTAATCCAGTGAGTTAGTAGGTAAGATGGTCAACTTGACTTTTAGGTACTTTAGTAATTTACCTGACCTGACCATTTAGTATTCATTATTATTTATAGTTATTTATTATTTATGGTTGGCTTGGCTACTACACACGGTCCGGTACCAAGCGAGGAGCGTCGGCTTGTCCACATACTCGTGCCGGACCGACGGAGGATGACCAAGTCGGCGAGGTCGCGGTATAGGGTAGCCGCAGCGCAAAGTGACTGAAGTCGAGGGCACGTCAGGGATCCTTTGGACTGTTTGACATGTCGAGAGAACTGAGAAGGAAATATGTAAAAAAAATTGAATGCAGCTTTTACCTGTTCGATTTCCACATCAAAGTCTGTGTCGCGCGTGTTCCTGGAGTTGAGGCGACCGGGATGCCACACGAGACTCTCGGTGACTCGGTGAGTAGCGAAAAGGCCCGGCCCCACCTCGGTGAACGGCATCTCTTATCGATAACGGCCATCGAGAAAAAATCAATCCAGGCGAACCTCATTCTCGACCTCGCAAGAAGCAACCCCCGTTGTCGCAGACGGAGCCGCCACCATGACCGCCTCCGCCACATCACCGGCCCCCTCCAAGGCCGAAAAGAAACAGCACAAAAGGGACAAGAAGCGCGCCCGGGAAGAGGACGCCCACGCCGACGCGGAGCGCAAGCTCAAAAAGTCAAAGAGCGTCTCCACCGACCTCAACCTCGAGGATGCCGCCGCCGCCGCCAGTCCGGAGCAGAGAAAGGAGCGCAAGCATAAAAAGGAAAAGGATCGCAAGAGAAAGACCGCCGCCGGTGCGGATGATGGACCGGGTCATGGCGCAGGTACACCGTCCGCTGCCCCAGACGTCGAAGCTGTGAAGAAGGAGGACAAGAAGAAGAAAAAGGACAAGAAGAAGCACACAGACCACCAGGACGGAGACGCCGAAGCACACCCTGTAGCCGCCGATAACAGCACGCCGCAAAAAAAGCACAAGAAAAAGAAGACAACAGCTGCGGTTGTCCCGGACAGTGGCCCCGTCGTCGAGGAGAGCAGTCATCGGAGGAAGAGCAAAAAGGACAAGAAGACCAAGTCCAGCAACCACGCCGACGACACAGCATCCAAAATCGCCGCCAAAAGCTCGCAACATGTAGCAATCCCGTCCCCGGCAGACCCCGACGACGCCATGGACATTGACCCGCAACCGGCCTCCTCCATCTACCAGCCGCCCGACATGCCCGCCAACCCGCACTTCCCCTTCTTCTCGCAGACCGTCTCCCTCTACGAGCCCCTCTACCCCACCGGCTGGGCGCAGCCCGTCACAAACGCAAAATACCAGCACCTGCAGCACCTGCAAAACAAGTACGTCCCCGCGCTGCGCGGCGTCCTGCTCGACTACAGCAACATCACCCTCGGCCCGGCCCCCGGGCGCGGCAATGGCGCCGCCGCCGACGACGACGCCCCGACGACGGTCATGTCGCGCGGCGAGTACGCCGTCGGCTTCGGCTGGATCACGGCCGACGTCGAGCTCTTTGTGCCCAGCCGCGGCGCCTGGATGGAGGGCAGCGTCAACCTGCAGACCGAGGGCCACATCGGCGTCGTCTGCTTCGGCAGGTTCAACGCCTCCATCGAGGCCCGCCGCCTGCCGCCCGCCTGGAAGTGGGTCTCCAACGACTCGTCCGACGCCCAGGGGTTCGAGGAGACGGCCTCGGTCATCACGGCCGACGACCACGGCGTCGTCCGCCAGATCCACAGCACGGGCTTCTGGGTCGACGGCGCCGGCGCGCGCGTCAAGGGCAAGACGCGCTTCCGCATCCGCAACTTTGACGCCGGCACCAGCGGCGACACGAGCTACCTGAGCCTTGAGGGTACCATGCTCGACAAGGACAGCGAGAAGAGACTGGTCAAGGAGGAGGCCCGCGCCGCGCAGGCGAGGCGGCCCGGCAAGGGCGGGCAGAGGGTGGCGCGATACAGGGCGCCCGACTTTAGCATGACGCGGTTCGAGGCGGAAGAGGCGGAAGCGGGCCAGGAGCAAGGCAAGGACCAGGCCGGCGAGGCTGGTGCCACTGCTAACCTAGAGCCGGAGCCAGAGCCGGAGCCGCAGGCTGGCGGGGAAGGCGAGGATGGGGTGGAGGGAGAGGCAAGCATCGAGGACTAGTTTCTGCCTTTATTATCCTGCTTACACACGTGTCAATGGCAGAGCTGCTTCCACGACTTGAGAGAGGGGGCGCTTCTTCCTGGATGGGACTAGAAGGGGCGAGAAGATGAATGACGGGGAAATGGGAGTTCCATGAGACCAGTATCCCTCTTGATGTCCGCCGTGCTCTACGAAGACTATGGCCTGCGCGCTCACTGCGACTGAAAGCGCATCTTGACGCCCAGACAGGGCTCTCAACTCCCATCATCGCTGGCCAGGCATGACATAAACCGCTCCTCAAATGTCACGGCCCCATGCGCAAGAAACAAGAAGAAGTATTGGAATTTAAAACCGCGTTGAGTTGCGCGACTCCGGAACGTGATGCTGCGGTAACTAAGTGGTAAGTGTTGGAGTCTGAGGTGGCCAAAAACAGGAGCCTGAAATCCAAGGCGCCCAAATCCGCCGACCCCCACGCCCGGCCTTGAGCCGAACGAGGAACCTCATCCCAGCACCGCCAACCCACCACAGCACCATCCCAACCCATCCGTCAAGATGGCTTCCGACACGGATTCAGAGCCGCGGCGTACGCCCACCCCGCCCAGCCACGCCCTCCGCTCGTTCAATCGCTAACCCCAGTTCTCCAGGAGCCACCCGCGAGGAGATGCGCGAAGCCCGCCTCCCGCTCGCCTACCGCGACAGCTGCGCCCACCTCCTGATCCCTCTCAACAAGTGCCGGAAAGCGACGTGGTATGCGCCTTGGAAGTGCACCGTGAGTCCGTCCACACATTGCTGCCGCCCTCCCCATCCTGTCACGCCAGCCCCGGCTCTGACCCCCGAGACTAGGACGAGAGGCACAGCTACGAAAAGTGCCAGTACGTCGAGTTCAAGAAGCGCGTCGCCAAGATGGACGAGCTGCGGGAGTCGAAGGGCGGCGCGAGGTCAAACTAAACCGAGCACGGCCGGGACAAGCGGGAAACATAAAAAAAAAATGTACATATCATCTCTCCCTCGGTGCCACGAGCAATAGAGGACTTGCGGCCCCCCTGGGCCATTTGGGAGTGGCAGGGCTTCTTTGCTTTTGTGACCCGGCGGCGACGACTAGTGAGTCGATGATGGACAGCAGGAGAGGCGACGACTCGGTAATCGACAAGTCGATTCGGACGACACCAACACCTCGAAGCACCTCATTGGCGAGGAGGAAGCTACCAGCCGGCTACACGAGCGCACCCTTGATCATCCTTGGCCACCCGGCATGGCTCCCAAGCGCTGGCAGCTGGATGTTGATGTGGGCGGATATGCTGCCGATGACGACAGCCGAGCCAAGACCTCGACCCTGATATGAGTAGGGACCGACAACTCTGGCGCAGTGAAGGGTGCGTCGAGATGGACATGAGCCGCGTACTTAGTTGCAAGGGGGAGAGGCCACTTGCTGTCTTTTGTAAGTCCTATTTCTGCGTAAAGCAAGCCATGCTATTCCAGATTGCGATGCGCGCGCTTAGTGGGCAACAGCTCATCCACATCAGTCTGCCAGCAAAATCTCCCATCCCAAGCAACGCCTCGCCCTCTCTTCCAAGAGCCACGCCACACAGGCCCTATCTCTGCCGCGGCATCTTCTTGTCCTCGAGCGCCTCAATGTCCTTCTTCTTGTGAAAGTGCGGCGCCAGCTCCGCCAGCCACCCGGGCTCAATCGGCATGACGCTGCGCATGTACTCCTTGGTCGTCTGCACCAGCTCAAAGTACACCACCATCTTCTCGGGCGGGTCTGCCGCCATGAGCACGCTGCTCGGGTGGATCCACACGCCCGTGCCGTTCTTGACCGTCCGGTACCCGTCGCCGCTCTTCTGCAGTCGCGCCGCGTTGGGGAAGAAGCCCGCCGTGATGGCCCGCTTGATGGGCCGCACGTTGCTCGCCCCGCACGACGACGGCGCCACCTCGACGCGCTCGCATAGCTTGGCCAGCTGGTCGCGCACATCGCGCGCCCGCGTCAGCGACCGCTGCTGCAGAAAGTTCTCGCGCGCCCACACGGGCGAGAAGTCGCTCTCCACCCACTGGTTCCACACGTTGAGCAGCGTCACGTGGTCGCCGCCCTCCTTGACCGTGAAGCGGTTTCGTGCGCTGTCGGCGTGGATCTTCTTGTCCTTGGGCCGGAAGAAGAGCGCCGATGCCTCGCCCAGCATCGACACAATCGACAGCACCTCGTCCACACACCCCTCCTTGTCGGCCGCCAGCACCGCCTTGGCCAGCATCGGGTCCGTGGGGAACTCGGCCATCTGGCGCCCCAGTTTGGTGAGCTCGCCCTTGTGGTTCAGCGCCTGAAGCGCAAAGAGCTGGTTCAGGGCGCCAATCAGCGCCTCCGTCGGCGGCGGGTCCATGAACTCAAAGTCGAGGAGCTCGTTGATGCCGAGCGACTTGAGCTGCAGCACCACGCCGTTGAGGTTCGTCCGCTGGATCTCGGGCGTCGTCGACTCGTCCATCTCATTCATGTAGGCGAATTTGGTGTAGAGCCGGAAACACTTGCCGGGGCCGACTCGGCCGGCGCGGCCGCTCCGTTGGTTGGCCGACGCTCGCGAGCAGGGGACGGCCACCAGGTTGGACATGCCCGTCGCCGGGTTGTAGATGTTCTCCTTGACATAGCCAGGGTCAATGACGTAGACGATGCCGTCAATAGTCAAACTCGTCTCGGCAATGTTGGTCGCCAACACCACCTTGCGGGCGCCGTCGGGGGTCGGCTCGAAAATCTTGGACTGCAGTTCAGACGGCAGGTTGGCATAAATGGGGCATATGACCAGTTCCTTGACGCGGCTGCCCAGCTTCCTCGCCGTCTCGGAAATCTCCAGCTCCGCGGCCTCAATCTCGTCCTGCCCAGTGAGGAAGATGAGAATGTCGCCCTTGCCCTGCGTCGTGTGGATTTGAAAGGTGGTGGTGATGGCTGCTGCCAGGTAATTTGCTTCGGGGGCGGGCGTGTAGTAAATGTCGACGGGATAGCGTCTCCCGGGGATGTTGAATATTGGCGCGTCGTCAAAGTACTCAGAGAACTTGGTCGCATTCATGGTGGCTGAGGAAATCAGCAGTTTGAGATCGCGCCGCTCGCGGGCCAGATCCTTGACAAGGGCAAGCAGAATGTCGGTATGCACGGTCCGCTCGTGGGCCTCGTCGATCATCAGGGCCGAGTAGCCGGCTAGGTCTGGTTCCGTCATGAATTCTCGGAGTAACATGCCGTCCGTCATGTACTTGAGCGTCGTCTTGTCGCTCGTGCAGTCCTCGAACCGGATCGAGTATCCGACCTCGTTCCCGACCTTAACGCCCACCTCTTCGGCGACGCGCGCTGCGACGCTCATGGCGGCCACTCGCCGGGGTTGGGTGCATCCGACCTTCATCCCGTTCTTTGTGTAGCCGGCCTCGTGGAGGTACTGCGGCAGCTGCGTCGTCTTGCCGCTGCCCGTCTCGCCAACGATGACGAGAATCTGATACTGCTCCAAGGCCTCGAGGAACTGGTCGCGGTACTGGTAGATGGGCAGGCTTTTCCTGGTTTCCTGAATAGACAGCGCCTTCTTCTCGGCCGCGTCGATCTGGGCGTCGAGGAACAGTTGCTCCTTGGTCTTGGCCAGGGACTTGCCCTCGCCGGCCAGCTTCGAATCGAGGCTCCACTGGATGTACTGGGCATCGTCCAAGACGTAATCGTAACTGTCGTTTTCCAGCTCTGTGCGCTGAATCTGGGCCTTTGCCTTGGTGGCCTGCTCCCTCTCCCACTCCTCGTGCTCCGTGACAAACTTTTCCTGGCCATACTCGTCCCTGTCGACGTATCGCTTGTAGAGAGCCTCTTCCTTTTTCTTGCGGTCCATCTTTCCCTTTTCTGTGATGTAGTCCTCGGGCATCATGTAGCCGTCCCTGTGGTCGTCGATCCTGAGCCGCTCCTCGGCTAGCCGCAAAATCTCCCTGTTCTTGGCAAACTCGGCCTTTTCCTTGTCGGATAGCCGGACGCCGCTGCGCAGCTCGGCAGTCTCCTCGGCGACTTGCTTCCGCAGCAAGGCCAGGCGTTCCTGTTCCCGCTTCTTGAGATACTCTTGCCGTGATCTCTCGCGCAAGTCCGGCAGGGCGGCCTCTCTTGCGTTGGCGTCGTCGGCAATTCTCCGCCTCGACGAGGCCTCTCCGTCGCGGAGGATCTTTTTTGATTTCCCATCGTCCTTCTCTCTCAGCCGCTTGGCAAAGGCCTCGCGCTCCTCGATGTCCTTTTGCCGCGCGAGCTCTTCCTTGGCGCCATCTGAGAGGTCCTCTTGCGGTGGAGACTGGTCCTTTTTGTCGTCGTGGCTCAGTTTTACCCGTTTGCTCGCAGACTCTTGGAACTCCGGTGCACTGGCATCGTCGCCTATATCATCCGAGGGCGGCGCCTCGTCTCCCCATCGGTCGTCGAAGTCTGCCCCCGCATCACGTCGACGAAAGGTCTTGGACTGGCTGGTATGGTGGCGGTGTCGATCGGAGCGCGGGGATCTGCATCTGGAGCGGCTGCGATGGCGCCTCGTCTTGGACTTTTCAGCGGAGGGCTTGTCGTCGCGATCTCGGCCACGGTCGCGATGGCGGTGGCGTTGCTTGTGCTTCTTGTCCGCGGCGACCTTTTGAGGCCCGACCTCTTGGTCGTCCATGGGGAGGAAGGCGTACTTTTTTGAGCTCATGCTGGGCAAGACGACGCGGCGACTCAGGATGACCAGGCACGGCTGGCAAAGTGGTTGCTCCTGTGGATGAGGAGAGCAAATGGGAGTTGACTTTGACTCACCCGCGACCTTGATGTTAGCCAGGCTGCAGGACGACTGATTAATACCTATCTACCAAGCACGTGCATGGCACAGAGTGCAAAGAGGTACCCTAGCATAGTCTCATTGGTGTGGGGGTACGGAGTAAGTACATGTGGCAGTAGTTCCCCGGCCTAGCATCGAGTTAGTTAAGTTAATTCGGCTGCTGATCCTCTGGTCCAATCAGAGCCTCTCGATAAGCGGCCGGCGCAATAGCGCTGGCAAGGGGTCCTGATGCGACAAGGTACCTGGATTGTTAACACGCTGGTAATAACCAAGTCTCCAGTAATAACAGCTTACACGTCGGCCTCTAGCCACTCTTGCCTCTCTACCTGTCTTCATTTTTCCAACTCTCCATCTTCCAACTCTTTCCGCCCTTTCATTGCGGATTGGAGGACACTCACTCCTATTGGACGCCTGTGTCTCTGAACAATAACCGCATCCGTCCCTTCTCGGCTTCATCTGAACGGCAGGTCATCCTCTTAGGCCGCTCTTAGTCCGGGCGCCTCAACCCGGCGGCATGCTGGTCCACCGGCTCAGCTTGCTCCTCGTCGTCGCGCTGGTCGGGCTGGTGACTTGTGCCGAGGACTACTACAATGTGCGTTTTCGTGGAAATGTCTCTGTGACGCCTTGCATGTTAACTCGGTCATTTGCCTCCAGGTCTTGGGAGTGGGCAAAGATGCCTCGGATCGCGAGTTGAAGTCGGCCTACCGGAAACTCTCCAAGAGACATCATCCTGACAAGAACCCGTACGAGCCCCCTTCTTCCGTCACATCTCCCCCAAAGAAGCAAAACTGCGCGCCCGGACTAACATTCAGCCACGTCCCAGCAACGACAAGGAGTCGCACGACAAGTTCGTCGAGGTCGCCGACGCCTACAACGTCCTGAGCGACTCGGAGTTGCGCCAAGTCTACGACCGCTACGGCCACGACGGCGTCAAGTCGCACCGGCAAGGCGGCGGGGGCGGGGCCGACCAGCAGGATCCCTTCGACCTCTTCAGCCGCTTCTTCGGCGGCCACGGCCACTTCTCGTCGCGCGAGCCGCGCGGGCACAACGTCGAGGTGCGCGTCGAGGTGACGCTGCGCGAATTCTACATGGGCATCGCCACCGAGTTCCGCTGGGACAAGCAGCACATCTGCGAGACGTGCGGCGGCTCCGGCAGCGCCGACGGCCATGTCGACACGTGCGAGACGTGCGCCGGCCGCGGCGTGCGCATCGTCAAGCAGCAGCTGGCCCCGGGAATGTTCCAGCAGATGCAGATGCGCTGCGACGCGTGCGGCGGCCGCGGGAAGACTGTCCGCACCAAATGCCCTGCGTGCCAGGGCGCGCGTGTCGAGCGCAAGTCGACGCCCGTCAGCCTCAACGTCGGCCGCGGCGTGGCGCGCGATGCCCGTGTCGTCTTCGAGAACGAGGCCGACCAGAGCCCCGACTGGGTGGCTGGCGACCTGCTCGTCACGCTCGTTGAAAAGACCCCCTCGCTCGACAACAACCCGGACGGCGTCGACGGCGTCTTCTTCCGCCGCAAGGGCGACGATCTGTACTGGACAGAGGTGCTGTCTCTGCGCGAGGCTTGGATGGGCGACTGGTCGCGCAACCTGACGCACCTCGACGCCCGCGTCGTCCGCCTCGGCCGGCCGCGCGGCCAAGTTGTGCACCCGGGCCACGTCGAGACGGTCGCCGGCGAGGGCATGCCGTTGTACCGCGAGGACAACGACGACGGCGGCGGCGGCGAGCTCAAGTTCGGCAACTTGTACGTCACATACGAGGTGGTGCTGCCGGACCAGATGGACTCGGCCATGGAAAAGGACTTTTGGGCCCTGTGGGAAAAGTGGCGCGCGAAAAAGGGCGTCGACTTGCAAAAGGACAGCGGCCGCCCAGACCCTCCGCCGCCCTCGCCGCCACGGGACGAGTTATGATGCGATGGGGGGTCAATTCTGGGGTTCTTTATTTCTTCTCGTTATGTTCAAGGGTGGGTTTCCGGTGTCTAGTTTCGTCCGGGACGGAGGGATGGGGTTCGCAGCAGGGCAGAGCATGATAGACATGAATGTAGACTGGGGCGTCGAATGAAGTCTGGGCTGGACAACACATCCATGCTCATTAAGAGAGTGAAGAGTATCACGAGGCAGAGAAGGAAAATGTTCACCATAGAAATAAAAAGAAAGAAAGCTAAAAACTGCTCTCAAGATAAAGGCAGAGAGTCATTATGACCATCTCTTCGTGCGATGGGAAGTCTTTTCTACACCGGCTTCTCCAGACATGATAAACCCCCAAAGAAGCAGTCTATCAATTCATCATGTTCATTATGTCTCCTCCCCATGTGTTATCAACGAGCTTGCACCCTCGTCGCTGCAACGTCCATTCCACCTCTGCTCACGACAGGCTTGGTGGACAAATCTTTCCTGCCAAGCAAGCTGCTCGCCTTAAGAGCAAAAGAGCCAAATAGAGCTGCCGCAAAGAAAAAACACCTGTTTGACGGAATGTTCAAACGAATAAAAGGAAAAGATGGACACGAAAAATAACCGAAAAAGGAGAAAGCAAGAGCATAGGAGAAATCATAACATTCATCACACGTTCCTGGTCATCGCCGCCTCCCCCGCCGCGGCCTCTTGTCGTCGCCGTCATCATCGCCACCCGCGTCACGCCGCCTGGCCTCGTCCTCAGCCTGCGGCGGCAGAGGCGGCAGGAAGCCCGCGCCGCCGAGCACGTCACCAAGGACGCTCATCCAGCTGCGCCGGCCCTCGAGCGCGCCCGTCACGTTGTGCACCAGCCGGTCCACCGCCTCCCCGTCGGTACCGCCCACCTGCCACGCACCCCTAACGTCCCAGTCCCCGGGTTGCCGCGGCTGCCGCTCAAACGTGCCCTTGCGAGTGGTCCACCTGTCGCGAGCGGGGCGGCCGCCAAGGGGTTTCCCCTGGGAGTCAAACCTGTCGGGTAGCAGCTCGACGTCGTCTTCCGAGTCGGAGTCGCTCAGACCCTGACGCCCTCGAGGGACGACGGGCCGATCTGAGGAGGGATCGGAAGAACGCCGCCGACGGAACGCTGGTCGAGTGCGGCCGTTGTCGAGCGGCTCGTCATCGTCGTGCTCGGGCGAGTCGTCATCCTTGTCCGACGCAGCGGCATGGTGTCTCCTGTGCCGCTCCATGGTGCGGGAGCTCTTAGGCGACAGCGGGATAAAGGACACCGACTTTGTGGCCGAGGGCGGGCCCTTGCTCGAATACGCCGAGTAAGGCGAGGTTACACCATCTACACAGAAGTTAGTCGCCGGCTCTTCCCCATCGCAACATCCCCGGGTGGAGCCCGGTAAAAGCACGATTTCACGCACCCTCTGCTGCGCTTGCGGCGCGGCGGCTGTGTCGGCGTCGGGAATGGTCACTCACTTGGTCTGGTGGGCGCCCGCCACCAGGAGGAGGCGCAGGTCCCGGTGGCCCTGGCGGTGGTGGTCCTGGGGGGGCGGGAGGATATCGTCCGTCGATGCTCGGCTCAGGCCCCGGCGGCTGGCCCGGCGGTGGTGGGCCCGGAGGCGCTGGCGGAGCGTAGCCGGTATAGTCTTGGGGTATATACGGCTGATACTCACGTGGCGGGGCTCCCGAGTGGTCTGGATACGGTGCGTAGTCGGGCCCGCCCGGGGCCGGGCCGGGGGTTGAAGGGTATGGTGGATAGTAGGCGCCGCCAGAGGCCATGGGGGGGGACTGCGCGCGGTGACTGCGACGGTTGTCAAAGTATCCTTCTTCCCTCCGCTCTTCTGGATGTCCTAGATTCGTCCTGCGTCAGCTCATGGTGGTCTGGGTTGCATCATCGACGGTCGGACTTACGTCTCCCATCGCCGTTTCTCTCCCTTGAACGCCGCTCTCTCTTCTCCTGGTCTCGCCTGTCTTTGAACTCCTTGATTCCAACCGCCGCCGCGCCGGCAGCTGCCATGTTCCTCAGCCTACTCCTGCTCCGCTTCCGCTCTTGGTCCGAAGGGGACGAGGACGGCGTGCGGTCGCGCCGCCTGCGTCGTCGGCGCCTTCTCTCCTCGTCCCGGGCATCATAGTCCCGCTCGACGGCAGACGAGGGCTCCGACGGCAGGGGTCCGCCTCCGTACTCAACTAAGCCTAGCTCAGGATCAGCCCCAGAAGGTGAGACAGGGGATCTGGCCATGGACCTGCTGCGGCTCCGACCCCAGCTCCGGCTCCTGCTCACGCCCCGGTCTCGCGATCGGCGATGGCGACCGCGATCATCCTCACCACTGACGCTACGGGTGCGAGCCTCCTTCTTGTCCTGATGGTCCTTCCATAGCTTGTTGGCAACGCCGGCAGCGGCAGCGACACCGGCGATTTCTGCTCCGCGGCGGATCTTGGACTTGCTGCGGGAGCGGGAGCGGGAGCGGCTCCCATGGCGGGACCGAGACTTGGACTTGTCCCTGAAATGTTTGACGATGCCCGCCGTGGCCGCTGTGCCGAGTGCTGCCTTGGCGACGGTGGAGAGGCTGCGGCGGCGGCGGCTACGTGTGTGAGATCGGGAGCGAGAGCGAGAGCTGCGTGAGACTGAGCGGGAGTAGTTATCACCGGAGTAGTAGCCGCCACGGGTTAGGCTCCGGCCGCGATGCGCCTCCTCCTTATCGACCTTGTTGGACTGGTAATACTTGGCGGCGCCTGCAGCGGCCAGGGCAACGGCAGCGAAGCCAAGACCCTTTCTCAAGCGCGAGTGATGGTCGGGCGACTCGCGACCGTCCCCCCAGCGTTCCCCATAGGCGCTGTGGGCGCGGCGGAGGGCTTCGGTTCCCAAGGCGCCGAGGGCTGCGCCGGCAAGCACCTTGCGACCCCTGTTTTCCGGGAGATCGCCGTACCCGTCGCGGCGGCTGGAGACGAGGGCGGTGAGGCCGGCGCCGGCGAGGGCGCCCTCGGCCAGCTCACGCTTGTGGCGGTGGGCGCTCTCGCTGCGTTCGCGGCGGACAACGGTGCGACGGACGTAGTAGTCGTCGTCGTCGCTGTAGTAGGAGTAGTCGTCATCCCTGCGGCGGCGCTCGTAGCGAGAAACGGTGTAGTCGCGGTCACCCCGGTAAGGGCCAAGGTCGCGCCGCTCGTGGCGGTAGTAGTACTCCTCGTCGAAGGGGTCCCGCTCCCTGCGGACCATGTTGCGGTCCTGCTCCCTGTCACGGAGGACGACGACGCCCGGCTGCTGGCGAGGGACGACGATAGGAGCCGGGGAGGGTGCCTCCTGGACGATGATCTTCTGGGGCTCCTGGGCCTGCTGGCGGATGATGACGGGGGCAGGAGCCGGGTCGGCGGGGACGTAATACTCGGTCTCCTTGCGGTAGCGCTCGACCTCGTGGCCGAGGTCATCGTCTATGCGCTCCTCGATTTTCCTCTCGACCTTGATCTCGTCGTCGTGGCGGGGTTCCCGGGGGTCCCGATAAGAGCGGCGGTCCCAGTCGTCGTAGACAGACATGCGAGACCGGTCGGGCTCGCGGCGAACGTCACGCTCAACGTCGCGCTCATAGTAGAGGGAGCGGGGGCGGTCGGCCATGGTGGGCTCATACTCGGAGCGGGGACGTTCCAGGGCAGCCTGAGAGCGGCGTTCATCGAGAAAGTCGGGCGAGGGACGAGGGGCGGAAAAGCGGGAGCGACGGTCGTCGTCGGCTGGGTCGAACCTCTCGCTGCGTTCGTAGCGATCGCCAGCTCGGCTGGGGGCCACCTTGTAGCGGGTGACGGTGGTGCTTCTGAAGCGGTCGTCTTCGTCGTTGTCGTCGCGGTCCCGGTAGGCGCGGGATCCCCTGTAGGAGTCACCCATGGCTAGGACTCGTTTTTTCCCTCTCTCTGCGTCTAGGTCCTTGCTGATGACGACAGGTGCGGAGGAAGGGCAAGGCAGTCCAAGGCGATAGAGGCGGGTGCTTGATGTTTGTCGGGACTAGACAACTGAGGATGATGTATTGGGAGGAAGGATGAGCAGTCAGGCAAGGCAGCAGGATGGATGACGGGAAGATGACGAAAGGTGTCGTGTTGCAGAAGAGGATGCTGACGTGTGGAGGCAATAAGAATGGAGGTGAGGGGCGATGAGAAGGGCGACTGGCTGGCCACGCACACACACACACACAGGCAAGAGACTTCGGGCTTGGGCTCGAACAGGGCAGCGAAGGGGCGTTTAATCGAGGGCGAGGCGAATGAGCAGAAACTGGGGCGTCAAGATACTGTTCGCAGTGCGATGGAGGAGGGAGAGTCACCGGTGAGTGAGAGGTTGTACACCCCCAACATGCGCTGGAGGGGAGGGGAAAAGGGCTGATGATGGGCGGCTTACGGCGGGCGTGTGTGCGTAACCAATCATGGTACCTCGAGGGCGGCGATGAAGATAGCCGGGGCCAAGCGGGAGAGCGAGGCGGTGTGGCAGAGTTTGAGCTGGGTCTATCGGACCGCACGTACTCTCGCGTACCCGCAAAGTACCTCGGGTCCCTAGGACTGGGCGAGGGCGGAACCCGACGGCGGTAAAGATACTGGCGAGGCGAGGGGGGGGTTGGTCAGTCAGCTGCCTCGCTCCCTTTTGGCTCGTGACTGGGCATCACGAGAGGGACAAGAGCTGATGAGATGGCCCAAGCCTTGCTTGCTTGCTTGCTTGCTTGCTACTGGTATTAGCACGCAGGATAATGCCCGTGCCGCTGAGCTGGAGGTACACGGAGATACTTTACCTGTCCTCTTCAGCTCTTCATCGGAAAGTGCACGTTTCTCGGGCGGACGTCGCCTCCAAAGTACCTTGTACCTCTGCAATCTCTTATCCTCGTCAAAACGTGTGACCCCCCCACATGTCGTCATCACCCAACTCCCAACTTGGCTTCCATTGTGTCGCGACATCATGTCGTGGACTGCGTCAAAGTTGCAGTCTGCCCAACGTCCGCCCAAATCCCCGATCCCTTTTCTATGCCGTACACCAGCGCCAGCGCCGACGTCGTCTCGTCTGCCTCGGCTCGGCCCGTGCCTCCCATCGGGCCTACCCTAGACCGGGATCCTCCGCGTCGAGTTTACGCCTCGACGGACTATTTCGACCAAACTTTAAAGTCCGCAAGTGCCCCCAGCAAGGCATCCTTTCTCACTGCGGACGAGACTCTCCGTGCCGGGAGGCTGCCAAACATGGTCAGTGTTGTAGCTTAGCTCACCCAAAGCCCGGCGATACTGTCTACGTGACCTTGATGACAATCTCGCCTTCTCCCGCCGGCTTCTCGAACCCTATCCAATATCGTTCAAACGTCTTGTCGTCGACGTCAAAGGCCGAGTCCCCATCTCGACCCTCATCATCCACCCCCAGCGCATCTCTCCGAGCCCTGCGTTCGGCAATCCGCCTCCGTATGACATGCTCCTCGGCGTCGAGAAACACTAGTACCCGTCGTCCGCCGCTGCAGCTCACAATCTCCTTGAACTCGCACCGGGAACTCTCTGTTCCAGAACGAGAGGTCCAGCACCACATCCTGCCGCTCCGTCCGCAGAAGAAGCCCCAGCTCGTCAGTCAGGTACTTCAGAGCTTCGGCTTGGTGCGCGGCGTACTCGTCGGCCGGGTAGTTGATGGCGTAGAGACCGTGGCGCTCAAAGATGATGGCGTCGATGGAGAGCCGCGTCAAGTGAGGCAGGCGGTCGATGATGCCCTTGGCGAGTGTGGACTTCCCGGCTCCTGTCTATCCATGAGTCCATGAAACTGGGGCATCTGCACGGTTGATTTTTCCATCCAGGGTTGTTGACCGCGTGCTCACCGGACAAGCCGCAAGTCATCACCACGACCGGTCTTGGATCTGATGCCGTACGACGGAGCAGTGGAAGTATCTAGTGTCGGTCAGCATTCATTCGGAGAGCCGCGGGCACGACAGCGAACCATGTCCACGGCATCCAGTCGGCAGTGCTCCGCCATCTCAAAGATGCCGCGGTTCGCAATCGCTTTCATGTCGAGGCGGAGGAGACAGGGACCCCAAGGGGGCTGAGTCACTTGCCGAGACCGGTCGACGCAAAGCCGTGGCGCCAACCTGGGTGCGAGGGCGAGTCATATCTAGCCATCCTCCGTACTGGCACGGCCTTTGGGGGCAGGGCCATTCTGCTATTGCCTAGTTCAACGGCCATATTTCCACGTCTCAGACATGTTGTTGGCGACATCGACTCTGACCTACCGTCCAACAGACGTGGGGGGCGGCCGTCTCGCCGCATGTGCCTATCTGTAACATAGATGAGTCGCTTGGTGATTCAACCACCCTTTGTCCACCCTCATTCGAACGCTTACGGTCATGCTGGTGCGATGATGTCTTCGACGTCGACGGAGTTTGTAAAGTAGACGAGGCCAGGCGCCACGTGACTGATGAGTCTGGACAGGCTTCACCCTCTCTGCCAGCGCGCTTGGTAATATTTCTTATCTACCCTAGACTCCCGGGGGGATCTGACCAAAGTAATTACCGCAACTCTCCCCTGTAAAAATTCTTCCCCCGTCAGAGCTGTTAGCGGCTCGCTAGCAGGGGGCCGGATTTGCAGGCCACCCGACCGCGCTTTTGCTGCCCGGGTCCATCGTGGCCCTAACAGCACAGAGGAAGACATTAGGAGAGTTCATATTCCTCTGCAAAGCCGGTCTCGACAACACGTCCACACGGACCTCACAGCTTCCTTCGGAACCAAGGAGCTGTGGGTATTGGAAGGCCCGCCCTTCTAAACAACGGTGGCTGGTTGCGCAGGTTTTTCTCCCTGAAGGCAAGCTGCACGACAGCCTCTGATTCCTTCGAGGGTTTTCCTGCCGCCGCTCCTGCGCTATTTCCATCGCCTGGTTACCGAAGCATGGACTGCGACAGCAGCGTTAGCGAGAGAGCGAGAGAATTCTGACCGGACAAAACCAAGGGTTGACCATTGTGGCAATCGCCACGCGCCTGGACGACCCGCTGACGGGCACCAGGCTCCGACACTGAGCGCCTTAGAGCCGATGAAATGCTGGATGGACTTCGGGAAGGCTGGCTGCAGAGGATAGCCACGGACACTTGTATTGACGGGCTTAGCGACAACCTACCGGTGGAGGGGGTAGGAAAGCCGTCTCCGGGGATTGAGCCCGACAGCTCGCCCTTGCGAGGCCTTGCAAGAAGCGCTGGGTGAGGCCTACTGTGGCAGGATTTTCTCGATAGCCTAGCTCAGCACGTCCTGTGCCCCACCGGGACCTGAGCGGCCTTACGGCCGCTGGACGGAAAATACACACACACACACACAAAGTAATTACCGCATATGCGGACGACACTGCCATCCTTTGCGTCGGCGATAGCCTGGATGAGACGTCCGCCGAAGCATCTCATCATGTGCGTGAGCTTGTATCGTGGGGCGCCGCCAACGGGATCTCCTTCGACCCTGAGAAGACAGAAGTGATGCACTTCTCTCGAACGACGCCCAAGACGGCGCCGCCAGTGCTCCATGGCGAATTTGAGAAACGGCCGGGCCGGGCGATGCGTTGGCTCGGCGTCTGGCTCGACAGCACTCTGTCTTTCAAGACTCATGTCGAGAAATGGACGGCCAAAGCGCAAGCAGTCGCCTTCCATCTCAGGAGACTGACAAACACCAGGCATGGTCCTCTACCGAGCGCTGTGCGACGAGCGGTCTGCGCTTGCGTCATTCCAGTGCTGCTCTACGCGGCGGAGGTCTGGTATCCTGGTTCTACGCGCCCGCGCTGGACCAAGCCGGGCAAGGAAGGACCGTCCAGGATCGGACACCTCGTAAAGAAGATGAGCAAGGCACTCTACACATCTCTTCGGGCTATCCTGCCAGTGTGGAGAACTACACCAACGAATGTTCTGCACCGGGAGGCAGGGATACCGCCGGTCCCTCTGCTGCTCGAGGCGCGCCGGACTGCATTTGCTGCGCGTCTCAAATCCCTGGACGAAGCTCATCCGCTCGTGAAGCGCACGTCGAGGCCAAAAGCCCTATACTGAATGAAATGATCAAGCTGAAGTACCAAAAGCAGCCAAAACCCTTCCGGACTAGGCTGCGGCGCTCGACAATTGCTACCAAGCTGCCCAAGGCCTGCCTTGCTGCAGCGCGGATTTGTCGAAGAGCAGACTGCGCCTCTGCAGAGTGCATCGAAAAATGAGACGGCGAAGAAATTTCGCGATTGGCTCCAGGCACTATCGCCCCGAACTCTGGTCGTCTATTCCGACGGGTCCCGTTCTACCGAAGGCCACGCCGGATATGGCTATGTTGTTCATCGGGACGGATCCACCGTCTTGCGCGACAAGGGCCGTCTCGGGCCCGCCGAGATTTTCGACGCTGAGGCGAAAGGTGCGTTGGAGGGGTTGAAGGCTGCGGTGAGCCTTCCAGAAACTGACCGCATCTTTGTCTGCCTCGACAACCTCGCGACCGCAACATGCTTACGGGGCACGCCGAGCGACTCCTCGCAAGAGGTCTTCCTTGAGTTTCAATCTTTGGCGCGAAAATACGGAGCTGTGGAGGTCCATTGGATCCCCGGCCATGCTGACATCCCAGGCAACGAGGAGGCTGATGCTCTGGCAAAGGCGGGAGCATCACTGCCAGAACCCGCTGATAACGTCCCGACGCTAGCGCACCTGCGAAAGATTGCCCGACAGCAGCCGGAAGAGGCTTTCAAGGCCTGGTGGGAAGCCTCTGCGCCGGAGCGATACAGAGACCTGAGGCTTAAAGCCACAACCAGCTGCCCGTCAGAATTGGCGCTCTCGGCCCCTGCTTCGTAACTTGCTTGCAGCAAGAACCCACCATGGGGATTTTGCTGACTACCACGAAAGGTTTGGTCACGACAATGCGCGACTGACGTGCTCGTGCGGAAGACGAAAAGAGCCAGCACACATCTTTTACTGCAGAAAGGTTGCGCCACGGCATCGTATGCGGCTTGCACCTTGGCCGGCTGCAGCCATCAACCGCGCAATCGGCAAGGACTTTGACAAATTCGTCAGGCTGGCGAAAGCGAGCTCCTTCTTCGGAGGGATCTGCCCACGCCACTAGACGGTCATCATTCTCCTCTCTCACCCTACCTTTTCCTCTCAATCCTTTCTGTTACCTGCTCCGATCTCGGGCGGCGTCAAGGTCTCGCGACCATGCGATCGCCGAGGTCATCAAGGGCTGCAAGGCCCCAGAAGCAAATTGGCTGATCTGACCACGGGACAGCTTTCTCTTCATGCCTGGACGTCCCGCTGACGGGCAACAGGTTTGTCATGAGCGCCGTTGAGCCGATGAAATGCTGGATAGTGGGTGAAGTGTACGATATGTAGCATGTAGACACCTGCTAGCTCAGCACGTCCTGTGCTCCCCTGCGGAGACCTGAGCGACCAAAAGTTGCTGGACGGAAAATACACTAAACTAAACTAAACTAAACTAAAGTAATTACCGCATGACGACTGACCTAGCATTGTGCGGGATTTAATTAGGAGGACAACCTAAACCAAATTGCGTCGACCTCTTAGGCGTTCCACCAATCTTCTTCTTAACAGAGAGGAACGGCATTCACAACTCCGTGCCCACAAGGCCTGACGGCGGAGAGGCCTCATGACACACGGGCCTCATGACGAGGCCAAAAACTCAAAGCCTGATTTCACCGGGAACCAAGGCAACCAAGGCCTAGCCCAGCAGACAAACAATCAACCAAATTCCAAGCCTCGTGAAGGAGCGCCGCGGATAGAAGGCCGGTGGAGCTTGACCCGGATGTCGCCGAAGTCTTTTCCTACGCGTGCAAGGCGAATGCAGGCCGCAACCCCATGTTACTGTGGGTTTGGCGAGTGTAACCGAGTACCGGGTATGGAACCTCTCAAGTGCCGTGTGCAAATTTCGGTTTCCAAAGTGGACTGCAAGACCCTTGGGTGTTCATTTCTTCCAAGGAGACCGAGGGCAAGTTTGTATGGCATCAACAAGTTTCCTGAAACCTGGGGAAACGTTGAGCATTAGTTCGAGATGTATATACCTATCAAGCCCTGCCAAACGCCGGCACTTACATCTTCCTTCTTTCTTTGCTGCGCCTCGTTCGGAGAGAATCGCTCGCTCCTGGCTGGTCGTTTTTCGCTGGCGACTAATAGTAGCGGTACATCAGTGTATGTGGATATGGTTCCATCACTGGGTATATGTGAGTGCACCTCTGGCTCCACGTGCGTGGCTTTGTCCCCATCATTCATCTCTGCTCTGGGGTCCACATTGTGACCTGGCCAGAGTTTCTTGGCCGCAATCTCCCTCTTTCTATTGTACATACTGTATGTACATTAATTACTGCGCGAGTTGCTCCGTGCCGCCAAGTTCGGAGAGGCATGCTCTGCCACCGGTTGCCATGTCTCGGTATTGATGGACAGGGCATTTGATAGGTGGACACGTAGATGACATGGACACTACATGTACAGTGTATGCAAACCAACTTCAATGTACCCCGAGCCAGGTCATAGGCGGATTCGTCTGCATCGGGTTGAACAGGAATGCCCCCATGCGCACCCTCAGCTGGCCTGTTTATGCAACAACAAATGAGGGTAAATGAGTTTTCCTCTTCCAAAGATGGACAGCCTGCCTGTCATGCCGTAGCCGTGCGGGCCACCAAATTCAAACGGGTGAGTTCGAAGCTCAGACGTCGGATACCGCCCCGGGCCGTTTCCGGCGACCAAGAACTGCGGCCTGCTGGGAAAGCATTATATACGAGCACAGGCCCTGGGCCGATTTAAACAAAGAAGTGCGGGAGAGCGGGCGAATGAAGAGGGGGATCTACTGCGCCATGACAGCGAGGGGGAAAGTGACGGATAGAAACAGCATCATGGAGGTCTATCCAGGAACCCTGGACTCTGTCCTTTGCCGGCTGGTGGGCGTGTGGCTCGTAGGGTGCAGCCCGCAAGATAAAAGTGAATATTGTCTGCATACAAGTTCCAGTCTCCTGGAGCTTCCATCATCTCCCCTACAGTCCAGTAGCAGACCCTAGACGCTACAGCCCCGCGGATACCGACTGCCTGAGCAAGGGACCGAATGCACAAGATTGTAAGTACTTGGAGTTTGGACAGCACCTTATATTACGCCGTCTTATGCGTGGATGGGCCAAAACAGGCAAGCACAACAAGCATTGGGGAGAAAACTCATCAAAGGAGGTGGGGAGGAAGCGCACGGCTACGGATGGAAGATTGCTAGAAGACGGATCCGCGGGGGATGAGGTCACGGGTTGGCACAAATACCGGGTTGATATACGTAATGTACACGACATTATCAATGCATATAGTGGTAGTCGGTGAGTCACATACATCCAGTACACACAAAGGGAGAGATGAGGCCGGGATATGATGGCATGGGCCCCTCAGGTCGTGCCACACTCTCTGCGTGGGTACCGGTTTGTAGGCTCACGTGTCCACTCGCCGGTCAACTCGACGAGCCTTGGCTCAGGCAATTGCGTGCCTGACGAGACCGGGGCAATGGCCGCGAGTCAGACAGGCCTCCCGAACATCCCCCCCGGGTGTACGGAGTATGCGCCCTTTAAGAACAAGAGAAGCGTCCATCGTCTCTCCACACGCACCGGCGCTAGGGGCCTGTGCGTAGGTATTGCTGACTGCCCTGCGCGAGCGAAGCAGCGGTTTAGCTGCTCACGCCTTGCTCACCCTGGGTACGTGTGTAGAGACGATTCGAAGTGGTCCTGGAGAGCCTGGTTGCCGAACAGTTGAGCCGCACGCTCATGTCAACAACGGGTGCCTGTTTTGGGTAACGAGCTTCAAGCTGGAGTTCCTGTAGGTACATGCATCCAAAGTCAGGACTTGCGCGGAATATGCCCCCGGGTCGGAGAGGAAGTACGGTACGGTAGGCAGACATCCCTTGCGAGAAGCTAGCTGAACCACCGTTTATGTATGTTTAAATTTTACTCGATCGTGCGAGTTGACATGCTTGCACGGTGGGTGGGCGCTGGACTCCGTGGGCAGGATGCGGCATTGGGCCGGGGACCCCGGGCTGTAAGTTAAAACGGCCGCTATGACCGGATGTGGGGCCGGATACATGTACATTGTACTCGGCCATCCTCCGGTAGCCGACGGGACCTCGATGGAGTTTTTCGTCTGCCTCGTCTTCGCGTCTATGGCTGCAGCCACATATACATGTAGGGAAATTACTTGCAGGCCTTTGATTGGGGCAGGCTGAGGCGATCAGGAGTAGAGTATAGGTCTACTTTGTACCAAGGAGATAAGGTATAAGTTATATCGGTGCTGGTGCTGGACAGTCTGGCAGATAGCGGCCGGGAATGGTGCACTGCTGCTAGATCCAGTTATAAGGTCTGAACTCTGCGTGGGCCCCTGACCCTGCACTGCACGACAGCAGTGCAGACTGCGCACATGATTTGCTGACGAAGGCATGCGACAAGAGATGCATGCCATTTACCTGTCTACCTAGAAAAATGGACGTTACACCGTGTATTCATATCCGTTGGTAAGCGTACCCGGCCGGGGACGGCGTGTTGCTAGCACACGACACTGTGCGCCGGAACTCGTGAGCTACTCGTTCGCGCATGGATTTTCAGTTACATGTACCCAGAAAGAGTACAGTATGTGTTCATACTCAAAGAATAAGAAAAACAGAAATCTCCGTCCCGAACTAGATTTGTCCATCAATATAAAGCCAGACTCAACTCTGCACTGCAGGACTAAGCCAGCAAGGTTTCGATTATATGCACTTCAAAGCACCCATATGTTGGTTCCTTTACTTTGTATCGCGCCAATCCGCCCTTGGCCTGACTTACATAACTCATCGGGCAAGTCACCAACAATACCGGGGCACTTGGCTCTCAGTACGGAGCCTTAATCTCGCACTATCGCGACAGTGTATATCCGGTACCAAACCTTGAGCAGTGGCCCCCACGGGCAATATGCACATCGGCGTATACCGTGCATACACCATTCGCACTGTGACTCATCTCCTTCCTCTTCCACATCGTCAACGTCAACTTCTCGATATCGCAGTGGGAATCATGCCACCGCACACTCTCGACGAGCCCCGCCCAGACCGGCCGGTTTGGTATGGCCCACGCCGTTGCCCAATCTCCGTCCCCCCCCCCAAGCTCCTCCTGCAGTGGGGGGAGGGGGAGGTCCCGCGAAATGAGGGCATACCGACACCCTCATGGATATCATGGCCTCTCTGCGCGCCCCTGCCGGCGGGCAAACAAACAACAGGCCGGGGCTGCCCACTCGACTATTTATGTCCTCGCCCCCGTGCAGATGTCTCCTCGCAGCCTTCCTTTCCGAGCTCCTTACATACGCCTCCCAACCGGTCTACTCTTAGACCATTCCACTCGTTTTTACCACCCTCGCTTGCGACTCTTGACATATATACATATCGTATATACACTCGCAATCGTCCACTCGCTCGCTACCACTGAGAACATCCTCCGCAATGGCCAAGTACGCTGCCGTCCTTGGCGCCCTCGTCGCCGTCCAGGGCGCCGCCGCTCTGCAGACCCGCGTCGTCCCCGAGCGCCAGTTCCCCCCTCCCGATGCCTGCCACCCCATGGGCACCATCACCTTCGACACCACCTATCCCCCGTGCCTGTCGCAGGGCGAAATCGAGGGAAAGTGCACGCCTGCTACAAACGACAAGGCCGGCTGGGAGTCCCAGCGGGACTGCCTATGTAAGGGCAGCTTCTTCGAGGACGCCATCGGCTGCGGCGCCTGCAAGCAGTGCAATTCTCTCCAGGGCCACAATGAGACTGCCCACTGGGACAAGATCTTCAACGACATCAAGGCCAACTTCTGCCAACGGGCCACCCCCACCAGCAACTTTGGCAGCTACTGGACCTCTGCCCTGGATGCCCACGGCACTCCTGTGCCCAACCCCGGCGACAAGCGTGACCGCTGCGTCTCTGTTGGCGACACCGTCGTCGAGAACTACTACAAGGCCACCAAGTCCCAGGGCCCTGGCCTGGTTGCTCCCACTGCCACCTCCGCCGAGGCCAAGGCCACCGACACCCCGGCCTCGGCCGTTGTTCCCAGCGGAACCGAGATCAAGCTGCATGCCGCCGCCTCGGTCCGCTATAGCGTTGCCATGATCACCGGTGCCCCGGCTGTTCCCAACGGCCCCAAGTTCCCTCTCAACGCCACCAGCTCCGTCAACATCGACGTCAAGGCCGAGGTCCACTTCGCCATCGCTGCTCTGCCCTGCCAGGCCGTCTATGTCGGCGGCTTTGTCCAGCCCTCTTGCGGCGCCTTCGAGCTTGTTCCCAACTCCGAGGCCATGGTCTCCTCCAAGATTGTCCAGCAGGGCGCCGTCGACTTTGGTGCCTGCGTCTGCGCCGTCGAGTACCTTGCCCCCAAGAAGCTGCGCCCCGTCGCCGGCTCCGTCTCTGTCGCTCCCTCTGCTTCCACCTCCGTCACCGTCTACTCCTCCGTCGTTGTCAACGTCTTCAGCCCCCAGGAGTGCACTGGCTCCTGCTACGTCCCGGCCCCCGCCACCAAGGACGACAAGAAGCCCACTCCCTCTCAGCACAAGAAGCCCTGCACCACTGGTGTCCCCAGCAAGGGTGGCAAGCCTGAGGACAAGAGCAGCCCTTCTGGAAACTCCCCGTCCAAGGGTGGCGACAGCCCCTCTGGCAGCTCTCCGTCCAAGGGTGGCGACAGCCCCTCTGGCAGCTCTCCGTCCAAGGGTGGCGACAGCCCCTCTGGCAGCTCCCCGTCCAAGGGTGGCGACAGCCCCTCTGGCAGCTCCCCGTCCAAGGGTGGCGACAGCCCCTCTGGCAGCTCCCCGTCCAAGGGTGGCGACAGCCCCGCTGCCGGCTGCGTCGAGAACTGCACTCCTGCCGCCCCCGGCACCAGCCCCAGCAACGGCGGCGCCAAGCCCGCTCCTCCGGCCCCTGCTGGCACTGGCGCTCCCGTCCGCCCTGCGGCCGGCACCTTGCCCGTCACCGCCGGCGCCGGCTCCACTCGCGTCTCTGCCGCCGTCCTGGCCATTGCCTTTGCCGTCTATGCCCTGTAGCCGGCCTCTCTCAACGATTTATGTTCGTTATGAGGGACGCACGCTTCACTCAGTAGCCATTCGTGCCCGGGTCTGCACTAGTGGCCTAGAATCCTCCGGCTCGTTTTTGGAGGGTTGAAGGGGGAGGCCTTCTCTTCGATACTGGGAGGTTAATATATAATTTTGGATCGTCGTTTTTATACCTGCGCATGAAGCCGGGCGTTGTACTATTCTGCCACCAGGAGCGGGCGCTTGCCCGTAATAATACAGCTTCTCATCTGTACCCACCTGTGCTGTCTTGTTGTGAAATCCATCAAGTTTGGTGTCGATGCTCTGGATGGCTCGATTTTTCTTCGACTTCTAGAGTTTGACTTTCCCCGAGCGAACATGAGCCCGTCCTTGATTCAACGAAGAATTTCACCAGCACCTCAAGCACACGCTCTCCATCGGAGTCTTTGGACCGAGACCCCAGTCGAGACTCGTTGGCAATGGCTCAGAGTCTGGATATCTCTACCAGTCACCCAATGGGCGCATACCGGGAGACCGACAAGCCAGGCAAGGCCAGAAACCAGATCGAGCGGACTACCTGCAGGAACAGCACTTGATTTGCTACCAAGTGCCTGCCATCGCGGATTATCTCTACCTTTTCGCTCTTGAACTATCCTTCATCCGCCAGTAATCCCTGAACCTTGAGGAGCTTGCCGCTTAAGCATGCGGCTGGTTGACGGCGAGAGAAGACTGGCAAGGAGAAGCATATACGGATAAACCGCGCCTCGCAGGTTCAGGGGCAACGGCTGCCGAAGTCCGTATATCGGCCCCGCCTCTCAGCACTGCCGCCCGGTGCAGATGTCGTTTGATCCCAACGAGGGCAAGGAGCCTCATACGCCGACGGCAGATCGTCCTGGCCCAATCTGCAATGGAAGCCGGGGCCTCGCCGACGTCATAATCAAAGCATTGGGAAAAGCCACGGAAGCCGAACCCGCCAATCACCACCCGCTGGATGGCGAAAGACCACCTGACGTGACTCCCGGGCACAACCCCCTGCCCTGTCTCTATTTGTTCCCCCCTGAGATCAAAGGTCGGCCTCGCAGTCATCGGTTCAGAGAGAGAAGGGGAACAACTAGTTCCTGACTCGAATCTGTCCCCGTCGGGCTTTCGATCGCTGCTCCCGGCGCCACCATCTCGTCCTCCGCCCGGCGAGTCCTCGCAGCCTCCGGTGCATGAGCGGACGGCGGCAGTCTCGAGGAGGGTTACAATTACCGCTGCGTATGAGTCTTTCCGGCGGCGAAAGATCAAGGTACGCCTGACGTGCCATACCAGGTGAAGCGTCTCTTCTAGTCTTCACCGCGCCCACCCCTCTTGTCCGCCTGACTATCCGCAGCATCTAGGGAGCTTCGGCTGCTCAGCCTTCTCCCGCGCTCAGGCTACAGCACGTACGCGATGCCCCCTACCACTCATCGCAGCTCATCGGACCCCGGCTGGGTTAGGTCAGGGCCTCTGCTTGGACTCTGGTGACTCGGCCGACGGGCTGGTGGCCAAGCGGCTGGGCATATACTTTCAGTGGGAGTTGCCCATATTCCAGTTTTTACAGAAAAGACCTCGTCCTGGACGACCCAGTCGTGGGCAGAAGCACTTCTGTTCTTCACTCCTTGCCATTGCCATCCTTGCCTCCGCCTCGGTACGACGTATCCCGAGTCACTATGCTATGCAACAAGAGGAAGTTTGTTGTTGGCGAACGAAAGCCCAACAACACGGCCTCGCCGAAGATCCAGATCGTGTCCGTTTGAGGCCCCCGGGTACATGAGACAAGCTGTGGCAATGACTGAGGCCATCGTCCTCTTTACCAGGAAGGCGCCTACTGACAAACGAACGAGCTTGGCACGTGCCGTCACCGCGGGGAGCGAAGCATAAGCAACCACCTTGCCCTGATAAACCTGTTTAAGCCGTGGGCTGCAACGCCGGAAAGCGAGGAGTTGGCCCGCAATGGTCCTGACGGTCCAGCCCAGACGGGTTTGACGTCGCGAGCACGCCTCGATAGCCTTGTGCGACTTTACTACGTCCGCCACGGCTTTGACGGCCCCGACATCCTTCGGAGTGTGGCCCATATACGGATGGATTCGCACGCACGACGATGGACAGGGCCAAGAGTTCAAAACCGTGAAAAGACCTTCGACTTGAGATGGAGGGGGCGTTGATCGGTCCAAGTACATTTCCTGACAGGCATCTAACACAGACTGAAGATACTGCGTACGCCTAGAGTGAGGAAGAGTGACGCAAGTCTGCCATGAGGTCGGATGGGACTCGGCGAACTCGTGCCTGTCCTCCGAAGCGGCGGAGGTTGGCGTCCCAGAGTGCCCATGGTAAGGGGCGCGTTGAGAGGCCGTTGTCACAGCGCGGTGTCAATCAAGGGCTGCCGTTTAGGATTTCGGAGAGGTCGAGACACGGGACGGGTATGAGGCGCTGAAAACTGATGCTTATCCGTCGGTAGGCGTCGGCGTGCATGTCTTGACATTGAGCATGGCCTTGGTGTCAGATGATGGTAAAACCAAGACCTAGCCGCTCCTTTCTGTTTTCCTATTGTTCATTCCACACCGCACTAATCTTGACTCTCCCATTTGTTGTGACCAAGTTACTCTGTCTCGGGGAACAGTGGTAGAGGCTGCAAAATAATGGGATGGCCTCTCCCGTGCTTGGAGAAGGCGAACCGGGGGCTCGTTGTGCACACTGATGGCAATGAATATACCGGAAGCACATATGGGCATGCATCGGCATGGGCTTGCCGGGGGACAGAACTGAGTTTAGGGGACGAAGATTGCCTGTAGTCCGTCGAGGTGGCATGCTTGCCCGGCTGTTGGGGCCGAACGTGTGGAGCCGGGGGAACTCTGTGCATGTGGAATGTCAAGTGCTTCTCCATCTCTGTCCTCCCAATTCCCCACTAACCATATATCCTTTTTTCACGAGGGAGGAAGAGTGTCACTGTGGTTGATCAAGAGGAGAGGGAGGAGAGGGCGGATATTCCCGGGGGCCGGGCCGAGTGCACGCCCCGGGGCCGGACCCCCCGGCCGGCGGCAAAGACGGCACAGTGTCCCTGGAAACTTTGTTGGACATATCTTGAGAGACCCTGATGTTTACGTACTAGTTGCTATTTATATCCCCCTGACGGGAGCGGTTGCCAGACGATATCCTCTGGGGCACTACGAACCTTTGGCCAGGAGAGGATGGCGAGGGTGGTGAGGGTGTGCTTCTCTTTGATTCCCTTTCGCCCATAAACATTGAAATGTGGGAATGTGGATGGCATGGATTGCATATAACTTGGATGAGCATCTCGCATCGATACCAGCACCGCTTCGGCATCTCATCATCAGTCGTGAACAGCCTTGCTTTCTCGCTCTGACACAACGCACCATTCCCTCAACACCCCCTTTTCAATATCCATTCATCTACCAATCACGCACACACACATACATACACAAACATCAGAATGAAGCCATCCTCGCTCCTCAGCAAGGCCGTCGCCGCCGCCGCCACAGCCCCCAGCCTCGCCCACGCCCTGCCCTCCCCATCCCCGACGACCACGGCGCCGCCCTCGGGCTCTGCCACCCCACGCCACGAGCCCCTGCCGCTCGCCACGCCGCTCAACTGGTACGCCGGCCGCACGCTGTTCCCCGGCCAGATCCTCGCGGGCTTCGGGGCGCCATACGCGGACCACACCATGGAGACGTGGGCCGAGCACGTGCTCAGCCAGTGCAAGGCCAATGATGAATGCAACTCGACAATCTCGTTTGCCGGTGCGTGGCTGTCTTTCCTTTGCCCGAGACTTTGATTTCGTGATGGGGCCAGGGAGGACGGAAAAGAAGAGCATGATGGTGAGGAAGAAAGGCTGACTCTGTTGTACACGTATAGCGGTCGACGAAAAGACGGGCAAGACATGCTGGCACGGGTACATCTTCTGGGGCAAACACACCACCCGTGACGACTACAGCAGGTCGAGCCGCGTGCACGGCTCGGTCGCCTATAACGTCCTGCGTCAACCCAAGGCTTGAAGGAGGGGGGGTAGGCGCTGTGAGAAGAGGTGACTATGGGAGCTTGATCACGAGCCGGGTGACGGAGCATGGGGCCTTGTAGTTGGCTTGCATCATACAAGGCGTGCCGTGTAAACAAACATTGTATTTTCCGCGCCCAAAACCTGCGCAACGCCCGTCATCGACAAGTCTGTCTCTTGAAATCCCGTCTATAAGATGTAGGACCACCCGCCCCGTCCCCTGCCAACACGCATGGAAAAATGACCTCGCTACTCGTAGGCATCCTTGTTGCCGAGCATGCCCTCGCCGCCACTGACGCGCCGCCTCTTGCCCCGGACCTCGCGGACCCACTCGGACAGGGTGAAGCCCCAGTGGCCGGCGACGAGGACGCCGCTGAGGACGTTGATGAGCTTGACGAGGAAGGCGAGGATGCCGTCGCGGTGCTCGTGGACGGACAAGAGGATGGGCTCAATGTCGTACTTGAAGAAGATGCCGGGGACGGAGAACTCGCTAATCTCCTTGGACTGCTCGGTGACGGCGTACTGGTTGGTGAAGATGGAGCTGGAGCCGACGCTGTAGACGGTGGGGACGACGGAGAGGTAGTACTGGAACTTGTGGAAGTGGGCCTTTGCGCCGTTGACGGTGCGATCGAGGGGGTTGACGAGAGAGGGGTAGAAGGGGCCGTACGACAGCTCCGAGATGATGTGGGAAAAGTTGAACTCTGCGGTGGCGGCTGTTAGCAGTCTGCTGTTTCACACGGCAAGCCGGGCTGACGGCAGGGAATCAATCATACTGCTGTGGTCCAGGTGGTCGAGATCCTCAATGTAGCCGTGGCCGCGGGCGGTGATGTGAAAGTCGCCCTGGACCTTGTTGAGGTCGAGGCTGCCGTAGACGCGGCAGCTGTCGGGCGGGCCATGGACGCGGGGTGTCTTTGCCCAGCGCGCCCTCTTCTTGCCGGCGGCGACAATGTCGTGGACGTGCTCCTCGCCGAAGCCCTCCTCGCCGTGGGCCAGGTTCTGCCAGCCGGCGCCGGTGACGACGCGGCCGTTGCTGTCGCGGCCGAGGCGGTGGACGCCCCTCGCGTTGACCCACTGGACCCAGCTGGTCTGGTCCGTGTGCAGCCTGGAGGCGGCGTGGATGCGGTCGCCGGCGGCGTCCTGAACGTTGACGTGTAGGTCGCCGCACTGCATGCGGACGACGATGTCGAGGTTGATCTGCATCGAGTGCGAGACGCCCTTCTCGACGGCAAAGGCGTGGGCCTCGGAGCCGCGCCACCAGCGAGCCATTTCGCTCCAGAGCAGGACGAGGGAGACGACGGCCATGGCGACGGTCCACTTGCCGCCGCCCGAGGTGCGCGTTACATATTGGGGTTTCGACTTGGCTAAGGAGACGTCGTCAGTCAAGCCCTTCTTCTCTGTCAAGGGGGGGAGAGAGGAGACGTACGAAAGGCGTCAAAGGTGCTGACGATGCTGCCGTTTGCGGCAAAGTTGTCCTCTTGGAGGCCGTGCTTCTCGAAGCCGTTCATTTTCAACGGTCGTGGGGGGATGGCCGAGCTACGTGGAACGGTCCTGTGACTGCTCTACCTCGGGCCGGCGATGGATTTCGAAAGCTGCCATGCGCCCACGTGGTAGGAGAAATCGGAGCGACCCAGGGGCGAGGCAAATGGGCGACGTCGCGATGCGATGATTTGCGCAGTCCTTGTTCGGCAAGCAGGCTCGCATGCCCCCCTCCCCGGTTTGTTGTTTGCGCCTGCTCCTCTTTTCCTATCACCGCTGTCTCTCGACCAGAGGATATATATATACGTATCTGTATGGGCGTTGATAATTGGTATTTGGCTGATTTTTTGCTGTCGCTGGTTGGCGCCCTTCTCACGATTCGTGCGACTACCCTTTGGAGAGGACAGCTTGCGATTCTGTTCAGGGGTCTTGGGTTCGCGGGCGCTGATTGGCGGGCTGGAGCGCATGCAGGATCAACGTCGGCCCGCTGCGGATGCCGGAGCAGGCCGGCGCTGTGGGTCGTCCCGGAAACCGGGCAGCGGAGGAGGTACTTGACACTTGTACCCCGTACTCCGCACTTTGCACCAGGTGCTGGAGAATGCCCAGCCACGGGGGCACGCCATCTCGACTCGACGGCCAGGCGGCGCACCAATCAGATTCACAGACTGGGAAGTTCCGAGGGTTGCAGAGGGGGAAATTATCGTGTCCGTGTGGCAGTGGCAAGGCCCGGTAATGGCGGCGGGTGAGATGGGGTGGTGGAGAGACGGGGTCAGCTGGCAACTGACTGTGTGACACTAGGCGAGTTGGCGGGCGGTGGCTTTGCTCTCCAGCTCTGCCGATGATCCGGGCCGCGCGCGCAAAGACCGTTTTAGGACCTGACGAGCGCGCTTCTTTTTTTTTCCCCTTCCTTTTTCATCGGTAAACCACGATGGCGACAAGGATGCGACGGACGACGAGGGTCAAGCTATGTTCTGTACTGTACAGTAATGCACAGATGCAGGGAAGAAAGACTCGCAACGGACGCTCTCCCCCGGGCTGGAGGTCCAAGTACTCTGCAGAGCGGAGCAGGTCGCGGCTGGGCGCGCACGGGCTAGGTGGGTACATCCGGCTTCCGGGGGGGGACAAGCGGCGACGCACAGTGGATGCCCCCAAGCCGCGTAAGTGGGTGCGTTGGCGGGTCGAGCGGAGGATGATGATCCAGAGGCGCCGCCGTGGCCGGTCATTCCAGCTGTTCTACGAAGCACGCTTCTTCTGCGGACCATTTGAAATCAGCTCGAATTGACGAGAACTATTTCGTTTCTTTTTCCGTCTCAATCGTGTAGCTTGCGTAATTATATGGCGCCTGGAGAGGGGGGCGGTGCCGGTAGATCTTTGGGGCGCCCTGCGTATGTTCGTCACCAGAAGGCACATCATTGACTGTGTCTGGTGTTGTCGCCGCGACCGAGCAAGCAGCTCAAAGACGGAAGCAGAGACGGAAACAAACAATCGCCATTCATCGCCAATCATCCAGCGGCAGACAAATCAAATATCCCTGTACCTGCACCGAAAAGTGGACGCGCTGCATCTGATGCCGATTACTCCGTACGGGGCTTTACGTCACCCCTAACCGCCGCCAAAACGGCCTGCAGCCCCAGGCGTTTATTGGCCTGGCGGGGCCTGAACCACCGCGGGACGGCTCTGTAAATCCACCCCGTTTTAGGGCTGTTTTCCGTTAGCCTGCCCCCTCTCACTTCCCTCCTCGACCCACCCTCGCTTCCCCATTCCTTCATTCCTCGTTCCTCAAACATAAACACGCCTCGCCCCCCCTTTCTCCTTCAGACCCGTTCCCGCCCCGACCCAAACATCCCGTCGTTCGGGGCCATCGTCAACTTGTGGCCTTTCTCTCTCTCCCTCGTCTCCTGACTGTCTTCGCCGCTTTTGCCGCCTTCGCCGCTTTCTCCCCCTTGTCCCCCTTGTCCCGCGACCGACGACGACGACGATCCATCGCAGCAGGCAAACTTCCATCCACCGCTCCTATAGCCAGCCTTGTCTGCGCTCTCTGTCGCTATATACCCTCGTCCTCGCCGTCGCTCGCTTCATTGTATTCGCCCTTTCGCCGTACTGCGCGCGCGCGCGCTCGCCTCTTCGCCCATTCCCAGCCTCCGCCTTTAATCATGAAGTCCTCATTGCCAGGCGTCGCCACCTTGCTGGCGGTCGCGAGCTTTGTCCACGCCCAGGGCTCATCTTCCTTCTCCATTGCCTCTGACGGTGCGTACACTCCCACGGAGAGGCCACCGTTGTTGCTGACTCTTCGCAGCCGCAATCAAGCAGACGGCCAGCACCCTCGCCTGGGACATGCTGCAGTACTACAAGGGAAACCAAACGGGCCAGACGCCCGGCATTCTTCCCGGTCCTCCTCCCGCCGGCGACTACTACTGGTGGGAGGGCGGTGCCATGTGGGGGACCCTCATCGACTACTGGGCCTGGACGGGCGACTCGACCTACAACGACGAGGTCATGGAGGCCATGCAGTTCCAGGTCGGTGAGCACAGAGACTACATGCCCCGCAACGTCACCGCCTCGCTCGGCAACGACGACCAGGGCTTCTGGGGCATGTCGGCCATGCTCGCTGCTGAGAACAAGTTCCCCAACCCACCCTCGGACAAGCCCCAATGGCTGGCCCTCGCCCAGGCCGTCTTCAACACCCAGGCCAGCCCCGACCGCCACGACGACACGTGCGGCGGCGGCCTGCGCTGGCAGATTCCCTTTTCCAACAACGGCTACAACTACAAGAACAGTGCGTGACCCCGGACTTGATGCTGACGTATGTCGTGGCTGACCCACATCAGGCATCGCCAACGGCTGCTTCTTCAACCTCGGCGCCCGCCTGGCCCGCTACACCGGCAACGCCACCTACTCGGACTGGGCCATCAAGACGTGGGACTGGATGGAAAAGATTGGCTTCATCGACGCCGACACGTATGCCATTTACGACGGCGCCAACATCAACACCCAGTGCAAGGAAATCAACAAGGCCCAGTTCTCGTACAACAACGGTGTCTTTGCCCAGGGCGCGGCCTTTATGTACAATCACGTATGTCTTGCCCTCGACCATGGCGCCTCGATTACTGACACTTGTCGTTGCAGACCAACGGAGCACAAATGTGGAGGGATAGAACCGAGAAGCTCGTCTCGCGCGGCCTCCAGACCTTCTTCCCCAACGGCATCGCCGTCGAGCCGTCGTGCGAAAACATCAACACGTGCACGACGGACATGATTACGTTCAAGGGCTTTGTGCACCGGTGGTACTCGGTCATCACGCAGCTCGCGCCATTTACGGCCGAGATGATCAACCCGGTGCTCAAGAAGTCGGCCGAGGCGGCCATCAAACAGTGCACCGGCGGCGCCCTCGGGCGGCAGTGCGGGTTCAAGTGGGCGTCGGGCACGTACGACGGCAAGACGGGAGCGGGCCAGGAAATGGGAGTGCTGTCGGCCGTGGCGTCGCAGCTCATCGGGAAGGCCAAGGGGCCCGTCACGCAGACGTCGGGCGGCACGTCGAAGGGCGACCCAGACGCGGGCAGCAGCGGCGACGACTTCCAGAAGCACGGCAAGGTGATTACGGCGGGCGACAAGGCGGGCGCCAGCATCGCCACCCTGGTGGTGCTGGGGGCGGCGTGCGGCATGTTTGGCTGGATGAGCCTGGGCGCCTAGGGGGTGACGGCGACGATGACGAGGCAAGGGAGCCACGGCTGGTCATGCTACGTGCGATACGAAAGCGGGAGACGGGCATGGATGCATTTGGGCGTTGCAACGGGCGTTGCACCGGGCGTTGGGGACGGGGCAAATGCTGTTTTCTTTTTGATTTACAAAGTCGGTGGAATCTCCATGGCTCGAATTTCACCGCGCGGGGGGTGTGCGTGGGCTCGAGGAGCGTGGGCTCGAGGTGCGTGGGCTCGAGGTGCGTCGGACAGTTGCCGTTGCATCTTCGTTTGTCTTTCTTGTCATACAGAGGAGCTTGCGTCAGCCTCGGCGACTAGGGAAACGGGGAATAAGCTATTTAATAAAAGGCCGGCCGAGCAGGACGGTGCTGTAATGGCCGGTTAAGCATGACATGCCCCCCCTTCGCCCCCCCCCCCGGAAAAGTCCCCGGCGGACTGTTTCTTGTCCCAGCTGCGTTTCATCTCCACCCTCGGCGCTCCGCTTTCACGGCCAAGCTTTGCCGGTGGAGTGTGGAGAAGCGTCCAGCCGGCAAGTCTGGATGGACAGCGGGCATGACGCTCTAGAAGGCGGTTCACGCACCGGCTCGAGCCATGTGTGTAGGTAGTTCGATCAAGCCACGCCGTGCGCAGGGCCGCAATTGCATGTCCAGAGTGCCGTAAAGACCGGACGTTACCCCGGAGCTCGGCCCGGAGCCCCGGCCCGCCCTGGCGCTGGGTGTCGGATAGAGTTAATTCTAAACCCAGCTCTGGTATGCCCGGGCCCCTCGGGCCTTTCCGCAGAGGACTTGCATATAGCAGCGAGCTGTGCCGAGCCCCTTGAACCTTTCCGAGCCTCGGCGCCTTCCGAAACCTCGGACGTCGAGCTGACGCAAGCTAACGTGTAATTGACCGGCGGCATTTTCACGGGCCTGGCGCTCCATCCATGCCCGAATCTGGACGAGACTTGCATGTCGAGAAATGTAGATGATTGAGTTGCTTTTTATCTCTCGTCGACTTGTTACCCCAAGCACTGGGAGCTGGCCGTAAACGTGAAAGAGCACACGCAGCTGTAGACGCCGTGGAGCAAGACGCTGTTCCCAGAGGGCGGCAGCGTCGACGGCTTCGGCGCCACAGCCCTCTCTCTACATGTCCACCCTCTCTGCAATGTGCTAGCGCAAAGGCCCGCCTCCGCAGGCTGACGGAGGGCGTCTGGAGAAGCTCTATGTCTATGTGGTGGGCTGCGAAACGCCCTGTCCGCCCGTCGAGACGGGTGTTGAAGCGCGTGTTGATTTGAAAACCCTTGGGAGCCCGGCCGTTCACTGGCGAGACGGGTAGAGAATCTGGGGCTCTGGCTCGGAATTGGCACTGCGGCCAACGTGGCCGGCTGCCATGTTGAATGACAGGTGGACGCACCCTTTGCGCGACGATGCAATGCCGAGGCCGTCACACCACCATGACCTCGAGCCGTGGGCGGGTGGGAGCGCGGCTTGGTATCCTGGTCGCTGTCCCCGTTCGCCAAAGTTCAAACGCATGTGTGTTCTGCCCTGGCGGATTCCTCCGATGCAGAACCCGTTGCTGGCCCGTTGATGGACCGGCAGATATGCTGATTCGTGCTCAAACGCACCGCCCGCCAGGCCTGCCGTTTCACACCCTGACGATCTGCGTCTCTTCCGCCTGCTTTTTCCGTATAGCTTTGTAATTGAGCTCTTGTTGGCCGTCGACGTCGAATATCAACTTGGGGCTGTCCGCTGTCGACGAGACCCTTTTGGCTCGTCAGCGTTGAATTTATTGTCATTTTCTGGTGATTTCGTCTCTTGTTTGATTTTCTAGCCGGTGACTATTTCCATTTTTCAATTTACACAGCGCGTCTTGCTTGCTTTCTTTGCGTCTTCTCCACGCCGTCCAGGATGAACAGCGCCACCGCCTATCGCCGGTCGACCATCGCGCCCCCCGTCTTCCGCCGCCCGGACCTCGAGGACGGCACCGGCGCCCGGCGTCGGACCTTCAACCCGGTCGACTGGCCGGCCTTTAAGGAAAACTGCGATCTCGAGCGGGCCTCGAGCGCAGAAGCCGTCCCCTACGACCCCGACTGGGACAACGACGGGCCCGGGTCGGCGGAGCCGGACAACATTGGCTTCGCCGAGGGCCTCAGGAGGATCCTCAGCGTCTACCCGTGCCGCGACGCGCAGTGGGTCGTGGCCGTGCTGTTCATCGTCGGCAGCACATCCTTCACGGCGAGCTCCTTCTTCGCCCTCATGCCCCTCGTGTTTCCCGAGACGGCCTTCCCCGGCGAGATGGAGGTTGCGTTTCCGACCACCATCACCATCGGCGCCGGCATGTTCTTCCTCGGCGGCAACCTGGCGACGATTGCCTCGTTCAACGTCAACCGGGGCCCCGTCTCCGACGACGACGCCCTGGACGGCGAAAAGGGCTACGCGCCGCCGCCGAGGTACAACCCAGCCCTGCTCGGGAGCAAGGAATGGGTCTGGTTCCCGTCGGGCGCCGAGTTCCGCGCCGTCTTCCTGCCCAACCCGGCCTTCCGCGCCGGCCTCGTGTCCATGTCGGGCGGCCTGATCCTCACCACGGCGGCCGTCGGCGGGAACCCCGTGCTGCTGGGCTCGCCCGAGGACCCGGCCTTCCCCGACAGGCTGCGCAACTTTGTCCTCATCCCGCTGACCGTCGGCGGCGCGCTGCTCGCCGCGGGCGGCTTGGCCCTGACCATGCTGGCCCAGGAGCGCTGGTACAAGCCGGCCGTCATGTCCGTCGCCTGGCACGCCTCCTTCTGGAACATGCTCGGCGCCCTGTCGCTGTCCCTGGCGAGCCTGTACAACATCGTGGTCCCCGAGGACATGCTGTCGCCGGCCGTCGTCAACTTTGTCGGCACCTGGCTGTTCTTTCTCGCGGCGTATCTTCAGTGGCACATGGTCATGGTGTTTTATCCTAGACGGGTTAAGTGATGCATATAGAGTTATAGACCATAGACATGGAACAGAGACAGATTTCCGCCCCGTTGCTTAGACGGGCTATTGTAAACCAGCCAGAGTGCTTTTGCCAGGTTAAAGTTAATACTCGAGTCAGTCCTGACGCTGCCCGTCGTCTTTAGAGTACAAATCGAGCCAAACAACCAGTTCCGAGTTGAAACGCTCACTTCTTAGCTGGCACCAACAGTGTCCAATACCCCCCCCCGGCCCTACTTTACACATAACTAAGCCCGCCCCGAGCGCACTTGGCCTTGCTAATCTTGAATCCCCCCGGCATCAGGGTCTGGAAAACGCCGTGCGGATCGTATTTCTTGGCAGTCTTGTTCAGAAACGCCACGCTCTCGGCCCCGTAGCCGCAGAGGGGCTCCTGGGAAGGGGCGGCAAAGTTGATGTAGAGAAAGGGAGAGTATGTGCCGTGCTTCTTGGCCACGGCCTCGGAGACGTCGATGAACTTTCGGCGCGCGGCTTCCATCATGTCGTCGAGGCTGGGGTCGGTCCATCGCGATGCCAGCCAGAAGACTAGACGTGGACATCACTTCAGTCAGCTTCGTCATGGTGCTACGCATGACGTCTTGTGCTGGATCTTACCGATTTGGTCTTCCTTGACGTTGGCCAGGCCGAGGCTGTTGCCACCGCGCTTCTTGGCATACGATTGCTGGACCTTGGGCTGGGGGATGAGCTGGATGATCCAGTCCACCTTCTCCTTTTGCGGAAGATCGTTGTACACCTTGTCGGTGGCATCCCAGATCTCACGGAGAGTCTGGTAGTCGTTGGCGATGGTCAGGCTGGCCGTGACTTGACTGTCGAGACTGTCAGGGCACGATGCAGACACGCGAGGCAGGCCAGCATGCTCACCGGAAGCCCTTGGGCACAAACTTGCTGACCTCGTGCACAAAGTCGGCAACCTTGGTGCGACGAGCCGCGTTCGACACTTGGTTGGGCATCTTCAGGAACGGCCGGGCAGCCTTGGCGTTCTCCACGCCGGCCGTGTTGGAGAGGGCCAAGTCGACGAGCTGGCCCTTGTTGCCGCTGAGATAGGCCGTGGCGACCTGCAGCCCCGTGTCGAGATCGTTGTTGTTGTTCCGGACAAAGTCGACGGTGGCGTGGCAGATGCGGTCGAGCATCTCTGCCCGGCTGGCCTGGGGCCCGTTCAGACTGACGCGGACCTCGCCGCCCCAGATGTCGTCGAGGTCAAAGGCGGCAAACTCGACGTGCGTGACGATGCCGAAGTTGGTGTTGCCGCCCTTGAGCGCCTTGAACAGGTCCGGGTGCCTCGTCTGGCTGGCGCGGACCACGTCCCCCGACGCCAGCACCAGCTCGTAGCTGAGGATGTTGTCGACGGCCCAGCCCCTTTTGGCCTGGAACAGCGACTGGCCGCCGCCCAGCGAGGGGCCGCCGACGCCGACGTCCTCGCACACGCCGCCGGGGAAGCCAATGCGGCTGCTGTTGAACCGGTCGTACGCCCGGCCCCAGCTGAGCCCGGCGCCGAGCGTCACCGAGGCGCGGTCGCGGGCGAGGCGCGCCGAGTCCAGGCCGCCGAGGTCGATGGACACGCCGCCGTCGATGCTGTTGGCCCCCGGGTTGGCGTTGTGGCCGCCGGCCTTGACGGCGAACCTGCACTGCTTTTTGGTCACCATCTTGATGATGGCGGACACGTCCCGGGCCGACTTGGGCGTCACGACGCAGCCCGGGTGCAGCACCGCCGTGCCGGACCAGCGCGCCTTGATGAGGTCGTCATAGTCGGGCGACGACGGGCCGTGGTAGATGGGCCGGAGAGCGTGGGAGAGGGCTCTGCACTGGAGACGGAGGGTTATCTCGGCCAAAGCTCCCTCTCGGACCAAGAAGGGGGTCCGGACTTACACAGCTTGCGTCATTCGAGCCTGCTCCATCCCCCTTTGCAGTCCCGGCAGATGCCAAGGCCAAGGCGAGGCCGACAAAGGACTTCATGGTGATTCATCAAAGAAGGATGGCGAGAGACAGACGGAAGGAGCATGGCCAACTAACGGCTCTGGCCTATTTGTACCGTCGGCCCCGGGGAGCAGCAGGAGCTTGTGTTAACTGGCATGACGACTAACAGAGACAGGGCGGCGAGCTTGGGGGCCTCCGCAGGGACCCCTTGCAAGACATGTGCCAATACACCTCACCCCAAATCGGCAGCGTGGATGCGAGCCATGCTCCCCCGTTTACCGGAAAAGGCAGGACGCTGAGAGGTCGCATCAGCCGGCAGCACAGTGAGATCGGGGACACGCGGACCCGGTCAGCTTGCGAGGAGGCTGAGCGAGGCCCTGCAAGGCACCAGTCTCAGACAGGGATGTCGGGGTGAGCACAGTCATGAGACGGAGCCTGGTGACGTGACATTACTGCTCTCGTCAGACGGCTTTGTCCAGCATTTTATGCTAAGACTGCCGATTCGCTTCGGAGACGGGCTTCGCCGCGGCGTGGGCTCGAGTTTGGAGCATGTCTTGAGCCGAGGCTTGGGCCGAGGTATAAATCAGATTGCTGCCCGTATTATGGCTCAAACCGGTCACAAGAATGGTTACCTTTGAACAACTCAAGGGCACAGGAAGAGCCAAGACACGCCTCGCTTGCGTCTCCGTCCGGCCGGGACCGCTGTTGCTCTCCAAGCTTGCACCACACTCCAACGGCCTCCTTGTCCATCAGCTGGGAACGGGGTCTTGCCAATGCATCAAGACCAGATGGACGTTTGATGGAACCGTGTGTTTTTATTTCATTTCTGGCGTCCTCATGTCTGTCTATCCGAGCATCAGATTGGAGCAGTATTCAAGGCGGAGATGGCCTCAGCCGGTGAGCTTGACCAGGTCTTGCAGCCACCCTGTCGTCGACGCTTGGAAACCCAGACCTCGGCCAACTCAGCTCTCCTCGACGCCATTGTGGCCCGCGAGAAAAAAAGTCACGCCGAGAGAGCGAGGGAGGCCCTCCAGCAAGCCGCAAGTTGGTGCTACTGCCCAGACTCCTCCAGAGCTGCGTGACACCGTCGCAGCCAGGCAGGGCCACGCTGCTCCAAGATGCTGCTTTGCGAAATGTTTCTCGAACCGAGGACGCACGAGAATGCCGCTGCCTCGTGGAAATATTCAAGTGGCCGGTCTCACAAGAGGCTGATGAGAGGTCTACACGCAGTTCATCTCTGGCGTGAAGAGCGACCATTTCCATCACGCCCTTGTCCAGCTGATGAAGGTCTTCGTAACATCGTTCGTACGGAATACAGCCCGATACGACGTGTGATGCGGAGTCTCACGGGTAAGAGTATGAGTCGCGTCTCCGAGGCCACGCATGTCGAGTCCGGAGAGACGAGCCCTCCAGCGTGGGTCCGGAATAGACCGGTAACAAGTATTGTGTTCCGCCGAGCTGTTATACTTCATGAGGCTTCTCTGCTCTGATTTTGATGAAAAACTCGTGATCATGTCTCATCGGTCGACGACAGAGAATGAGCCATGAGAAACAGGCCTTCCCAAGTGAATAATCACCAAAGACTCGTTCAGAAGATGCTCTCTATCCCAGCCCGGAGTGTCAATCCCCTCCTCCGGGATCACCGCGTGGGCCGGACGTGACTTCATGGGGATATGTGCATCCGACGGCACCTCAATCAGAACCTCCCCATGCCAAAGTCCCTTCCTTGAGGCGGAGATGCGCCGGATATGCACTCAGGTCGGTACCGCGTCTTCACGCGACATGGCCGGAGAGAGATCCCGAAAGCATTCCACAGGCTGGTCGGGTGCCTAACCAAAGGTTCGACGACGAAGAGGCCTTTGATTTTCCCCCAATGTATATACCAATGCAGGGCGAGAGTCTGGTTACACAGTTTGAGCACTCAAGCACCAGTCTCAGCAGGGATCCTCAAGTGAATGGCTCGCTTGCGTCGTCGGCAAAGGGGGCGCGAGGCCGACGTGAGCCCCCCCGAGACAAGCAGCCCTTGCAGAGTTCAACGAGATGTGCCTGCGTGCATTCCAGCTACTCCCGAGAGGCACGGCCTTTTCCAGGCAAGGGGCCATAGCTGGCTTGGTTCAGTGTTTAACGTCCAGGCCAGAGTGGCTCGAACATGATTCAGAATGGGATGCAAGGATCGTCCTGACACGGCAATGGATGGCGAACTCGTCGTCCACATCTTCCTAGAGCAGCCCGGCATGCAAGCCCAGTCGCACGACATAGTCACTTGCCAGCATTTGACGGCACAAGCACGGCTGCTCCCGTCATCGTCTGGCGGCCACGCCGGTAGGACATGCCGAATGGCCCCCCCCCTCACCGAGACATTCTCCCCATGTCTCACGCCACGCATGACCCGCGAGCGGCATCCGTTCAGCTCTGCAGCGAGCCAGAGGACTGTCCGATTCGGCAACCCTGGCCGACGATCTGGAGAGATGGACCGGCTCTCCAAGTCTTCCCGTGTTTCCAGCAGGGCTTGTTTTCCACCTGGCTTGGGCGGAATCCTCCATCATCCCAGAGTCGTGGGGTTATTGCGACGTGGGATTGAAAACAAGGTCAATCTTTGGCGCGAAAGGTCTTGTAATGGAGACTTTGCTCAGCGTTGATGTCGCCAAACTAGATACAAGGCACCGGGGCTTCTTAAAGAAGTCAAAGGGGAATTCCCCTCTCTTTGTTTCCGCACATGAATTCCATTTCCCGGAGTTGTCTCCCTCGCCGGGCTTCATTCCTGTCACCGAAAACACACACGTCGGTGCATGGATTCATCTCAAGATATATATTCCGTCGCCGCTCCTCGCGTGACGTGCTGCGTCCCATTGTCATCACACATTCCAAGATTGACAAAGGTCGCCGTGGCCATGCAGCTCGTCGCCGTCCTCGCGCTATTGTCCGTCGGCGTCTCGGCGCTGGTCGAGGTGGCCCCCAGGGGCAGCCAAATCAAGATCTGCGGTTCCAAGCTTCCGTTCTGCTGCAGACACGGCCGGAACCGGTCCAGCCAGTGCTCACAACGTACGTCCCGGAGGGTACCAGTCGCTGGCGGGCGTGGCTGACGATTTGCCCCAGTCAGGATCATGCCAGAGGGATACAGGCGTTTCAAGGAGCTCTGTCAGCAGAAATCGCCGACGTGCTGCAAGACGGCGCCGTCCATCGAGGGACCGGTAAGTAGGCTGGCGGGAGCTCCAGCACGAACGCAGACTGATTCGCATAGCTCTATGCAATTGTGGGCGGCATCTTGGGCACCAACTTTGGAGGCAGCGACTGCTCGCTGGTTTCACCAGATGAAGACTAGGTAGGACCCTGGGTGGTTCGAGTTGCCGAGGGACGGCGTTTCGATTGCTCAAGCGAGACGGCGTGGTAGAATAGGGCGATCCGGTCAACGACAAGGACTCCTTGTGACCTTGTGAATGGCGACAGGATCATGGCCATTTACATCATGTTTGAGGGGCTGAGATGCGAGTTATGATGCACACACCTGTTTCAACGCCATTGAGGGACCCCGTCCCCTACCTACCGTCTGGCGAGAGAGTTGTGTTCGAGAAAGAGGGATAGACGTTGTTCGAGAAAGAAGGACAAACGGTATTCGAGAAAGAAGGATAGACGAAACTATGCCATGTTGAATTTCGCAAGGATGAATTATAATCCGTATTACCTCGCTCGGACTTATCTGTACGTACCTGGCACGTGCACTGTGGGTCTCTGTCCATATTAAACACCAGCCGCCCCCGCGTCCAACAGGCCTCAGCTGACCTGGCGAGCAAAGGCTGTAACTGTAACTACAGTACGGAGTACGTACTCCGTACTTTGCAACTTACTACCTTACTGTAGGTATTAGGTACTGCCTGTTTGTGCTTCGTCCTTTTGCCTCGCTCAGGATTCTTGTACGTAATGGCAGGCGCCACGCCCGCATCGCCTGGTCTGGTGACTGCCCAAGCCTTTCCAGCCGGCGGGAGTTAAAAGGACAAAAGGGCCCGGTTGGAGCGGTGGACAGACAGTTCAGACAGACAGTCAGTCAGACAGACAGTCAAGTCAGTCAGTCAGTCAGTCAGTCAGTCAGTCAGTCAGTCAGTCAGTCAGTCAGTCAGTCAGTCAGTCAGTCAGACAGTCAGTCAGACAGTTAGTCCATCCATCCATCCATCGGCCCTTGCATCACAACTCCAGCGCCGCTGCATCATCATCCCCCCAAAACAATGCGCGGCGCCCTCTCCTTGTTCGCCCCCAGAGCCGCCGCTTCCTCCTCCTCCTCCTCCTCCTCCTCCTCCTCTCCAACCCCCTCCCCCCCCGTCCGCTACGGCCGCGGCGGCGCCGGCAACATCACCACCGTCCCTCCCCCCCAGCGCCCCTCAACCGCCCGCACAGCCACGCCGCCCAACCCCTCGCGGCCCTTCTTTACCGGCGTCGGCGGCGCAGGCAACGTCCGCCCCGCCGCCTCCGCCGCCGCCTCCGCCCCGGCCCCCCCCGTCCTTCTGCCCCCGCCCGCCCTCAGCGGCTTCTGCGGCCGCGGCGGCGCCGGCAACGCCTATTCCCGCGACAGCCTGCTCGCTTCCGCTTCCCCCGCCTCTTCGTCTGCCTCGTCTGTCCGCAGCGACGCCGCCTCGGCCAGCAGCGCCCGCAGCTTCCTCGGCTCCACTTCCAGGCTGTTGCCCGTGCGGCTCGGGGGCCGCAAGACGTCGTTGGAATGCATGACATGAGCGGGAGCAATTCACCCGAGATTTGAGCCGGCTTAATTTCGATTTCGCTCCCTTTCTTTTGAAGCGAAAAGGGTCTGAGGCGTTTGACCCATTCTCTACATAGTTATCCATTTCTCATAAACGGTTGGGAAGCAGCCTCGGACAGGGTCTTGAAACTATGAAAAGAAAAAACACGGCTCGATTTTCTTCTATTCTATCCGTAGTTCATCATAATATACCCACTCCGATATGCATCCACCCCGTCTGACGACGTCAGCTACAACCCATTCATCCATCAATGCCCCATGCACCACCGCAACGCCTGCAGTCCTGTGCATATCGACATTGTAACCGCATTTCAACCCAGCAATTCATCTTTGGCTTCGTCGACATGGTCCGATTCGAGAGCACGCAACCATGTCGCCGGCAAAACGCACACAGGGGTATCATTACGCTCGCTCTTTCTTTCTCTATCGCGCAAATCGTCCCATGACCCCGACCTCTCCATTGCCCGTGTCTCGACTCCGGCGACGTGCCTGAAACTGAAAGCCAGCAGCTGCCCTTGTCAACCCCTCCCGTCGTCATCGTCCGCCGGCCGGCGCGGCAGCAGGCACCTTTGCCTGCGCTCATCACGTAAACTTGGTGTGGATAATGTCGGGGTTCTCGTGCCAGTCGTCAACGCTCACCCACATCTTGCGAAACGTGCTCAGGCCCGCGAGGATGCTTCCACCAATCCACGTCGAGTACTTGCGCTCTGGCGGCGCAAAGATCTTGATCCTCATGTCCTTGACTGCCAGTTTCTGCAGCTCCGTCAACAGCCGGTCGCCAAAGCCCTTGGTCAGCGTGCTGCCGCCCGACAGCACAATGTTGCTGTACAGCGACTTGCGCAGGTCCAGATCCGTCCGATTGATGGCGTCGACGACGATTTGGTGCACGCCGGGGTACTCGAGCCCCATAATCTCGGGGTCGAAGAGGATTTCGGGGGCCCTGAACCGCTCGGGGCCAATCTGCACGCGGCGTGTTAGCGTCTGCCAGAACACGTAACCGGCAACAACATCTGACCTTGAGCTTATGCCCATCCGGCAGCGTATACTCTGCAAACTTGCTCTCGTTGGGCTTGACGCCGATCCAGTCCCTCTCCTCTTTCCTGGGGTCGTGTGCCACGTACGAGACGCTCTCCTTGATCAGCCGCACCACCTCCTTCTCGGCGCTCGTGTGGAAGATGTAGCCGCTCTTGCGAAGCAGCATCTGCAGATACTCGGTCACGTCGCGCCCGGCAACGTCGATGCGGCGGATGCTGCTCGGCATGGCAAAGCCTTCGTACACGGGAACCGCATGCGACACGCCGTCGCCCGAGTCCAGGACAATGCCCGTTGTCCGTCCGCTGGCGTACAAGGATAGCACCGCTTGGATGGACGTGTGCAGGGCGGGCACGTTGAAGGTCTCAAAGAGGATTTGGGCCGCCGTGTCACGGTTGCTGCGGGGGTTTAGGGGGGGCTCGGTCAAGAGGACGGGGTGCTGCGCGGTCGACGTCAGCTCGAGTTCTGCGGAACATGGGCTTCTGTGCAAACCTCTTCGCTGAGAGTCTTGAGACCCTCTCCGTACACGTATTCCCATATCCTCTCCATGTCGTCCCAATCCGTGACAATGCCGTGCTCCAGGGGGTAATGGATCTTCAGCAGCCCCCTCAGCTCCGTGGCCGCCTTTTGCCCGATAAAGACATCCCCCTCGAGGGCACCGGCCAGTACTCTGAGATGCTTTGGGCGGCCGACCCACGAGGGGAAGAAGCACTTTGGGAGGTCGTCGCCTGCGAAGCCGGCACGGATGGTGCCGGAGCCATTGTCGAGCACAATGGGTGCGTTGTGCAGCGATTCCGTCATGACTGAGAGCTGCTCGCGCGAGAGGTAGGCTCACCAAGCTTCCGAGCCCACCGTCAACGCCTATCGCTCTGACTTTGTGTCGGCCGCTGCTCTGCGTCTCGAATACGCCGTCGCCGCCTCTTGTGGGTTGCTGTCGGGGGGAGGGGAGGGAGCTCAGCGCAGGGACAAGATCGGGTGTTGGGGGGGAGGATGCGGCAAGCTACTATGCTGCAAGAAAGCTCTCGGTAGTCTCCAAGGGGTCGTCAAGGGGTGAATATCGGCGACGTCTTGGGGCCAGAATGCTGTGTGGAGAGCTTGTGTGTCTGCATCCAAGGAGTCGCGATAATGTGACGCGCTGGCTTACTCTAGGAACGTACCGACCTGTCCAGGCCGAAAGGTACCTGAAGGGGGGTACCTGCCTAGATACCTACCTACCGGAACTTGGGGCGTGGATATCACGTGCGCCCAGCCAAGGGCGGGACGCGGGGCCTGAGGCAGCAAAAACACTTTAAGTCGCGTCTCCCTCCGCCCAGACCGCGTCGCTTACGTGCCACCTGCTTCCCTGCGGCTTTGCCAACCCTGCAACGACGCTCGCAAATCCCCTCCCGATCGCTCGCACCGGATACCTCTCTCTGCCTGGCCAGACGACACGATTTCCTTCCTTCATCATCCGACGCCGACTTCTTCTCGTTCTAGCACATCTCGGACAGCTCGTGGACCACCAGCTCGCGGCGCGACGCCAATATCCAGTCTCATCTCGCCTGTGTTTCAAGGCTTTTCATGGCACTATTGACCGCTGCCATCCTCTGAGCCGCCAGCATGGTCAAAGGCGCCGCCGCAACAGGCCCGGGTGTCTACAGTGCAACGTACAGTGGGGTAAGCAAGACGCCCATGCCGGCATGCCTCTGCAAACGTGCCCTACCGAAGCATCCTCTGCCCAAATATCACACACTTGCCACCTTCAATCACGCTGACATGACCCAGATACCAGTGTACGAGTTCCAATTCGGAGACGATTCAAAGGAGCATGTCATGCGGAGGCGGCATGACGATTGGATCAATGCCACACACATCCTCAAGGCCGCTGGCTTCGACAAGCCCGCCCGCACACGCATTCTCGAACGAGACGTGCAAAAGGACGTACACGAGAAGATCCAGGGCGGCTACGGCAAATACCAAGGTTCGCTCCCACCCGCATCTCTCCGTCGAGACTTTGCGCATTGATGCCGACGCCCGCTTCAACAGGTACATGGATTCCCCTCGAGGCCGGCGAGGCCCTGGCACAGCGCCACAGCGCCTACGATCGCCTACGCCCCATCTTCGAGTATGTCCCCGGCGACGAGAGCCCGCCCCCCGCGCCCAGGCACGCGACCAAGCCAAAGGCCTTCAAGGCCCGCGCGCCCGCCGCTCCCAAGTGGACGGCCCCCAAACCTCTGCCGCCCGCTGCTGCCATGATGCAGCCTGCCGCGCTTACGCCGTCGGGCTCCGTCATGATGCACGACGACTACGACAATGGCGACACCATGATGGGCGACGAAGACACACCCGACAATCTCACCGTCGCCTCGGCCTCGTACATGGCCGACGATGACCGCTACGATATGGCGCACATGTCGACGGGCCATCGGAAACGCAAGCGCGAGGAGCAGATGCAGGATCTGACGGAGCAGCAGCACGCCGTCTACGGCGACGAGCTGCTCGACTATTTTCTCCTCTCTAGAAACGAGCAGCCAGCAGTCAAGCCAGATCCGCCGCCCAACTTCCAACCCAACTGGCTCATCGATGCCGAGAACCACACGGCTCTGCACTGGGCGTCGGCAATGGGCGACGTCGACGTCATCAAGCAGCTTAAGCGGTTCAACGCCGCCGTCGCCGTCAAGAACATACGCGGCGAGACTCCCTTTATGCGATCTGTCAACTTCACAAACTGCTACGAGAAGCAGTCCTTCCCCGCCGTCATGAAGGAGCTCTTTGAGACGGTCGACGCCAGGGACAACGCGGGCTGCACCGTCATCCATCACGCCGCCGTCATGAAGAACGGCCGCGTGTTCAGCCCCTCGTGCTCGCGCTACTACCTCGACAACATCCTCAACCGGCTGCAGGAAACGCTGGACCCCAGCGCCTTCCAGCAGCTGCTGGACGTGCAGGACAACGACGGCAACACGGCGCTGCACATGGCGGCGCGGCGCAACGCGCGGAAATGCATCCGCGCGTTGCTCGGCCGCAACGCCTCGTCAGACGTAGCCAACCACGAGGGCGTCCGGGCCGAGGACCTCATCATGGACCTCAACGCGGCCAAGAAGCAGCGCGGACCCCAGCGCTCGTCGTCGCCGTTTGCGCCCGACTCGCAGCGGCACGCCTCGTTCCGGGACGCCTTTGCGGCGGACAAGGCGCGCAAGCCGCCGCCGCCGGCGACCATGGCGTTTCAGTCGGCGGCGGCGACAACGGTGCAGACGCGCATCTCGCCGCTCATTGCCGAGAAGTTCCAGGACCTGGCCAAGAGCTACGACGACGAGTGGCACGAGAAGCACGTGGCCGAGACGGAGGCGCGGCGCATCCTCGGCAACACGCAGGCGGAGCTGGCGGCGGCGCGACAGCAGATTGCCGAGCTGGAGGCGCGCACCGAGCCCGACGACGTGGCGGCCCGGATCCTCGGCGAGGCAAACCTGGCCAAGCACCAGGTGCTGTCGCTCATCTCGCACCAGAACCGGCTGCACATCCAGCAGGCCGTCGACGGCGAGCTCAGCCGCGGCGCAAACGGCGACTCGTCGTCCTCGGGCGGCGCGGACGAACCGTTTGAGGGGCGCCTAGGCCTGGCGCGCCAGCTGCGCCAGATGCTGGCCGAGCAGCGCCAGGCAGAGGTCGACTACGTCGACGCCCTCAGCATGGTGGGAGTCGGCGACAAGATTGAAAAGTACCGCAGGCTACTCAAGCGCTGCCTCGACCCCAAGGACGGCGAGAGCCTCGACACAAACCTCGACAGTCTCATCGAGATGATGGAGGAGGAGCGCGATATGCACGACATGGACGGGCCGACACCATCGGGGCCGCCCGAGCCCATGGACTTGGCTCTGCGGGTATAGCGGCATCCACCACCACCCTCATTTCTTCAACTCTTTCTCTCCGACCCCTTTTTTTTACTGGATACCTGTCCCTCGCAAATCTTTATCCTCTCACTACCCCCTCCCCCCCTTTGTACCCATGTAGCTTCCCCGGCTTCAGCCCGGTTATTTATCTCCTCCCTTTTCACCGTCCGTTTGGGATTTTTGTCTATTCCGAGAGGAGTTATCCGCGTTACGCGTTGAGGCAGATATAGCAGAGACAGGAGTATGCGTGTGTGTGTGGGTGGTGGCCCCGCAGGGGGGGGGGGGCGGGCGGATACAAAAATGACACGAGCGGTGTGGGTAGATGGATCATGATTTCTTGACGTTTTTATGTTTCGTCTAACAAAGGTGTACGGCGAAATATACATGACGGGAGGCGCCAACCTGTGGGCGGCCACGAGCAGCTTTCCTTCACCCAATATCTGGCGCAGTGAGAAAGCAGGGAGAGACGGGGTGTGCGTATGAGTGTTTGCGGCTGGCTGACTGGCTGGCTGGGCTTCATTTGTATTATCTCGGTCTCTCTCTCGTCTTGACCCGGCTCCTCCACTCCCGGGCCCGGTTGCGCCTCATGGGTCTCACTGCACGGCTTACAGCCGCATAGTCACGGGTAAACGGGGCAAAGACGAGGCTTGACTTGGCTTGACTTGGCGTTGACCTTGCGCAGGCGCTGAGCGGCCTCGAAAGCACGCCGCGCCATGTCACTGGGGCGTGGGGGCGTCTCTGGCCCCGGTCCGCAAGTCAAAGAGGGTTTAGCGGAAGGCTCTTGGGCTGGCTGTCACCTGTGCATGGCATCCAAACAAGATCGTTGCATCTTGTTTGGACTGGCTCGCCCAGATGAGGAAAAGAAAAAGGGCCGCGGGGAGTCCCGAGACTGCGCGCGCCTGGTTTGCTCGGCCCATTCCTTTCTCCGGCATTCAGGGGCAGCGTGACAACCCATCCTCTCCCCGGGCCGAGACTTGCTGTGCCGGCAACATGTCGCATAGCACACTTAGAAAAGGTATCCAGGGTCAGCTTGCCTAGCAGCCCTGTCCGGGACGCCACGATTGCCGCTTTCGAACAGCGATCCCGTGTAGCAGGCCTGCAGGACGCGGGCATCAGGTGAGCGGTGAGATGGCAGATCTCGGCCGCCTCTCGCTGGTTGGCCTGGCTGGAGTGGGTATTCAACAGGGGCCAAGCCGTCACGAGGCTCGCCAAGGGGTGCTGAGCGCTCGTGGGCCGACAGACAACCAGGGCCCGACGCGCCCGGATGGTCGGATTACGGCTGCCGGGACGAGGACGAGGTAGCAAAGCTCCACGAGGTAACACCAACGAGTGTCCGAATGCCAACCATGTCTTGGGGGGCCGCGGAGACACGCGGGCGGCGAGCGGTTGAGCCAAAGGCGCCTTCCGTACAGACCATGACGACCTGTAACAAGCTCGGCAGTCCCTCCGGTAAGTTACGGCGGATGTACCTATGTAAGCATCCCGAGAATGGCGATTACTTCGGGCCCGTGACTCGGCCATCCCTTCCCGTCGCAGCACATCTGGCCAACAAGACGGGACCACCGGTGAGCCAAAATAGCAAAAAACCGGGGCTGCTGGTGGGGGGCTCTGGGGTGACGAAGCTAGGTAATTATGGTCGGCAATGCGAGAGCTTCTCTTTATGACTGAGAGAGGGAAGACGGGCGAGCGGGCGGGGCCGATGCGAGGAGCAGGCCGAGCGACCGAACAGCCAGCGGGGACTGCGTACTCTCAGCATCGTGGACATGCTGCAATAACAGAATAGATTGCATGCGGACCGGGTACTTGGACCGACAGGATGAAAAGTAGCCGCCATTTCGATGGCCTCTATGCGAGCACGGGGCGACAGTGGGACCAATCAGGCTGGCGTCGGCCAACCATGTGCAGCGGCCAGAGGCGGAGGGGTGCGAGTAAGGACGTAAGGCTGACGGAAACCCCCATCCAAGTGACGATGGTGATCTCGGATGCACCCTGGCTTGCGCAGCTTTGCATCCCACATGCTCTAGTCTGCTTGGCGCCCGGCCGACGCGACTTTCCACATCGGGACGAGTTTTGGCTTGTTCCGTGTTTCGAAGCCGCGTAACAAGGAAGAGGGATAGGCCGACGTCATGTTGTTGCGCCGTGTTAGCGAGTACTAGAGTAGTATGGACCTAGCATCTCGGCGCAGGTTGCGGTCTGTTCGGCCTTGCTTGGCCTCTTGAGGAAAAGGGGAAGAGGCCGAAATGTGCTCGACGGGGTCGGAAAGGCCGGTTGCGAGTCGTGCGAAGGCAAACGAGATAAAGAAAAAGGGCGCCACTGTCGCATTTTCAGCATGCAGCCAAGCATGAGTGGCGAGTACGGTATGTACAGTAGGGAGTTTGGAGAAGGGAATCAGGCTCGTCGGGCAGCTGTCTGTCACCTTGTCATTGGGGCAACGTAGCGCCTAGGTGGAGAAGAGACATTCTAGAAAGCTGAGGGTGTGTCGGCCCCTTCAGCTGGGCAGGGTTGGTGTGGGCGGCCGTTGTGATTGGCTACCAGCCCTCTGGAGACGACCTTGGCCACGACTGCTTCAACAACTCTTCTGCTGGCGGCGTGGGCGAGGGACGAGCCGCTGCTGTGCAACGGTAGCAGGCGGAAGGCAGGGGTCTTCCGGGCCCGGCAGCGTCGTCGCAACCCGGGTTTTGCTTGTTGCACGAGAGTGAGTGGTGGTGGTGATGAGGGCGGCACGTTGCACCAGTCAGTTGCTGGTGTTTTCCAGCTGAGGCAGGCGATAAGTGGCGGGCAGGACGGCAGACGGTTGAGCAGGAGGAGGAGGAGGAGGAGGAGGAAGCTGGACGATGATGCAGGTGATGATGATGCGGATGGCGTGGTTGACACGGATGCGATGCGATGCGATGATTGATCCACGAGATGATTTGATTGCCGTTGAGAGATCTTCGCGGGTGGCAAGAGATAACAAGACGACTGCATCCCGTGACTGACGCGTCACTCCACGAGCCTGCCTGTTCTGCGCCTGCCTGTTCTGCGCCTGCCTGTTCTGCGCCTGCCTGTTCTGCGCCTGCCTGTTCTGCGCCTACAGTACCTATAAGGTAGGTAGGTATAATTACAGCATGTACCAAAGTATCTTCCATCGTCACCATCGCCATCGCCATCGCCACCACCACCACCCCCATCCCCATCCCCTCATGCTCTCACCGACATGCTCCATCAACAAACGGCCCACCATCATCAGCCTCTGGCCGGCCGTCACTTATTGACCCCGTCCATCGTTGACCTCGACAGGCCCCACATTTCGACCCCGTGGGAGCCAACCAGCAGGGCCCCGGGCGGCTTGGCTGCACGGCTGGACGAGGCCAGCTGAAAGCACGACAATCATGGCCCTAACCAGCGCCTTCGTCCAACCTGCGTGACCAGCGCCACAGCACCAACGCTGGGCCTCTTCTCGCCTCATTCCCACACGCACCCCCCCTAGACTTGGTATGTGACTGTGTGTGAGTGCGGACTGACAGAGTTCAACTCGTGGCGAATTGTCGGCGTCTCGACTGTCCATTGTCGCATCTTGCTCGACTGCATCTGCCGCCCACAAGCACATTTATTACACGCGTGTCGGCAGTCGACCAAGGGGGCTTGTCTCGAGACAAGCGGGCGTGCGACTATTAGTTGCGGGTGGGCTTTGCGCCCTCGCTCAGCTGCAGACTCCTCGCCCGCCGTCCCTCCTAGCGATTGGCGGACCCGGATTTTGCTGGGCCTGGCTCAGGAGTCTCGAGCAAAGGCTCTCAGGCCAAGTCAGGAGGCGCCGGGCTCCTCGCCCTCTGACCTCGCTGTGATGAGCTCCAGGGTCCGAACCGACATTCATCGGTGCGGTCATGGCCATCTTGGTACCGGTCGCAAACTATTGCTGGCACGAGCCGCCCGTTTTTTTCCTTTTCTTGTCTTCCGAGCTGAGAGGCTGCTCCATGCGGATGCTTCATGCTCCACCCCACCGCTTTTTGCCCCAATGCGTCCGATGCGACGCAGCAACCCGCTTCAGTATGTACGTCCCTGGCTGGGCCTTAATATTAACGTGGTCCGGCATGAACCCTCCTGAAAAGGAGGGCGGGAAGGGAGACCGGGGGGGGAGGGGTGTGGCGCTACCAACAAACAGCGCCCCCCCCCCTTCCTTTCGCCCTGCTCCAGCACGAGCAAGCTAAAGGTTCTCCTCAAGGGGAAACTGTGTTGGCAGCTCTAGCTGAGCTTGTGCCGCCCATGGATGGACTGGACGCACGCGGCCCATCACTGGGTTGGCGACAAGTGGGTTCTGCCACGGCCTAGTGAGCTGGGCTTGGATCCTTTGATTCTCGTCATTGCTAATTCTCGTCTCCCATAAGAAGCTTCGGCGCCCCGGACTCCCGCTTTGTTTGATGCTGTCATGTGTATATCTCCGGCTCGTCTCGGTTCGTCTGCACTGGGTTCCGCTTCGCTTGACACACGTCTTGCTCCCATCCGGTCGAAAAACAGCCGCTCCCTAGGTTTCTTCCTTGACTTGCTACACCATCGACTCGAGATCGCGCATAAAGACACCGAACTACCACTGTCCTCGGACAATTTCCAAAAGAAAAGGGCGTCCGCATCCGCGACTTACACAGACGATCGTCGTACGCGACCAGCTCGGGCGCCGGGATTGACTTTCGCAAAACGCGCGCATTTCCACTAGGCTGAACGGTCGGTCGTCGTAGGGCAGACAAAGGACGCCCGTCTGACGACAGAAAGTAGCGCGACTTGTCAGGGACCCCTGCCCCGACGACGCCTGCTTTCCCGAAGCAGACACGGCCGACAGCCATGCCGGCGACCAATATGACGCCCGCCGATGCCAGCTCGACGAGCACCGTCTACTTGAGGACCCAACCGCCCGCCTGGGCAATGCTCCAAGCCGGTCTCTCCGTCTTTGCCGTCTTGATCATCGCTCGTCACTGCGTGCGCTGGCTCTGCCTGCGGTGGTGTGGTTCAGCCGACAACCGGCTTACAGTCCAAGCATTTACCGACGGTCCACGAGACCAGCGCACTCAGCAACAGCGCCCCCGTTGGGAGGTGGTAGATGAGAAGCCGTGGTACGCGCCGAGCCTCACCACCACCATGCCTTCGGACCAGAAGACAGTTGTGCCGGAGGGAGGGCAATTGGGCAGCGGGACCGCCCTGCCAGGTGATAGGAATTGGAAGTGTGGCTCAGACTCACTGCCGAGACCGTTTGTCTCACGGCTGCCCCCAGCACCGCCTTTGACGCCTCCCGAGCTGAGCCCTGCCGTCTTCACAATCGAGGACGCACCGCACAGGCAGGACAGCTTCATCCACCAGCCAAATCCAGACTACATGACGTCGACGTCGTCCTTCTCCGAGACGAGCCCGGAGCCCTCTTCCCGGCCGCGGCGGCGTTCGTACCACCGGACCATCCCGATCGGCACCCCTGCGCCCCGGCAGGCCTCATCGTCCGAAGCCGATGTCGCCGACTTGAATTTCTCGCCGAGCTCATACCCCCCGTCAAGTCCGCTGCTCCCGCCGCCGCCTCCAGGCGCTTACGGGGCGGAGGGCCTCGGGCAGGCACGACGGGGGGTTGACGTCAAGGGAGAGATAATCTCGGTCCTAGACGGCGGCGGCGGCGGCTGGACGCGCCACACCCGTGTCTATGGCGGAGGTGTATGCCTGGCTTGCGCCGCGTCTGGCGGGCAGCACGGAGGCGGCTTCTACGGGGCGACTGTGGCTCCCGAGGAGATGCGATGAGGCTTGGGAGATGATGCATTGGGTTTTGCGCATGCATGGCGAAACGGTCGCCCCTCCTTGTTTTTACTTCCCCTTCGATTTGGAGCTTTCTTGCTTGGCAAGCTAGTGGCCGGAAGCATATCCGTCCATACGACTTTATGATGTATCACGAAAATCAGAGCTCGTTGCGTTGTTGAGGATCTGCCCAATGGGCGCGCCTTTGCTCTTTCTGGATGGACAACTTGTGTTGTCGTCTTGGACACTTTTTATTGGCCTTTTACCCTTGTCTGGCGATGGTGAATGTCCCAGGAAAGGGGGGGAGGGGGTTGGGGGCAAGGCATAATCAAGATTGGAGAGGATAGATGGCCGAAGCCGTGGGTGTGTCTGTGCAAGGCAGATTTCACTGCGCTCCATCGGCGAACATAACAACGTGCCAGTGGCACAACGTTGCTTGAACATCCCCGTCTCTACCTTTTGTACTCGTGACTCGTGGCTTGGAGTGGAAGCTATTCACACGGCCGGCTGATTGCGAGCCCGAGTCTGACTGGCCCTTTCTCTTGAGGGGGCTGCAAGGCAAGGCAGGCCGGGGACAAGGTTCGGCCCTGAAGGCCCATACATCTCGCTGCCCTCTTCCCTGATCGGCAGAGGCGGGGGAGACGCACGAGCGGTCATACATACATACACGAGAGCATCGAACAAGGGAGAAGGGGGCATCGCCAGATGGCAAACAGGGCAGGCGACCTGCGCCCGCATCAGCGGGGCGTGCACGGCACGAGGGGGTCCATCTCTCCCTGCACCTCGTCCCCAGGCCCCTCTCACCCCGCTCGTGGCCGCGGCGGCTGGGGAGAGAAGCGCGAGAGGGGAGGGACGAGTTCGCTCGGCGAGACGGGGAAGCCTGGCACGGAGACTTTTGAATGGGGGGTCACGAGGAGTTCCCAATGCGAGGTGAGTGAATACGTGCGTGTGGGGAGAGAAGGAGGCGCACTCCGGGGTAGAGTTCTGACGTGAGAGCGAGACGGCCGTGGCTCGAGATAAGGGGGCTCCTCTCCCGGCAGCGCGGAAGGGGGCTGGAGGCGCGGTCGGACATATCGCGCCCTGTAGTATTTCCATATTGACTGAAGCTGAGTCGGATGCATGCCTAGGAGGTCTTTGCAGGTGCGGGGATGGCTTTTTGGGGAGGGGGGCCAAGGCGGTGATGCTGAGATAGTTGGACAGAGATGAGCCAGAGAAGGAGGCTGTGCCGACAGGGCCGGCGATGCATGTGCCAAGCCATGCATCATCGCCTGACGATCACTCCCCGGGGGGCCAGCCCTACAGACGCGTCCAGATAGACGAGCTTCATGTCTGACACTTCCCCTCAGCATTTCTTTTCTCTCGTGTTCTCTCTTGGAGAAGAGAGAGGGAGGAGACAGAGGGAGCGGGCATCGTCCCCCGCCGGCGAGTGCCGCGCCCTGCCTAATCCTGCTGACGGCATCTGTCATCGTCTTTGACTCACCCCTCCCTTCTCCGATCATGGCGAGAACGGCGGGCTGCTTCGCCTCCGGGTCTGCTCCGAGGCCACGAATACAACGCTATGCGCCTTGGCGGGCGTGGGCCGCAGGAATTGTCCTGGAGACGACCTCGCTCTTGCAGCTAAATATCCCAATGCCTCGCACGGGGGGGAGAGCGTGCGGCGGTCAAGTTCTGTCAAGTACGCGGATAAGGTGTGCCCGAGATTCTTCACCCAGCAGGATGGGTGGTTGAGGAGAGGTAGAAGAGCTGCGGGATGATGCGGCTCTGTTAAGCGACCAATGAGCGTTGGCTCAGCGCAAGCCTAGATGAGGCTGAGGGCGCACCGCCCACTCCGAATACCAAGCCCACCAATCAGCTCGCCGTCAGCCGCCGTTTGGTCGTGAGGTATGGAGTAAGCGCCCGGGTCGAGAGATGTAGCGCACAATCGCGGGGCGAGGGAGTTGCCTCACGTCCTGAAGCCTTTCGTTCGCCGGGCAACTGCCCATGCGATAATGCGTTGGAGCTTTATGCGTTAGGGGACACGCTCGAAGGACAATGAAGTTGGCCTTGCAATCACCAGCCTTCCCTCCGGCGGCCCGTCGAGGGTCTGAAGAGCGTCACGGCAACTGCGTCACGGCGCCGGGTTCCAAGGACTAAGCTTGTTTCCAGCTAAGAGCAGTCGAGACGCAAGTGTTAATCCCGCCCGACTAATTCCACATCATGTTGCAGAAACCCGGTACGGCCGCGGTTCACCGGCGTTGCGCGTCGCGAGGAAGCAAGGTGCAATTGTGGTGGCATTTCGTGATCGAAGACGGGGACCACTTGGCAAACGGTGTAGGGATCCAGTAGCAAGGCGGCGGGCTCTTGAGTAAGTCCAGAATATCTGCGATAAGTCCAAGTGATGGTGTTGTTGATCCAGCCATCTTCAACTAGGGGCTGATGACGGGACCAGACAAGACCGGCAACAGACTCGGCATCAGGTGCATTTGCCTTGCCACCTTGGAGTCGGCAGAGTGCATCCAGGGTCGAAGCCGACAAGTCAACTAGCAATGAAGTCACCACCAGTCCACGTCTCTGTGTACAGTCATCGTCCTCGGGGTCGAGGGCGTCTCCCATCCTAGCGGACACACAATCTCTGAATGCCTTAACGGGTGCTTTGCGTTTGGATGCGACGCGGGTTTCGAGTCGGAGCAAGAATGCCAGTTGACCTGCCCTGGCCACCACTTGGGCGGGCGTCTTGCTCATGCTGAAGGGTGCTGTTCTCACAAGTTGCAAGCAAGCGTTGACCGCATCGTCGCACGGCCAGCTGAGGCCCTTTGACGGGGGCGTGCATTGGACAGAGGCATCACGCGCGGACAGGGCGTCGGCCGCACAGTCCGGGGCAGGCTTGCGATGCCATCACCGGTGGACGCTCCATGCCGAAGTCCAGGGGACGTGTGCACCGTGCCTTGGAGCTCATGGCTGTTGGTCGTCGTCGGCGTGGTCCTGAGGAAGAGATGAGCACAGTGCAGCGAGAGATGGCGGCATACTGTAATACTCGTCGGCTCATGCCAGGCTGGCGGGTGCAGTTGGCCAAAGTCGAAAGGCTTGCGGGCACGGTTGCTGTTTCTCGAGGAGCTCCAAATGCCAAAGTTCTTGAGGAGCTCCAAGTGCCAAAGTATGGACTGTCTTGGCCGGCGGTCTGTGCCCTCGGAAACGTGACCTCTCACGAGCCAAGTGGGCGTGGAGGTCGCCAAGTATTTCTTGGTCGCGGAGACGTGGGCTTCGGCACATGGACGCGCCTGTGCTTCCCCAAGGTATCGACCGCCAAGGACTTGCACCACACGTGGTCGAGTGAAGAGGCGAAAAATTATTCCAAACCCGAGTCCCCCCTCGCGGCGACAGAATGCCCGTGCACCTGAGACGGCCCAAGTCTTTAAGCGCCGCGGGGAAGCAGCCGGGCGCCGCGTCGACGCCTCTCCGGTTCGTCCGTCCTGGTGTTGGGGCCGACGGGAGAGGAAGAAGAAAAAGTGCCGCCCGTCGGAGCCGGCACTGCACACACAGCACCTAGGCGCCGACTGTGTCAAGTTTGAGTCTGGGTCGGATCGTGTCACCTGCGTGCCTCGGCATATGCAGGGCCACTCGGACACTCGAGTCAGAAATAGACCGGGACGAGAAAAGCAAAGCAACAATAGGGGTACAGTAGCTTCAACCAACTAATCCCCACAGTGCAGCAGCGCGAGCCACATGGCAGGCAGCTCGTTGGTGTGCGTTGTATGGAGTACTCTGTACGCTTGCCGAGGTGGAGGCGGAGTGAGTCTTCTTCTTTCGCCTTGTTAGAGAACAAGTCGGCAGGGCAGACCCGCAAGGCAGCGTCGCGACGTTTCCGGCAACAGGCAGTCAGTCGGCAGAAAGGCCAGTCATGTATGCCCGTCATCGTGTGCCATGTGTGCATATCCGTACTGTCTGCACATGTCGAGAGCATGCAAGACACACAAGGCTGCGCCAATGGAGCGGACCCTGACCCTGGCCAGCCCTGACCCTGGCCCTGGCCTTGACCCTGATCCAAAATAGCCCCAGCCAGTCGTCGGCTTTTGCCACCTCGCCAGCCGCGGACAACTGTTTTCTTTTTCCTTTTTTGGGCCCGGGGAGTTTTCGACGTTTGGCGAGGCATCCTAGGGCCTGTTACTGGAGTCACCGCTTGGCACTAACTAGCAAGGGCGAAACAGGGCGGGAGAAGCGAAGACGGAGAACGTCGACAGGCAAAATGAGTGAGTGCAAATGGATGACGCGTGCATGAGAAGCTGCCTGGGGATTGTCTGGGGTCTGGCAGTCTGGGAGAAGCTTCCCCGCGCGCGGCATGCCACCACAGAGGGAAGCACCGAGACGGACACGCACGACGGGCGACAACCGGGAATGTGTGAATGCTGTGGCTTTCGGTGTTTTTTTCCTTCTCCTCCTTTGTTTGTACTGTATCTCGTCGGGTCTCCTCGGAAAAAGGGGTTCGGTGGTGCAGGCTGGGCCAAGTTTGATGTCCATCTATTACTCGAGACTGGAGAGAATGGCGAGGAATTCCAGACGCATAAAGCGCATGGAGGCGCCTGCTGGAGGGTCCAGTGGTGTCATGACTTGGGAGATTGACTTGAAACAGCGGCTCTCCGCAGAAGAGGTCGAGGAGACGGGATGATGGACAGGAAAGAGAGAAAAGGGCTTTGGGCAGGTACGTACCTGGAGATCTGTCGCTTGTCGTTGCTTCCTCTCTCTCTCCTATCTCGTGCAGTCTGGGTGCTGTAGGTAGAGCGAGTTGTTTCTGTACATTGCACTAGTAAGTTACCTGCTGAGCGCATGATGCTACTAGTAATGCGGGGTGGCCAGGCAAAGACCCCCGTACCGTATGTGCCTTGTACAGTTCAGTACAGTATCTCGGTGTCCAGATGTCCTCTGTTCCGTAGCACGGGCTGAGGTGTGCAGCTTGTACACAGTACCTACATATATACACACAGTACATACATAGGTAGGTACATAAGCATGCACAACGCAGGTGCATAAGCTGATGACGCACAACTTGGCGCGCTGGTCGCGCGCGTGGTCTGTGCGTGTCACAGCTCGGACCGGCGCGTTGTCATTGGCTCGTTTCCCCTTTTGCCTCCTCCCACGGTGGCCGAACATTCTTATCAATCCCGCACCAAGAATTCCGGCCTGTTCCAGTGCATTAGAGCCTTTAGTACCCTTATGTATTGTGCACTACAATGGGTCTCCACCACCGCGGCAAGGAGACGGGCGTCCATTGTGACAGGTGGAGGAGTCGAGACCGTCGCCTTTGCACGCATTGCACGCACAGCACACAGAGGCACGACGTAATGCCCCAAGCTGTTATGCCCACGAGTCGACCGCTGTACAGTACGCAATTACAAGCCAGGGGCAACTGCGGCATCTCACCACGTGCAACGGCGATTGAACAAGACGGGCAACATGCGTCATGTCTCCTTTTCCCCCCTTATCGAGTCGACGAGCCGCAAAACAAGCGGCACAGTCATCAGGTCGGTGCTCATAATTAGGCGTGATACGGAGTTATTATACCTTGGGCGGGCAAGGTTTGGTAGTGCCAGGCAGGGGGCCGTTGTAACAGACTTCAAGTACCTGGACGACCGGAGCCGCTGCGTTTTCCCCTCAGACAGTACAATCCCCCTGATAATCGCCCCCCTTCTTCAGCGCCTCCCGTGACTCTTGTTCCCACTGCCACTGGACACGCCAGAGCGTGGCCCGCAGACGCCTGATTGGCTGCTGGTGCCGGGCCCCGCCCACTCCTTGCCTCGCCCACCCCTCTCTCCACTGCAGCTATTGGAGCGCCTTTATGCGCCTTCTGGTGCCCGCTAAAAACAACGCATGGGACGAGAGGTTTCGAGGGTCTCCGTCCACTCCCAGGGACCCTCCCGTCTCCAATTCTCTCTCCTCTCACTCACTGGCATCCCCGTCCGTCACTGGCCGCTTTTTTTTAGTCCTATTTTTTCCTTCTTCCTTTTATTCTCTCCCTCTCCCTCTCTCTTTCACTCTGTCCACCCTCCTCCACCCGGTTCCTGGCCATATCCATACACACCGCCTTCTTTCTCTCTTTTCTTTCTCTCTCTCTCTCTCTCCCTTCTCTCTCCTTGACACATCCCCCCTCCCCCCCCCACCATTCCCTCGTCGTCGGTTTCCCATTCCTTCTGTCCGCCTCGGTTCGCAGGTCGTTATCATCGTCGTCGCATCGCTTCTTCACCCCGCAAGACTGATCTCTACAATCCTGGTTGGAGTTCGAATGCAAAAAGGAGGGGAGCAGAACAGGAAAAGAAGAGAAGAAACCCGACAAAAAATACACGCGCACGAGGAGGAAGCTCCAAAAAAGAAGGGAACGAGAGGTTCTGGATATCCGGCTCGTCGATGATTTCGGCTTCGATCGTGTAACTGTCAAGACCTGCATTCGCCATCAAACGCAAGCGTTTTCGCATCGCCGGCCACTCAGCCATTTCGCACCCATCGCCGCCCAGTCAAGACTGCAAGCTCGGGGCATTGCCTGGATCAAGGCCCTCATTTCACGTCGTGTGAAGCCTGGTCAGCAAGCTGTGTGAGTTCTTCCACCCCTTTTTTTTTTTACACATTTCGCGCTTCGCCCTCACCATCGCGTGACCCGCCTGCCCAGGGCATCGCGACTTAGTCATCCCTGTGCGCTGACTCGTCGCTACTGCAGCCAACCTCTCCCTCGTTCCTCGACCCTCTGTCCCTCTCCTCCTTTCCGCCGTGGGAGCATCGCTGCTTCCTGCATCGTCCGCCGTTGTTTGCGCAGCCTCCATCCTCCTTGATCTCGCTCCATCGCACACATCGACCACTTTTAATTTACGTTACTCTCCGTGCTCAAGCATCTCGGAGACTCCTCTTTTCTACAGTCCATCTTACCCTTGGCTTGCCGCCCCTTTCTTCGGCTTTTCTTGACGACCGGCGCACCGTCTCGCGTATAAAGACTTCCTGGGCATTGTTTCTTGTGTGCCGAGTTCGCCATCATCAGCATCTTTCCACTGGGCCCCATCTCTTCTTCCACTCGTGTTAATCGCAGCATCTCATCCGCATCTTGGACGCATTCCAGCTTTTAATACCCCATCCTCTTCTTCTTCTCGACCGCGCCCCTCGGCCACCCGTCATCCTTCCATCCTCCTTCTCCTTCCAATCTGAGCCATGGACGCAGGCGGCCTCGCTCAGATGCCCTCCAGCAACTTCCCCCCGCCCAACGGCATGGCCATGCCCGGCAACTTGGCCACGCGTCGGGGGAGCCAGAACATCAAGCCCCTGTCGTTTGACGCCATTAAGCAGAGCAGCAACAAGGAGGGCGGCATCGCCACCCCTCGCACGAGTCGATCTCACCTGCTGGCGGGCTTGAGGACGGCACCCAAGTCTGCCAGTACCCCGTCCTTCAACGGGGGTCCCGCGTCGCCCACTTCGGCCATGTCTGCGCAGCAATATGCCAGGAGCAGCATGGCTGCCAACCTTCACGGCTACGGCCAAGATAACATCTTCCGCCACGCCGCCCAGACGGCCTATCCTCAGTACGCTGTCCAACAGCAAACCGGCTACCAAGGCATGATGAGTCACCAGCAGTACACTGTCGACCAAGTCCTCGCCCCGCCTGAGATTGCCATGGACGAGCAATCCCAGGAACACATGGATCCTAACCTCTATGCCCAACTCGTCGCCACAAACATGTACCTGGCTCAGCAGCAGCAGCGTCTGCAACAGCAGCTTAGGAGCGTCCAGGCCGCCGCGCAGCAGTTCCAGCAGCTCAACCTGAACAATCCGCAGCTCACCCAGCAGCAAATGGCCATCTTCGAGCAGCAGCAGCAACTGCGGAACCTGCAGCAGCAGCTTGGTGTCCAGGCCGCCATGGGGCAGGGTCAGCAGGTATATTATAGCCCCGTCACCGGCCAGTACTATGTCGACACGCCCGCCGCAACCCCCATGAGCCCGGGGTACGCCGAGCAGCCCATGTCGCCCGGATTCAGCAGCCTCCAGCAGCAGCAGCAGCATGCGCCACGTGTGCAGGTGTCGCCGCCGCCCGAGAACAAGCTATCGACGCCAGGGCACCGAAACACTTCGCCGCCGAGACGCTATGACTCTCCCGTGGACGTGACCCCGCTGCCGCCGCCTTCTGCCAATGCCTTCCGTCGCGGCCACAAGAAAACGTCTTCCTTGGTGCCCGGCAACCCAGGCGACTTTGGCTTGGACACCCCGAGATCGGCAGGCCCCAAGACGGCATCCTTTCCGCTCACCCCCCTTACTGGAGGCTATGGTCCCGGCCAGGCTCGTGCGGGCGAGCATCCGATTCGCCAGCCACGCGGTCCTCCGTCCTTGGATGAACTCAAATCGAAGCCGACCGCCAAACACGAGGGTAGCAAGAATTTTGCTACCCGGACCCGACGATCTGCCGTGCACAACCTCGTCCGGGCTGGCTTGGAGCGGCGCAAGGGAGCTGGCAGTTCGACCGGTAGCATGAGCCCGACTTCCGAGATGGCCGAGGATTTGGCAACGCCAATCACCGACAACGAATCAGACTCGGGGCATAGTGGCTCGGGCATATTGGCCGGCGAGTTGGAGTGTGGCACCTCGCGCACGCCCGTCAGGCGTACCTGGGGCGCCATCGGCTCCGATCGACCTAGCTCGCGGCAAAAGGCTCGCACCGGCGTCGACAGCCTGGGCAATGCTAGGAGCGCTTCTGCCGTTGACGACTCCTTCGCCGCCGTCTTCAAGAATGGTGCTCTGCGAGCATCCAAGGCACAGGGTGGCGCGGACAACCAGCGCAAGTCTTCGCGGCTTGTTCTTACAAGCGTCGAGAAGCGCAGGGCCTCCCCGTCGGCTTAATCCCTCGTCTTCGCTCTTCAAATTTTCACGCTTTATTCTCTTCCTAGTCGTTACGACTTGACGCGACCGCATCTTCCCGGCACGATTGCGCAAACTGGTAGATTTGGCCATCGACACGGTTTCTGGTTCTTGGATTCGATCGGAGGGTGCCGTTCTCTTGCATTGCGACTACGACCGATCCACGAGGTGTTGAATTGTGAAGGCTGAAAAGCTTTCTTCGTCTTTCCTTGAAACATCTTTTAATAGGCACCGCGAACCCCACGGGGCATGCCCCGAAATGTATTCGCTTCTTGTCTTCCCTTGCTGCCCAGAGAATGGGAGAGTGCAGCTGATGGCTAGCGGATGGGAGACAGGACTGAATGTTCCACTGGAGGAAACGGATTAAGAAAATGGAGACACTGGGTCTGGCGTGTGTTGTCCCGCAAAGGGGAACTTAATCGGCAGGCAGCGCTTGTACGAAGGCTTCTTCCTGGAGGGACCACGTTCTTTATGCACCACCGGGTACTCGTTGCTTACGTCTCGTTGCGAGGGCTCACCCCGGCCGGTTTGTGTGGCAACGCGGCCGCATCTTGCCGACGGGGCACGGTGGGTATCATGATGGGAGGCTGCGCGCCGAGGATGTAGGGCCCGGGGCCATGGCGGTCAAGATGGACGCGGCGGCCGGTATTCTTAACATAGGGCACAATACAAATTGTTTGCCAACCAAAAGGGTACTACTCTCTGCGACTGCTCTGACGAGTGTATCTTGTGTGCGGCCATGCGTATCTACGGCTGCGATGCGTGTTGGAAGAGCCTACGCATCACGAGACGCGGGAATCGAAGCAAGATTGGGCTAAGCGAGAGGGTCTTCTACCCAGGTAGTCAAGGAGAGAGACCTCGGGCTACGTGACACGGCCACCAAGCACGATGAAAGCGAGACTGGCGAGGGAAAAGGTCGGAGAGTTTCTCCTTGTTATATAGGTAGTCAGCCTCTCGCTTGACTGCCCTCCTCCCACCCCAGCCTCCCCGGCCGCATGCCCCTTTTACTATACCCTCACCACCACGAAGGCCCCATTGTGCCCTTGCTATTTTTGTGAACCCGCCCAATCCCCGCTGCGCGCCCAGAACATGCATGTATCCATATCCCTACAACACATCCATGATTCCCGCCCGCGGCCGCATGTTCGCTGAGCGCAGGGTTCAAAAAAGGGAAAAGAGAAGACGAAGGGGGTGTCACGGACGGGAGCAAGAGGGAAAAGCCAAGCGCGAAAAAGAAAAAGACGGGGGAAAAGGACTGCATGGTGGTTGTACACGCAAGACGCGCCGAAGTGCAGGCAGGGAGCATGGAGCAGGCAAGAGCCGGGGTCCTGTTTTCCGCCCGTCGGGGGAGTGGGATGCCTTGCGTGCGTCCACCCGCGTCCCTGCCTCTCGACATCTTGACCCTTCACAGGTCACGACTTGGCGTCGGCTGGGGTTCTGGTCCGCCGCTTCGCGCCCGGGCCGGCCGTCGCGCCCCCGCTGCCCTCGCGCGGCGTCCTCCTCCCGCCGTTCTCCTTGTTGCTCGTGCTGCTCTCGCTGCGCACCACCACCGGCGGCGCGGCCTCGCCTCTTGCGCCGGCACCGGCGCTCCGCCCCGCCATGCCCGGAGCGAGAGACGTGCGTGGGAGACGACTCTTGACGCCGCCGCCGCTGCCGACCGAACTCGCGTCGCCACTCACACGTCGCGGGAGACCGGTTGGTCCGTCGCGGCTGCGAGGACGGTAGACGATGCCTTCCCGCTCGAGGGCTGCGGCGCGTCGCGGGCTGGCGGCGACTTCGATGTACGCGCTGCCCCCGGAAAGGCCCTGCCTACTCCGCGATGTTGGCGTCTGCGGCACCGAGAGGGACGTCTGCAAGGCCGGCGGCGTGTAGCTGTTGTTCCGCCTCATCCTGAACGAGGACGCGGAGCTGCTCATCTGCGACGACGACGATGACCCGTCGTGCCGCATCATGTGTGCCGCCGGGGCCGACGAGGCCCCGTCAATATGAGACCGCAGCAGCTCCGCCGCCAGGTTGCGCACCAGTACAGCCGAGTCCGTCTCGGCAAGCGTCTGGATCGAGTCCATTAGCGACCGCACCTGCGCGCTGTTAAGTGTCTGCGAGCCGTCCCCGGCGCCCATCCCGGCGGGCTCGCAAGCGTCCATGATGGTCCGGACAAGCCTGAGTAGGTTGAGCCGCACGACGGCCTTCTTGTGGCCCAGCCGTTGAGCGATGCCTGCAAACATTTCGGGCCTGGCCAGCGACGCCGCAACAGACGGGCTCAGGCGGAGCAGCTTTAGGAGCGGCTCGAGTAGATTGGAGTCAAAGGCGTTCAGTTTGTTAGTGCCGAAGCAGCTGACAATGGCCCGAGTAAAGCTGCCGTCGACCAGATGGCTCTCAACGTTGGCCGTCTCCTCCTGCAGCCACACCAGGATCGCGTCCAACGCCGTCACCTGCCAGTACTGGTCGGTGAGCAGCGACACGTAAAAGTCGAGCCCCTTGTTCTGCCAGAGATATCTCCGCCCCTTGGACCCCGAGTGCGCCATGTCGCACAAGATCGGCAGCGCAAACTCCTTGGGCGGGCGGTCCGTCTTCATGATCCTCAGCAGCAGCGGGATGATGCCCCCGACGGCCGCGTCCTCTTGCCGTTCCTTGCTCAGGCGGCACAGGTTAAACAGGGTGTTGAGGACCTGGTTCGAAATTTCGCGAATGTGTGTCTGGCCCCTCTTCATGCCGTAGCTGAGCAGGTCGATGAGAAACTCGATGGCGTCGGCCGAGTGCAGCGACTCGATGGTCGTCGACAGCATCGACAGGTTCTTGATGAACTTGAGCATCGTGATCTGATGCAGGGGCGTCATCCGCCGCAGGTCCTTGAGGACGCTCTTGAGCACCTGCCGATCCGCCACCACCTCCTTGACGTAGTTCTCCGCCTGGCTGAAGAGATGAAAGATGTTGACGATGCGGCCTTCTATGAGCTCGTCCAGCTCGTCCTCACCCTCCTCGTCCAAGACTCGGTGCAGGACGAGTGCCAGGGGGTACAGAATCTTGCTGCGCGAGAAAATCCTGCAAAAGTCGTTTTTAGGCGTCGGACCCTGCAGCTCAAAGACGTTCCAAATGCCGTTGACGCCGATGAGAACCAGGTCTCGAGCGCTGTCGTAGTCTTCGTCAAGGAACTCGACCAGTACGTTCAGGCCACCAGCCGACACAAACATTTGGAGCGTCAACGTCGAGGTTTGGTACATCTGCCGGACAAACGCCGCGGCCTCGAGCCTGATCTCGTTGGAATATTGACGGGCGGCAAACTTGGTGATAATGGGGATGCCGCCCACGAAGCAAAGATTTTCCTGGATCTCCACGTCGTCGAGGATGATCTGTGGCACGGCAGGTTAGAGCAGCTTGGCGAGCGAAGACAGAGACTCAGCACATACCGCGTTGACCACTTTGAGGAATTGCAGAATCATGTACTGCCTGCTCTTGACTGTGCAAGGCTCGAGGATCTCGAGGATGGGCAGCAGCCCATGAGCGCTGATGACGAGATTCTTCACCTCCTTGTTCTCCCAGAGCAAGGCAAGCTGGATGGGGAAGAGGAAAAGGTTAGAGCGGCGAGTACACGTGTGTTGGAGTCGGGCCTTCGCTCACCAAGTCTTCCGAGAGCTCGGATAGTATGTCCTCGCCCTCTGTCATCTTCAACGAGCCTACGAGAGCCTCCACTCTCTCCGCCAGCCGGGCATGCCGGTCTCTGGCGATGTTGGCCTCCAAGTCCATCTCGTCCCAGCCAGGGTCCATCAATGCGAACGGGTCGTACTCGTCTTCCTCGTCGCCGAGCCACGAGTTGTTGGAAATCTTGGACAGGAGCATCAGCCCGCCATCCTCGGAGCCGCGTTCGCTCTCCTCCTTTTCGCCCAGAGACTCAGAGGTCCCAAATACGTCTGAGAAGTCCTCGTCGTCGTCCTCGGCGAACTTTTGAATCTCAATGGACGAGCGGGTGCGCCGCATAGGGCGGTCAGGAAGGACAGACGGTCTCGGCTGAGTCTTCTTCTTTCGTATGCTGCCCTCGGGATCTTGCATTGATCTGGGCAGGCTGGTGAGGTCGGATGGATGGAACAGCTGCGGAGCATCAGTCGCTCGAGCACCCTGGACAGCACGTCAGCAAACGATGTCTCTCTCGAAGCCAACCGCGCCCACGTGACGTACCTTTTTCACAGCCTGGTTGACTCTGTGGTCGAATACGCTGTCATTGTCGGCGAACAAGTCTGAATAGTCCTCGACGCCCTGCTCGCGATACACCACGTCGAGTCGCGGAGGAAGCTCAAACTTGCTCCCGAGATGCGACTTGGACGGAGACCTCGGCGCGGCCCAGGAGCCAGGACCAACACTGCCAGCTGCAGAGGAGGCAGCCGGTGCCAAGCTCCCAAAACTCGACTCGGCACTTTGTGGGGGCCTCGGGGCATCCGTTGCCTTCGCCGCCGTCTTCTTGGGAATGGGACGAATCGTTTGTTCTTGCGAATCGAAATCACGAGAGCGAGCACTGGGCCCCTTGATGGTCAACAGTTCTCCCTCGAATTCTTCGAAACTGCAACTGTCGCTCCTCGAGTCCGTTGTCGACGCGAAGGCTTTGAGCTTTTCACTGGAGAGGAGACCACCAAAGTTGTCCTGGGGCTTGAGACGCGGTAGTTGCAACGCGCTGAGGGAGATGGTGGTCGCAAAGTCGTCATCCCAGTTGTCGTCATCTACGCGCGGTAACAGTCAGCCTCCGCTCAAGGGACCTTGGACCGAGCCGGAGTCCCCAAAGTTCACGGGTTCCACAACGTACCGTTCAATTCAGGAGACCTAAACGCCTCTGCACCCGGCCTGGGCTTGGCGAGCGTCAACGGGCCCTTGGCGGGGGTTCCGCTGGTGAAGCGGGACGAGGGCCCTGTGATGTCTGACCCAGTGGATGAGCGGAGGGCTGAGTCGGAGTTGAGAGCCTTGTTCCATTGCTTGACCTCCTCAACGGCCTGGTTGAAGTTGGCCGGTGCCTTCGAGACGGGCGCCTTGGCTCGACGGGAGCCAGCTATCCAGGCGTGACGCAACAGCTTTCGCGCGGAGACTCTCAGGTTGGGGTCTTTTTGGAAGCATTGCATGAGAAAGTCCCTCGCGGCCTGCGTAGCTCCTGTCAGAGAGTGCTCATGGGTCGGGGACGGGGACGGGCGCATACAGCAGAAATGCCCTCGGGCAGAGGAGGATGGTCATCGTTGACAATGGCGAACAGGGCAGGCATGGCCGCCAGGTTGTGATAGGGCGGCTTGCCCTGCAGCAGCTCAATGACGGTGCAGCCCACGCTCCATATGTCCGAGGCAGAGCTGGCGCCGGAGAGCTGGATGATTTCGGGGGCCATCCAGTAGGGGGTGCCGACAACTTGTGCCTCCTTGTCCTGGCCGCCCGCCAGGGTGCTCGTCGAGACGCCAAAGTCAGCAAGTTTGACGGTGCCATCCTTTGTGGTGAGGATGTTTGCGCCCTTGATGTCGCGGTGTATGACGCCCTGGTCGTGGAGATAGTGCAGGCCCTGGAGGACTTGGGTCATGTAGACTCCGACGAGGTTCTCGGGAAACTTGCCGTAGGCCTTTAGTATCGAGTGAAGGGAACCATTCTCGCAGTACCTGAGAGGTGTGAGCCTTCGCGCGCGCGGGGTGGGACAAGCAAGGACGTACTCGAGAATGATGTTGAGACAGTCGACAGACTTGACGAAACCAATGTACTTGACAATGTTGTCGTGCTGGATTTCCCAAGTCAGTGTGGCCAGGTCTGCGCAGAGGAGTGTTTGATCCGGGGCTCCTCACCAGAAGATTCTTGAGAAGGTCGATTTCACTCTATGAGGGATGTCAGCATCTTGCGAGGGCACCCCGTTGGACCGTCTGCCCAGCTTACCTCTATCATGCGCAGCTCGCTCTTGGGCAGATCGGCCAGCTTGATCTGCTTGACGGCCACGGCCTCGCCAGTGCTCCAGTTGAAAGCCTTGTACACGGACCCAAAGGCGCCCTTGCCGAGACACTCGCCCAACCGCTGCAAAAGCGTGGAGTCGGGTCAGCACTCTGCGCCTGCTTGCCGCCACCGTATGCGGGAATACTTGGGGGGGGGAGGCCGAGCACAGATCCAGGCACAAGCAGTAAGGGGGGGGCCGGATTGGGGAGCGTGTACGCACATAATCCTTCAGCCCGGGATCCTGCAGCGCCGAGCTCTCGCGCTGCCTCTCCTTGCGAGACGGGGTACCAGGCATGGCGGCGACCCTTTCCCGCGAGGCCACGACGGCGGCGGCTGGGCCATTGTTTGCGTGATACTGGCGGCCGGGCGGCATCGCTGAGTGGCGTCGAGGGTCGTCGGCACTCGCTGGCGGTGCGGAGGCTTCACGGCGCGGCGCGCGCGCGCAGGAGGGCCAAGGGCGGATTTGGCGAGGGAGGCGATGGGCAGAGGTCGATGAGGATCAAGTGGTGACGACGGCGGCGGCGGCGCTGGCGGCGGTGGGGGGGAGAAGCAGCTCGTCGTCGAGTAGAGATGGTCGTCGCATCTCCGGGGCGGCGGCGGCGCGCTGCTGTCATCCGCGTGGATCGCACGCATTCGCCCCCGTGAGTGGTGCCTCTAGCAGCTGGCGGCCAGGTGTGCTGTTCCTGTTGCTGTTGCTGTCGTCGTGTTCAAGGGAGGAGGGAAGAGCGGGAGGACGGATTGGAGGGGAGGGGCGGGGAGGGGTGAGGGGAGAGGGGGTAAGCGGAGCGAGCGCTGGACCAGGTTAGAGGGGCGGGCACAGTGTTGGCGGGCGTGTAGGGGGCTCGTCCAGGCGGGTTGCCCGGTAAAACGGCCTATCTTTACTGTGCTGGAGCGCTATAATGGTGGTTTGACAGAGAAGGCATGCAAAGCGCCCGGCTCAAACAAGAGTAAGTAATAAAGAAGACGACGTAAAAAAAGAGGCCGAGTGCCAGACCCCGCCTGAAACAGGTTGCCATGTGCTCGCTCAACCGTCCGGACAGACTGACTCTCATCCGTAGCGAGAAGCTGGGCGTCACCAACCTGCTACTGCGCTACGCTGCTTCGTGGCGTGGTCGATTGGTGCCTGCACGCGGAAGTGAATGACGATGAACCAGTGGAACTTCAAGCCTAGAAGGGCGGAAGAGCCTCTCGTTATCTTCGAGTGGGTTGCGGCTTAGCGCTTCCGATCCGACCATGAAAGAAGTAATAAGTAAAGAGCACGAACCTGCATACCTGATTATGTGGGTAACCCAAGTGGAGACGGAGTTGGGATGGCATTTGGGACATACAGGGCAGCAGAAGAGTCACCAACAGCACTCGAGGGCCCCGTTGATCCGGCCAAGCACCCGTCAAGAGAGTCTCATGCATCGTGTGCCGGCAACAACGAGGGTCATAGCACCGCGAACCACTGCTCCGCTCAGACGTCTCGACTTTTCCCCCTCGGCCTCTCCGTAGACCAACAGGCAGAAACCCTCGGCCACCAAAGCATTCTCCCGCCAACAACGCAGGGCAAACCGACTGGCAGCAGAGACGTTGGCGGCTCCTGCATAACGTCGTGCATGACTCGGCTTTCCCCAATTGATTCTCTGCAGTCTACTGTTAAAGGTACATAGGCCCGACTCAGACGAGAATGCCCTCGTGTCGCCGTCCGTCCACGCTCACTGCCACACAAACCCTGGATGAGTTCATCATCGTTGCGACAAAACCCTTGCCCTCTGCTGTTCCGTGCAAGCGCCTGCCGATGCCACCGTGCTCGGCACTAAAAAGTACAGCCCAGTCAGTTATACAACAAAGACACATCTCATACGCTTCGACTCCTCCCTTGCGCCAGTGCAGCCCATCTCGCATTAGACAAGACCCAAGTCTCCGTCTCCTCGCGGGTGCCTTCTTCAGCAGCGCAGCTAGGACCGGAAGAGACTCAACAGCTCCAGGCGTCGCGAGACCTCGCTCTACTGATTCGTCGCGTCGTCCTGGGGCAGAGTCCGGCTGAGGCCCACTTCGGCCCACCACTCGTCCGGTATATCCTCCCGCCGCGCGAGGTTGCTCATGATTCGCTGCATCCCCGACCATTCCTCCTCTCCGCTGAGCGTCGCGTTGTGCGCAGGCCCTGTCGATTCTCCGCGGCTGGCTTGTTGCAAGCCATCGCCGCCGCTCTCCTCCTCCGAGGCTTCCTCAACTGACGCCTGGCTCCCCCAGCCCTCGGCACGATTCAGGAGTCGGGCCAGAGGCATGCCTCGTGGGACCCCATCCGTGTTCTCCGTTCGCGCGCCCCGTCTGCCCACGTCGCTCAGCGAGTTTGAGTCATCCGCCGGCGACTGCAATGCGCTTCGTCGGCCGTCGGCCGTCGTTCGCGCGGCATGCCGACCAACCGGGCCGTCAGTCAGTCCGTCCGGGTTGTAGGGGGGGAATCGCTGGCGGCCGTCGCTCGACAATGGTCCGCGACGGCGCCCGCCCGCCAATTCGACGTTCTCCTCGTCTTCCTCCTCCATGTTCGCGTCCGAATGCTCACATCCCGAGTCGCATTGCGCTTCTGGCGGTTGTCCGATAACATCTGGCAGTGACAGGGGCGTGCCAGACGACGGGCCAGCGCTCTGAGAGACTTCCGTCGAAGCAAATGACGAGCCTGCGCTGGGCTGCTGTGGGTCGGGAGTCAAGGTGGACAAGAGCGTGTCCCAGACTTCGGGGCTCAGGCTCCTGTCGCGATCTCCGAGCCCGTCGAGCGCGAGAGAGTGACGAGCAGCCGGGCTTCGGCGATCGCGCACGCTGCGCAAGGGTCGAGAGTTGTAGCGAGGGCCGGCACGGCTGGGGTTGGCGGGCGCCGAGCTCAAGGGCGACAAGCCACCGGTTCGCAAGCCTCGGTGGCCGTGGGGCGGGCTGCCGCGGTATGGACGCGGGCGATCGGGGCTACGGTCGAACCGTGATGGAAGCGGTGCAACCTGGCGCAGAGGAGAGACGAACATGGTTAGCAGGCCATGCCATCGAGGAAGAGAGATTGCCGAGCAGCCGGCTTCTGCTCTCGGGCACTCACGACTTGGGCACGCCTGGCTCGTGATGACGACGAACGGGCCTCTGCCGACCACCAGCGCTCATCTGGATCCCTCGACTCTGTCTCGCGCTGCGGTGCAGCCGTCGTCGGGACCCTTTCTCGCCAGTCGCCGGCAAAGATAGACTCGACCTGCTGCTGGAAGTTTTGTCGGTTCCGAAGTATCGTGGCAGGGTTGTTGGAGCTCAGCCATGAGTCCCGAGCTTCCTGGAAAGCAGGCCGGGACCTCGGCTCTGGCAAGCTGGGGTCGAGTGGGCCGGGCGACTCGACCCAGGGCAAGAGACCGTCCTGGTTGGAGCGAGGCAAGCGTGGCTGGACAGCGCCGTAGATTCTGACACTGGCATTCCTGGCAGGGTTGCGGCTTTCACGAGAGACTGGGCGACTCGAGCGCCGAACGCCGGAGCGGCCGGGGGACGCGGTAGCGCCCTTGCTGGCGGCCTTTGACGGGAGGTCCGACTCGACAGGGGTGACAAAGAGTCTGTCAGGGCAGACGGAACATCAGCAAGCGGGCACAGGGAACGGACAGTTTAGGAGCGATGACGAGATGAAAAGAGATGGCCGGCCGAAACGCAGGATCCAAAGGCACGTCATGAGCGGGGGCGATTGCCGGCAACAATGCATTGGCCTTGATGGAGCTGGCGGAAAGTGGCTTGTGACGCGCAGGATGGCCAGCTGACGCGCATGGCAGGGCCAGCTCGGGCGCGAGAAGGCATATGGTGAGGGAGGGGAACTAACGGGAGGCCCATGATGAATGGACGCAGTCTGAGTTGGCGTGGCAATGGTGGTCTGGGAAACGTCTTTTCCTCTTGTTGTTTCAAGGCCGCGATGGGGTTGAATTGCGCGTCGCGTCGACCGTCAGCGGTGGGATGCGAGTCGATACAAAGCGAGCGACGGAGCGAAAGCGGACCAAGGATGAAGAAAACGGGCGGGAACGCCTCGTGGGTCCAACAAGTAGAGAGCGATGCTCCAACAAGGATTGTTACCGAGGAGGTAGGGGGAAAAGACGAGAGCCAAGGTGCCTGGCTATTGCTGGCGATGATGCACGCGCGGCGGGCGGACAAGGGAGGCGGAAGCTGCACCAAGCGGCGACGACGACGCGCTGCCAGATTGATGAAGGGGGAGGGAAAAGACTGGGGGGGAGCAAGGGATGGATGGACGGTTTGAGTTGGTGAGGTGGTGGGTGAGTGGGTAAAAAGAAGTACGGGGAGAGGGAGCGACGGCTTCCGAGACAGCAGATTTTTCGGGGCCTGGTGGCTTTGACGGGAACGTTGCCGGCGGCAGGTGCCTCTCAGCTCCCCTCTGTACCCCCTCATGCCCCTGTGGCTGGTGCGAACACCCTCCCGTGGCGGGTGCTACAGCCTGCGCCACGGATCCCAGAGAGAAGAAATATTCAGGCTCGAGATCCGCCTCTCTCGTCCGCCGGCCGTCGTGGCTCCATGTGCCTGCGATAACGCCTCGCAACGTTCCCAGAGACGACGACGACAGGACTACCTGCTACTTCCCAGGTCGAGGAAGGTCGAGGAATGTCTCCCTCGCCATGCCAGCCTCCAAGGATATCAAACGAGCCCTGGCTCGCGTTCGCGCCGCCTTGCCCGTCGAGAGAAAGGTGGCCGTCGCCCGGCGCGACATCCGCCTTGGCCTGGAGCGCATCAGCCGCATCGTCCCCGACCAGCAGAGCTGGCTGGGCGTCCATGTTGGCGGAACAAACGGCAAGGGCTCCATCTGCGCGCTGCTGGCCGGCATGCTCAAGCGCGCCGGCATCAGCCACGGCCTCTTCGTCTCGCCCGCCATCCCCGAGCCGCACAACGGCGTCATCGTCAACGGCCGCTTCGTCAACAAGCGCATGCACCGGCTCGAGCTCGTCGACGTCGACGCCGCCTACCGCCGCGCCGCCTCGGGCTGGACCTTTGCCATGGGCGAGGACCCGGGCGACCCAACCCCCTTTGAGCTCGAGACGGCCGCCGCCTTTCGCATCTTCGAGACGATGCGCGTCAAGTACGGCATCGTCGAGGTCGGCATGGGCGGCGCCACCGATGCCACAAACGCCATGAGGCAAAAGTCCGTCACCGTCATATCCAAGATCGACCTTGACCACCAGAGCTATCTCGGCAACACCATCGAAGAGATCGCAAAGGTCAAGGCCGGCATCATGCGGCCCGACGTGCCCTGCGTCGTCGATGACTCCAACCCGCCCAATGTCATGCAAGTCCTCAGGGAGCAGGCCCACATCATAGGAACAAACATCAGTCTCTCATCCAAGGCCGAGCCCTTGCTCGCCGACCTCGACCTCGAGAGGTTCAGTCTTGAGCCCTATGAGCGAGAGAACCTCCTGTGCGCGGTGCTCGCCTTTCAGCTCCTTTTTCCCAAGCTCGAGCTTGACATCGGCAAGCTCCTGGCCTCCAAGCCGTACCTCTCGGGCAGAAAAGAAAAGGTCAGGGTGTCCGCGCTGACCGGCGGCACCCGCAAGCAGCCCCTGTTGGTCGACGGCGCTCACAACATGCTCGGCGTCGAGGCTCTGCACAAGCACGTGCAGGGCAAGGTGCGCCAAGGTCGTGAGCCCGTGACCTGGGTCATGGGCCTGTCGGCCAGCACGACCAAGCCCTTTGCCAAGATGATTGAGACCCTCGTCCAGCCCCAGGACAACTTTGCCTTCATCGAGTACGCGCCAATGGCAAACACCCCACCGGCGGTGCCAGCCGAGATTGGCCGAGACGTTGCCAAAGAGGTGCTCTTCGACGAGACTCAGCTCTACGACGGCGACCCGAGCATCTCTCCCGCCCTGCGATGGGCATGCGAGAAAGCCGGCGAGGGCCCCATCGTTGTGACCGGCAGTCTTTATCTGATAGGGGAGCTGCACAAGCTAGAGGGCGTCGAGGCTCAGTGGAAGATTGGGACCAGGCGCCCCGGCCCCAGCCAGCTCTGGCACTACACACGGCTGTCGCAGGAGCGAGCTCTGACGCCCGAGGAGGCGCGCGAGTTCAAGCGAGCCCGGAGACATTGGTACTTGTCTCCCAAGAGGAACGCGACGTTCAGGAGCGCGGCCGACGGCACCAAGCCGCTGCCGTGGGTGGTACCAGACAAAGTCCGCCAGCACCAGCGGACCGCGGCGCTACACAAGACGCAGGCGGACGAGTGCGCGGCCGCCATTTCCAGCATTGAAAAGGTGCTCCAGGCGGGTTCGCTGGACGGAGGCCAAGTCGCCGCGGGCCCTGCAGAGCTCGGCCAGAGCGTCCAAGAATTGAAGAGACGGCGGGACGAGCATCTTAAAGCGTATAACCAAGCCATGTTCAGGACGCGCGGTCACGAGGTCGATCCGGATATGAAGACGCTCAGCTATGAGCAGATTTTCGGGAAGCCAGACAAGGCCAACAAGGGACAGGTGGTTTCCCTGCTGCACAAGCATGGTCTGGACGAAGCAGACATAGGAATCGCGTCGACGGCGGCGTCAACCCCTGAATCTGCGGCCCCCGAGGCGCCACAGCCTTCTCAAAACACCACTACTAACGACGCTCGGCAATCACAGCCGCAACCAAGGGCGGCTCCCTCGGACCGATGGGCTGAGAACGAGATGCTCAAGGGACGACGCGGGAGTTGAGTAGGGAAGCCCCAAGTGGCCAGGGTTTTGCGGAGATCAGTGCGAGAGGAGGGCAGCAGAGTCGACGAAACTACGCATGCGGTCCAGAGGAACTCGCGACGACAACGCATAAGAGGCGGATGGGATGCCGGCCGCCGCGTTACTACCTTATACCCACTCGCATATAGACGGACGGGAAGCATAACCTTTGTGGCCTTGCATGTCACGCCGGCGGACCGCGGCAAGGAGGAACGACGGAATATAGAGGGAATATTTCTGGATCATCAGCTGCTCTCATCCTTTCTGCTCCATCTCCACTCCGCGCCATCCAATCACATTGCATGGATTTCAACCTCCACCTGGCCTGGGACGACCCATCACCGTCACCATTCACCAACGCACCTCACAGCCAACACCTCGCTTAAGCTGTTTTCCGCCCGCAAGGCCAACCAGACGACCAATCGCCGCCCACCAATGGCGCCGCCAACGCACCTCATCGTCGTCTGCTGCCACGCCATCTGGCTCGGCGGCCCGTCCAAGGGCACCGACGAGTCCGAGTGGCTGCTTGCGCCCTTTCAGCGCGGCGAGACGCCCACCTTTGTGCAGCACGCGCAGGCCGGCGTGCGGAGCTTGGCCGAGGCCCGCCGCGGCGCCGTCCTCGTGTTTTCCGGGTAAGTGGGCTCTCGAAGAAGCGGGCGTCGAGGAATTCCATTAGATGGGTGTGCATGGGCTGAGGATAAGGGGACGGTGAGAAGAGGCCCGACGCGCAGGGAGACGCGCCGTTCCGAGGCGCAGAGCTACGCAGACGTCGCGGCGCAGAACGAGTACTGGGGTCTGCTGCCGGAGCCAGACCACCGAGAAGAGGCGATACTGCTCGAGGAGCGCGCGCTCGACTCGTACCACAACGTCCTCTTCAGCCTGACGCGCTTCCACGCACGCTTCGGCGCCTGGCCCGCATCCCTCACGCTCGTCGGCCACGCCTTCAAGCAGCCGCGCCTCGAGGCGCACTGCCGCGCCATCGGGTACCCTCCCGACCGCGTGGCGTTTGTCGGCATCAACCCGCCTGGCATGATGGCGGCGGCGGCGGCGGACCCCGGGCTGGAAGCGGCCGACGATGGCCGGGCTGGGCGGCAGGCGGCATGGCGGGGCGTTGCGCGGGCGGCCGAGGAGTGGGAGGCGGATCCGCACGGCCGTGGGGCCGGGCTGGCCGACAAACGAAGGGCGAGGAACCCGTGGCATGTGTGGCAGGGGGTGTTTGAGGCGCAGTACAAGGACAAGGGCGGGTTGGTGACGAGGGGAGGCGAGGGGGAAGGGGAGACGTTGGACGAGGATGCGCCGAGGCCGTGGGTGTGATTTTTGGCTGTCATGTCCTTTGTGGACATAGCCGTTCATTATATGATGTGATACATATAACCTGTAGATGATGTGATATGTTTCTCTATATAGATACTGCATGAAGGCCATGTCAGGAAACGTAGAGGCGCTGATCGTAACCTGGTGCTTCCCCCTCAAATCCTCGCCTTCCTCTCCCCTTCATCTGCTCCTCCCTCCTCCCCCCTGGGCCCCTCAGCAACCGCCCCGACCAGGAACGCGACCGCATCCCTCACCATATCGGCGCTGAACCGATGGCCCACGCCCTCGTACACGCGATCCTCGAGCACCAGCCCGGCATCGCGGTACCACCCGCCCGCCGCGTCCGCCAGCACCGCCAGCAGCGGCGCCGACCGCGCGTACGGCACCAGCGCGTCGTCGGCGCCCGAGCACACCAGGACCCGCTTGCCGCGGAGCCCGCGCGCGTCCAGGATGGCGCGCAGCCGGGCCTGCTCCGCCGCCGGCAGCGGGGGCGTCGGCAGCGGGGGCGGGGAGGTGGCGCCGAAGAGTATGGCGCGCGGGTCGTGGGCGTTGCAGGAGGCGATGAGGTCGGGGGGGAAGTACTTGCTGCCCAGGAGAGGGGAGGAACCCGTGTCGAGGTCGGCGTTTTGGGCGCGATGGGTCATGAGTCCTGGTCGTGGATAGAGTCAGCGAGCACGATGTCGACCTCAAGATGTGGATTCAGGCTTGGGAGCGTGTGTGTGAATGTCAGTTCCGTCGTCCGACCATCCGCCATGGCCAACGGCCAACGCCACTCCGCCCAGGCAGGATGTCGACAAACCCCCTCGACTCGAGACGAGACGCGGGTAGACGCAGACAGGCACCAAACTCACCCAGATAGTCGGGACATCCCACCACCACCACCACCGCATCCAACCTCTCCTCGCCAAAGACGGCCTGCCACGCCGCATGCCCCCCCAGGCTCCAGCCCAGGGCAACGTGCGCGTCCACCTCCCTGCCCAGGTACCCACCCACGAGGTCCATGAGGCCGCTCATGTCGCCGCGCGCAGCCCTGACGATGCCCGCCATGTCGATGGCGTGCCGCTCGTTGCCCCCCTTCCACGTCTTGTTGGCCGTGTCGCTGACCAGCCGGCTGCCGTGGTTGGGCATGTCGAACGCCAGCGCCACCAGGCCCCGCCGTGACTGCTGCGTCTGGCTCTGCGACTGATGTGTGTTCCATGCGTGGACCGCGCGCCGCGCCACGTCGTGCATCCGTGCCCGGGTTCGGGTCCGCGGGTGAAGGAGCCAGAGACACGTCACCGGCGCGTCGTCGCTGGGTTCAGGCAGCTCGTCGAGCCCAAAGACGTCGACGAGGAGGCCGACCATGGCCATGGTTGTCATGGATACGGCCGGCGCGGGCGGGAGGCCCTTTGTGGTATAGGCCGAGTCTGACATGATGGGATTGCGGTTACCCCCAAAGTGAACGAGTGTGCAGGAGAGAGCGGTGAGGTCGGTCGTGGGTGTCATCAGCAGCATGCAGAAGGTGAGGGAGTGGTGTAGGGTAGCTCATCAGGGCCAGATAGATGCTCGTCTCGACGAGCTCAAATCATGGATGGGCTCGACGGCAATCAAAGCTCCTGTATATCACTGGTTCTACGTTTCGGGAACGAAATCAGAGAGCTGCGACAGAAACTCGCTGTGAAATCTAGCCGTCGCGACTCATTAAGTCCTCGGATCGTCAGCCCAGATTTGCCATCTCCACGCTGTTCCCAACAGGCCACTTCCAACCTATAACAGTCGCAACAGGACCGGAGACAAAGGAATAAGCCTATCAATCAATATCGCCATGCTCTGTAAGACAGGTAGGGTATGCTTGCCACCCCAACGCCGATCCGCGCGACCCTTGCCTGCCCTCTGCCCTTGGCTTCAGACCGCAGCAAATGATGCATGCCATCGTCCTTCGACATGCTTGCCGACGTCCATACTCATGAGTTACCAAGGCGCCTAGTGGTACTAGATGCCGTCACCCTCCCTAACTTGGTCTCCAGAGCAGTCCCGGCCCCGGTTTCCACGCATCCAGTCACTTGAAATTAACGGCGCGCGCTTCTCTGACCTCCCCATGTCGGACCTGTTTCACCTCCATACGCCGAGCACGGATGGAGATGACTCCTCTGCGCCTCAATCTACCTTCCAGTGGTCCTGCTCGTCGGAGCCCAGATACATCTCCACGCCATACAAGACCATGGTCAAGCCGACGTTGATCCAGCGCCACGTGCCACCTCCGACATCGCCGCCCCTGAGCGTCCAGCCATCCGGGCCATCGCTGGTGGAAAAGTGCTGTAACAGCAGGCTCGTGTACACCGCCACCAGGATCGAGGGTGAGAACCAGCTAAGGAGGCCGAGGACCTTGTTGGCGGTTTCCGAGTCTTCAAAGTCGGGCTCGTGCATCAGTGCTCGCGCGCCAAGGTCCCTCACCGAGGGGATGATGCGCGTGGCCGAGTAGAAGACGAAGAGACGGTAGGTGAGAGAGATGATGACGGACGGCGTGATGGTCTGAAACGCGGCGTAGAGCAGGGCCAGCGAAGAGTGGATGGCCGAGGGGAGAGAGCCCAGGACGTGCAGCAGCGTCGAGTACGAGGCCATGATGATGGGTGGCAAGGGCGGAATGTCCGGCTGCGTCGCCGTCTGGTCGTCGTCGGTCTGGCTGGCTCCGTCCGAGGGTAGGTAGTCGGTGAAGATCTGGTACACGCAAAGCACGATGTAGGCAAAGAGCAGAGAACTCTCGACGGGACTGCCGCGGCCGCTGCCGATTCCGTAGGCGCAGAGGAATACGGCCGTGGTCATGGTCACACCGATGAGCGTGGCGTCGAGGTTGCTGATCTGGGGGAACTGCGCGATGCGCCACAGGAAGTAGACGGCGCTGGCCATGACGGAGCCCGAAAAGGCGAGGAGAAAGATCTGAGGGCGCCCGGATTAGAAACGGGGTCATTGAACTGGGAAAAGAAGGGAGCCGGCGTTCCGACTCACCACCCAGGTGTCACTCCTGCCTCTGTTGACGAGCCAGCGGGTGATTTGCCCGGCAGCCTGGATGACGAGCAAGGTGCAAAAACCCTCGAGCAGCTGGAACATGGGCCCCGAGTACTTGAGAACGCTATCCCAGCTGCCCAGCATGACCGTCTCCAACACGCCGTCCTTGCCAAACACCCACTCGGTCCAGCTCGTGCTCTTGGAGCGAAAGACGCCGCCGAGTGTGCGCTCCACCCAGTTTGTGCTTCCCGCGTCGACGGCAAACTGGCCGAGGGCCCAGATCATCAGCGTCGGGATGACGATCCATTGCGACAGGCGGAGGGCGGTCGAGACGGTCCAGCCGAGGCGGGACCTTTCGGGGGTCAGGATGCGGACGGCCGAGTAGAAGAGGTAGTAGTTGAAGAGCGAGAGGCTATAGGCCAGCCCGCTGTCGCGGCCGCCGACATCGAAGGCGACGGGGATGGAGAGGACAATGCTGAAGAGGAAGACGGAGCTAAGGATGATGCTGAATAGCCACCACATCGGTACGGAAGGGCGGCTGGCGAGAGGCCGTGCCGACGATGAGGAGACGAGGAGGGCGCGATGGCGAAGCTCGGCGAGGAGCGGTGTGAGGAACAGCAGCAGCAAAACGAGGATCCACAGCTTCGAGGAGCGAGCTCAGGACAGCTTGCCCGCCCGAGTGAGACGGGCAATGGACGAGGTCGGGTTAAGCGCCAGCGGCAGGGCTAGGGATATGATACTCTGCGAGGAGCGCGCGCCTGGAGGTTGGACGGACGCGGGCCTAGGTCTGACATGGGGTCTCGGCCGCGTTTCTTGTTCCCTCCTTGGCTGGCTGGACGGATGAGGTTGTCTGCCGCACGCACACCCATCACGGTGAATTATTGGGGGTAGGGCCTTGGCCAGCTTATCGGCGGCTTATCAGCACGTGCACTCTGCCTGTGTCATCATGCATGGGTCTCAGCTGGACAGGGTACGGAAGGTGACACAGGCAGCTCTGCTCAGCCAGGTTTCATGCAGGCTCTCTCCGTCACAGAGACGGGAAGACCTGGGGAGGGCCTGATTTCTATCATTTACGTGCTGAATTCAGAGCGGACGAACATGGGCTTGGAGTAGCGAATGCCAAGCGGGATAAAGTACGCATAATGATGTAGATGAGTCAGAAGCCCGCAGCATGCGATTAAGCGAGGGCCGGTCAGCGCCCCAAGCCAATCAGGTTGGGGTCCGCCCTTGGGCACTAAGACCGGACCTCCGCCCGCGTCTGCCGGAGAGGGGAAACGCTCCTCCTCCATCGCCCCAGACCATGAGGCAAAATCTTTTCCCTTGCCTAGCCATGGCTTGGCTCTCTATTTGCGCACTCTGCAATGCCATTTGCATCGCATCGATGCCTTTGCGTTTGTCTTTCAGTTCTTCCACCAGCACCCTCCCTCACTTATACCCTGGCGCTGCGTCATGGCCGTCGCTGCTGTCCAGTGGCCTCTGAACAGCTTTCCAGCCGCCCCACAAAAAGCACGACGACAGCCGAGAATCACCCGGAGATTGACTGCACCCCCAGTGCACTTCCACGGAGACCATGTGCTGCTGCGCATGAACACCGAGCGTCGCTCGCGGGCGCATCGCGAGGAGCCTCAGTGCTATGAAGCATGGGCACGTCACGCTCCTCTGGAGCAATGCATCAAGTGATGCGTCGTTGCGCCGTCCACACAGCAGACTACTACCTACTGGACGCAATGCACCATCATGGCCTGTTCCTCATTCTTCCATCGTGGAATATGACTCCCGTGTTTTAATGACACCATCTCGATCTACTCATACCTTGCGGCTCGGTTGTTGTGTCGGCCGTTGTCAGGAACATCGTGGCTCCCTCGCTGGCCCTCAACACAATGTTGGCGGATCACAAGTGTGTCAGCATCTGGAAAGAGACAGGCCGAGGCGCGGGCAAGTGTCCTGCACCTCGACGTATGCGCCTCGCACGTGCGCGCACCGGCCCAAGGGTTATATACGATAAAAAACTGACCATCTACCGGGAGAGCAGGGGCGCCGCAAGGAAAGCGGTCAGGTCAAACTGCTCGGGGAAATGGCAACATATTACCCGATCGAGCGAGCGAGCGGAGGCAGCAGTTCGATCCCCCGAGGGAGCAACACCGATCAGCAGAGATGTAGGGGCCACCGACGGGCCCCGAACTCTTTTGCCAAATTTTCAAATTTTGCTGGGACTTTTGCTCGTGCAAACCCTCTTTTTGGCCTTTTTGAGTGCCTGAAGTTGATGCGCGAGTGATGCTGCTGCCGAGGCTGTTGATAATGCGGTGCTGAGGGAAGATGCAGCCACTGGGGAAGCGTGGCGGGTGAATGCCACGCGCAGCAAGTTGCTGTTGGCAGAGCATGCTGCGGCTGCTTTTTCTCTGGCGCACGCGTCAGGAGTAGTCTCCAGAAGTCATGGCAGAGTAAAAAAGGCGATTAAGAGAAGATGAATATAGGAAGATTAATTTGCGATAATGGTTCCCTGTCCAGTGTTGTTGTGACTTGCATTTGGCCACGGCGAGCATTCACGAGCGCTTCAATCCAAGCAGCAGGAGCCGACTACGAACCTAAACGCGTCAATTTATTAGAGGCGAGGGCGGGCTGCCCAGCTCTTTTATGCCGTCTAATATGGGCAAGCATTGCCAAGGCGATTTGGACGACTTGATGGACGGGCTTTCGTTTACGAAGGAGGCGTGAGAGAAATCAGGGACACAGTGGCACGAGCGCAGACACGCTGCAACATAGGCACATACTGTGGGCGAGGGTAATCAGCTTGGGCTTCCAACGAAGTGCCGAGCTGGTCCTGTTTCAGGGACGAGCATGCAGAGAAGGAGCTGGGAGGCCGAGGGCGAGGAGACGGGATCATGAGGGAAGGAAAAGGCCTTGGGAGTGCGTGGAGGGTGCCAAGAGATGTCTGTAGTCTCGTCCTCGGCGCCAATGCAGCAAAGCAAAGATGGCACCAAGGGGCACCAAGAGGCACCAAGGAGCACCAAGGAGCACCGGCAGAGACGAGGCAGGCTGGCAGGACACGGGCCGGCCGAGGGGCGTCGATGGACGGCTGACGTAAGCCGCCAATGGGGAGCTGGAGGAATTGCACTGTAGGAGTCGAGGTCCAGTGGACGGCAGAGGCGCGGCCATGTGCTACAGCAGACGTGATGACGATGAGGCGTGGCCATGTGCAGCAGCAGGCTTGATGTCGTCAGGAGCAATTGGCGGCTCCTCCGAGGTAGGTGCTGTACGTGCAGCATGTCTGCTTATGTAACCGGTCCCCCGATGGTACCCCGCCTGCTTCTGCAAGGGCAAGGGGAGTTGCGGCTCTTCCAGGGTCCAGATTTCAGTTGATGCTGCTTGCATTCACGTGTCAGAGCACGATTCGACGTGCCTTTTCTTTTCTTTTTCCTCGTACCAAAAGTCGAGCGCTCTTGGCCAACGTCCAACGTTGGGGATTCTCCGTGCAGCGCTGGTCCTTGCGGTGCGGGGGATACGTAGATACGCGGGTACCTACGAAAACGGAAGCAGGACCGGGACGCCGGCGCACAAGCAGCAATAAGCGCTAGCGCGGTACTTGCCGTCTGCATCTGCGCCGTCTTGCACTCGTGTCTCATGTCTTGTCTTTTGTCTCTGCTCATTACCCTAGGTACCTTAGTTACCTACTAGGTAGCTATTTGGCGAGAGAAAGGCAGGCAGGCACCTGTACAAGCAGTGCATTGCATGTGCATTGGCGTGCGCAAAGCCCACAGCAGTCCGTGTGCGCGATTACCGAGGCCCAAGGCCAGTATCGCTGCTACTTGCAGCTCAGTACTTGCTAGTCGCGGTTCGTCATGATGAAATGATGGTGTGCTCGAGCCGCCTCGCTCCCATTCGGCCGAGGGGCGAGATTGAAGACTGGGCCCCCTTTGCTCGTACTCTACAGTACAGTTTTTGCATAAAGGATACTCCGGCACTAGCACAGCCTCTATGCGGCGGCCTCCACCGGAAGCATCTCTTTGCCGTAGACGTCATTGTGCGAAAGCGTCCTCGTCTCCAGCTGTACTCCAGCTGTAGCCGGCCATTGTGTGCTTCCATGTTACGAGACAGAGGCTAAATCAAGCATCACACCGTCGGTAAGAGGGATGTAGCCGCATCTCGACCTTGCTCGCATCCTCTCTTCTCGGGTCCTGCCCTTGTTTCTTTTCTTTTCTTCCGTCTCGTTTCTCCCTCGTCTTCGTCCTCGTCTTCCCTTTCCCTCCCACCCCCACACACATTGTTCTACCTTCGCCTCACCCCCAAGGCCCCCCCGCCCCCGGAAGAACAAGGTTGATTGCGCCAGCGCGCCCTACAGCACATACAGCACACACCAGCAGACCGCCGACCGGTGTTTCAATCCATTGGTGGCCCATCATTATAGCTCGCCTTTGCTTTGGGCACGCAATTTGACCTCACTTGCGTGCAAGCCCTCAACTACAAGTTACTTCAAGGCAGCCCGCCGCCCCATTTCCCGTCCCCGATCCTGCATCAACTACAGGTCCATGAAAAACCGCAGTCCTGCGATAACAGCAATTCAGTGGTTATACCAGCAAGGGACCCGCAGGACAGACACCCTCTGCTCTCTTTCTCCTTTCCCTTCTCTTTCTTCTTCCAGCCGCACCACTCGCCGCCATGGCCGGGTCGGAAACGCTCAAGTCGGGCCTGCCCGCCAAAACGGGCGCCGACCACCTCCACGATGATCCCGAGTTCGCCGCCGAGATCAAAAAGGCCAGCTGCCTGGCCTCCGTCTTTGGCGGCAAGGCCGTCGCCATCGGCCCCCGCATCGCCCCGCTGCCCGACTGGCTCAAGGACGACGCCGGCGTCATGTCCGACGACGGCGAGGACTCGAGCGCCGCCATCCTCGAGAAGCAGCTGGCGTCGGAGAACGGCGCGTCCATCCAGTACCGCACCTGCAGCTGGCAGAAGACGGCCGCCCTGCTCTTCAGCGAGTACATCTGCCTCGCCATCATGAGCTTCCCCTGGTCCTACAGCTTCCTCGGCCTCGTCCCCGGCCTCATCCTCACCGTCGTCGTCGCCGGCATCGTCCTCTACACCAGCCTCGTCCTCTGGGAGTTTTGCCTGCGCCACCCAGAGGTCCGCGACGTCTGCGACCTCGGCCAGATGCTCTTCTGGGGCAAGACCTGGGCCTGGTGGGGCACCGCCGTCATGTTCGTCCTCAACAACACCTTCATCCAGGGCCTCCACGTCCTCGTCGGCGCAGAGTACCTCAACACAATGACCCGGTCCGACAACGTCGCCGGCTGCCGCACCGTCCAGTTCTCCGTCGCCGTTACCGTCATCTGCTGGCTCGCCTCCCTGCCCCGCACCTTTAGCATGATGTCCAAGCTCGGCACCGCCTCGGCTCTCTTCACCTTCATCTCCGTCATCCTCGCAACCGTCTTTGCCGGCATCCAGGGCAGGCCCGCCGGCTTCACCCCCCTCAAAGGCGAGCCTATTGTCACCGCCATCCCCGTCCACAGCACCACCTTTGTCCAGGGCATGGCCGCCTTTCTCAACATCAGCTACACCTTCATTGGCCAGATCACCCTGCCCAGCTTCATCGCCGAGATGCGCGACCCGCGGTTAGTCTTACTCCCTGTCCTACCCTGCACCATGGCTGACGAGTCCGCAGCGAGTTCCCCAAGTCCCTCTGGGCTTGCACAATCGCAGAAATCATCACCTTCAGCATCGTCGGCGCCGTCATCTATGCCTTTACCGGCAACCAGTACGTCAAGGCGCCGGCCTTTGGCTCCCTGGATGAGCTGTACAAGAAAATCTCCTTTTCCTTCATGGTCCCAACCATTATCTTTTTGGGATGCCTCTATGCGTCCGTCACGGCGCGCTTCGTCTTCTTCCGCGTCTTCCGCAATTCGCGCCACCTCAACGACCACACCATTGTCGGGTGGGGGTCCTGGGGCGGCATCCTGCTCGTCACCTGGATCCTGGCCTTTATCATCTCGCAGCTTATTCCCTTCTTCTCATCGCGTGAGTCCTGGTTTACTAGACGAACCCCACGGGAGCTGATGGCGAGGCGCTAACACCCAAACACAGTCTTGTCCGTCATGTCTTCACTCTTCGACAGCTGGTTTGGCTTCATCTTCTGGGGCGTCGCCTACTTCCGCATGCGCCGCGCAGATCGCGACGCCGGGCGCAAGCGTCGCCCCATTGTCGACTACCTGTCCATGGCACTCAATGTCGTCATCATCCTGACCGGCGTTGTCTTCCTCACCGTCGGCACGTACGCCAGCGTGCAGGGCATCATCGACTCCTTCCACGCGGGCGAGGTCGGGGGTGTGTTTTCGTGCAAGAGCAACGGGTTATGATGAAGACGAGACTCGATCACGTGTTTGTATTCCAGTTTTCGTGCATATTTTTGTCGCTTGCGCACCCGATACGGGCATGGGCGCCATCGGGGCAATTGGTCTGGAAAGGTGGCGACATTCCACAGCGACGCCCGCGATTCGGTTCATGACATGGGAAGGGAAGCCCGGATTCATCAAGAGATTGAGAAGACGGGCACCAAAGAAGGTGGAGGGAAAAGAGGGAACCCGGGGCCCAAGGCGGTCCTCGAGATATCTTACACTTCAGTGGCAGTCGTTGCTGTCGATGGCAACGACGACTCAGCTCAATCGTATATCCGGCAGCGGCAGCGAGCGTCAGGGCGACCAAGCTGCCGCGCCGAGATGTACTCGGCGTTCTCTTCCACGCAGCCACGGCATCACTCGGCAGGTTCCGCAAGGCGGCACTCTGCGCGAGGCCGTGACGTCCGTCGACTGCCCATGTCTGCGATGGACTCTCCCCCTCCCCGAAACCTTGATCTGTAGGACCGTAGCACTTGTGGATTTGTAGACTTGTAGGTTTCCGGCGTAGCGATGACAGGGTTTCGACGTGCACGAGACTGGCTTCCCAAGACCAGGTGGCATCGATCCGAGATGCGTTGATTCGTCTTTCTGCTGCTGCTGGCTTTTTTGTTGGCACCATCGGTGGCCTGACCGCCCCTCCTCGGCACGTAGCTTTCCCGTTGCTGCTCGCATTTCCAACAAGTAGCTGGTACGAAAAGTGTACCTCTTGATCCCTACTCTTTGCTGTACTTCGGCGCCTGTCTCTTACATCGAGATACACCAAGGACCCAGAGCCGCCGTTCGTAGTACACGTACAAGATAACCAGCAAAAGGGCAGTAGCGGCCGCTCGCTGAGCCACCGAGAGCCCCTACCCCTCTTGAGTCCGGTCATGTACATGTACTTTTGAAAGCTTACAAAGAAGCAGGCAATATATGTACTGTCTATCCAGGTCGACATTGCCACTCGAGGAAAACGTGCCCCTCCGGCCCCTGAGAAATCCCCACCTACATTGTTCAACAGCAGCGCAACCTTACTGTGCGCCTCCAAGAAAAGTCACCACCCGTCTCTCGCTCCCATCCGCCCTTTTCCCATCGACATCTCGTGCCTGGCTGGACCAATGCGACAGACGCTCTCCATAGCCAGCAGGCCCGTCGCATCTTCTCCCCCCAAGCCTTGATATCCGGCACGACAAGCCGTTTGGGTCCCCTCCACTCTCAATCGACGACCATCGAGCGTGGCGGGTAGACAAGCACCATGGCCTCGTCGTCTTCTGCCACCGTCACAAAGCCGCCCAAGCCGGCTGCCAGGGACGACGCCGGCTCCAAGCACGACTTCTTCTGGACGTATACCGAGGAGCCCCATCGGACGCGCCGCCTCGCCATCATCAAGGCCCATCCCGAGGTGAGCCGTTGCTCTGCCTCCCCTCGCCCCCCTCGACCTAGGAAAGAGCTAATATTTCCTGCTCCCAGATCACAAAGCTCTGCGGCCCCGAGCCTCTGACAAAGTATGTCGTCGCCGGCGTCGTCGCCCTCCAGGTGTTGCTCGCCTGGGCTCTCCACGCCACCCCCTTCTGGTCCCTCAAGTTCTGGGCCGTCGCCTACGTCTTCGGCGCCACCGCCAACCAGAACCTGTTCCTCGCCATCCACGAGATCTCGCACAACCTGGCGTTCAGGAGCCCGCTCGCCAACCGCCTGCTCGCCATTGTCGCCAATCTGCCCATAGGCATCCCCTACAGTGCTTCGTTCCGGGTGCGCTCTTCTGATCCGATGGCGTTGATTCCTTCTTGCTGACAGTCTACAGCCCTACCACCTCACCCACCACAAGTCTCTCGGTGTCGACGGCCTCGACACGGATCTTCCCACCGCCCTCGAGGCCTTTGTGCTCGACTCGATCCTCGGAAAGGCCTTTTTCTGCACCTTTCAAATCTTCTTCTACGCCATCCGCCCCATGGCCGTCTACCGCATCCCCTTTACCTGGGTGCACTACCTCAACATCCTCGTCCAGGTCTCGTTCGACCTTGCCCTCATCCGCTTCGCCTCGCCCACCGCCTTCGCCTACCTCCTGCTCTCCTCCTTCCTCGCCGGTAGCCTCCATCCTCTGGCCGGCCACTTCATCGCCGAGCACTACGTGTACGAGACGGTCACCACGTCGCAGCGCGACCCGGACAACCGCATCCCCGTCCCCGAGACCTTTTCCTACTACGGGCCCCTCAACTGGTTCACGTATAATGTCGGCCTTCACAACGAGCACCACGACTTCCCCGCCGTGCCCTGGACCCGCCTGCCCGCCGTCTACGAGGTGGCCAAGGAGTTTTACCAAGACCTGCCCCGCCACGAGAGCTGGTCCTACGCCATCTGGCGCTTCATATGGGACGAAAACGTAGGCATCAGCTGCCGCGTCAAACGCAAGAACGGCGGCCGCGTCGTTGGCGGCGCCGTCAACTGGAAGGAGTCGGAGATTCAGGCCTAGGTGGGCACCCAACCAGGGCCATGGCCTTCTTGCCCGCCATTTTTTGCTGTGCTTCTGCTGCAACAATGCCGCAATGGCATGGCCAGGGTAAAGTTTTATTCTTCTGTGTTCCTCGCCTTGGGCACACGGCCCATGTCATCAACTCGCCACCTCGATCAATGCAAAGGCGTGCCGTGGTCGACTGTCGTACATCTTCTCTCCCTTTGATCATGAGACGTCGTCGGCGTTTGGGCAAACTTTGGCCGGCAGAATGCAAGGATGGCGAATGCAGGGAGGACGCTGTCTGATATGCTTCTCGGTCGCCCATGTAAAATTAGATTGGACACGGCCTTGAGACGCACAAGCAATCACACTGCAAAGAATCAAGACAGACGAATTAAAAGACTTCTCTAGTTCCCTATAATGCAGGAAAAACATAGACCTAAGACGATTGCACAATCAGCGCGCGTATGTAGCTGTTACACGGCACCACAAGACCGCTGCGGTGCCCGCGACTTGCTGTTGTCCGCGAGGCCGGTGCCGCGTGCGCGTGCTCATGCTGGCCTCGTCTTTCTGCTCGACGGGGTCTCGAGACACGTCTCTGCGCACCGCGCCATCCTACATACGTTGCTCAAAACAAGCTCATCCAAAGCGCCGTCCAAGCCCCATCAGGTCCCCGTCCTCTCACCCCTTGCTTTTCTTCTTCTTGGCGGGCCACGGCCCACGCTCAAGGTGGTTTCCAGTGTGCCCCCAATCCGCTGGCAATCCCTCGTCAAGTACTCGTTGTGGCTCTATTCCTCATCATCAGAAGTGCAGTGGCGACGATGAGCTCCATTTGCCGCTGTAGTTCGGAGCTCCAACTGTCGCTCGCACTTTCTCTCGTGAAATGTCGTGTAGCTGGGTCGCCTCAAACTCGATCCGATTGGTCTCAAAAGAAAAAGTAGGCCAGGAGAAAGCTCAGCAGGCAGAGAATCGCCACAATTGGTACAGGCACACCGTCGGCCTGCTTGACAGCCTGGGTGACGGGACCGCTCGCCCGCTTCTCGTCGCCGCCGGCTGTCTTGACATTGCGCTGGCGAAGCCCGCTGTCCTTGAGCATCACTACCTGAGCCTCGGCTTGGGCCAGCTTCGTCTTGAGCTCCTCGTAAGTAGCTTGGGCGGAGTCGGACACGGCCGTGACGGCTTGGGAGACGGCCGATTTGGGACGGTCCGACTTGCCGTCGTCATCGTCTCGGGTGTCTTCAGGTGTGTACGAAGGCGGGGCAGAGCCGGGCGTCGAGTCGGCATTGGTTTTGGGAGACGAGTACGTGCGCGATGCCTCGGGGGTTTCGTTCATTCGCTGGGGGAGTCAGCGTCGGCTGGTACGTGCGGCACTGCATGCGCAATGCCGGCGGTGACTGTGTGGCGACTTACCCCGTTGACGATCGACTGCCTCTTGGGAGTTGCCATGACGGGCTGCGCGGTAGCGGAAGCTTGGTCATGGCTGCCGTTGGCGGCCATCCAATTGACACGGATCTTTCGCTCTTGAATATGGCTCTTGTCCGTCGATTCGAGCTGGGGGCCATTGTCAGCTTAGACATGCGACGGCGTGGGAAATCGAGCGACATGTCACTGACCACGGAAGCGATGCTTGCAAAATCTTTGTCGGACGTAATGGGCGCCGACTGGACGAGGAACTTGTCTCGACATTTGGTATCATGCGGAGGATCCGCCTTCATCGCTTGCAGGAGGACTGTCGCTGCATTAGCCACGAAACGTTCAAGGAGGAGGCGTGGTGGATGAGCGTACCCGTGACGTCAAAGTCCTGGCCTGGCTCGATGCGGCCGGCATTGGGTCGAACGCAGTATCTGGGAAAATCGACAGTCAGAGCACGGACACGCAAGTTGAAGGCACCGAGGCAAGGGGCCAACGAACTGCTTCGGAGCCGTCGTCTTGACCTATGGATGGTGTCAGCGCGAGGTCGAGGAACAGCAGCGGGGAAGTTTGATTCAGGAGGGCCGACCTTGAAGGCAAGAGGCGTCGATGTCGGGTTCTTAATGGTTAAGGTCTGCGAAACCTCGACGGTGAAGGGACCTGCGGTGGGGGAGCCAGCGGGCGTCAATTCAAGGCGCTTCTTCTGACTAGGGGATTGCGGTACAAGTCAAGTCAGGTCGGGCACACGTACGCCGAAAATTAAGCTCCTGAGGCTCAATGTTGACCGACATGATGGGCGCAGCTCGCGATGGTGGATATGACGAGGAGCGGAGTCGTGGGGGAACGTAAGGGGTGGTGGACGAGGATGGGTGGTCGAGGCCCAATGGAGAAAACGGCAGGACGGATAAAGCGGCGACAAAGGGAAGGCAGCGACGAAGCAAGAGACGTAGGGGATGGCGCCTGCCGGGTTGCGCGCGGTCGAGGAAGAGTTGAACAGGAGATTTTGAGGATAGCAGAGGATAACAGAGGATAGTTCGGTATCTGAGGCGGAGAGGTGGAGAGGGCGACGTGTGCGAAGTCAAGTCAGGCTGAGCGACGAGGTGCGGATTGAGGTCCAGGCCAGGCCAGGTAGGCTGCCACGGATCATGTACATGTACCTTCAGTTGCCACTGGCCAGCCAGGGGGGAAGATGGAAGGGCCTGTGCTGCGCCAGAGCTCGGAGCGGCACAGCGTCAAGTGCTACAGGCGCTAAAAGCCAACCACTAGTTCCAGGTGTCACAGCAGGTTGTCGGGCCACGACGAGGGGGGAAGTCCGGTGTGTCGGCCACACCGCAGGGCAGCAAGGGAGCTGCTGCCATGGCTGGAGGCCAAATGTGACCAGTACCTAATATATGCAAGTACCAGTACCAGTACTGGGGGCTTTAGTAATGGATAACCGCCGTGCTGAACCTGTCGTAATCCCGGCACAAGGTAATGAATGAATGGCATGGTGCTGGCCGCGTGGACGAATGCCTCATTGCGTCTGTCTGCTTGCTCCAGAAGTCAACCCAAGAGACATTTATAATCTACTGTCGTGACGCTTTGTTGCAAATGCCCTCCGTTCGAGGCGCTGGCACGCCCGTACTCCGTAAGCACACTTGCGAGGAAACGCTGGGATGACGTCGCCTGCCTGCTTCGACCTTCAGAGGCCGCAGTGCTGTATTTTGTCCCTTCGTATCTACCGTCAACGACCTTGCCCTCCAGTTCCATTCTGCCTCACCCTCTGCGCTGTTCAACGCTGCCTGTGTCTTCGCCATTGAACCATCCCCCGCTGCTTCCGTCGTCATCCCGCCGCTAGGGCGTCGCTGATGCTGTTCTCCCGTCGACCCCACCAGGTGTCTGCTCCCCGCGCCGTCCGCCACCTCACTGACATCAACCGTCTCTGATCCCGCAATCCCCTACGCACATTGTCGCCACCCCCGCCACGATGCCCTCCGACTTGGAGCAGCTGCTCGACATGGGCTTCGAAAAGGCCCGCGCCGAGGTTGCCGTCAAGAAGACGGGCGGTCGTAGGTTTCCCCAGCTCTCAGCCACAGCTTTCATGCTCACAGCGTCGCCTTCCAGTACAGGGCGCGCTCCAGTGGCTCGAGGATAACCAGGACAAGCCGCTGGATGAGATTCAGGCCGTCGAGGCAAACGACGAGGACGAAGACGAGGCTGAGACCAAGGCCAAGATTGCGGAGCTCGAGACGGGCCAGGCTCGCTCGCTAATCTGCAACGAGTGTGGCAAACGCTTCCGCACCCCCGACCTGGCCAGCTACCATGCCACGAAGACGTCCGTTAAAAATCCCTCTCCCGAGAACACGCCACTACCATGCTGACACCCCCGTCACGTAGAGAACATACCGACTTTTCAGAATCGACCGAGGAAATCGCCCCTCTGACTGACGCAGAGAAGCAGACAAGGCTCGAGGAGCTGCGGGAGCGGCTCAAGGCCAAGAAGGCCGCACAGTCCGTCCAGGACAAGGAAGAGCAGAAGCGCAACGAGGTAAGCCTCCACCATCATTATTACATCCCTTAGCCCTGTCTCGAGGACTTTTTCGCTGACTCGGCCGCAGAAAATCCGCCAAAAAGCCACCAAAGAGTCTCAAGAGGCCAAGGAAGAGGTTCAACGCAAAGAGCAGATCAAGGAGGCCGCCCGGAAGCGCCAGGAAAAGCAGGAAGACATCGAGGCCAAGAAGCGCATCAAGGCCAAGATCGAGGCTGACAAGGCCGAGCGTCGCCGCAAGGCAGAAGAGGCCAAGGCCGCCCGCGAAGGCAGGGCCCCCGAGGCTCAATCACCCGCCTCCCAGCCGGCAGTCGCGGCGCCCCTCAAGCCCAAGAGCGACCGCAACGAGGCCCGATTGAGGCTCCAAACCGGCTCCGGCAACCTGACCAAGACATTGCCGGCCGAGACGACCCTGTTTGAGCTGGCGCAGCTGGTGCAGGGCGAGACGGGCAAGGCCGTGTCGAGCTTCTCCACCACCTTTCCCAAGCAGACGTTTGAGGGGGATCTAGACATGTCCAAAACGCTCAAGGAGGCCGGGCTGGTTCCCTCGTCGGTACTCATAGTCAAGTAGAAGTGGGAACAATGGACGTGGGTGACATGGAGTGTGGAGAGACTCTATTTGCTCCCGTCCTCGGAGGTTGGGTGAGCAGACACCACCGCTTGGTGGCCGGCATGGCTTTGCGCGACATACACAAATCCATGTGCGTGAAGCGCTAGTGGCCGACATAAAGGCGGCTGCGTCACTGGGTAACTCATCAATCCCCAGGACCTTGGGACGATGACCGTTCGCGTCTCGAGAAGCAGTTCACCAAGCCCCAGGAGTTTGGCAGTCATCACTGTTCACGTCTCAAGAACGCCTGCCAGCGACCCTGAGACAACTCCTGTTCGTCGTATGCATGGTGCCCGTTCATCTTCATTTCTTTTCTGGTTTCCCCGAGCCGATTCCTTGGACTAGCAGCCTACCCGCGTCAAACGCCCGTCATCGAGTGCATTCATGATGCAATTGTACCAACGAAGCGACTCTGCCCAGGCCGCAGGAATGCATCGCGCCTTCCCCACCCTGTATAGTCGCTCGGTTGTGAACCCCAAAGCCATGCAGCTGAAGTACAAGAAGCAAGAAAACTGTCGTCGTGGTGATGGGTGTTTAGTCGAAGAGACCGAAGCCCATGTCCTCGTCCGACTCTTCTTTCTCTACTTCCGGATGTCAGCCAAGTCCGAGATTCAATACCCTCAACGGGGCGCAACGGGGGCCGGAGCGACGTACCCTCTTCCTTCTTCTCCTCTGCAGCAGGGGCGTCTGCGCCACCGGCGGCAGCGGCACCACCGGCAGCAGGGGCAGCGGCACCACTGCCAGAGCTGACGTTGACGAGCAAGTCCTTGATATCCTTGCCTGCCAGAGCCTGTACCATAGTGTTAACACTCATCCATGGGCGACACCGCTCCCAATGTCTCGCCGAGTTTGCGCTGCAAGTGAGGGTCGTACCTGGGCGAAGATGGAGGTCCAGATGGGCTCAACTTCGACGTTGGCGGCCTTGATCAGGCTCTGCAGCTTGTCGGCCTGTATTATGTGGAATCCCAGTTAGCGAACGGGACGTCCATCATCAGAAGAGTCCCCTATTTCCGTTGCGTCACAAGAAGAGGAAGCGGTCGTCATGTTTGTGGACAATGGGCGCAGCTGTCCCACGGGTGTTCGACGTCGCGCCGCCGTCGGAGTATCTGGAAAGCCGAGACTTACGGTGACTTCAACGCCATCGTCGGCGAGGATCAGCGCCGCGTACGACGAAGCGAGCTCGGGAGCAGACATTGTGACTAGAAGTAATCTGTGTCGAGAGGCGTGCCTGCGTTGATGGAAACGGGTCGTTCGTGGTGGTTGTAGTTCAAATGTCGACTAGAGCGGGCAGGCCACAGAAAATTCCCCCGGCACCCAAAATTCGCCTGGAGGGCTTCGAGACCTAAAGCCCAAAGGGAAAGGTGGAACTGTTTTTCCGAACTCCGAGGACAGGGGGAGGGGCATGCGCCGGTGATTCGGTCTTTGATTGGCTATTCGGCGTTGGCCAATCAGAAGATTCGAGCAGCATCTGCGACTGCTGCCTACGTAACGGAAGCATCCAAGCAACCCCACCTCCCCCACCTCGGCCATCGCTGTGTCGGGTTGGTGCTTCAGACTCGCAGCACATCACTGGTCAAGCCCAGCCTGTTCCGGCTTGACACACATAACCTTGCGTGTGCAGCATCCAGTCGCCGCGGCTCGACACCGTACCCCGTTGCTTTATTCTGCAAGCTGAATCACTTGGGCTTGGCGGCATCCCTGTTTCCTCAGCCCTCCTCTCGTTGCGCTGCACCTGCGTTTCTCCCATCCGTCAGCACCGCAACACCGTCGAGTTCTCGGTCGAGTCGGCCAACTGGAACCCCCCCGCGCCAGTACTTGCCTGGAACGCATCTCCTCGGGAGGCCGGAGAAGGTCGGATCGCCTATCATTGTTCCCCCGCAGCCACCTGCTTCTTAGACGACAGACCAAGAAGTTTTCTGCGCAGCATCTTGACCTCGTTTCAGCCCTACCCACGCGACATAGACCGTCGCTCAGTCCCGAAAAGCGCTTCGAGATTTCACGGGCATGGATACGCCATCAGTGCCGGCGCCGAGAGACGCGCGGGAGCAGGCCATTTTGGAGCGCCTGGTGCTCATCCGCGACCAGCTCATGCTCCTGAAGCAGGACCGCACAACATACATTCGCAGCCAAGACATCATTCCTCTATACGACCAGACGATTGAGCAAGTCAAGGAACTCACCGAAATCCGGTCCCAATCTGACCAACAGGAAGAGAATAGATGTATGGCATCAGTTGTGCCCTGGCTTCCCTTGTCCTCGAAGCTAACGTCATACGCGCAACAGTGGACAGGATCCTGGAGAGTTGCTTCCAGCTGCTTTCCCTCTTCTACCTAACCATCGGCCGAAACAACGAGGCGCCCGCCGCCTACGCGCTGACCTCGACCATCAAGCGACTCCTCGACCATCTCACCGAGGTTGAGCTCTACTCCGCCAAGGACTTGGAGAGCATCAAGTCGACGCTGAGCAGTCTAGAAAAGAGCATCAGCACGGCCCAGAACGGCGATGATTCCAAGTCCCAGCACCCTCCGTACTTACTCACACTCCTGTCCAAGCGAGTCAAGCTTTGCCAGGTGACGCTAGTCAATCTCCTCAAGCGCCTGGAGCGAATCGGGGAGCCCCTTCTTGAGATGCACGAGAGGTTGATATGCATACTCCGCCAAATTTCTCTGGCAAACACCAAGACAAAGGTGGGCAATGCATCACCAGAGAAGGCGCCATGTGCGACTTCGGGAAGCCACAAACTGACGACGCCCTCTGTCTATAGTTTTCCACGACCGAAGTCCAGAAGCTGCGAAAGGAGTTGTTGGAAATTGGCGAGCGGCGCAAAGACGGCAAATTCACGGCAGAGGATGGGTCTGAGCCTCAAGGAGCCGCCGAGATTTGCGAGCTGTATACTCGGTGTCTCAGTTGGTCCGACCTCGTCTTGGAGCGGTACGTATCAGAGAGCGGTGGTTCACGTCTTGGTGTATCGCCAGTGTTTTCTGACAAGGCTTTAGCAAGGGAAAAGTGGCCGACCAATGGCGCCCAACATACGATGTCCTGGTCGGGATCCGTAACGACCTGGAAAAGCTATCTCTGACCCAGGCCTGGTCCTTGCGCGAGACCGACCTTTACGACTTCCAGCGCCAGCTTGACAAGATTGACGAGAGTCGGCAGAATGGAAACTTTTACGACGACAAGGGCAGGCCAGCGGACCTTTGGACGCAGCGGACAATGCTCTACCTGATTCGCCGGAGCTACGCCTACATCTACTCGTTCATGCTCGCCTCGGAGCCCGTCTCAGAGGCACTTCTCCCCATATACAACCAGCTCCAGACCCTGAAGCGATGCTTGGTTGAGGTGAAGCACAACGGCGGTGTCTCGTCAGTCCGAGAGCTGTACCCGTACAGCATGAAGGTAGGGTCGTCACCCTGCAGTCTCTGGCTGTTGTCCGATAGGGTTACCCGTCTCGAAACCATGCTAACTCGGCTCAAAGCTCAACTCACTCGACAACATGAGAGTAGACGGCAAGTTCGTGGTGAATGGCGATATTCCGGAAGGCCAGGGAAGCGTCAGCAAGCTGCTGGCCGAGTGCTTCGACATCAACTACGATTTGCGAGTAGCAGCTGAAGAAGCCGCCGAGGGTGACGGAAACTAAGATTTAACATGGATGCCTGGATTGAGAGACGCAACACGCCTGTGTCACAGCACATGGCTACTTTCCTTCCACATGGCATTTTCTTATGATAAGGGGTCAGCCAGAGATTGGCCCGACCATTGGGGACCGATGGATTGCAAATTTTAGATTTGAAAATTTTGCGTTTATTCATGGCACGTCTTGGACGGCGATTTGCCCCGGGTTTATTTCAAGAGTTGGGCCTTTCCAGCGATGGGGCGGGGTCAGCTGCGCTGATGCTGCTGAAGCTACAAATACGGGTGCGCGGACGACCGAGGAGGGCGTGTGTAATTGAAGGGGGGGGGGGACCGGCACGTATAAAAGGTGTCGCCCGCAGATGAATTGATACCAGTATATTGTCACCGTGCACGACGCGCTTTATGGGTTCCTGAAGACGCACTTGAAGGGGTAGATTTGGGCCTGCCACGGAAGAGTAAGTGACCGGGGCTACATGTACAGGGGCGAGAAAGAGGCTGACCTTTTCGGTGTCCCAGACGCCCGAAGTGTTGTAAATGTCCTCTCTCAGCTGCTTGAGGACATCCTCCCTGGATTCGGCGAGGCAGACGATGGTGCTGCCGGCGAAGTCAAAGTTGTTTGGGTCGTCATCCACGGGGAGGGTCTTGAGCAAGGCGCCTTGTGGAGATCAGCATCGTGGCCAGAGGCTCGAGCAAGGGAAACGTGGCAGACCTCCCATCTTCCAGTTGCCAGACTCGACGAGGGGAGCCATGTTCTTCAAGTGCAGCCTACAAGGCAGTCTGGTCAGTCAGGCGCCACGCATGGAGACAGGGCGGCAGCAGCAGCAGCAGCGTACGGGCGGATCTCGAGGCGCTTGGCGTGCATGCCGGGCTTGTCCGGGACGACGACGAGGAACTCGTGCTTGCGCGCGGCGGATGAGGCCATGGTGCGGAGCTGGATGCTGTGAGGCCGGGAGAGGAGCAGTCTCAGGCGGCAAGCGGCGGCCATGCGTGACGGAGAAGCAAAGACGGGAGGGGACGGGGCTTCTTAAATGTATTTTTGCTATACTGGACTTCAATGGAGGTGTAACGTTATACCTGGCCGGGGAGAGGGACTGCAGATGTCAAGCCGTTGCTGCGCGCCCTTTTCGATCGCCGGCTTCGCGGATACAAAGCGCCGAGTGCCGACAACGCTCCCTGGCCGTACCCTGCAAGGCACGTGGGATCGAATGTCACGTCGTCATGGCTCCCCACACATTTTACAGTGTGACACCGAGTCAACCAACGACAGGCATTGCAACAAGTCAACAACGCAACTCCAGCACCCGAGAAAGCCAGGGAGAGGAGACCGACCCAAAGCCCAGGGAACTGGGCAATGGCCTCGGCAAGAGGCACCCGCACCGTCTACGTCGTCCACAGCGACAACGCCGCCGCCACAACCATCCCCGGCGTCTTCGCGGCCCTGGGCGCCGCCAACGACGAGCATCGCAAGCGGGCTTCACCCCACGGCACATGCCCACGACGGCAGGTGGTGGCGGAGGCTCGGTGCCGGACAAGCCTCGGCGGTGGGATGCGTCCGAGGGGGTGTCGTGCTGGGTCGAGGCGCACCGCGTGCGGCCTGGGAAGGAGTCGCGGGGTGTCAATGGGGGAGAGGGGGCTGAGACATGATGGACGGGCTGTGGCGGGCGCAGGGTCTTGCTGTCCCGCTGCTGGACACGTTAATTGGACAAGTGGGCTAAGACGGCCCGACCTCGCGGGTGTCGACGCGGGTTATCTTGCAGCGTATCGGCCCGCCAGCTCGGAGAACCACAGCACTTTGGGCAGGCGACGGCATCTATCATCAAGTGCCCGAACACGTGGAAAGGGCGGGCATCAACGTTCAGTGACCTCTCCAATCCCTGTTTGAATAGTGTGCCCGGGCTTGAGCTCTGCTCGGTACCACGACACCCATGTAAACACCCCACGGAAAGCTGTGTCGGCCTGTCATACCATCCCTTTGAGTGTGCGAAGGCAGCCCTCAAGTATAAAGCATGTCTATACAGATAGCTGCAGCATGTAAAGAGATTTGCTCAGGCTGCTTTCTGAGTGGCTGGTAGTTATCACTAAAGTTATAGGTCCTTCTCAAACAGGTGTTAGAGAGCGCATGTGGAAGTGACCCTGGGCAGTGTAATTAATGTAGTAACGATGCATGCTCTCTTCTAGCTACTTTGACGGGCAAGATCTCACCCCTGTGGGCACTTCCCCTAACGGAGGTAGATAACCCCTAGCTCCCCTCCCTAAGTATACTTAAAGATTCTAAGGGAGCGCGGTTTATTTAATTAAATATATATTTCTTAATACTAATCTATTTAAACATTTATTTTCTACTTTTAAAGTAAGGACTCTTAATTATATAGCTTTAAAAAATAAGAAATATAAAGTAAAAAAGGATTTAAATTTATATCTATAATAAGAAACTTATAATCTTATAAAGAAAGATATAAAAAGTATATATAAAATATTTAAAGGTAAAATTAATAGTAAGGGGGTCCCCCTTATAGTATAGTAGTTATATACCTAGGAAGTCTATTAGCTATAACGCTAGAGTTAGTTTAAATCTAGCTAAGGGCACGATTAATTTTTAGTTAGACTAGTAAACTATACTAACCTACTTATTAATTAGCTAATTAGCGCTTTTAGAAGCGCTTATAAATATACTAGTAGTTTAGCCCCGCTATAAGTAAGCTAGCCTAGACCTCGCTTACTTAAACCTAGCAATGAATTTATTAGGACCTCCCCTTAACCTTAGTCTAGGCCCCTTAACTAGGAAAATAAAAACCTAGGGCCGATACTAGTAACTTAATAAGTATAGCGTAAAGCTAGTATAATAACTTAACTACTAGCCTAGCTAAAGGCTAGTATTAATAAAAATAGCCCGCTAAGCTTTATAGTAGAAAAATAAAGTAGAGCTTAGGAAGATATTATTATAGGATAAAGTTAAGGATAATTATATAATTAACTATTAACTAAAAACGCTTATACTACTAATTAACGCTATATACCCTACGTATATAAAGGAGTTACTTTCTAAGGTTACTTTATAGCGGGGCTATATTACGACTACGGTTAGCGGGCCATAGGAGAGCCGGCCACGTTCACGTAATAAGGCGGCTCGGAACAATAGTCGGGACGAGAAGTTACTTAGGCTTAGCTTACCTAGAGCGTACGTAAGCTAAGTAAGCCTTATATAGATAGATTATTACTTAGGAGCATAGCTTACGAGTAAGCTATAGTAAGCTACGAAGGGGATTACGGCTAGGACCGTAATCTAAGGACAATCTCTATAGGTATATATAGCTACCTACTTTTACTCTTTTAAATAGATAGCTCTCTAGCTTTTAATATAGATCTTTATTACGATTCTATCTCTAATTCTAATTACCTAGTTATAGTCTATAGTCTACGACCTCCGACTTATTACTAACGTAATATACTTATTATTACTTAGACCACGCCCTATTATATCTACTAATATAAACCCCTTAATAGGTTTATCCCTTAGGAATAATACTAGTCGTTATACGTTAAAAGCTCTTATTTAGTATAATACCGCGTTACTCTAAGTAATATCGTAACTATTAATATACTTATATAGTAAACTAAATTAACTAACTCTAGAGCTACTATATCGCCTTAGGATATAATACGCGAGATTATCGCCCTTCGATAAGAGGTATAGTTACTTAGGAACGGAGGAGGTAACGGATAAGTTAAGGACCTTAGAGAAGTAGTTAAACTAAAGTAGCTAGGACTATTCGACGGTACTTATAGCACTCTTTAAGACTTTCTTACCTAACTTAAGGCCTACTACCGGTTCTACCTAACGAAACTTTCGAACTTAGTTAAAAAGGTACTTTATATAGGAAATTATTTACCTAAAATAGTACTCGCTTAGTTTAGACCTATTATAAGGGACTATCTCGATAACTAACTAGTATAACGAAATAGCGAAATAGATAAAGTCTTTACTAGTTTCTAAGGATTTAAAGAAGCTATTACTAAGGTATTCGGAATAACTAATAAAGAATAAGAAGCTAAATAGAAACTTTAAGAACTCCGATAAAGGACCTTAGTATCGGACTATACTACTAAATTCCGTTAAGTTACCTTAAAACTTAAATAAGACGACGAACCCTTTATATCGCGATTCTACGACGGACTTAGGGAAGAAGTTAAGGACGAACTCTATAAGGAAGATCGACCTAATAGCCTCTTAAACTATATCGCTATAGTAGTACGAATCGATAATAGATAGTATACGCGACGCTAAGAAAAGAAATAAGGAAGAGGAAACTAGAACCCTTCTTATAGGAATAACTTTAACTAACGCGCTAACTATAAAAAGAAGCGCGAAACTCTTATTACCTACGCTTATATAACTAACCTAGGTAAGATAGATCTAAATATAATATAGAAAAGTAAAGGAAAGTATTTTAATTATAGGAAACTTAGATATTACTCTAAGGAATATAGATAACCTTATAAGGAGAAGAAAACCTACTAAGTACTAGCCCTAAAAGGTAAGAAATACCTAAACGCTACTAATAGATAGGAACTAAAGTATAAACTCCTTAGTTAAACTATATACTACGACGACGAATATATAGTATACTTAAGCCATAAAAATAGTACTAGATAGTTCCTAAAGCTACTAAAGAAAACCCTTATAATAATATAATAAAGGGATCCTAAAATATAGAAATAAGTTAAATTTATAGAACTAGAATACCCTTATTTTAAAGGAGTCTCTTAAGACTAGATTAAGAAGAATAGTAAACGATTCTAGGAAGATATATAAAATAAAAATCGATAATAATAATAGGTAGTCTATAAATAATATAATAAAGAAGATATAGATATAGCCCTTATACTTATAAAACTTAGATAATAACTTAAGGAGGAATAATAAAGTATCGACGATATAAGCTTTAAAGAATAAGAAATACCTAGAGAAACGGAAGATAAGAACGAACTTATACTACTACCCTTACTATTAAGGGAGAATACTATAATTAGAGAATACGCTTTATACTTTAAAGAATTTAAAGAAATACTTAAAATTAAAACTTAATAAACGCTTTAAATTCTTATAGAAAACTAATAAGCTATATTAATTTAATATTAACTAGTACTATATAAAGGAGACTATACTATAGCTATCGCTATAGTTAATACCTTTATAGCTCTATAACGAGAATAGTAACTATAAAAAGAATTTAAAGACAATATATAAATACTACTTACTTATAAGCACTATAAGTATATTTTATAGATATTATACGTTTACCTAGATTATATAATATACTTTTAGATAAAGGTATAATACGACGCTTTCTTAGTTAGGTTTAAAGGATAGGTACTTTTAAAACCCTACCTAAGTATAGAACTAGATTACTAGAAAATCGATTAACGCTACCTAAACGACTAAGTTATATTATTAGAACCCGATTATAGTATACTACTTAAATACCGCGATAATTACGGTTTATTAACGAGATATCTTTTAGAGATATATAAAATCTATAAATACGCTAAAATAAAAGAATAGTATAACGCTACTCGCTTTAAGGTATCTAAACCCTTAATCTTTTAAAGACTTACGTGATAAGTTAAATATAATAAAGAAGATTATAACGAATATATATACTTAAACTATAGAGTTTATAAATATAAAAAAGTATAAGTATAGTATAAACGATATAACGGTATATAAAAAGATTATTAGTAATATATATAAAGGCTATAGGCCGTATTCGACTAAGGGAGAATTAATATAAAAACACTATATATAAAATAGAAAAACGTAGAACGAAAACTTAACCTTTAGTACGAAAATAAATAGAATTATAAAGTATAGTACGTAATTAACTACGAAGTAGTATAATATAAACAATATAGCGTCGAGAA